GAGCAAAGCCTTCACGATGATGTTCGGCTGGGACAGTGTCGAAGCTCACAACGACTTTATGAAGAAACCCCATATTCAGGAACACGTGCATTTGATCCAGGGTCTGCCAGGGCTGGCGAGTCTGGAAATGTGTCATGTTACTCTGACAGAGGTAGAGCCATAGCTCTTGTAGGAGAGAAGTGTCTGCGCGCTGGATCCAAATCAGCGCCCTTGTGTGCCACCGAAGTCGCTCAGCGAGCGAGGCTAGGTTGGAGATAGTTGTGGGTCTGAGCTGTCGTCCGTTGTTGAGTCGTTCGGACGCCTCCATCCTCCCTTCCATCAGTAGTATGATATAATACTGCAATGACGAAAGGTTGTAATGTAACTTAGTAGACAAGTTATTAGACGTCCAGATCGTAGTGAGCTTTATGTAGCTCTCCATGAAAATCAGGGCTATCGGTGGATTGTGAAGCTTCTATTCTTCAATGAACTTGAGCACTTGAATGTATCTCGACAGTTCCACTAGCGCTCGTTAGATGAGATCAATCTTGCTGTCGAACACTAGATGGGATCGGCTTTTCGAGGGGTGTTGGAACACTTCAGCCAACAAAAGTCATAGACAAGCGTCCGAGGACTCTGGTCTCTAGAAACCTCCCAGTGGCCCTTATCCTAACGTGGGTCTGCTGTGCGAGCCAGGAGATTTCTAGAACCAGATGTCGAGGCATGTCCTCTCTTAGTCGATAATACTGGCCTAGCTACTAATAGTATCCAGTTGTATTTGCGATACCGTGCTATCCGATATCCGAAGAGCGTCCATTTTGTGCAACCAAGTCAGTCATTCGGACTTCGGCTTTGAATTACAACCATCAAACCTGTTTTATTGGGACTTGTGAAGATCGAATGAGACTCTCATGATATACCAGAGAGACAAGCACTCTGCACCTTCAACCGGCAAATTGGCAAAAATCAACTATCTGATTCTCTCCACCGCGACACCATGATTCACAAATCCAGGTTCAAGGACATCGACATCCCCAGATGCAATATCCTTTCATACCTATTTCCTAAAGACACTGTGCCATCTACCAGACCTCTGTGGGTAGACGCACGAGTTCCTCAACGCTGTCTGTCACCCGCGACTTTGCTGCGATGGGTCCAGAGATTTGCGGTAGGGCTCGACCGCCTCGGGGTTCCTATGAATGAAGCTGTTATGGTCTTCACGCCCAACCATATTTTCGTGCCCGTGGTATACTTGGCGACTGCGGGGTCCAGAAGATACTTCACCGGGGCGAATCCGACGTATACGGTCGACGAGCTATCGTTCCAAATAAAGACGGTCAAGCCTGCAGTTATCCTTATCCACCCAGGCGTGCTGGAAACCGGGTATGCGGCAGTAAAGAAGGCCGGCCTACGCGCGGCCAAGGTCTTTTTATTCGATGACGCGGACTGCTCGGAGCAACACGGTATATGCGATTGGAAGACGTTCCTTGCTCCGGAAGACGAAGCGGCGTCTTGGACCTGGGACGACCTCGGCGACGATGCAACTAAACAGATCGCAGCAATCAACTTCTCCAGCGGCACCACCGGGTTGCCCAAGGGTGTCTGCATCAGCCACTACAACCTGGTCTCGAACTCCTCCCAGACCATCCATGTCAAACTATCGAGGCGGTGCTTGGAGGAAAGTCAGCGGGGTGAGAGATGGCTTGCCTTCCTGCCTTTGTACCATGCCTTCTCACAGCTGTTCACCATTAACATCGCATGCCGACTCCAGGCGACGGTCTATATCATGCGAGAGTTCTCTTTTCCTGAGTTCCTCCATTATATTCAACAATACCGAATCACGACTCTCCAAGCGGTCCCACCGGTGATGAACATGTTGGCCAAACGGCCCGAGACGGCAAAGTACGATCTCAGCAGTCTTCAAAACATCATGGTCGGAGCCGCAGCCATGCCTGTCCAGCTATCGAACGACCTAATGAAGGGTCTCGATGTCAGCATTTCTCGCGGCTGGGGAATGACCGAAACCACCTGCGTTAGTATACTCTGGCCCGATGACACACGGGACACCGAAGGCAGCTCTGGGTACCTTCTGCCAAACACAGAGGCCAAAGTCGTAGACGGCGAAGGCCACGAGGTCGAAGACACCCCTGGTGAGCTATGGGTCCGCGGTCCACAGATTATGCTTGGCTACTGGAACAACGACCAGGCCACTAACGAGACTTGTACAAAGGACCGGTGGCTCAAGACAGGCGATATTGTTGCGGTCAAGGATGACCTGTGGTGGGTGGTTGACAGGGAAAAGGAGATCATCAAAGTCAACGGCCTCCAGGTTGCCCCTGCCGAGCTTGAGGCATTATTATTACAGCACGAGGATATAGCGGATGCAGCGGTGGTTGGTTTAACTGTTGACGCGAGAGAATATCCCCGTGCCTATGTCGTGGTACGCTCGGGGCTGAGTCCAGGTGCGCTCACGGAGAGTGATGTCCAGCGTTATGTCGCTGGGCGCCTGGCAAAGCACAAACATTTGTCGGGAGGGGTTCAATTCACTCAAGCCATCCCCAGGCTCCCTAGCGGCAAGGTCATGAGGAAGACGATGAAGCAGTGGGCAAAGCAGGATGCAAGGACCTATATCAAGTCGAGCTCTAGGCTTTGACGGCTGCAGAAGAAATTAAAAGCGAAACGACCACAGATGATTTCCATCAAGGGGGAGGTCGTTCATTCATAAGGCTCTTGTGTTCGTCTTTGCTCACAATTGAAGCTATTTATCTATTTGACAAACTACATGGTTTTGAGCCTTGTGAGGCGGACAGGGTTAAGGAGCCCTTTCTGAGCTCTAGTTGACCTCTCCTGTCAAGAAACGTTCTTCTTCAAGAAGAGGGTTTGCACATTGCAAAACGCCCGAAGGCCCCCAACTGCCAAATCATCAGCAAAGGTGCAACGAGGTTTTCCAGTTCAGGTGAATAGGGGCCACTTACGGCTCCATTCATAGCCGACGCCACTCTCCTTGTGACCCCCGAAGGGAGCATTGGGGTCCAATTCAATATGCGTGTTGACCCAGACGCTCCCGGCTTCCAATTGACGGGCGATGCGATTGGCTTCCTCGAGGTCGTTCGACCAGACCGACGCGCCCAGGCCCATCCTTGTATTGTTGGCGCGTGCGATAACGTCGTTCTCCTCGCTCCACGCGAGCAGTGGTAGGATAGGCCCAAATAGCTCCTCCGTGACGATTCGCGAGTCTTCAGCCGGCCTGTCGATAATGGTTGGAGTGATAAAGTACCCGGGTCTTTCTTGATTGGTACCACCGACTGCCACACTCCAGTGGTCCGTCTTTATATCGGAAAAGAACGTCTTGACTTTCTCGTATTGCATGGCATTCTGAATGGGTCCGAGGAAGACATCCTCATCGTTTCCGTCACCCACCTTGAGGGTCTTCGTGAAGGCCACGATGTCGTTGCGAAATTCATCGTAGATCGACTCGTGTACGTAGATACGTTTGATGGCTAGACAGACCTGGCCGGAGTTGAAAAAGGCAAGAGTCGCGATCTAGATTGGATGTTAGCTGGAGTCGGATACTGGATCACAGGAGCGGAATTTGAGCTCTACCTTCTCGGCAGTGCTTTTGATGTGGACGTTCTTTGTAACGATAGCAGGATCATTGCCGCCTCTGTATTGCGTCGGTGAGAGGATGTCAAAGCGTGTAAGAAGTGTCAAGGCTTACAACTCGAGCGTAACCCTCTTCAAGGTTCTCGCAGCACTGGCCATGACGAGCCGGCCAGTCGCAGTAGACCCAGTGAAGCTGATTTTATCAGGGCCCGGATGCGCCGTAAGCCACGGACCAAGCTTGTCGTCTCCGCTCAACACCTGAAGAACACCGGGTGGAAATATGCGCTGTCCCAATTCCCCGAGCTTGAGATTGCAATAAGGAGTGAACGGTGACGGCTTGATAATGATGGGATTTCCCGTCACCAACGACGGCGCGATCTTACCACAGGCGAGATGAATAGGGAAATTCCAGGGAACGATTCCAACTGCAACACCAAGGGGTGTGTATCGAACAATCACTTGCTTTTCAGAGTCTTCCTTTGCTGTCTCCTCGCTCAATTCGATGCTTGCGAGTTCCCTCATCCACTGTACCCCAACTTGAATCTCTTGGACTGCGAACCGTATCTATATGTCCTGGGATTAGACGGCATTGTATATCATTGAAATCTCGACTTAGCGCACCGGCTTTCCCTGCTCCTGGGTCAGGAGCTTGGCGAAATCATTTGTATGTTCCTCAAGCCGGTCGGCGAATTCCAGGACCGCTTTCTTTCGTTCTTCCCACGGCGTTTTTGACCATGTTTCGAAAGCATCTTTGGCTGCTGCTACAGCGTCATCGACGTCCTTAAGCGTCGATACTGGCACGTCGGGGTTGGCCTTTCCGGTCGCTGGGTTGATACCGTGTCTTGTCGTTTCGGTTTTTGTTGATTTTCCGTTAATGGTATTGTAAAAGCCGCTGAAGACATCAAAGTCTTGGTCGACTGTTTGGGAGCCCATACTGATTCGTCAATTCTGTGGTAGTACGATGAGGCCACTTCTTGTAGGGGAAGTTCGATCTCTGAAACGAAGAGACAGGAAAATAGGGAGAGTGGCCGAAGACTTGTGTCTGCACCTTTGTCCAGCGTATATGCTCGTGGCGAAGCGACGAGTGTTAGGTCTAATATACAAAAAGCCGAAGATCCGAAAACCGAGCTCCGTGCTATGTAGATGTCGACTGACCCATGTAATATCCAAGTTCGTGATAGTGGCGACTATAGTTATACTTCCCGCTATGGGAATTAGGACCCAAGAAATTCAGGGAAAAGATCCATCACGCAGTTGTAGGCAGTCGATTGAGCCTGTTGGGGGAGACACGCTATATGGTGCCTTGAATACCGCAGCTACGGGAAGCACAAGGGCATTCCCCATGTCCTCTTAAAGCAATGCAAAGATCCCAACAGAGTGCCGCTCAGAAATGGTCCACACCGTGCTTTTCAATCCTTCTATCCTTTAGTTGCGGTGAGTTTCCTGCCTACAGCTTCAATCTCGTCCCCGATTTCTCTGTGTCCACCATCAGCAGACAGCTTTTGAGGGAGGGAATTTGCAAATTTACTGGCCTTTAAGAAGTCGGTTCTTCTCCGCAAACCTTTTTGTAGGTGCACCTTCAACAAATCTCTCTGCAACGGCTTCAGCTGCATCGTACAGTGCCAGGAGTCTCCTGCTCCGCAACGGAGCAGTCATCAGTCTCTTGTGCTCCATCATTGAGTGGCCGTCGTTGATCGCCAGCTGTTCCTCCAAAAACTGAATGACTCGGTGGTGGAATCCCTCGTGCTCAAAGACGCGGTTGACCATGCCCCACTGGACCAGCTCATCCACTGTCACCTGGCGACCGAGCATGAGAATGTCATTTGCTCGATGCACGCCAACGCTTTCGGGGAAGCTGGTTGCACTTCCAAACTCGGGAACTAGCGCTAGAGCAGAGAATGGGCATTGCAGCCAAGTGGTGGTCGATGCCAACACGATATCGGCTACTCCTTGGAACCAAGCGGCCCCTCCACCGACAGCAGGCCCGTTCATCGCGAGGACAAGTACCTTGCGGTGGTGGATCATTGAGCTCACCAACTGGATGGATGGATTCAGTTTGTTAAGGATGTCAAGTTTTTTGACCGCGTCAGAGCTGTACTCGCGCGTACTCTCGCTCGCCTCGGCTAATGTACCCCCCCGATCAGTAAGTCGTCCTCAATCATGTAGGATTTCAGAGAGATTATCTACCCTTAACATCGGCTCCCGAGGAGAAGAATCTGCCGGCAGCAGTGATAACGGTCAGCACAGTGTGGGGATGGCTATTGAGGACGCGTAGAGCATGGATCGTGTCGAAAATGAGGTTTCCACCAAATGAGTTGAGGCTCTTTGGACGATTGAACTGCGGAAGCATCAGCAGTAGAATGGCAACGCCGGAGACGCTGTATTGCAATGCGGGATCTTGCGTTACCAATCATGTCTGCTCTTTTCCTTGCACCTGTGTAAAAGGGAGCCGTACCTTGATGATCCCAATCTTCCCCTTTATGTCAAACAGAATATCTGTATACTGATAAGTCGTCATATTGGAGTTTCAACACAATTCCAATAACCAGCTTGATGTAATAGTGATCACACAGAAGCATCTAAAAAATGATCTAATGTATCTGAAAGTCGGAAATCTCAACATCGCTATTCTTCAGGGATCTTGTGCGTCCGGACAACTTCGTAGTTCCGGAGGTCTCGGTGTGCTCCTGGGGGAACAACTATGCTGTAATATGCGCGACATGTGATCAAGACCACAATAAGAGGCACCTGGTCAAACGACCATTCGGGTAGCTTTTCTTAACCTGCACCGACCACGGAACCGGAGCTGTCGCTACCAAGGTAAACGGTTCCCTGGGGTCTACAAGCTGTACATGAGACAGGTCCGAGTCTGGACGAAAGTAGGCCTCGGTGCACCGACGGCTACGTATGTGACGGAGTTGAGACTTTACATAACTTCATGAATCTCTATCATGATCACTGGTACTCTTTTTGAACAGAAGTGCAGTCTTATGCTCCTATTGGCAAAATGCCTCGCCCGCCTCGCCCTCCTTTACAGGTCCCAGAAACCTATACCTCGCTCCCTCTCCGGCAAATCAAGGTCGATAATGTACCAGAGTCCGCTGCAACCGTGACTCCCGTGCTCTTGATTACTCTAAACAGACCACAACAACTCAATGCATTTACAGATATCATGCGAGAGGACCTGGAGCGCGTGTACGAGCTTGTAGATATTGATCCGCGGGTCAAGGCGGTAGTCCTGAGAGGCGCCGGCAAGAGCTTTTGCGCCGGGGCGGACCTTGAAATCGGATTTCCTGGTGTCAGAGAGCAAGATGGGACATTTCGGAGACCCAAGGTTGAACGCGATGTGGACCATCGAGACGGGTAAGACTTGGAAATAACAGAGAATAGCCTCTGCTAATACACAATAGCGGTGGAAGAGCAGCACTTGCAATTCACCATTGCTCCAAGCCGACCATTGCGGCCATACAAGGCTCCGCCGTCGGCGTTGGCATTACCATCACCTTACCCGCCTGTATACGAATCGCCTATGCGAAGAGCAAAGTCGGGTTTGTCTTCAGCAGAAGAGGGGTTGTCATGGAGGCATGCTCTAGCTACTTTCTCCCTCGGTTGATCGGCCACTCAAGAGCAATTCACCTAGCGACCACGGGGGCAGTACACAGCGCGGACCACGATCTACTCAAACCACTTTTCTCAGAGTTGTGTGGGACCCCCGAGGAAACCATCGCACGCGCGCTGGAGGTCGCTCAAGATATCGCGCGAAACACTTCCACGGTCTCGACAAAAATAATGTGCGAGCTCATATACCGAGGTCCCGACAGCGTGGAAGAAGCGCACCTACTGGATTCGCAGATGATATATGGTCTCTATGGGCGGAAGGACAACCTCGAGGGCGTGCAGAGCTTTCTGGAGAAGAGGCAGGCGAATTTTACGGGTCGAATGCCCCAGGATGCGCCGGATGGGTACCCCTGGTGGAAGCAAATCGATGTTGGCGACAAGCCTCTGGAGTACAGCGCCGAAAAGTCCAAGCTCTAGATCATAAATTCGGGGTAGATTAGCTGCCGCTGCAATCTTCGGAGTTCGGTGGTGTGGCAATTTAAGTATCTCAAGAGGATGTCCATGTTCCGAACAGTGACAAGGCTCCCGCAGTCGGACCCGAAAAGTTAAATCGGCGATGCTCTAGCAAGATCGCACAACTAACTGGGCGAGTGAAGGACCGTGGCGTTGTTTTCTGAGGGAGAAGAAATGCGGAGAACCGAACTTCAAGCTGCTTCCATGTGAACAATTCTATTGAATCCCTTTGATGAGCTGAGAGGAAAGCTTGGCCACAGTTACAAAATCAATGGACGTCAGGAAATGTAATAAGACGACCTGGCTACTTTCACCAACCATTCCTTGTTTCTACAAAGCCTTCTCTCGAGCACTTACCTTTGATTTCCTAAGTACTATCTCGAGACGTGGAACTTCAGAGCTCTAGATATTTCGACAAAACACATGGCCGCCCACGTTTTCGAGCCTGCGCATGAGCCACTGTCGGAGTTGGGGAGGTACAGAATCCTATCCAGCACCGCCGGTATCAGGGTTTCTCCCCTATGTCTAGGTGCTTTGTCCATAGGGGATGCATGGCAAGCAGTATGGAGTCCTCCTTGTGTGCATTTGTTGATTGCCGGCAAATCATGCTAATGAAACTATCCGCGATAGATGCTGGGCAGCACGACCAAAGAGGCGTCGTTCAAGCTGCTCGACGCGTACTACGACACTGGCGGCAACTTCATTGACACTGCCGTAAGTACGAGGGTGATATGGGGCCGGTCCACTTTCTAAGCGCAACTTTTAGAATAATTACCAGGATGAACAGTCCGAGAGGTGGATCGGGGAATGGATGACAGAGAGGCAAAATCGAGACATGCTGGTATTAGCCACCAAGTAAGTCACGCTGCTGCCGCAGTGAACAACCAGAGGTAGCACCGGGACGTGATCGTTTACGCCGTTCGCCAGATTCACGTCACCATATCGTAGCCATCAACTTGGGAAAGCCCACACGGTCAACTACTCTGGCAACCATAGAAAGTCCCTCAACCTGTCGGTTACCGCCTCATTGGAGAAATTACAGACTAGCTATATCGACATCCTTTACCTGCACTGGTGGGTGAGTCACCTAGAAGGAAGTTGAGCCTTCTATGCCCTATCTCTGACAGTCTCCAGGATTGGAGCACCTCCATCGAAGAACTCATGGACAGCCTGCACATTTTAGTCGAGCAAGGAAAAGTTCTCTACCTGGGCGTCAGCGACACACCCGCCTGGATTGTCAGTGCCGCCAATATCTACGCCCGGGCGCACGGCAAGACGCCGTTCAGTGTCTACCAAGGCCGCTGGAACGTAATGCTTCGCGACCTCGAACGGGAAATCATCCCCATGGCACGCCACTTCGGTATGGCGCTGACCCCTTGGGACGTGATCGGCGGCGGCAAGTTTCAGTCCCAGACTCAAATCAAAGAACGTGAAGAGGCCGGCGAAGGCCTGCGGACCATGCTAGGTGCGGGCCAGTCACCACAAGAAGCCAAAATCAGTGCAGCGCTGGACCGTGTCGCACGACAGCATGGAATGACCAGCCTGGCTGCGGTTGCCCTCGCATACGTCATTCAGAAGGCGCCAAATGTCATCCCGATCATTGGTGGGCGCAAAATCGAGCACTTGCACGACAACATCAAGGCTTTGAGCCTGAAGCTGAGCGAGGAGGAAATGCAATATCTGGAGAGCCAGACCGAATTTGACGTGGGATTCCCGGGGAGCTTCATCGGCGAGAGTCCAGCAGCGACGGGGCGGAGTTCCCACATGGTGGCAGCGACCGCGCAAATTGCTTATCCCAGTCCGCCGAAGCCATTCGTCAAGCAGTAAACTAGGCATAATGCAGGCTAAATAACGACCAGCAGCTAAAGCCGAAGAGTGGCAGCTCTGTCCATGTTCACAAAGATCTCAGACCGGAGTGCAAGAGTGGCACACAGATGTGATTGGAGAGGCGCAACGAGGCTGGAGGTGTGTGGAGGAGCAACAATGCGGGTCTAAAACAATGTCTATAATTGGCTAACCGCAACTTTCCCAATTTGGTTAGAAAGGCATGGCACTCGTATTCTCTGCGCAGGTCTGTTCAGCTCTCCTTGGCTTCAAGTCCAGAACTGTTCAAATTCTGCATTCTATAGGACATATAATGAGGGGGCCTCCGGCCCCAGAGTTCTGAATCTGAGCTTGAAACTCTTCCTCCTCCAAGATAGCCACCTTCGGATGGTCGTTCTTTCGCTTTGAATGCTTTCCAAGGTCGAAGTCCAAGATGGAGAACGCGCAGCTCACCGATGATGCTCTTCCGTTGCTCCCAACTTCCGATTTACGACAGCGGTCGCAGTACGATGTTGGTGGCGGTGTACCGCCGCAACGCAATGAAAGGCTTCCTCCCGGTTACGAGCGATTGTCAAGCCTGCCATCTGATGAAAACCCATCTGAATGGAAGAACTCTTCTAAGTCTAGCAGGAGACAGAAACTAGGTGAGTCTCGTCGCTGCCCACAAGCCAATCAAAATCTCCACTACGTCTTCAAAGCCTAACTAGAAAATCCCACAAGTCTCCATGGCGAGTTCGGCCTCGTTGTCGACCATGGCGTCCCGGTTGTCGGTCCCCGATCCTTGGGACCATCAACTCGTCGAGACCGATACGAATGGGTCTTATCGACCAAGTACCACATGTCGGTTCAGAAGAGGCCCCCAACGTTGGAGAGTGTTCTTCAGCGGCCTGTGGCAACTGCTTGTCACCACCGCATTGTGTCTTTCCTTGTTTGGCCTTTTCTACGCCGAATCGCGCAAGCAAGTTCTGTGGCGGAAGGACAAGAATGTCTTCAACATCTTCAACATCGGCCTGTCCATGCTTCTTGGCATGGCTTTGAGCTCGGCGTTCAAAGGCTTTGCCCAGTCCCTTCGGTGGCAACTCTTGTCGACAAGGTATCTTTCTCTCGAGGACTTCGACAGAGTCATGCAGTGTGAAAGCCTGATCGCCACGACGCAATTGCTGTGGAGAGGCAGGGTCAAGGGTCGTTTGATGCCCAGTCGCATTCAATGGTATTGCGCCGCAGCTCTGAGCCTCAACCTGGGATTACAGGTTCTGGTGGCAACCCTCGGACTGTTTGCCGGCTTTGAACCGTCAGAAGAGTGGGTGAAGCTGACCGGTAATATCTCCCAGTCCCCGTATCCTTTGGCCGACATCACATGCTAACGCCTTGCTAGAGCGCAGGAACCTCATGGTCGCCGATTGGAATGCCAAAAACATTTATACGGGCCCATACGACTTGCGGGAATCAAGCATCATCTTGGCCGCTTTAAGCACGCGGCAGCAGCAAGCCGAGTCGAGCTCCAATGTTGTTCCCCTGCTCGGCTGGATTGGGTGGTATTTGTTAGAATGGGGTGACTGCGCAGATGGTGAACCCTGGAGATTTTGTGTTTGCGACAATGAGGACGAGTTGCCTTCAAGCCGTAAGGTATATCTAACGGACGGTGGGGAGCGTGCACAGCTCAGCAGCGAAAACTTGACCATCACTTCGGACCGCTCAGTTGCATCAAAGTCCGTGTGTCAACAGCATGCTGTCACCCAGTATTCACCTGGCACCTTATCATTCAAGAACAGTTCTACCAACACCATTGCATCGATTCCCTGGAATCTGACTTCGAACGAGTCGAGATTGACCTGGGCGACGTGGGGCGATGACGCCGCTTACGGGCTCCGATCTAGCAGAGTCATGGCATTCTACAATGACGGAGACATCAGGCGCCTATTCGATTGCAACAGTACGGTTTTCGAGGTAAACCTGCCTGCTTGGTACAGCGAGCCCGACGAAGGACTCAAGCTCCCCGATGAGATTGCACGGGGTTTCGCCGGGGCGATTTCTTGGGGAGGCACAGTATTTGCCGGTGACCCCAAGTGGTATATCCAGTATCCAGGCAGGGCTGCGGGGTCTGGCGCCACGAGGAACTTGGACATAGGCGGCGTCCTGGAGGGGAAATACTCCTCAGAGGAGATTGAAGCCATGGTGTCGCTGTTCTCCTTGGGTGCCCTTGCCGCCTTCGACAGATATGGTCCACGGATCGCCGTCCCTGGGTACCCGCCAGTCCCAGCAGAATACCTCAAGGTCAAATGGAAGCGGACCGCAGTCACACTGGCGAGCATACCCGCGACCCAGCTGCTTCTTCTTTGCATCGTCGCCTACGTCTCGTGTCACGCGGTCATCAAAGACACCAGCTACCTCGCGGCGGCTCATCTCTTGCGGCCGATCGTGGAGAGACTCGGGCCTCACGGGTGCATCCTCTCTGGCGAAGACATGGCGCGCTATCTAGGCAACTGTCCTGTCGTGTACGGCGTTCGACCCGGCTCCGCAAAGACCTCAGAGGAGCCGGTGTATCATGTCGACATTATTCTAGCGTCAGAGGGGATCGAAACGGACGCAGACAGCATTTGGAAGCCTGGGATGAGGATGCCGAAAGGCTTGTACGATGGGACGGGAAAGTATGACTGATTGCGCGATGCCGTGTCGACGTCTTTTGTGGAGGTAGTTCACCACCGGCAAAGCAGGTTGAGTTGTGAGATTACCCCTGAGAATGTGGAATGCTGCTCGATGTTTGCCCTGCCAGATCCTTCACTCTCCTTCTCCAGTGTTGCTTCCTTGCATATCTACCCAAAACCGATAGTGAGGCGTCACTTGCTGGAATGGCGAAGTATATTGTAGGTCCATGAAGCCGAGTTCGGCCTCGCCTCTACGGAGGAGTCGGTCACAAACAGGAAACAACTAAATCAATATTGCCAACCCTAGAGCCTCAAGTTGGAAAGAAAACTACAATGATTCGGCCGACATCGCACTTGAGCTTAGTGCCTCCAAGCCTGCATTCCTTACGAGCATCACTAGTCACACCTGGCGGCATATGTTGGGCGGCAATTCGGTAGGCTTCTCTAGTTAGCGATTTGTTTGCATGCCCCGACCCGATTATTCATTTCGCGAACCATACAATCTACATCTCGAGCGTGCTTCGGACACTGTGCTATCGCTGAGGAATGAGAGGCGATCGTAATATAGGTGGCGGTATACATCTAAAGGATTATGCCATCGTTACCTCACGTCAACCATGCACCCAAAAAAGGAAAGTGCCATATAAAGTGTCTGCAGCGGGACTCTATGGATATACTCAGCGTCACAGAGCCCGCGGATCGGGATTCTTTCCGCCCACAGCATTGCCTGCAGAGAGAGCCTTGTCTTCAGGATAATCCTTTCATTTTCCACAGCCAAACCAGGATTTGTTGAGACGAGTAGGGTTTCTGAGGCGTCTGATGTACCGTGGTCCCCCTGAAGTTGAACTTTGTCCGTGGACGTGCCGAGAGGGGAGGAAATGCGGCATTCCTACACATTGCATTCGGATCGGATGCCCTCCCTCGAGACCTTTTGGCCGAGTGTTACCGTGAACTCTCGCACAAAACCGCATACGACGGCCAAATAGATCCGCCGCAGCCGGTAGCGAAGTGACTTGAAAGCGCTCTGCTTACAGAATCGGCGCAACAAGGCATACCATGTCAACCATCGCCATTTGCTTTGAGACAAATGAGAGAATTCAGACCGGCGGTCGAGTGAAATCCAGGGTCGTTGTATCTGTGCCACAGAGGTCGTGCGGCTGGTAGTCAAGGTGTACGAAGAAATCGATATGTGACCGCCCGTCACTGAATGAGTATTTGATAATGGAAAAAGGGTAACCCGGCTGACCCAAGCCGTGGAGTGAGACAGAGAGAAATCAAGCCCGAATGGCCACCAGGAATAGGCGCGGATAGCGCAAGCAGACCTTCCCATCAACGAGCAACGGATACGCCTGCTCTATTCGTTTCAGATATGCGTCGAGGAATGCCTCTCTCTCCGGAGCTGAAAGGGGGTCGACGTAGGGTCTCAGACCTGTTCCTTTGACCCACTCCACGATGGCCTTGTGGTCTTGCAGGATGTGATAATATTCTGTATGCCAGACGTTGATATCCGAACACAAAGGCTTCAAGTGATCGTAGAGCTCCTGAGGTGACTGAAATGGTCTGCGAGCTGGTTGCAGGCGCCTCAGGGTGTCGGACCACGGACCCTCATCGGCAACCTCGCGCATAGCAACATGGGAAGGCTCTGAAAAGTTGTCGGGTACCTGGAAGGCGAAGACGCCGCCAGACTTCATCTTTTTGATTAGGTCGGTGAATATTGGAATGCGCTCTTCATAAGGAATCCATTGGTACACGGCATTGGAGTAAAGCAGGTCGGCGGGTTCGTCCTGCTTGAAGGAACTCAAATCGCTGAGGATAAACTCGAGATCGGGCAGCCTCTTTCGCGCCTTTTCGATCATGTCTGGGGATGAGTCGAGACCGACGACGTGCGCTTGGGGGAATTGCCTCCAGAGAACCTCTGTCGAATTGCCCGGTCCGCAGCCCAGATCGACCACGCGTTTTGGGGCCGTCAAAGGCACCTGTGCAAGAAGGTCCCTTGCTGGACGAGTGCGCTCGGATTCAAACTTCAGATACTGAGCCGCGCTCCAGTCTTTAGCCTCCATTGCAACTCCTGACAAGCGGAACGATCGACGACTCGCAGGTTGAAATAGATATTTACTCTCGTTCAGGAAGGGCTGTTGTGGGGAGTGTGTGTTGCGAACGCGTCTATGCACTGCTGTTGTCGCCTGCGACCAAAGAGACCTGCGGACAGCGCTCATACTCGGTGTTGGATCTCGCTCTCAATGTCGCTCCTCGTCAGTACGCTCGCCATTGTTAATATGGGAGTGATGAGTTGTTGGGCTTGCGCGGTTTTTCATTGATTGTGCCAACGGCTGCTGGGCCGATGTCGGCATCGGTGCGACACGCCATACGAGGGCGAGGATGGCGGCGTTGTGGAGGATGTGGTGAAGGGCGTGGCGCAGGCGGAGGGCGCAGGCCGCTTACGAGCGCGTGCTTCGCTTGTCAGTCTCACTCTCTCGAGCACAACTGCTTGACTCCATCTCTCTCACCAAGAGATCCACCATCACCAGCTGCGTCGTTCGTTAGCGGGCAAACTCCGCATCATCCGGGGAAGTCTGGATGCCAATCCATGGCCTTGCGATACCCTCGGCTCAATGCTGAAGGCTGAGGGCATCTAAGCGGCCATATAACCGAGAATGTCTCCCCGGTATTTGTCGTCTTCTCCGCATCAAAGCCACCGACTTGTTGACAATTCCCAGCTTGTGTTTCCCCAGGGGGACGACTTTCTCCGATGTCTACTACTGCACTCACATCCGATGGCCGACCTGTCAAGAAGCGACGCGCTCCGATCGCGTGCACCGCGTGCCATGCCAGAAAAGTCCGCTGCAATGTTGTCCTTGTCGGCCAGCCTTGCTCCAACTGCCAGCAAGACCAGACTGAATGTGCGTTGCACGTTTCTGCGAGAGGTAAACACAAACGGCGAAAGCTGAACAAAAGTGTACACGCCCGCTCTGTTACGCCTGCTTCGTTGTCTTCAGCTGAGCCGACTACGGATGCCCAAAATCCCCCCACAGCCACCACTGATCTTGCAGACCCAAACCACTCGATCAGTCCACCATCAGAACCTCCATCGCGGGATGAGTATGAGTCCAAGGCAAATGTGGAAGCTTACAGGAATATTGTCGATGCGGTTGAGACGAGCGGAGCCAAGGTGCCGCTTTATGTCGGTAGGTTGCACGGCGTCTATGCTTCGAACGAGTGAAAGCGCAGCTAAGCAGAAGGCTTCAGGCGAGCTTCAATCGCTTCGATTCATATTCCATGTCGCGAGAGACAAGAGCATCGCCTCCAAGGCTCATTACCTAGTCCCTCAGCCCAAGAGGCGGCAATTATCACCAGAAGAATACGCGTGCTTACAGGCCAAGGGGGCATTCTCAACCGAGTCGGATGATCTGAGGGACGAGCTCCTTGGCTTGTTTTTTGATTATGTCTATCCAATCTTGCCGATTGTTGACCCCTACGATTTTCGTCGTCGATACGAGGCCGGCGGTGTCCAAAGCATCAGTCCGCTCTTGCTCCAGAGCATGTTTCTTGCTGCAAGCAATGTAAGCATTTTGACCAATGCACATACAACCACAAGTCCTCAGTTCAAGTTTTCTAGTTTATCTCGACAGATGGGCTGAAAAGGTCGGGGTGGCCGTCGCTCATGCACATGAAGAGAAGATTCTATGAGAGAGCCAAGGTGATTGAATACCTTGTCTAACACATCAGGCGATGGAGCTGATCTGCTTCGAACAGGCACTCTATGACTTCGAGTACGAAACGGACAAGATATGCCTGATCCAATCAGTCTTACTGCTTGGCTATTGGCTGGGACAAGCCCACGACAGGACCGACAGCTGGCATTGGGTGGGCGTAGCAATCAGCCTGAGCCAGAGTGTCGGCCTCCACCGCGATCCGGGCTTTTCAGACGTGCCCCCGTCTCAACGCAGCTTATGGAGAAGAATCTGGTGGTGTTGCTTCTACCGGGACAGATGCATCGCGTTGGGAATGGGACGGGCGTTCCGCATCAACGCCAAAGACTGTGACGTGAAGGAGCTTACACTCGAAGACTTAGTGCACCCCACGGCCGACCCTTCATCATCGGCGTCCAGCTCATTCCTAAACTTGAATGCGGAAAGCGCAGCCATAGTGGCCAAGTGCAACAGCTACGCCCCCGTATTCCTGGAGATTGTCAGATTAAGTCAGATCCTGGGCGAAGTGCTTGCGTCGGTGTACAGGCCACGGAGAGAGCCGATGTCCTGGAGCGCGGTGGAGTTGCTCGAAGACAAGCTCGCTCGCTGGCAAGTGGCCATGGACCCGCGGTGTCGAGTTGACACGCCGTTTACCGCTTTAAACGAGCCCATCGCCATGACATTGCACAAACACTACATTCAGATCCTTCATCAGTGAGTTTGCTTCCCCCCTCTCCGTCGCCCTCTCCGTGCCGATCCTTTCACTCCTGATCTGGCACCATCGAAAGCTCACATTTTCTCTGTCTCCAGCGTCACGGTGGTCACCATGTACAAGCCCTTCGTTTTCCAAGACGGCTTGCTCCCGACCCGGCCTGAAAGCGACATCCGCGCACGGATCGCATGGGAAGGATGCCAGTTATCGGCATTCGCAGCAACAGACGGCTTCCGAAAACTCAGCGAGCTTGACCTCGTTCGGTTTTTACCTCCTGAAAGGCAAGGCACACAATTTCCTCCCCCTGGACCCCCTTTTCATATACCCTTGTCAATCGCTCTTCCGGTCTGTTGGCGAGCTTGATTATCTCCAATTATGTTTTCGATACACAAGAAGAGACCGTTCGTTAACACTTGCAGCAGTGTCACCATGCTCATCTCCATCATCGCGATTCTCTTCGTGGCAAAATGCCTGTCGACGGGCATGAAATGGCACCTGGCAAGCCAGAACCTCGACCTCGCCATGCTGGTCGTCCAGCAGCTACAGGAAAAGTACCTGGCCGCCCGGTTTATTTTTGCATACTACACGGCGGCGTTTGAGAAGGTGGCACCCTCCCAGAGACCGCTACTGGACGCCGCGTCGGCGTCGGCATCGACATCTTCCAACCTGCCGGCGGTTTCGTACTCCAATGCATTTCCGAACTTGGCAGCGGCTCCGACTACCGCCAATATTGCCACCGTGGACAATGTCCCGAGAATGTATGACAGAGGCGTCGACGGCCGCGGTGGCCCCAGCACCACCAGCCCGTTCAACGCAGTCGAGTCCTTTTCCTCGGGACAGGACGACCATCTAGGCAATTGGGCGGAGTGTTTCCCCGCGAGCATGGCTGCGGATTTTGATATCCTGTTCGGAGCGGAGGGGATCATGAGGGGGTTTGAGGAACTTGTTTGAGCAATACTGTTTGAGAGAGCACAAGGGCTGTGGACAAGTTGGAGGGATGTGACTGTTCTTGGTAGACGACGTCCTTTTGGCTGTGCTATGGATGATTCCGTCCATCTTGACAGGGATGGAATATTGCAAAGCACTCCATCGCTCATTCCCTACCTCGTACATTGTGTCTCGACAACCCAGATCCCTTGCTCTATAGCCCGTACACTTCCACGCGTGCCCGTCAGAGTTCACGACCCAGAGACAAGACTTGCTCTGTTTTTTCTCTTGTTCCCTCATAACCCCGCCGCTCCTACCAGCCCAGCCCAGAACAGCCCAGCCCAAGCTCGTCCTGGGCACGATCACGAAGCGCTATCACCCGGAAAACACGGCACGCTAGACCCTGTGCCGTCCGGCTCCCATGGCCGAAGGAAGCGTTTGTAGAGAAAAGTCATAACTCGGCACTCCTTAGTACCTCGCACCTTGTCACTCGCCCTTCGCCCCCTTCGGGCACAGTTCGCTTGGCCTCGGATGTCGAACTAGCTAACTGTTCGTATACCATGGACAGATACTCACTTATTATTACGAGACAATGTATCGTGATCGTGGGCAGAGCGTAATACATCCATACATACATACGTATATACATAGCTTAGGTAGGTACCTAGGAAGGTAAGCAAGCGTGTCGACTCAGCTGACAGTGACGGGGCCAGGCTGTACTCGGTACCGTGCGCCGTTTCGCGAGTTTCATTGTGTGTGAAGTGACCGCAACTGAGTCAGGATGGGTGACTTGTCAGGAGGATAGAGACCTTAGGCTGCCGTGTATCCATTCCTACGTACCTAGAACCTATCTATGTAGCCGCGTATGGACCTGGTTTAATGTGTAGGTAGGTAGTGTATGGACCCCTCCAGCTCACAAGGAAGGATCTCTGTTATTCCTTCTCCGCTCCACATCCGCATCCGTCCCGTGCATGCAACGCACCCCGTATTTTCCAATTCGTTGCTCCAGACTAATAAGCCACGATCCGTTCTTGGGCCTCGGTAGAAGAACAAAACCCAAAGACGGGGGTGGGCGTGATAATATGACGTTCTCCACGTTCCCCTTCCAGCCGGGAATGCGGGCTCAGTACAGAATATGAGTGGCTCCCTCATTCGAGCGTTTCCTTCAGCCGCGGTTATATGGCTATTGTCTGTCTGTCACCTTAGGATCGTCGTCAGCACCACTTACACCTCTACTAGTGGCAGCGAGACGTTCGAGAAAGAGGGGATACATGCTCGGTCGGGCTCAGTGACGCCCCCGTATCCAATCCTCGAATGACTTGTTTTGTGGTTCTGGAGGTTTTGCATACCACGCAACTTTTGGTCGAAAAAGTGTATATAACAGAGGACCCTCGAGGACGTCCGTGTCCCACCTGTTCGCCAGCTTGTGTGCTTCTCTTCGAGTAACTCCCTACCGAAGCGTCAGTGCAGAGAATTCAAGCCTGACGGATTTGATAATCACTCATTCCTAAGTGGAGAAGGCCTGTTGTGCTATAGTCCGCCCATACCGGTTACCTGCGCACCGGATTGGTCCATCTGTGGTCGATATATTCACGTCTCAGGGGCCCAAGGCGAGAAGAACTCTCTTCCAAATCTCGAGCCAGAAAGGCAATCCCTCTCGCCACGACTTTCAACCGCAAAACTACACAGGATGGCTCCAAAGAAACTACACATCGGGGTCTGCGGAGGCGGCATGGGAGGACTGACCGCAGCCATCGCATGTGTCCGAGCAGGAGCTAAAGTGACGCTCCTCGAGGCCGCCCGGGAGTTGGGCGAGATCGGGGCCGGCATCCAGATGTTCTCAAACGTGTCCCGAATCCTCATCCGGTGGGATGTGGACAAGATCATTGGCGACAACTTGGTTGCCGTGGATGAAATCAACACTTGGGGTTTGGACGACGAGTTGCTAGGCCGCTTCGATCCAAAGGAAGGACGCAAGCTCACCGGGTTTCCGCACTGGTTCGTCTATCCTCTCTGGCCCAACAGTCCTGCAGGTGGCACTCTATGCGGTCTATCCAAGTACGTACTGACAGTCTCAACTGCAGGGTCGTCCGTAGAGATCACCTCCACGCAGGGCTTACCGAGTGTGCCCGACGCAACGGGGTGGAGCTGATTGTCGGATCACGCGTCCAATCGCTCGAGGATACCAAGGACGGAGTCAAAGTCACGACGATCCATGGCGTTGAGCATACCTTTGACCTGCTCATCGGATCCGACGGCCTCAGATCGACTATTCGTCAGACCTTGTTTCCAGAAGCAGTCCCTAAAGCTGCGTCAACCGTCGCGGCTTTCCGTGGCGTGCTTTCTTACGAAGAAGTTTTTGCCAAAGTGCCCGAGGCAAGGATGTGGCTGAGAAATACGGCTGACGCCTGGATCGGGCCTCAAGGCTATATCCTCCTGTATCCCTTGACGGCGGGCCGTGAACTGAACGTGGTGGCGATGTTCCAGATGGACCGCGTCGTCACAAAGGCCGAGGAGATGGATATTGAAGAGTTCCGAAACCTGTATAAGGACTGGAGTCCATTTGCGCGCAAAGTCCTAGGGTTGCTCAAAAGCACCCAGATCTGGCCTTTGTTGGTGTTGCCTCCCATGAAGTCGTGGTCCAACGAGCACAAGAATGTTGTCCTCCTTGGAGATGCGGCTCACGGCATGCAGAACCATATGGTACGTCTCTTTCATCAGTTGATTGCAGAAATACTGATCGGGCATTTAGGCTCAAGGTGCCGCCACCGCCATGGAAGACGGGGTGTTCCTGGGGACAGTCATCTCCGAAGTGATTCGCGGGACCATTAGCCTCCCCACGGCCATCGAGCTATATGAGAAGAAGCGCATGCCTCGGGTTTGGACGAAACAGCAGGTATCTTTTGTGAACGGTACATTCAATATGGCCGGTGGGGAAGACGCAAAGAAGCGGAACAAGGCATCTCGAATCGAGGTTGCGTGTTCGGATCAGAACATCATTCAGCCCAACAGATCGCTGCCGCCGACATATAGAACCTGGCAACTGGCATTCAGCCCCGTCAGTGTGCCAGGCATCATGTATTTTGATGCTGAGGGAGACGCGGAGAACGCGGTCTGCGAGTATCTGCAGGAGACAACCCCGATGGACGAGCAGACGCTAGTGACCAAAGGCCTGTGGGACAAGTGGTGGGGGCTTGTCGACTACAACGGTGTCGAGGATGGGACTGGCAAGGCCAACGGTGTCCCGACTTGAGTAGCTGTGTACACACATGTACCCCGTAGGGGGAGGTGATTCAAAAGTATTGAACAAAGGAGGAATGGCAATTCGAGGGACAAGGATGAGGTATTGTTTTGGTTTAGTTTTGATCCCCTTTGGTTCCGGGGAGCCTCTGGGCGTCCCTTAGCGGGTGTTATGGTGGGCGTCCACGCCCAGCCAGTAGTCTGAATAGTTAAGCCCCGTTCCACTTAGGGCCCGTTGTTAGGCAGCTCAACAAGTTCGACAACCCCCGACGCCTGCCCAGTTGTGGCCCGCAGTGCCAATAATTGAAGCCCCCAAGGCCCCCAGTTAAGAATGGCACTAGGACTGACGGAGCGCATCCGGCCTCCCCACGCTCTGGCACAAATCTCATCACCAGATTCACCACCGTCACCACCCGTCAACACCATCCATCTGCGCTATCAGCCACCAATCAATCTATCTGCTGCCCCCAATCCTTATCCACCGCAATGGGAACCGAAGATCTCGAGTAGAAAAATCCCCCATCTACTCAGGAAAAATTCCCATGGCTTCGAAGGCACCCAGTCCTCCTCTGCCCGTTGTGCTGTGGCCGGCCTCCTCCTCGCGATGGTCCTGAAAGGCCGTCCTCCTCCATCACCTCTACCACTGCGACGTCTCACCATCTCTTCCGATCTCGTTTCCAATCAGCAGCCGCGATTCCTTCAGACACGGAACCATCTGCAGCCACGAAGACGCCCAGGACCAAAAAAGAACTTCCGAGATTTCCACCTGCAGCGTAGATCCGTCGCCGGTTTCTCGTCTGCAGCTTTCCCACCATCTCCGGCCCCGTCTCCATCACTATCGCCAACACCACCACCACCAACACCGTCTTCATTCTTAATCCCCCTTCTTCCCTCCGCATCTTGCCGACCTCCTCGACCTCCTTCTTCCTCTACATCTGTACGGTCCTATTGTTCCCAGCACTCCCACAGACACCCAGCCGACCTAGAAGAAGACGAAGACAAGGAAGATCTACGCACGATGCCTTCAGGTGGGTAACCTTTTGCTCGCGGTTCCACTCGTTCGAGGATGATGATGAGCATGTCAACGGTCTCTTACCAAAGAGCATACTGTGGCTTTCCCCTAACATGACCGTAATGCACAACCTTATCACCTCGTCTCCCCCTTGTTTCACAGAAGGGCTGCACCTCGCCGCAGGAGGCATTGCTATCAATCCACCTCCTCAACACTTTTTCCTACCTTCGAACACCCGAATCACGTGCCATACTCTCCTACGTCACTCTATCATTTTGAACACCGAGAAACCCCCGCTAACGACAAAGTTCCCAGTACCAGACTCGAGCAGTGATGCCTACACCAAGGCCTTCAACAACAACAGCTTATGGCGCCGCTCCCTGGCCGAAACCGAGCCCGAGCTCTTCGAGTCCATGGCCAAAGGCCAATCCCCGCAGATTCTTTGGATTGGATGTGCCGACTCGCGCTGCCCAGAGACCACCATCCTGGGCCTGAAGCCCGGTGAAATATTTTGCCACCGCAACATCGCCAACATCCTGGTCAACACAGACATCAACTCCCTCTCGGTCATTCAATATGCCGTCCAATACCTGAAGGTCAAGCACATCATCATCTGCGGCCACACCTCTTGCGGTGGTATTGCGGCGGCCTTGGGGAACAAGAAACTCGGCCTAATCGACACCTGGCTTATGCCTCTGCGGGCGATTCGCCAAGAAAACCTGCCTCTCCTAAACAGCTTGGACGAGACGCAGCGGGGCTTGAAAATGGTCGAGTTGAACGTCCGTGCCGGGGTCAAAGTGCTCCTGGCCAACCCCATCGTCCTAGACGCCATGGATGAACGCGGCCTCCAAGTCCATGCGCTCATCTACAATGTCGGGACCGGCGAGTTGCGTGAGTTGGATATCGAGGAGGATGAAGAAGTCGTCAAGAGCCGCGTCACCGCGTTCAAGACCGAAGATTAGGGAGGAGCGACAACTACGTTCGCCGGGATTGGAGGACAGGAATGGACTTTTCGTAGAACTGTATTTCGACCAACTATATTGTAGCCAACAGCACGTGGCTGCATTGGGACATTGCCTCGAAACACGCGAGGTGGGAATGTGTAGAGGTCAATGGGAGGAGTAACTGTGATGGACGACTTGCGTCTGTCAAGTCAGCTTAGTCTGGAACTTGGTGTCCCGTCCACATGCTGGCGTATTTGGTGTGCCTCTCTCTTCCGACCTCCCTTTCCTGGCGGAGAGCGAGTTGATACTCCGGCAGCCCGACTATCCACGCACCCGGACAACAGTGCTCTATCTCTCTGCCATAGGCTCGGCCGGCTCCGGCCTTGGGACTTTCATTGGGATGAGCTCAGGCCACCAACCGTACCAGAACATTTACATCCCTCCTCGCTACTTCGGCAAGCACAGCAAGGAAGGGGTGAGGAGGAATGGACGTGTCGAGCGTTTTGCCTTGATCGAGCTCCGTATATGCGTTCTCGCCATGCGCAGGAACTTTTGATCGGGTCATGAATTGCGTACGCATCGTCCTGTCCTGGTTCAGCTCGGGTTGCCGTGAATATCGCGACAGGGGGACAGGGGTGAAAGGACGAGTCTGATGCTGTCTTCGTTTCCCCCCAGCCCTGGTATGTAGGTCCTGGCCCGACCGCTCTATAGCGGGACTTTTGTCGGGAGTTGAGAGATCGCAATCCAGCAAGTTTCAGATGAGGTTGTATAGGCTGCTTGTCGTCGAACGACCTACCTGCCACGTGAGTGGAGGTTAAATGCGTGGTATTGTCCTAGAGGACAAAAGAGGAACAGATTCGATGTTCCTGGGGTTTGCTCACCTATGCATGGCCACAAAGAAACGCCGTGATCAGTTGATTCAGCCACGTAGATCTCTTTGTCCCCATCAACCGTCCAAAACCAGAACACGGATACAATCATGACCCCTTATTTGCCTGCAATCCTGGATGCCGCTTTGTGCTGGAAGGGCCAAGTGCAGAACAATGCTAGCGGCCATGGGTTTGTGACACGGGACATGACTTCGTCTCGCAAAGGCTTGGACAAGAGACAGAACCAAATGTTTGAGGGACAGGAGGCGAGCATGGAATATAGATAGATACTCTTGCTTGTCCTTTCACCCAATATTTCTCATTGTACCTCTTCCACGCCGGATAAAAGAATTGATCCGTTCGTATATGACGCCGTCCCAGAGAAAGCGAGGTTGACTCTCTACTCCGCGCCGTCATTGGCGTCAGCCTCAGCCTCAGCATTGGCCCTCGCCCGCCTTTTCTGCTTCCTCCTGTCCCGCCGTTCATTCTTCCGTTCCAGCCGTTCACGCAGCTCCCGCTGTCTCCTCATCCCTCTGAGATGTTCCAACACCTGAGCGAGCGGCGTCGGCGTCGTGTGGACGGGCGGCGGGGGCTCTCGGGCCTGGGTCAGCGTCGCGCTCCAGCCGTCCTTCTCCGCGGCGGCGATGGCGACCTCGAAGGGGTCGACGATGCTGACTTGCGTAAATCCGCGCAGCTCGGAGAGCTTGTTGAGCAGCGCCTCGCGCCACTCCAGGACCTCCGCCTGCCGCTCCTCGGTCAGCCGCCGGGACGCCTGGACCACGTCCCAGTTGGAGAAGTCGAGGATGAGGCCGTCCAGCCGGTGGCGGTGCCGCAGCCACGAGAAGAACCGCTGCCACTGTTCCTCGTGGCAGAGATCTAGCGTGGAGATGATCTCGCAGTCGAGATCCCACCCGGACCTCATGCTGACGCACAGCATGCGGAGGTTGTGGAAGTTCTGGCTGCCGATGTGCGTCGTCCACCACCGGCAGTTCTCCGCGTCCTTGAAATGGAAGATGTAGCGGCCGTAGACCAACCTGCTGCCGGCGTCGCGGAACTCCTTGTTGACCCGCATGGCGCGCAGGTCCACGTTGTCTTGCTCGACCAAGTTCGCAGAGCCCGTTCTGATATAGCCGGCCAGCTTCCCTTGTTGGTAGTAAGGCCTGATGACGTCGCCCTCGTGTGGTTTGAGAGCGAAGATATGTCCCAAGAAGAGATCCAGTGTTTCTTGCTTTGCTCTGATCGCTTTCCAGAAGCGAAACGCCGCGGGTCCGGGCGAGGGTTCGACATCTTGCTGTGTAGCTATGGGCTGCGACACCTCCATGGCGTTGTTGTCGGCCATGAGGATGAGAAGTTTGGGACCAGGGATCTCTAGTCCAACTATTAGAGACAGGCTTCACGGCCTTGTTTGACTCGGGGGGTGTTGTGATGGAGAGAGCTGGGAAGATGGCATGCGACCCTCGCACCAAGCGCCACCTGCCTTCATATCTGTCCTGCTCCAAGGGCTGACGGTTGGACCGCTTTGTTGAGGCCGTCGCTCATCTTCTCCAGTCGATGTCGGAACAAAGGCAGACTTGCTTTGCCTGACGCAAACGGTAGAGCGTAGAGCCAGTTTTGACGTCTCCGAGTGTAGTGATCCGTGCATTCTCCGGACAAAGGCTCTCCGCATGAGGCAGTGAAAGGAACACTATCCCACCTCTGAACGGAGTGTTGCGCCTTCGTTGTCGTCAGCGACAGCCATCCAAAGAGGCTAAATGGGAAGCCATCTTGGAGACCTGCTGAGAGGAAGAGAGAGGAGCTGATGATAGCATCTTGCCATAACGAAATATATATATCTAAGAGCGTGGTTGAATAAATTTGGCCTCGGGCGTGTTGGGAAAGAATGGCGAGAGATCTGTAGTTGTTCTCTCTCTCCCTCACAGCCGACATCTGGTCCTGTCCAGCAAATTCACTCTCAGTTGCGGAAAGTCCTGAACGCTTCTGCCACGGGCATGCCTCCCAACACAGCCTCTTTAACCTTGTCATCGGAGGCCACCAGCTTCGGCATGAGCGACAGGGTTTCGTCGAGCAGTTCCAGAGGGATGACCACCACTCCTTCCAGTGGATCACAGAAGATGATATCGCCCTAACATTGTGGGAGTCAGTGAAGGCAGGGAGATCAAAGCGGGCGATGAGACACCTCGTCACTTACCGGGGAAACGTCGACGCCGGTTATAGATATCCGGACGTTGCGAGCATAGGCGACCGACTCGGCATTCGTTCCGACCGTGGACTTGCCCAGGGCGAATATCTGAATGATCAGCACGGTTCGAAGGGAGAGGAAAAGAGCAAGGCCGTTGACACGATGTCCAAGGGATCACCCACCGGTAGCTGAGATTCCCTCAGCTCTGCCAAATCTCGGACACGGCCGCCGACGATACAGCCGGCAACGCCCCTGACCTTCATTCTTTGTGCCATGATGCCTCCCACGGCGGCACACTTCTGGTCTTGTGGCTGATCGATAACAACAATGGTGCCAGGTTCTGTCAGGTCCACCCAGTGACTCCCCTTGGGAATGGAATTTTCGGCTGGAGGGGTTGAATCTGGCGTGGCATTCTTCGACACCAGCTTCAAGGTACACGCCGGCGCAATCACTTTTTGCAGAGCATCTTTAGGGTCTCCGCTGGACTGCGGGAGGACAATAGGTACTTGGCCTTGGTCAACTGGAGGCCCGAACATGAGACCTTGTGGGAGGGAGGGAGCACACCGATATCAGCGAGATACCCCGCCCTCGCAACTTCTCCTGGCTTTGTTTTTTGGAGCTTCAGAAGCGCATCGGAGACCTTCTCGTGTCAGGATGGCCGACAAGACCATGTATTTAGCCGTACCTACATCACAGGGAGAATATTCGTGGAGTAGGCGAATCTTTTCTTGGAGCTCAGTCTTCCCAGTCGACATGACGACAGACCGGCGAGGAATTATCCTTAGCCACTGAATGGCAAAGGCTATAACGAGCCACTTTCGTATCGCTCAAATTATGTTCTCGATGTGGGAGGATGAGGACGCTCCAGCACAATGAGGAGAGAGTGGAAGACAGGATGAGCCCTTTATTTGACGAGATTGCACATGTCGGTGTCTGCCCGCTCCGAATTCGGAGTTCACGATTCCTACTCTATGGCTACACGCAGTCCAACACTTGCCATCTGCACAAATAGTCCTAGGGTTCCAAAATAGTTAAGCTTGGACTCACTTGCAACCGCGAGCTGCAGAAAGCCAGATAAGATCTGCAGGTGACCCAAAGACATCTAAAGATGGCCTTGATGGATTGCTCCAGGAAGCAAATGGCTGCTCCAGGATTCCAAGAAAAAGGGTGCAAATTTGTTCTCGCCTGAGATCCCCCGATCCCATACAGGAGATCAGTGAAACAGAGCAGAAGAAACATGCAAATGCTAGCCACCACGAAAAAGGATTGGGAGAGCAAAGAGAAGGATTTTGAGGATGGCCATTTTTTGTGCATTCGTCGCTGTCTGATTGCATCAGATCTTGGACATGTTGCGTTGGAAGCAAGCAGCTAGTTGCAAACAAGCTTGACTTTCGTCATGCATAGCCGTGCTGACCGATAGGCGTAATATGTACAATGCCTGTTTCCATAGGAACCCAATATGAACGATTTGTCTCGAAGTCTCAAGTAATGCGAGGCTCGGCCTAGAGAAGGAGTCAGTGACATCGAGTAATCTTCCTACCACTGCTTCACTAACCTTCCATCTGCTGTTTACTATATATGTTCGTTAGCATCTGTCCCGCAAGATGGGAACCAGAATATGGCGAACCTTCGAAGCCGACTGGGGCCGCCACGGCATCTGACTGTCCTCTTATTTTCCCAGTCAATCGGTGATCTCTTTCCATCACTGTAACAGTGAGCAATGTGACTGTGGCCTTGCTTCTTTCGTGCACCCACTTTGCCTATCCCACACATCTAATTGTCTTCTCGGTTGCTTGAAGTCGTTTGCGTAGTACCGGATCGAAGCGAGACCAGCACCCTATTGAATTGGTCAGTATGAAAGGTTCTTGTTCATGGATGAGAATGCAGTACTGTAACACCGAACATGCCAACCATGATCGCATACGGCAGAAGAGCTTCGAAAGGTACCCCCATGGCGAAGAGCTATCCCGTCAACTACGGGACAGTAGATTGACAACTGCCAAGGTCGAGGAAGGGAGATGCAGGGTTCACAGTCACAAAACGTCGTAAGCGAAGCTGTTCAGGGTGTCGGCGAGCGTGTATCTTTACTCTGTGTCGTGACAATTGCTGCGGGAAGCTGAGGGTGGGCGCAGGTCGAAAGAACGTATCGATGCGCTTTACCATATCCGGTCATAACTTGCGCTGCTTTAACAGACTTTGTCGATGAGGGTTGATTGTGGTCGGGCATTGCAGCGCGACTCATCAGAGTCCAGAACGAGCCTCAAATTATGGTAACACTGTTGAAAGCGTCCATTTGACGTGTAACAACTATCTCGAAACCCGATCAAGGCGACCATTCGAAGCCCTCTACGCTGTTGCGCTCAACCTAACGCGTCGAACAAATATTGAGCGACCAGGCGCCCCTCCATTCTCAGAATAACTGCTTGCGCCCAAGTGCCGATTTTGCTCAAGAAATCAAAAATGCTGGGTCGCATTGCGGTTTCAGTGGCGTGAATGAAAGAGATAGCAAAGCGACATTGGCGACGACAAAGAATAACAATACCTGTCTCGCGTGATGGTCATTCTCCCTTTGGGACCGACATAGGCAAGGACCGCAATACATACTACAATCCCTGACTGCTTCCATGCCGCCTCTAACCTCCGAAGAGCTGGACCAGCTAATTGGCACCGACCAGAAGACGCCCGACGATGAACAGTCACCCGCACAACTTTCAGCAGACGGGTCTCCCGAGCATGCTGGAGAGGCGTCAGAGGGAGAGCAAAATGCTTCAAATGAGGACCAAAAGAGGACAGTGGTGGCAGAACAAGTTAACCTGCACATTCCCAGTTCAGGAGATAGTGCCCTAGGCGAACAGCTACAAAGATCAGCAGAAGAGAGCCTTAGCGACAATGAAGGCAAGATCGAGGCCGATGCTGCCTCCACGTCCGCTCCGCAAACCGACTCGAAGGAAGATGTCACTATGACTGACGCCGACGCGGAAGACGAGGCCGAAGAGGATGAGGATAAAGACACTGCAGCTGACGATGAGGGCGGACAAGGCCAAGAGGGTGCAGAGGACGATGAAAGCGAAGAGGAGGAAGCTACAGGTGACAAAGAAGCTGTAGACGGAGAAGATGCGGAAGAACAAGATCAGGAAGAAACAAAGAGTGGAACAACAAGGGACGATAGCGAAGAAGACTCGGAAAGCAGCCAGGAAGAAGGTGAAGAATCATCAACATCAACATCAGCATCAGCATCAGCATCAGCATCAGAGTCAGCTTCTGGCTCTGAATCTGGCACGGAGTCGGAATCGCAGTCGGAATCGGAATCCAGCGAAGAAGACAACACGAGCGAGGCTGTCGACTCAAAACAAGACTGTGTGTTTTGCAACCAGACCGTAACCGCCGAAGGCGAGGATGGCGAGTTGAATTTGAGTTGCTCTGCCTGCGACAACCGAGCACACCAGAAATGCGCTCGAGAACACGACTCACTACGTGAAGGCGAGCCATCTCCTTGGCGATGTCCGCAGTGTCCTGTTGACAAACCCGTGCAATCAGAGTCACCCAAGGCTCGAAGCACACGATCCAAGAATTCGGCGCCCCGACTGGTTAGAGACTTGTTACCTGTGACGCGGGGCTTGCAAAAGCCGTATTCCCATTCGATCTTTGCGCAACCGGTGATTGGGGACGGTGACGACGGAGGGCGAGCTCTGAGGAAAAGGAAATCGCCAACTCAGGAGCCTGCGCCCGTCGAGAAGAGACGACGAAAAGCAACCGATCGAGCATTGGCGGCGGCGGCGACAAGCAAAGAGCTGGCAGAAAAGAAAGCAGCGATCGCGCACGCGACGAGGAGATCAAGTCAAATGAAGATCACAAAACCCACCGCGCGAATATTGCAGCATCGACCGTTCAACAAGCCGCCGCCTCACAAGTTCATCCTTGCTTTTCGTCTAGAACAACCCAAGATCGAAGCGATCTTGAGTAAGCCTCCTCGTCCCGGCAGGAGAAGAGAGAGACGATCTCAGCCGAAGAAGCCTCCGAAAATACCGCCGCCACCAATCTACCAACCTCCCGTTCCCAAATTCCCTGCTCTGCCAACACAACACCTCATCTTCCCTTCAGCTTTTATCGACCGAGAAGCCGAGCTCAACGCCAAACCGTACGGCGGCATCCTCCCCGAAGCGGATGCAGATACGAGTCGTTCACTGCCTCAACTCCGAGACCGCGAGATTTTCGAGATCGCAAGAAAAGAAGCAGAAGAAGAACGCCGCAGAGCATCTGCGGCAGCCGAGGCGGAGATCAACGGTGGAGCAGGGGATGCTACTGCAGCTTCGACCTCTACCACGAAACCCAGTAGGTCCACAGTCTCTGGGCCGCCGAGCAAGATCAAATGCATTCAGTTTGGAAAACATGTGATCGACACCTTCTATGCTGCCCCTTATCCGGAAGAATATTCACACGAAACCCGGTTGTTTATTTGTGAATTCTGCTTGAAATACCTACCATCTGAATTCGTGGCGTACAGGCATAAACTGAAATGTCCAGCGAAACACCCGCCAGGAGACGAGATATATCGTGATGGCACGGTGTCTGTCTGGGAAGTCGATGGAAGGAAAAAGACGGAATATTGCCAGTGCTTGTGCCTGATGGCGAAGATGTTTCTCGGATCAAAGACGCTGTACTATGACGTGGAACCCTTCTTGTTCTACATCCTGACGGAGTACGATGAGTTGGGATATCATTTCGTCGGATATTTCAGCAAGGAGAAGCGGCCTGCAAGTCAGAACAACGTCAGTTGCATCTTGGTGATGCCCATCCATCAACGCAAGGGTTACGCAACCTTTCTGATCGACTTCTCATACCTTCTCACCAAAATCGAAGGCAAAGAGGGATCTCCCGAGAAACCTCTCTCAGACATGGGTCTTACAGCCTACCGTTCGTACTGGGACCTCACCATCTCGCGCCATCTACTCGATCTAGGCCTCAAACCATTCTCCACAAAGATCCTGATGGCTCGAACGGGCATGACAGCTGACGATGTGATTCATTCCCTCGAACGCCTCTACGCATTTACCAAAGATCCATTGACAAAAACCTATGCAGTCAGGTATGACAGGAAGTTGTACCAGAGGATTGTGGACGATTATGAGGTAAAGAAACATCGAAAGTTGAAGCCGGACAATTTGATGTGGACACCCTACATTATGGGGCGGAGCGATCAGGCCACGTTAGATGGGCAGCCACTGCAAGCGCTGGCTCCCCGGGATGAGGAGGACGGAGACGAAGAAGACGAAGAAGTGGGCAGGGAGGTAGATGTGGACAGCGACGTGATGATGTCGAACGCTGCCAAGTCCATTGCTGGCGGCGATTTGCCAGAGACTGAGGTGGATGTGGAACGGCTTTCACGACGATCAAAATCAAAGTCTACAAGAGCGATGTCTCGGCCAGAATCGGTTGGGTTGCAGGAAGAGGACATGGATATCAAGGACCCTTCTCTCGTTGACGCACAAGGACACGTGGCGCCTGGTCCCCCTTCGACGGCGGCGCTCAGCGGTGCTGATGCAATGTCTTTGGCTACTACTCGTCCGGAGATCAAGGTCAATGGACTTGTCAATGGCGATTCTCTGAAGGAGGGCAATTCTCACCTTCAAGGCGAGACTGAAGATAAGGAGAGTGGCGGTAACGGGGACCACCATCAAGCAACCGGAGAGCAGCAAGAGCCAAACGGGATGGCTAAGGAGGGAAAGGAAGCAGAGGCTCTACTCTCAGGCTATGCCCTTGCCTTTCGCCAACATTCGATCCCACCTACACGTTTCCAAATCGATCCGCCAATCCCACCATCGATGCTTCGACAAAGGAGCACGAAGAAACGCAGCGCCGCCACTGCCTTTGGGTCTGCAAGCACGCCAAAGACGAAAGACGGGGAATTCCCTGCATTAACCGCCGCCGCTTCGGCCGTGGCAGTAAGGAGCTCACCCAGAAACGCCAATAACAACAACCACGCCGGGTTGAGTTTGTCGGGACCAGCACTTTCTGCCAACGGCAGCAGTGTTGCCAGCGCCGGAAGTGTATCTCCGAAAGGACCCGGAACGCCTGTCAGGCGGAGCGGGCGACGAAGTGGGCTTTCGACAATGACTATACTGACATCAGACGTGTCAGTCACGAACGACGACCAGGACGATGCACCTGCTGAGGAAGACGAGGATGCAGCACAAATGGAAAGTAAAGCGGAGGACGAAGAAGATGAAGAGGAACAGGAGCGGTCGTCGTCATCGAGCGGTGACGAGGAGGAAGACGAGCCGGAGGCATCGATAGCTACAGACGAAGAAGAGAGCGAAGAAGAGGAAGAGGATGCAGAAGAAGACGGGGATGATCCCAATGATGAAGACGCCGTCCCGGATGAGGAAGACGAGTCCGAGGATGAAGACGAGGACGATGACGGAGACCCCGACGCCGAGGTTGATCTAGCCGACGAGGATGAGGATGAGGATGAAGACGAGGACGAGGACGAGGGCGAAGACGAAGACGCCGAAGCAGAAGACGATGACTGATGGGAGCCGTTGTCGCGCCTCTTTCTTCACTCCTCCCTCGTTCCATCCTCGCTCTTTGCCCTGTCACGTCTCCAAAATACGCGACCTCCTCACTGGCGCAGGACATCCTGTTGTGCAACTCGTTCAGTTCACACGCCAAGAGAACGGCAGGACTGCCTAAGGAACCGGAACGCGCTGTACTCTCCAAGCTTCGCACTTTTGCAAAACAACGGGATAAAGTATCGCTAGATGCCTACATGGACGGCTAGGTGTGTACTTGAGCGGGAGTGGATATGTGGCTGGCGGGCAGAGTGGTATTCGATAGTTGCTACTTGCCGATTCTTTTTTGGGCCGAGAGCTTGCGTCGCAAGACACAGCTTCGAACCGCATTGTATAGCAGGGGAACCAGACCTGGCACTACTATTGGCGGCAGGTGGCAGCGGGATGGCAGCGGGATGGCAGCGGTGGGGAGTATGGTCACCACCTACCAAGATACCTACCTTAGATACCTATGTACCCATGTACCAGCACCTTTTTCTACCATTGGAGCGAGCCGCTCACCCACCCACACTGCCTACCTAGGTTCGGTAGGTACCTCTGTATATATGTGTGTATGTATTTATGTAATGTATGTTATGTTATGTATGCCATATACGCCATATATGTTGAAATTCCACAGCATCGATCGGGGCGGCCCATCGCGAATTCGATCGGCCACCCAAGCCGTGGAGTCGCTCTCAATCGATCCATCGCTCGATTTCATCGATCCGCCGAGAGCGAAGAAATCGAAGGAGCAGCGGAGGAAAAGAAGGCACCGCCGCCTCATACGAGAGGGGGATGTGTAGAAAGAAGAGCGGGAGGGAGGGAGGATGGCCGTCCCTTTTAAAAAGAGGGTCTGAGTTTGCGTCTGCTTGGTCCAGTCCATCATCCGGTTTCCCCCCTCCATATTGCATGTGTTCTGCGCTCCGGCTCAGTGCATGTCAGCTGGACTGTTGAAGACAATACAAACGCGGATACTTGGGGACAAGAGGAAAGGGATAACCATAACCAAGAGACAAAGCGACAAACGTTTGGTGCTCATATGGACCCAACGCCTCACACCCGTCTGGATCTAGCCTAGCTACATATCATGCCTTTTACCCATAGCCCTGGATAGAACAAAGAACAAGGAAGGAAAACCACTCCTCCACCCGGGCAGCAGTGCCAGCCAAGGCAGATACTACATAATACCTTGAGTCAAGTCGTCTTTGACTTGTCTCCTGGCTCTACTGCACCTCTTCGCGCCCTCTCCACACATCTCTCCACCATGATACCTCCTGCACGTCATACTATCCCATCCTGACCCCCTTTGCGGCGGAGGTTTATCTTTCAAATCCCTTCTATCATTCCTTTCCAGAAGCCAGTTACCAATTGACAGAGGCCTCGGAGTAAGTCACGACAAATTCAGGGATTCCGATGTAGGAGTTCCGTCCCATCCACACTCTCGATGTCTCTGCAATGCCCAGAGCATATACAATGACCACTGACTCTCCGCCCCCAACACCTAGGTTATCGAAGTTGAGTTAAATCGGCTTGGCGTCTCGCAAAGTTCTTCGTCTGCGCTATTGAGGCTTCTTTTGAGGCGTCTGACCTCCCATGTACTTGTGCACGTTGGTAGCCTCGACTGTCTGGCGCAGGAGTCCCTTGACAGTTTCCCAGGCTTGTCGAAGCGCGGGAGGAACGTTGGGATTCTGGACTTGCTGGTCGATTCTGGCCCCCATCTGAAGGAAAGCTCCCTGCACAAACTGGCTTTGAGAGTATCTTGCCCTCAAAAATACAGCGTAGATGCTCAACAGAATCCAAGAGCCCTTGCTGAACGTCAAGGCGGACAAGAACAGGCGGAACCAGAGGAGAATCTCAAGCAATGCGACCAACATCATGGAGCCGTCGTAGTATTCTTTGACAAACCGGCCGATGGAGTTGGCGAGAGGAGACTGAGAGGCCTTGGAGGCACTTGGTGAAGTAGGCGTGCTTGATGGAGCGGCTTTGGGCGGCTGAAAGGTGGGGATAATGACCGTGCGAGTGTAGGTCGCAACGTGGAAGACCGAATAGACTGTGAAAGGGAGTAGGGCCAATGGCACCTGCCTCGCGAACAACCAGACCAAGCTTATGACTGTGCATATCACATTAGACTCGTGATTGATCAGCTTGTCCCCGAGGACCAACTCACGCAGATATTGCACATTCTCATCCGAGAGCAAGAGGTAGACCGTCGAGCCGATCTTGGCGCCAGGCTTCACACGAGCACGATAAGCCTTGAAAACCACAATACCGTAGGTGGCAACCGCTGAGATGAAAGCTAGGCGATATGTGACCTGCGCCCATCTGGAGTAGTAGTTGAAAGTGAGGTAGGAGAGGCTGTATCGGATGACCGACAGAAGGAGGGTAAAGTGGCCGCAAAACCAGGCGCTGGACAGCAAGTGTTAGCACAAACTCACAAGCCTCCTCTTTCTTCGCTCCGAAAGTGAAGCTCCAGGGTATTCTCACAATTGAAGTGTTGTAGCGACCTTTGCCAGGCGCTCACCCAAGGAGGCATCAGCAGGAGGTGGGGGTGCCATATTGTCCAATCTTTGCAAACTCAAAATCCAGCTGATAGAGGGGCGGTCAAGCTACCGGGAAGCAGGACTCGTAGGTGATGTGTCGCTCAGAGGGACCGAGCTGCAGGGAGGAAGGACTGGGAGGAGGAGCAGCTGGAAAAGAGAAAGGCACTCGGAGGGGAGGGCGACACGGGGGGGTAGAAGGCGGCTGTGGACGGTAGGAGGGTCGATTGAGAGAGCAGGAAGTTGGCGAGGATGTAGGCGAGGATGTAGACTCGATGTGTAGCAGAGGTGGCTTCTGCTTGGAGCCGCTGCCTTGTGGGCGCTTTTTGGGTTTGTGGGTTTTGCAAATGATGTCAAGCCCGAACCTCGCAAGCTGCAAGCGCCACACCCACACCACCTCAACCACAGTTGCACCACTGCGTGCGACTGGTGCCATCGGCAATCCAGCCATCCATCACCATACCGACCCCTCCCTACGGACCTACCGAGCTACACTCCGAGTGCTGTGACACTCTGTGCCCAGCCCATGGGCCTTACCGAAAACGCACACCTCCCTAGTGGTATACATCGACTCCACGGTGGTCTTCAAATCAACACTTTTCTGCTGGAGCTAGCACACAACTACATAGGTACAGAGGAAGCTCGCCAGTTGGTAGTTGGAAAGAATGAAATTGAAGAAAGTCGTCCCAGCTGGCGAAGAAACCCTATGACTTCCCCTCCCGCTCAACTATCTCTCCGTTCCCAAACAAGACACGAAGGTGCTAAGGAAATATACATGATTGTTGGGTAGATGAAGGGCCCCTATCCCTCCATTCAGCCCAACCAAATTGGGGATTGTCTGTCCATCTTGGGTCCTGGACGCTGTGCTGCAATCGATCCCTTGTATTAAGCACAATCCAGGATGTTCTCGCCCTCCCATCTCCTCCCACAGCTTCTTCTGCACGGGTATGTTTTGATTAGAACGCCACAACAGCCCCAGTCTGTTGCTTGCTGGAGAACAAATACCAAACAAGTCGTTCTCGAAAAAAAGAAAGAAGGTTGGTCGGAATCGAGGATATCACCGTCATCGTTTTCGTCGCTGAGTGGAACTGGAAACGCTAGGAAAAAGAAGGCTGAGCTGGATGAGATGACCGCGACATCGCTGGCGACGTCTATCGGAGCGAGAATCCCTTCCGCTTGCCTTCTTTCTCAATTGGCCGGCCCTGCTCGATCCGTGCCTTCTTCTCCTCGAGCTCCGCTCGCTGTCGTTCCAGTTGTTCCTTCATTTCACGGTGGCGGGCGAACAATTCCTCCTCACTTTGTTGCAGTTTGCTCTCCTTCTCCTGTACCTTTTGCTGGAACACCATCTTCATTTCGGCTTCCATCTTGGCGAGCTTCTGTTCGTGAAGCGTTCTCTCCTCTTCTTGCTTCACTGCCGGATTGACCTCCTTGAACACACTAGGGTCTTGCGACACGCCCATCTGGATCAGTTTGTCCGACCGGTAGTTCTCGTAGAGTGCATTGTTAGTGTGCTCCTTGAGTTCTTCCATGTGTGTTCGGATCAACATCTGTCGCAACTTGACAAAGTCACAGTGTTCTTCATTGTCCACCTCGATTATGCCCCAAGGATAGCGTCGACCGCGCACTTTGCGACCTTCGGGATTGGTAACCTCGTAGTTGGCACCAACGACCGCAAAGGGCACTTTCGACATGATCTCCTGGTTCTCGGCAATGGTCTCCTCGTCATCGAGTTCATAGCGTGGGCCTTCGAAGATTTGGATGGAGTGGTGTTGGATGTCGGCAAGAATCTGTTTGGGTCAGCATGCGAATCTCGATTCTCCTAGTTATGGGCACTAACTCTTTGCTTGAACGCTGCGACTTCCTCATCCGTCAAGGTATCGGCTTTTGCGATGACCGGAATAAGGTTGACTTTGGTATGGAGGCGTCGCATGACTTCAATGTCCAGAGGCTTCAGCGAGTGGCCGGTGGGCTGAATGAAGTAGACGCAGGCATGGACTCTGTTGTCCACAATGTTCATGCGATTAACCTTGTTCTCGGCCTCGAGATAGGCATCAAATCGCTGCTCAATGTTCTCAACAATCGGTCTCCACGAGTCATCGTTGTTGACGAAATCTCCGAAGCCAGGGGTGTCTACCACAGTCAAACGTAGACGAACCCCGTTCTCTTCAATGTCGGCACTGATGGACTGAATGGAGACAGTCTTTGGGATGATGTCCAAGCTGGGGCCTTTACGTTCACGCGGAGGATAAAGAGAAGTGTTGAACAAAGTGTTGACCAAGGTCGATTTACCCAGTCCCGATTCGCCTGCGGGTCGTGAGTATAGAGAAGTTGGTGTATGGAATGCTCAAAGTACTTACCCACAACCATTACGTTGAAATTGAAGCCCTTCCTCACACTCTTGCGGTGCCATTGATTTGGCAAGTTTGCAAACCCAACATAGCCTGTCAACTTTCTTCTGACCACGTTTCGCATGTCATTTGCTGCCGCTGCCGCAGCCTTCGGATCTTTGGAGCTGACGGTCTGAGCGGCATTGGCTCCCATCGGATTGCTCTCCTTCACAAAAGGAGATGCAGGTTTGCCATTGGGAATGTTGGGAGAAGGGGAAGACCGGACGCCATTTGCAACGGCAGCTGGATTTTGATTCAAGTCAGTCATATTGGCAGACTGCATCTCATCAGGTGTATTTGGAGTGTCAAGAGAGGTGTCTTCTCCATCTCCTTGGGGGGTATGATATCCAGGAATGTTGGGGGCCGCGCTTGGACCAAGATTGCTCTTGACGTCCATTTCCATTCCACTTGCTCTTCCTATCGTAGCAGCAGAGGCGCACTTGACAGAAGGTGTGTTATGGGAGGGCGGAAGGAAGGTGTCGATGAAAGATGTGGGCGTGAAAGTGGAAGAATCAGGAGAGTGACGAATGCTCACCCATTTTTGGTCAGAGGACGTGGATTGTGCAGGCGACACGGAGCACAACTGAACAAAGAGAACTGCCAGGGAAATTCTGTCAGCACGCGCCCAAGATAGAAAGGGAAAACAGCCGCGATATTGGGGGGGGACCTTGGATGCATCAAGTCACGGTGGGTTGCCTGCGCCCAGGGGAATTTGAGGGCCGTGAAGAATTCGGGGTACATAAAAAAAGAGAGCGCGACACTTACCTGATCAATAGCAGACTCTACTGAAATGTCCGTGGCGGGTTCCAAGCGAGCGTAAGAAGGTGAATCTGATGCGCAAGAATAAGAAAAAAGAAGCCAAAAGGATGGGGGCACGAGAAGGAAGAGATAGAAACGTCGTGTGAAGTTGGACTGCAGCGAGTGTGGCCTCTCAATCAATTCCAGGTGGAAACCGTGAACCAGGGGACAAGGACAGGTGGGAAAAAAGGAGACACGACTGCCATCGCCTGTCGGGCTGTTCGAGGCTTGGGCAATGGGGGCACCACCAGCGCCAGTGGCTGCAGCGGCCGTAGTGGAGAAGCATGCCAAGCTCCGTCTTGGGGCGGCCACGGAAGGAGCCTGGCGCGGCTTTGATTGGAGATCAGCAACAAGGCCCCGGAACATTTAGCAGCCCAGTCCCTACGCCGGGCCCCCCCATTGGTGGCTAGCCCTGCTGATTGTCCCTACCCCTGGATCTTCCCCAGCCTGGGTCTGGTGTCACCAGTTTGAAAGGCTGCATGGAGGGCCATACCTTGGTGCTAGGTGAGTAGTAGTAAGTCGGGGCAAGGCGCCTCGCGACAACCATTATTTGTTATTCCGTCCGCAGTACTCGGTATTCCCATATCCGTCTCTACATCCCCGCCCACGGCATAGAGTTGAAATGTGACTTCGTTAGTGTACAATCTATCTTCCATCCTCTTTTCTATACCTTCAAAGGGGGGGTATTCCCGGCCATCCAAGCCCGGTATAGTGGCTGTGGCACGTTATATCTCAACGCCTGCAAATGCCAGATATTCAATCCGACCATCCACCCATCCATCTTCTCTGCCAGGGAATCATGGCGCTGTATAATCACAAACGATCTGCACAAAGGCATCTTCAAATCACTCCCGCTCCTTCTTGAGACTGAAGCCGCTCCATTTGCTTCAACAAATACTGGTACAGGACAAGCATCGTCCCACTCTGAACACTCGTCCACACAAACCTGGGTCCTACCCCACGAAACATGCCGGCAATACCCTCGGTCTTGTATATCAAGTGCAGCCCTTCCATCACAGAGGACGTGTCGAGTGTAGGAGTGGAATGGGGGACCGTTCGAGGTCCTGAATGGATCAATCTTGTCTGCGGCTGTCTTTTGGTGCATGGCTTCTGGCTGCTCTTGACTGTCTTTTCCAGATGTGAAGCCTGGCTGTTCTTCGCACCATTGGGGTTGATCTGAGTCTGAGTCCTAGTCTTCACCACATCGAGTGGGCAGGTTATGACTCCCGCAGCACCACCCGCCGAGGCTGCGGTGAAGATTTCCAGGCCCAGCCCGATGTCTTGGGTTTCCATCCAATTCTGAGCAAACCTGCGTTCCTGCTCGTAAAATGCAAACTGCAGTGCTGAAAACGGTAGGTCCCGGACGATGGTGGCTTTATATCCGGAATACAATGCCCCAAATCCTTCCGTCCTAGCTATTGTCCGGGCTGCATCCCAGGTTGACTTGTAGTTATATCCGGAATTGAAAAAAGGGTTGTTATACCGACCTTGGAGCTGCAATCGTGTCTTCAGCACTTCGGACGGAACGTACACAATGGATGCCGCAAGGTCGGCAAGGAAACCTAGGGTGGCATGTAAGCACGTGCGCAGCGAAACGGAAGGCGAGGAGGGTGCGCTTACCACTTGCGAGATATGATATGGATGGATTGATACCACGATCCAGCATGTGTCGCTTGCAATATTCATAGGACCCAAAGAATATAACCGTGCCTGGGAAAGACCCCAACATAGCTGCCGTAAAGCCTCCATAGAGTCCTCTTCTCACTCCTTCTTGCCGGAATATCTTGAGGTAGGAATCGGACAATGAGGTGTATTTCGGGGGGAAATGAGGGTCGCCTTGTTGTCTCGTCTTCACAGTGTCCAGAGAATGCATCAGAATATCGCCGCTCGTGCCGCCTATTCCTCCAGCCAGCATCGACTGTCATTCTCCATCAGCAAAAATGGTCTGCCTAAGTGGGGGGGGGGGAGGTGTTGAGTATTTGTAACATACATGAATGTATGGGGGCCTCTTCAGCTCCAAATCGGCTTCCGCCTCCTCCAATCTCTCCATTGTTCGAGGCCGCTTATTCTGTCGTGTGCCGTCGAGACCAAAGTCCGGTTCCGAATAGCCATTGTGCTGTGCATCAACAGCAGTGTTTCCGACAGAGCTGTCTGAAAAGAACCAATTGGACAGGCGTGAAGTTAGGCTCATGGAGGGCTCTGGGCCCCTTGAATACACAGTCGCAGGTGAAGAAAACGGGCTGTTGGAATTAAGGTGACTGAACAGGAGGAGGAAACGAGTTGTTCGCCGCAACGAGATCAGCGCAAGGCCCTCTCTCATCAAAAAGTTTGGCGGTCTCAACTTCGGCCTTTGGCGGGACTTGGCGAGGCTCGCTCGGCCGATTGAGTAGGCTTCCTCCGATTGGACAGCCTTGCGGACCAAAATTGGTCACCAAACGGGTGATTAATGGTTGGGTTCGGAGTCCAGCATGATTGTCAAAGTTCCAACAAGAATGCCATCCACCATTGTGCTACCTTCATGTACTGTGTACTCATGACATGGTCAGGATTGGGCGGACAAAGGAAATCCCCCAGCCAATTCCAATCCAATGCTGTCTCTCCATCCCTTAGCGTTATGACAAGAGGCATTCACCGCGTTGGCCGAAGCTCAATTAGTAGCATTGAAGGACAAGACAAATGCAGGCGCAACTTTTGCCAAAGAAGTAAGGGAGAATAATTTTGTACACGCCGTCCCTGCATCCGCCTCGCTAAATCCAGCCAAACCCGACAAGCACTCTCACAGCATCATCTCCAACGGGTTCTCCACCACCTTCTTCAATTCCTTGATCCATTCAGCTCCCACAGCCCCGTCCACGACCTTGTGGTCGAAACTGCCAGTGACAATGATTTGGTCATCCCATTCAGTGACAGTGCCTTCTTCAGTCTCAACCGGTACGGCAACCTTGCGAGTGGTGCCGACGGCGAGAATTGCGGCTTGGGGCGGGTTGATCACCGCAGTGAATCTTTCAACCGCATGGTTCATGCCCATGTTGCTGATTGTGAATGTGCCGCCTTGGTACTCTTCGGGCTTAAGCTTGCCGTCTCGTGCTCGCTTTCCAAGGTCTTTGACTGAGTTTGAAATTGCAGAGAGCCCAATACTGTCGGCATTCTTCACAATAGGGGTCATCAAGCCGATGGGCGTGGCCACGGCGACGCTCACATCAACTGTGTTGTGTTGACGAATGATCGCCTGACCACCATCTTCTCTCCAACTAGAGTTCACGGCCGGCACCTTCTTGCATGCGATTGCGCAGGCTTTGATCAGGAAATCGTTGACGGACAATTTGTACTTGCCGTCAGATGCGGCATTGAGTGCTTCTCTCAGCTTCAGCAATTTTGTTACCGACAGAGTTGTCGAGACGAAATAGTGGGGGTTTTGGTTCATCGATTCGCGGAGTCGTGTAGCAATAGTCTTCCGCATCGAGCTCGCGGGGATGTCCTCATAAGATGGGCCGGCGGCTGCAGTAGGTGCAGCACCCGCCGTAGGCTTATACTTCTCAACGTCGGCGAGGGTGATACGTCCTCCTGGGCCAGTGCCTTTGACCGATTTGATAGGGACACCTTTTTCAAGAGCCAGCTTTTTAACAGCAGGGCTGATGACCGGCTCCCTGTCTAGCACTGACTGAAGCCTCTCACCTGTGGTATCAGCTTCGACAGCTTCCGGCTTGGGTTCTTTGGTTTCTCCAGGAGGGGCTGTGCCTGAACCGGAGTCTGGCTTCTCTGTGGCTTGAGATGTTTCTTCTGCTGGTTTCTCCTGCGGAGGTGCTTTCTCACCGCCGGCGTCTTCGAGCGTGAAAGATTCAAATGCCGAGACATCTGTGCCTTCGTCGACCATCACAGCAATCGGCTAATTCTGTGTTAGCATGTCCGGAATGTGATTTATGACCTTCATTGCCTTACATTTCCGACTGCGACATCCTTCTCACCTGTTTCCTTCAGGATTTTCGCAAGCACGCCTTCCTCTTGAAATTCGAAGTCCATTTGAGCTTTGTCTGTCTCGATCTCCACAAGGACGTCTCCAGGAGCCAACTTGTCTCCAACCTTTTTCTGCCATGCGCCAATATTGCCGGCGGACATGGTGGGTGAGAGTGCAGGCATACTGATCACAGTATGAGGGGGAAACGCTGTCGGAATTGTCAGTCATGTTCACGCTTTGCCGGGGGAATTGTAGGATTGAGGCGCACATTTCGAGGCATAGTAGCGGCTAAGCACTGACAGGCACGGGAAAGGTTGGGCCCTGCACGCGTGAGTTAGTTTATAGGTGCGCTTCTTTGGGGTGTAGTCCGTACACTGCTGGGTTTTGTAGTCTTTGCAAGGCACTCTTGCTAACTCTTGAGCTGGCAGAGGATTGAAGTAGGATGCGTGACCCTGATCGGGACAACAGCGTTGAGGTCGCCATTGGGAAGCACCAGGAGCGGCGGAAAGGGAGAAGACGGGCCGCAGTCTGGGAGGACTCAATGAGGGCAAAGGAGCGACAAGGAAGGAAAAAGAGACAGAAGAGAACCCTGACAGATGACGGTCCCTTTGGCAATGAAGCTTGCAAGATATAAGGGATTGTTGGAGTGTTGGCGACAGCTAAGAAAATGGGTTGAGCACAGAGTCCAACTCCACTCCGGTTTCCGAAATGGCAGGGAGAGACAAGGCGGGCGACAGCTTTTTTGGGGGGCGCTCCTTAGGCTAGTGAGGCCCAACGATTGGAGGTCCGGAGAGAGAACAGCTCCAGCTTGAGCTCTTCACTTAGACCGTGAGTGTCCGTCCGTTGCAACCACGTAAGCAGCGGCATTGGTCTCTATACCTGAACGCAGAACACCCTGTCCCCAAGGGCGGACCCTGTGCGGTTTATGCTGCACCCTGACTCTCCGCAGCATTTGACAGATGTGAGCAGGCACTGATTATTCCTGGCAACACGGAAACGAACATCTGGACAGATCGAGTTTGCGACTATCATTCTCCAATTTCTGCGCCGACCCCATGACTGCAATGTGTCCGACGTTCCCTGCCGACCTTAGGTGATCTTGAATCCTCTATCTGGTCCATAATCCTCCTTTCCGCGCCCGGCCAAATGTCTGGCGTCGAGGGTGAGCCGCCGCCGATCGATGCCAACCCGGACCACGACTTACGATCAGAACCTCTCTCGGAAGACGAGGCCGAGACTACTGTGCCCGAACATGAAGCGGATTCCACTGACGAGGCTGGCTACGATGAGCCGTCGAATCATGGGGTAACAATAACTATCGAGGATGCGGATGCTGAAGATGGTTTACCGGAAGAGGACACGGGCGAGGTTGTCTCCGAAGGCGATATCTCGGTGGTGATAGAGTCTCAGCAGGACTCTGACAAGGGTACCGAACCTAGGGAAGAGGTGGAAGAGGCTCCGCAGACTGATGCTCCCGAGAATGCGCCCACCGATGCTGTGGTTGTCAACTCGACAGAGGTGGAGGAGCGCCCGAACCAGCACCAGGATGAGCCAGAGCCTAAAGAGATCCCAGCTGCAGCTGCTTCGGAGGATCATCCAGATATGCCAGGGCGAAGGCCTACCATGACAGCAACACGCCCTGTGCAGGTGAATTCCTCCGTCTTCGTTGTCAGTGCTCTAGAAACGATCGGAGCAGCCAAGGAAGTCCGCAAGAATAAGGAATTTGCAGATGCTGTCCAGGCTGCTCTGTCGAATATCAAGAACACGGAACAGGCAGTCAATCCAGAAATCATATTCCGCCCATTGCAAATGGCAACCAAATCGTTCACCATACCTCTGCAGGTGACGGCATTGGATTGTATCGGAAAGTTGATCAGCTATTCATATTTTGCATTTCCAGTTGTCGCAACAAACCAAGCCGGTTCAGCAGACACTCCACCTCTGATTGAAAGGGCGATTGAGGCGATTTGCGACTGCTTCGAAAACGAAGCCACTGCCGTGGAAATTCAGCAACAGATTATCAAGTCATTGCTCGCAGCCGTCCTAGACGACAAGATCGTCGTGCACGGCGCGGGTCTTCTGAAAGCCGTCCGCCAAATTTACAATATTTTCATATATTCCAAATCGAGCCAAAATCAACAAGTTGCCCAAGGGTCTTTGCTTCAGATGATTGCCACAGTTTTCGAAAGGGTCAGAGTGCGATTGGACTTGAAGGAGGCACGCCTAAGAGAGTCCAACGATGCGAAGACGGACGAAGGGTTGACTGCGGAGACATCCATACTGGGCAACGGAGGCGTGAACGGCATGAATGGACAAGTGGACACCCCGGACCATGAGACTCCTCCCCAGCTCGCGGATGGGCTGGCTCCTGGCCAGGAAAAACTGACTCTGCAAAGCTTCGAAAACAACAAGAACCTCGACGATGCGATTGTCGCGGACAGCGCTCCAACAACAGTCACACGCGCCAGACGGGAGCGCAAAAACACTCGCACTAGTTCCGCGCCAGTATCTCGATCCAGCTTGCAAGAAGACCGCGACGAGACGGAACTATCTCCGGAAGACGAAGACGATGTCTACATCAAAGATGCCTTCTTGGTGTTTCGGTCGCTTTGCAAACTCAGCCAGAAAGTCTTGAGCTACGATCAGCAGCAGGATCTGCGGAGTCAAAACATGCGCTCCAAGCTCTTGTCCTTACATTTGATTTATCATGTCATCAACAACTATACGACAGTCTTCACGTCTTCATTCTCGAATATCAAGAGTGGCGGCAATGCTGAGCCTACACCATTCTTGCAAGTTGCCAAACCTCACTTGTGCCTCAGTCTTTCTAGGAATGCGGCGAGCTCGGTTCCCCGGGTTTATGAAGTGTGTTGCGAAATATTCTGGCTTTCGCTGAAACATATGCGCGTCCTACTGAAAAAGGAGCTTGAGGTTTTCTTAAAAGAAGTTTATCTTGCTGTATTGGAACGGCGCAATGCACCACTTTTCCAGAAACAAATGTTCATGGACGTTTTGGAAAGACTCTCGGGAGATCCTCGTGCTCTAGTTGAGATCTACCTCAATTACGACTGCGACCGGACGGCGCTGGACAACATGTACCAAGAAATAATTGAACACCTATCTCGGATCTGCAGCACACCCGTTGCAGTCACTCCTATCCAGCAACACCAATACCAAGAACAACAGACAAAACCATCGACCCCCGTCTCTGAGTGGCATTCACGAGGCGCATTACTACCCGGACTGTCGACAGCCAGTTTGAGCCAGCATCCACCTCCACCGCCGCCGATACCGATTGAGTATTCTCTGAAGCAGCAATCATTGCGTTGTCTGGTCGAAATCCTTCACTCGCTCGATAATTGGTCTAGTCAAGGCAGCCCAGAACAGGTCAATGGATCTCGATATCCGGCATCGAGAGGCTCGTACGAGGACTCAAGGGAGTCACTGGACTATAGCGAAAAGCCACCTCCGTCGCCTCGCGTTCCAGGCATAGGTAGCGAATCAGGAATCTCCACGCCAGTGGTAGAAGATGATCCGACTGAAGTCGAGAAAGTGAGAATGCGCAAATTTGCTCTGAACGAGGCGATCCGACAATTCAACTTCAAGCCGAAACGAGGAATCAAAGCTCTCTTGGCTGAAGGATTCATTCGCAGTGATAGCCCACACGATATTGCCAAGTTCTTGTATGCAAATGACAGACTGGACAAAGCCATGCTAGGAGAATACCTCGGCGAAGGCGACGAAAAGAATATCGCCATCATGCATGCTTTTGTGGACATGATGGACTTTGGCAAGAGGCGTTTTGTTGACGCCCTAAGGCAGTTCCTGCAAAGTTTTCGCCTTCCTGGAGAAGCGCAGAAGATCGATCGGTTCATGCTCAAGTTCGCGGAGCGATACCTCAGTGGCAATCCAAACGCATTTGCGAATGCCGACACTGCTTATGTACTAGCATATTCGGTCATCATGTTAAACACTGATCAACATAGTTCAAAGCTGAAAGGTGCCAGAATGACTGTAGAAGATTTCATCAAGAACAACAGGGGAATCAACGACGGTCAGGATTTGCCCGCGGACTATCTAAGCGGCATCTTCGAGGAAATATCCAACAGCGAAATCGTCCTGGATTCTGAGCGGGAACACGCTGCCGAGTTGGGGATTGCTACTGTTACGAGTGCGGGCTTCGCATCAAGGGCAGGTCAAGCGCTGGCCAACGTCGGCCGAGACTTGCAAAAGGAGAAGTACACCCAGGCGTCTGAGGAAATGGCAAACAAGACGGAACAGTTATATCGAAGTCTCATCAGGGCACAGAAGCGTTCCGCAGTCCGGGAGGCGTTGTCACGATTCATTCCAGCGACCTCAATCAAGCATGTTGGGCCCATGTTCAACGTGACATGGATGTCATTCCTGTCGGCCTTTTCCAGTCAGATGCAGGACGCGCAAAACCTCGATCTTATCAGGCAGTGCCTGGAAGGCTTAAGGTTGGCTATCAGAATAGCCTGCAGGTTTGACTTGGAGACACCCAGAGTTGCATTTGTCACGGCGCTTGCCAAGTTCACGAACCTGGGTAACCTCAAAGAAATGATGGCAAAGAACTTGGAGGCGTTGAAGGTGCTCATTGAAGTTGCTCTGACCGAAGGCGATCTCTTGAAATCCTCTTGGCGGGAGGTGTTGATGTGCATCAGTCAGCTCGACAGACTGCAGCTTCTTTCGACCGGAATTGATGAAGGGGTCATCCCAGATGTCACAAGGGCCCACATTTCCACACCCTCAGCTACCCCTAGGGACGGTGCAAGGAGCCGTCGGTCAATGCAAGCTTCCAAACGACCGAGGCCGAGATCTGCGCATAGCTTCCGGCCAGAGGTTGCAGATGAGACCAAGTCTACAGATATGGTCCGAGGAGTAGACAGGATATTCACCAACACTGCCAAGCTCTCGTCTGAGGCAATTGTCGACTTCGTCCAGGCATTGAGCGATGTCAGTTGGCAAGAGATTCAATCCTCGGGCAACAGCGAATCTCCGCGCATGTACAGTCTTCAAAAACTAGTGGAAATCAGCTATTACAACATGACAAGAGTCAGGATAGAATGGACCCGGATCTGGGAAGTGCTTGGGGAACACTTCAACCAGGTTGGCTGCCACAACAACACCGCTGTGGTGTTCTTTGCCCTGGATTCGCTCCGCCAGCTCTCGATGAGGTTCATGGAAATCGAAGAGTTGCCGGGGTTCAAATTCCAAAAAGACTTCCTGAAGCCATTTGAGCACGTGATGGCGAACAGCACCGTTGTTACCGTCAAGGACATGGTCTTGAGATGTCTGATCCAGATGATCCAAGCTCGTGGGGACAACATCAGGTCGGGCTGGAAGACCATGTTTGGCGTCTTCTCAGTTGCTGCCAGAGAACAATATGAAGCAATTGTCAACATTGCTTTTGACTATACCAACCAGATCTACAATACCCGATTCGGCGTGGTCATTTCGCAAGGCTCATTTCCAGACCTGGTTGTCTGTCTGACCGAGTTCTCCAAAAACCTCAAGTTCCAGAAGAAATCATTACAAGCGATTGAATTGCTGAAATCAACGGTACCGAAGATGCTAAAGACTCCAGAATGCCCACTCTCAAGACGTCATGGCAAGGTTCCCGGTTCCGAGGAGTCTGGCGTGGTGGCAGGTGTCAAGCAACCTACTTCGCAAACCGAGGAGGAACAGTTCTGGTACCCGGTCCTGATCGCTTACCAGGACGTGTTGATGACGGGTGAGGATCTTGAAGTCCGGTCCAGAGCCCTCACCTATCTATTTGAAACTCTTATCAGATACGGTGGTGATTTCCCTACCGAGTTCTGGGATGTCCTTTGGCGACAATTACTGTACCCAATATTTGTCGTTTTGCAAAGCAAGTCGGAGATGTCGAAAGCCCCCAATCACGAGGAACTGTCAGTGTGGTTGTCGACGACAATGATTCAAGCCCTTCGGAACATGATCACACTCTTCACGCATTACTTTGACTCGCTAGAGCATATGCTTGATCGCTTCCTGGATCTTCTTACATTGTGTATTTGTCAGGAAAATGACACTATAGCCCGCATAGGGAGCAACTGCCTCCAGCAACTAATCCTCCAGAACGTTACCAAATTCTCGCCCGAGCATTGGTCGAGAATTGTGTCTGCATTCGTGGAGCTCTTCAACAGGACGACAGCCTATGAACTGTTCTCGGCCGCAGCAACAATGTCCGACGCTCGACCTTCACCAGGCCATGATGGGTCCGAAGGCCTATCTATCTCTGGAACCACGATTGTCGAGACCCCGACAACTAATGGCGCCCCCATGTCCTTCCACGGCGCAACTCCTTCCTTGGAATCGCAATCAAGCTCGGCCGCCCCTCTCCCTGAAATCCCTCAGACTCAGAGCACCCAGGAGTTGGAGGACTATCGCCCGCATTCAGACATGCAAGCACCCGCACCGGTGGTGACTGCTGCGCGCCGACGCTTCTTTAACAAGATCATCACAAATTGTGTTCTGCAGCTACTTATGATCGAGACCGTCGCAGAACTGTTCTCGAATGATTCGGTCTATGCCCAAATACCCTCAGCCGAGCTTCTGCGCCTGATGGCACTCCTGAAGAAGTCGTATCAATTCGCCAAGAAGTTCAATGGTGACAAAGAGCTGCGCATGGCTCTTTGGAGACAAGGATTCATGCGACAACCGCCGAATTTGCTGAAGCAAGAATCCGGATCGGCGAATACATATGTGAGCATCTTGCTCCGTATGTATCATGACGAAGGGGAAGAGCGGAGGTCAAGTCGCGATCAAACCGAAGGCGCTCTGATTCCGTAAGTTCTTTTTGGGGGGATAGACATAAACTTCGTTGCTAATTCCATTGTTTCTCCAGACTGTGCGCCGACATCATCCGCTCCTTCATTCTCCTCGACGAAGAAACCCAACAACGAAACATCGTCGCATGGAGGCCCGTCGTCATTGATGTCCTGGAGGGCTACACGAACTTCCCCAAGGAGAGTTTTGAGAAGCACCTCGACACATTCTACCCGCTTGCCGTGGGCCTGTTGGAAAAAGAAATCGGCTCCGATCTGCGCAACGCGCTGTGGGGCATGTTCCGCCGCGTGGGGGAGGTCAAGTTTGGCATGCCTGAACTGGTGCTCATGAGAGGGAGGGATGGCAGCATGAGCTCGACGAGGAATGGCAGTGTTGGCGCCGCGCCGACCAGTCCGAGCCAGTCGAGTCGGGGATTTGAGTTCTCACAAAGTGGCGGCAGGAGGGGGAGTCGGGTGAGCAGGACGGGGCCGGCATGAAGAAAGAGAAAAGGAAGCAGCAGGCAGGCAGATATTTATGCCTATGCCGTGGTGTGCTTGCTTGCTTGCTTGCTTTCAGAGATGTTTTTAGACTTGCGGTCAGGTCAAGCTGCATTCTCTGGCATGCATTCCCTCCGACGGACCCGTGGTGTCAGTCCCGGACAATGACCACACCAGTCCAGATCAGACCACACGGGAACCAACACGAGCGGTCTCCCTATTCCGCCCCAGTGTAACAAAGGAAAAAATGGATGTCATGTTCTTTGTCTTGCATAGCGTCCTACCTACTCTCTATCTATGTACGATCTCCGGCTCCATTGGTGGCGAATGATTGTTTGGTCCCATCAACACAGACGGCAGCCGCCTTGTGCTCATATAGAGGGAGAGAAGCGGGCAGCGCGGCATGTAGGGAAATCTATGCAATGAAATCAAGGAATTCAAGCGGTCAGACGCCCTGGGTATCTACTGGTTGCTGTGTAGTGTAGTTCTTTGTTCCTCGTTACACATGGCCGCTTGTCGGCGTGTCAGCTTGTGAGCTTGTGAGGTTGTTTACCTGCAAAGCTGTTTGCTTGTTTGCTTGTCTGCTTGTCTGCTTGTCTGCTTGTCTATCGCCCTGGCTGTCTAGCTATTTGTCATCCCAATCACGAACCCAAACAAACAAACAAACAAACAAGCAGCCCAGACTAAGACTATACGTGAGGGCAAGAGCAAGGGCTCAAACACCACCCATCCCCTCGCCTTCCCTTATCGTCTCCATTTTCCTATTCTATTTCCTGTCGCAAAAGAAAAGGATATCAAAGGCGTCACGACGACGACGACGATAATGGCCGTGGCAGCGGTGCCGCCATCTTCCGCTTGAGCCAGCCGCAGAAGCTCTCGAAGAGGACGGGGTCCCGGCCCTGGAGATGGCGCATGTGGATCCGCATTATTGGGATCTTGTCGGTCGTCGCTGTATTGGATACGGTTCCGGTCCGGCTTTGGATTGGGATGTTTGTGTCGACGCTGCTTCTGGAGGGAGGAGGGGGATCAGAACGAGGCGGAGACGGGGAGGGCGTGATGGAAATCCGAACGACGAGGGCCGGTTCAGGCGCGGTTTCTTCATCTGATGAATTGGAGTCGGAGGAACCATTATCATCCTTCATATCGGTGTCTGCGTCATGTTTGCGTTCTCTTGCCTTCTGGTCGGCGGCCCGAGTCGGGCGAGTTTCGCGTCCGTGGCCAAGTTCGCCCTCGGCCTTCTTCCTTCTCCTTGCCTTGCGACTCCACACGTCTCCGTCCCTGGACATGAACATGCCGACACCCCCGCCGTGATCAATCTTCCACAGCACCCCGTCGAGGCGCTTGATCTCCGCGCCGATCCTGTCGAGCACGGCCTCGACACCTGCGCCGCGCGACTCGGCCTCGAACTCCACCTCCGTGATCGTGGGGAGCAGTTTCTTCTCGACGCCGCTCCCGCCGCCCACCGACCGCGCCACGTCGGCGGCAGGCCTGTACCCCATCCAGCTCCAGGCGACGCACCACCGCCGCGTCCGCTGGCCCTGGACGAACTCGGCCACCGCGTAGTTCGCGCACCCGCTCTCCCGGAGCCGCTCCACGACGGTGCCCACGCTCGACAGCTTGCCCAGCATGGCGCTGAACCATTGGATCTTGCTCTTGTTGGCTCGGAGGCGTGATTCGGCGACGAGTTTGGAGACGAAGCCGACTTCGCCGCCCGGCGTGATCATCTCCACGGCGGAGCCGGTACAGCTGGAATTCGGCGGGCGGGACTTTTGCCGGACGGAATCGAGGAGGGATTCGGTCGAAGGGTAGAACGGCGGGTTTGTGATGAGGATGTCGACCCTGGAGTGGAGAAGAAGAATGGCCCTCAGCAAGTCAACCGACTAGGTACTCATCCCTCCTGACTTGGGCCGATGAAGGAAGCAATGCTGGTTCAGATGTCTACCACGTACCGGTCAAACCTCTCAAGCTGGTCTGTGGGGATCAACCGGTCTCCTTTGACGTCCGTGTCGATCAGCCTAATGCGTGCCTGCAACTTGTTGGCCAGGATATTTCTCTGCGCGTACTCGCGGTTCTTCTCGTCGATCTCTGTTGCCAGGAAGCGCCATTGCGGGCGTTGCCGGCAAGCGAGGAGCGGGTATATTGCAGACGCGCCAGTGCCGCTTTTTCACGGCGCGCTCGAAACATGGTCAGCCATAGAACTGATATCTAGACCAGTCGAAGCTATATAGACAGAAAGAAAGAGGAACGGTCCATAGAAGGATGATATAAGCCGACAAGGACACAGGGGGAAAAAGGGAACGAGGAAGAAGCTAACATATCGAGTCCAATCACCTGCCTGTCGGGATCGAATCCCATGTGGAAAGACGGAGATGTGCTGTCCAGCAGACGCTGGATGAAGAGTATGTAGTTGAACCTATTCGGGACCTATTCCTATCACCATTAACGACCACCTCATCTAAGAAGTGGGTATATAGGTCGGATCGACAGAGGTGCATGACTCTTTCCCGCTGCAATTGGGGATTCTCAAACGTACAGGAGGACATAGCCTATCTTCGGGCAAGTCGACGGTGAGATCAAAGTCTCGATGAAGGAGGCATTTGGTTAATTGTCTGGAGAAACGAGGCTCGAGGTTAGAGGGGGGAGAAAGATGAAGCGGTAGTTATAGTTTGAGGACTGAAGAAGCTTGATATGGCGTTGGTTGGTCAAGACATACCTGACACTCTCTGGGTCGGAGAAGTCGAGTTGGCGGTTGGGTTTGAGCCTTGACGTCAAGGACATTCGTCAGCTAGACATTCCCTTGTCCTGTTCATGATCGCGTGACTGATTGACGGCGACGGAGAGGGGGACAGTGGCAGTAGAGAGGACATCCTTCTCCGATGCAGCTTGCGTCTACCCTAAGGCCTGGACCTCACCTTTTGGCGAAATCGGGATATTGCAGCGCCAGCGTCGTGAAATCCACATCGCTCTCATAGATGTTGTCAGGCGCTGGCATCTTTTTTGCTTTTGTGCGTACTTGCTAAGCGTAACGTTCCTGGTTTGGGGTAGATCGTATCCGCGTCCACATCCAAAGTATCAAAGATGCTCGTTCCTATATCAAAGTCATGATCAGAAGGTTGATGTACCTAGTTATATGTGGCGGGTGGACGACACAAGAGGTTTTCGTTAGTGACATCGACAAGACACGACAAGGCTGTGGCCGTCCGGAGACGCTGCAGCCTTTCGGGTTGCCAAGATGAATCTTCCCGCTTTCGGCCGATGGTGATGCCGCCCTATGCCGCACTAGCTTACCTCTAGTTTCCTCTGTTTAGCCTATTATGGGTTGGTCTGTGATCTAATTCGCTTAGAAGCCCCGTAGGACTTGGTCCCTGCTGCAAGTACTATCAGCATCTAATACGAAAGGCTATCTCACTGACGAGCGTGATGGCGATGGGTGCAATAATGGTAACTCATACACTGGTCATCCGCCTGATAGGCACGGACGGTATGACCAGTGATGCCTCAACACGACATCACAAGCTTCATCTTGCCATTGTTACCTACAAATATAGACGACATTTGCAAAAGAGCGTAGTTCCTATCATTTTTTTCTGTGTTGTTCTCCTTTTGCAGTCTGGGGGTTTGAAGCACACCATCAATTAGCTGGATACACATTCTCCTGGGTTCAGTTTTCTCTTCTTGGGCTCGCCTTCAGCCCCTGCGCACGGGGCTTAGAAGAGATCGTGGTGGTCCGCCTTGATCAAATCGGCCGCTTTCTCCCCTACGGCGTACACCGAGTTCTGGATTCGGCAGTCCGGAATCACAGGTATGACACTCGCGTCCGCCACACGCAGTCGCTTGATCCCATGCACCCTGAGCTGTGGATCAACCACTCCCTGTCCAATGTTCTTGGACAGTCGGTTGGTGCCGCACGGGTGGAAGGCGGTCTGGCAGCGGTCGAGCACGGCGCGGTGCATTTCCTTCTCATCATCCAGGGGCATTTCCCATGGGTATTCCTTCACGACGATGTCCTTGAATCCATCGCCTTTGGTGAGCACATCGTATGTGAAGCGGATACCTTCGCGCATGGCGATCTGCGAGAGAGATATCCCATTAGCTTGTTTCGACATTGATCCAAGTAGTGTTAACCACTACTCCCCCCCCCACCCCCCCACAAAAAAGAGAGGAAAATCTCATGAGCAACAAAAGGGAAAACTCACAATGTCCAAGTCGTCGGCAAAGAAATTCAAGTTGATGTTCGGTTGGACAAGAGGGTCGGCAGAGTTAAGCGTCACTTCCCCCGGGTCCGAGATGGGGCGAACCAGGTCGACGACGATAGTGATATAGTTGCCGTGTTTTGGGGTGGGGAAATGCCACTGGAAGGCCGGGCCGAACATACACACGAAATCCAATTCGAAATGCGGTTGTCCTTCAGGCGAGAATGGGTCACGACCGCCATTGGCGGCCTTGGCCTTTTGGTACTGCGGGTCTTTCTCCAGGTACTTGTCGATACGAGGAAATCCGACCAGCTCGAGGAGGCCGGATCCCATAGGACCAGAGTGATCCTTCTTGTACGAGGAAATAGCCGCCTCTTGTTTGGGACCTTTGCGGACGAGGTGGTCTTCCAAACCATAGCCGTCCTTGACTTGGAGCACAAAGGGGACACCGGGATGGTCGATGAGATTTTGGCCAACGTGGAGAGAATCGACAATGACCGGGATGCCGTGCTTTTCAAGTTCACGGGCAGGACCGATACCGCTAAGCATAAGGAGCTTAGGACTCTCAAAGACACCCTGGGACAGGATGACCTCTCTGTTCGCATAGAGATTAAGTTCTCTGCCGGTAGGATCGATGACTGTGACTCCCTTGCAGGTCTTATCCGCGTCGTCGATGATAAGGCGTTTCGAGTGGACCAGCGGTAAGATGGTGACGTTGGGCTTGTTGCGCAGGAATAGGTAGCTGCCCGAACGGACTCCTTTGTAGATGGTGTCACAGCAATGAGTGAGGCCATAGAGTTCGCCATCGTAGATGTTCTCATTAACGGGCTCGCCACGCGACTTCCATGCCTTGATAACAGCGTCGCGGAAGGGTGCCATCTCTTCGACTAGCTCAGCGTGAGAGATGGGAATGGGGCCTCCTCCGCCAATCTTTTTGAGCTCTGGTAGGTAGAGCTTTGGGTCGTCGTGATACGTAGCACTCTTGCGAAGGTAAGGGACAAGATGGTCCCATGTCCATTCCTTACCGCCGTATTCCCCCCAGCGATCAAAGGTGGGCTTGCAACCTGGAACCCAGGTGAAATAGTTGAGAGCGGAGCTACCACCGAGAGCCTTGCCACGGGTGTTGGGCTTCTCGATCCGCTCATAATCGTCACGTTTCACCATCTGCTCACCCCAATCAGCCCGAGATAACTATAGGTAGAACGACGACGACCCCTTCAACGACAATAGAGCTTCTCAAAAGAGGAGGGGAGAACGCACGGTAGTCTTGTAAGCCCAGTCATACTGGCTGCTCCTCAAATCCTGTGCCAGTGCTGGAGTAGTGATCTCGTCAATCTCGTGAGAATTAGCAACGCCTGCCTCGACGACTAGGATAGTGACGTTGGCATTTTCTGCAAGGCGACCGGCAACGGTGTTGCCCGCCGTACCCCCTCCCACAACAATGAAGTCGAAATGTGCTCCGTCCGAGACCATGATTGGGCAGGAATCCGAAAACTAAGTCCGGTTATCGAATATATTTTCTGGGTGTCTCAAAGAGGCAGATGAGAGCGAGGAAGCGTCCTTTATATATGTACAAATCCCCTATCTTAGACCCTAGCGAGCATTGGGACAGGAGCATGATCGTTCAGGTTGCCATCTCGCTCTTTCCTTCCTCCCGGATACACCGGAATGTGGTGTTTTCTCGAGAGCAGGCGTTCGTGCGAGAGAGGCATACTGCAGCCCAATGTTCCCGTGCGAGTTGTGAGCGGGGAGATCGAGCTGGCCTGGTCTTCCACTTCCACTCGTGAGTACACGGTGCGATGTTTCCCTTCGGGGAGCCTTTAGGTGAATGGATGGAGGCATGGAGTCTGACCGGGGCTATCAGTCTCAAAGTTTAGAAGGTTCTTGATGGTCCTCTTGAACTGGGTCAACTGGGGAGCGGTTGGTTTTGGGTACAATCGACCAGCTTATAAATCGCCCCAACTCATAAGATTGGTGGAAACCCCTGCCTGGTGGAGGAGTTTCCGGGGCTATGAGAATTGGGTAATGCAGGGAGGGAGCTGGAAAGCTGACACATTGGTTTGGATGTTTCCATAATGTCCCAGCAACAATGGCGTGGAAGAAGGAGCATAGGCTGCAAGAAGGAGCAGAAGAAAGCTGAAGCTAAATTTCATTGGGCTTAGTCTGAAGTCTAATTACAATACCTTGCTCTGACTGGACAAAGACGAGCTAGACTGTAGCCAATCGGACACCAAGGCTGGAGCGCATATGAGTATCCGAGAGCTAACCCAAAACAGAATGCTGGGGGACAACCGCAACGAAGGGATCAGCGATGACTGTCCGGCTTTGCACTTCATGTCTTCCCCATATTTGGAAATGGGCCAGTCTAGTGAGCCAGACTGTTCCGTCGTGCGAAGGCACCGCCTACATGGTGTTAGTGGCGTGGGTTCTGAGTTACGAGCCATGCGTTATAGACCTCGCGCGAACCTCGCACGAACCCTCGCTTATGCTGCTCCTCCATCTGGGGTCGAACGCGTTCCAACATGTTCATCCTTTCGTGCGTATCATTGGATAGGACGCGTCAGCTTGGAGAGGGGTTTTTTACGGTCCTCGAAAGTATAGCAATGAGCATCACGCCTAACATGCTGATGTGATGCGCTCGGTCTACCAGTAGTAGCGTCACAATAGCACTGAGAGACAGAGGAGCCGAGTTCAATGGCCTTAAGGGTTCGACCCTTGCGCCAATGCATGTGAGCCGATTATGCCGATCCAACCCAATGAGGGACCGATTTCCATCAGCGCTACAAGCATCGGACAGTGTCTCTCAGCTCCGGTTCTTGGGTGGCCCTTGACTTCACAGCAGAACCCATTTCCGAAATCGTTGAATTTACAATTGAAAGTACCCGGGCGGTCTTGCGTCTTAGTATGACTTTCTCGTGAAAACAGCAGTGAAGGAATCAGCTCGAGCTCGATCCTTACTTGTATCCAAATGCGAAGAGAAGCGAGATAAGAGAAGAGCAAACATAGATGGGGAGACAAAGCTCTGGGAATAAGCGAAACCAGCCCCGATCGTGATTCGGACTGAATTATGTGCAATATTCTCAGCACACTTAGAATGGGGAACTGCTTTATCTATGAAGTTCAGAAAATGCCGAAACTTCCTGTCTTTTGTTGCTCCGGACGTAGTAGTTCGAAGTAGGCTCAATTACATCGGGTCGCTTTTATCTGAACTTCCTACGTCAAGGGAGAAGTCGAGACATGGAAGGGCAACCGGAGGGCGGCCTTACGACCCCTCGACGAAGGAGAGGCGACACGGGTAGGAATGACACGATATGACTGAAATTGAGTCGATCGGAAGGAAAATTCGCGGGAGCGTTCCTCCACCTGGAACTTTTGCTTACTATATTGGACCTTGCTGATAAAAAGGGAACAATGCTTCGTTCTAGAGGCCTAATTCCATATCACGATATTCATAGGCGCCAGTTATGACTGAATGAAACATTCATCAGTATAAGAAATACTAACGCAACGTCCGCTGGCAATGGCGCTTGCTTGCTCTAGTACTCAATTTCGGCAGACGAGCCCTCACTCAGCGAAGCACAACAGCTTGTTGGATCTCCTGGACCCCGGACGTGGAAATCCGATAGTTCTTCCTCTTGGTCCTATCCCACCGCATGACAGTGACCAGTTCGTTCCGCTCCAGTATGATGTGGACGGCGAGCCCTTCCCTTGTGTCGAGCAGTTCCGGGTTCAGGGGGAACCAGATGCGCGACCGGTCAAACTCGGTCAGGATCTCCAGCTCGGGGAGGAGAAAGCAGTCGAGATGCGCGTCTGGGTGGCTGCCGAACGTGTCGTTGATCAAGTCGTGAAGGCGGGTCTGCAGGTTCTGCAGCGTCTTGTGGCTTACAGGCCGTCTGATAACGGGACTGAGATTCTCGTAGAGGTCCCTCCATCCGTGGTCTCGGGCAATGTCCAGCGGCGTGCTGTGTTCGGTCGAATCTCTCGTCGCTCGCGAGGTTCTCACGAGACCTAGGGAAGGGGAATTAGCCTGGTGTTCCACACACACACTCCGGGGAAACGACTCGTCACTCACGCCAGGCTCCCTCCTTCAACAGAGACTCCACGGCCGACTTGTTCCCGTGCCATGCGGCTTGGTGCAAAGGCCTGAATCCACTGGTGATGCTGTGTCTCTCGGTGGCTTTGTCTAGGAAGATAGTCAACATGAGTCTTGGGTCACGAATGCGTGGATTTGACAGTTACATATTGGCGTGCAGTTGATCCAATTCTGCCTATACTCCTTGCGGGCCTTTCCGAGCAACTCTATGACCTCATTCCAGTTGCCAGCCCAGGCCCGTTCAGACAGCAGGTGCCGGTCTCGGAAGTAGGGTATTGTGAGATCCTGGCCCGGCTTGCAACGGTACTGCCCATACCAAGCAATTCCCTCGGCCTTGTAGGGAGAATAGACGCCGTTGTCATCGAACCGAGGCGTGACATGGTTGTCTGAATTCAGCTTGAGGGCCATATACATGACCAAATCCAGGATCTTGGAGACTTGTTCCGAATTCTGAGAGAGTTGTTGATGATGTTCAAAAAGGTACTCGCTGTAACGTGTCAGTGAGTCTCTCCCTGCGCACAATTCGAACTGAAGAGACGACGACATCATACTTTACGAGCCGCTTCGATATCCATTCCGTCTGTTCCTGCAATTTCCTCACTTTGTCTTCGACGACGTCTTTCCTCCGCAGCCACCACCACCTGTCCGCAAGCTTCATCTTCCCTTCTCCCCCGTCGCCGTCCTTGTTGCCAGGTTTCCTGCCAGATGTGAGGTCGTCCAGGTCTTTCAGCAGGTCGGTCCATTCGGCCGAACTCACTTGTTTGTCGAGGATGTCTCGCTGCTCCTGAGGTAGAGCGCGCTGGAAGATCAACAGCCGGTCCAGCAGCGCGCGGAGCTTTTCGGTCTCGTTGATAACGCGGGTCAGACCTTCTGGAGCATCGTGCATGGTCTGGCCAGCTTCGATGAGGCGTTTCACCACTGCGCCCACAATCTCGAGCACAGAGACAACCGTGCCGGGGTCCATTGCGACGATCCACAGACTGCAGAGTGCCCAAAGCGGTGGGACGGGCTCAATTCACCCAGACCGTCATGGGCGCAAAGAAGATTGTTTTTCGATGTGATAGAGGTGGTGGTGGTGGTGGTGTAATTGGTGGACAGGTGTATGCTGTTGCCACACCGTCAGGAGTTCCACAAAGATGCCATAGGACGAGGAGTCTTAAAGTCTTGGATTCGTTGTCTTCTGCCTAACGAGATATCGGCCCCCATTACAGGCTCTGCGGGGCACGGACCTTCCAGCACGTTGTCAGGTACCGAATACATTTCTTTGTTTGGATACAACCATTACACTGTTTGTCAACGAGAAACTAAGAAGTGCATGCAGGAACCAGAAAAGGTCTCGACGAGACGGAGATAGCAAGTGCACGGTGGTATCAAAGCGATAGTATTTGTATCTGAACAAGAACATCAACCTTTCCGACCCGGTGCATGCACCAGACACGCACCAGCCCAAATCATGGCCATGGGTATGAAGCCGAGTCGACTGAACTCATGGGAACGGAAATTCGAAGGTATAAACCAACTGAGATCCCTGGCGCCGTCAATGGTCAACCGACAATAATCGTAAACTCGTATCATCCTGTGTTCCCAAGTTCGACCCCCCCCCAAAGCCACAAGCACTGTACATAATGCAGACCCAAACCGCGCGGCACAACATATCCTCCAGCAGTGCCGAGATTCTGTTCAACCACATCGCTCCCACGGCTCCCTATTTCTTCAATACGGCTTCATACAAGCTCACGGCGGCACCAAGTCCTGAACTGACCAATACTGCGAAGTAACCGCCTGGTATGCTCTCGTTGACCGTGGCGATGGTGTAGTTATTGAAGAGTCCGCCCAGAGTGTAGTGGTAGGCATACACCAGGTACACAATCAAGCCTTTGGCGAGACTGAAAACGAAGGGATCAAATTGCATTTGCGCATTCGCCTGGAGAGCTGCTTGACGCGTCGAATAGCTGTGGCTGGGATGCGCCTTCAGCGGCAGGTTGATGAAGTACGAGATGGTGGCCGGTAGGATCAGCGACGTCAGCGTCCACAGAGAGAAGGGGGACCAGAACTTGGAATCCAACAACAGAAAGAGATCTGGCACGACGATTGGCGTCTTGGTCGACTTGACGTACGGGATGGCAGGAACTTCGGTTAAGAGCTTGTTGGGTAAGATTTGCGCGCGAAGGCCATAGGCTTCCAGCAGGATGGCGAGCACGATGACGGTCACAGGCGACGACAGAATATCGCGCGTAGCATCGGCAAATTCATGAACCTGAGTCTGCTCATAAGCATGGGAGATGGAGGTTCGAATGCGACGCGTCTGTTGGTCGATGGCATCCGTGACAACAGCCGGCGAGGGCGGAATGGGAATCTGTGACGCCAGAATCGAAGTCCGACGCGCCACCTCTTTGGCCGGAGTCTTGATAAGCGCGTTGACTGTCGGTTGTGGTTCCTCCCTATTTTTGACGATGATCAGCAAAGCAGAAAGGGAAGGGGGTGAGACGCGCTACATACGCTTCTTGAGTGGTCGAGGTTGTCTTCCGTCTCGGCTTCTTCACAGGAGCAGGGACGTCGTCGTCCGTCTTGACATTCTCCGAGACCTTTTCAGCTGCCGTTCTCTTGGTGGGCGAGCGCGAGCTGCTTGCCAGACGCTTGTAATATTCGCTCAGCGAGGGATCTCTGCCGTATGTTGTCGAATTGGAGCGCAAGTGTTCGTCGAGGGCGACCTCGAGCTCGGCCTTCTTCAAATGCGCATAGCTGCGGTCGCATCCAAGTTAGCATGCATGCGCCAGGTTATGCGACACCAAAAACGACGCGTTGGAACCAGACGCGAGGGTAAGAACGTACTCGGGCAATTTGCTGGTCTCGGCGAACTCGGTAAGCTCGCTCTTGCGCAGTTTCTGGAGATATGGTAAACCTGACATGATGGCCGGCAGGGCGCAGTGTGGAACGAGTGCGCGTTCGTCTTGTGTTGATGTGCGCGATGCGACTGTGTATGGGAGATGTTTGCAGATGCAAGGAATGCGACGGCGAGATCAGTGGAGGGATGGATGGATGGTGGATGGTGTGAGGATGTGCGATGATGGAGGAGGCTGGGGGGATGGCGGACGTTGGACGGGCAGCCAGCACAAAAGCGGGTAGAAATCCAAGTGGCTGGGGAGGGAGAGGGTGAAGCTACTCCCAAGTATGTAAACAACCAGCTCCCAATCCGGTCTCAGTGCCTGGCCATGGTCACCAATTTGGGGGTGGATGATGTGATTGGGTGTGGTATCGATGCTGTTCTCGTTGCTGTGATTTGGCCTCGGGAGTTGTTGTTTTGGACGCGTTGATGTCGAGCAGAGGGAACAACTTAGACAGCCACAACAGCTACACACGTACTGGATCCCCTCGCACCCTCTCGATCTGTGAGGTGCGCGGTCTTGGAGGCTGCAGCCTGGAGGCACCAGGGGGACGTGACGCGATGACGTATGGGTTGGAGAAGCTGTCTGCTTGTATACTTGTAGAGCAGTCCCCCTCGCCCCCCAAGAACTCTTCCGGGCACCAGCGGGTGTTCCCTCTAGGCCCCTGGTTAGTCATAGGGATGCTTCTGGCACCTCGACTCCCTAATGAGCCCTATTTCTCAAGCTGGGCGGTGCACCAGGCATCCCCCAGGCCTTTGCTTTTCAGACCCGGTGACGCAGCCTCGCCGCTCTCGACTGTTTCCCTCAGGCCATCGTCGTCATATCTGCTTATTTCACACAAACCACTCATCCCCCCCCCGCTATCGCATTACCCATCCCCCGGCATGAGCATTTTATTCTCCTTGTACGTAGCTAACCACTGCAGCCAGTGCCTGAGTACTCCGTCCCTCAGGGGGGCGATTACGAATGCTCTGAGGCTCCCCCAGAGGCACCTCGAACATTGAGTTGGCTCTGTGTCCTCCTGCGGCCTGCCAAGCATCTCGTCCAGTCAGCTGCCCGCTGAGCCGCCTTGTTCGCCATCCCCCCTCCATTTCCCTTATTACCCATGATGGTCTTGCGCTGTGGCATGACAACCACCCCAGTAATCATTCTCGCACACATCCTTTCTTCTAATATCCTTCCCTCTCGTTGCCGCCTCTTAAGTTCGTCTCTTGTGTTGAGATGGCCCCTCCAGACCTAAACTCTCTTCCTCCCTCCAGATCGACGTCTTCCTCACCCATGCAGCCCCGCTCCATGCAGACTACTAACATTCCTCCCAACCGCCAACAAACCCCCTCTCCTCGAAGCTCCTCCATATCTCTCGCTGCTGCCGCCGTTACAAATGCCGCAAACGAATCGAGAAGATCTTCTTTGAGCAACAGAGGGTCTCCTCGCTTGGGTCGGATGCCTAGTGACCGCCGTCGCTCCCAGGTCGCCATGAACCTCAACCTGAACGACCCTACCATTCCAAGCCCTGGTGAACTCTCCAGCAGTGATCCGAGAATTGGGTTTGGTCACAGCTACGCCTCGGCGAGTCCGCCTACCATCGGCGGGAGGACTGCCATCGCCACAGGCGATCCACACCATCAGCGTCAACCCAGTCTCGGCGAAATTCATAATGAGCTGGAACAGGAGCAAGAGGCACAAGTGAACCGGATGCTGCAGATGATCCGAGAGCAACAGCTACAACTTGACGCTCTCCGGAACAGCCAAGGTCAGAATGGTCACCATTCTCGACATTCCTCACAGCCCAACTCGGCTCTGCCCGCCAACAGTACCGCAGTGGTCGACGACGAAACGCCTGCCTCAGAACGTTCCATCACCTTCCCATCAGTTCACCCCGCAGTCCCCACGGTTCCTCCGCTCACTAGACGTATCTCTCGCGGACCTTCCAGCGCAAGCCGTTCGCCGGCTCTGAGACCACTGCCTGGCCAGGAGTCAAGCATGGGCAATACCACAAGTGGCGATTGGCCTCCGTCCCCCCTCGAGTCTATCAGCACAGCACGGAGAAACAGTTTCCGCGACGAGACCGCCTTCTACCAGGCCGAAACCGCCAATTTGACTCGTGAAAACCAGATGCTGAGAATGCGCATCCGCGAACTGGAGAAGCAGATTGGTGAACTGACTGCCACCCCAGCAAATACGCCCGCCACGCCCTCAAATCTAGTCAGCAGTCCGCCGGTGAACAGTGCACCAGGGACAGCTGGACAAGACGAGGCGTCTGCTGCAGCCGAGGTGGCAAGGGTTACCGTCGAGCCGGACAAGGCTTGAACATTCGGTGTGGCAATTTGACGATGGGAAATTCATCGGGCTATGTACCACGTACGAGGCTGTGCACGAAGGAGTCAAACATTGAGCAAAATTCATTTATTTCTTTCGCTTGGGATTTTCACATGGAGGCATCCGGATTAGGGAAAAGCCCGGTGCTAGACACTGCTACGGTGGGAAAAATGGTCGTGGGAAACGGCCTAGGTTGGCGGACCAGGCGGGATCAACTACTGTGTGGCACAGTGTGACAGAAAGGGCTGTTTCGGTTCAGCATGCTCATTTCAAGGCGTTCGGGGGAAGTGGTGACACTACAGCTCACTTTACCAAATTCCCATTCCACATTGTTATTACTAGCTTCGTGTGTTGCTGATCTCGACCTCTTCCTTTACATTCGAGGCCAGTCGAAGGAGACGGGGGTTTACTCCGCGTATATGCGTTGGACCCCGGCCTAGCTATGGGCTGACAAGACACTCCCTCCCTGCGCGGAGGCCAGGGCCAGGCAGGCTCCTGAGGAAATGGGTTCCAATGTGTCTTCCTCAAATACATACCTGGGTTCTAGGTATCTCCTGATGGAACAAATGAGCAAGATCCTTTCTTCGAACCGTACCCTGGTCCTCGTTTTCCATACCGGCTAGGTTGGCGAGGCAGTTACCTAAACCTCATGTACCTATATAGGTACGTCCTATCTACCTGCATGTATGATATCTTTCGCCCCGTTCTTGTCCTGCGCCGATCTGATCTGGCCGTTGTCTACTCTCAGCACAATACACTTCTGCTCAGCGTCTTTGTAGATGTTGAATCCCCAGAAGCCTTCTATTTTCCAGTCTAGAATTCTCTAATCCAAATGCCACCCGTCTCTATACCGTGCCAAAAAATATTTGTGGGTAAGTACAAATCACACATCCCAGAACTTCAGGCAGCCTAGGCCGGAAACGAAAAGCACGGTCTATAGAATTGCCCTCTCGAGCAGACCTGAATATAGATAAAGAGCCCTCGGACGAGATATCTGTCAGGCCACTCTTTCATGGTCCGATCTCCGGCTTACCTTTCCTTCCTTCCCTTTAGCTTTGTGCACCTCGTTCTCGTGCCAGATGCTCCACAAACAACACAGCACACCAAGCACCGAGGCACCAAAGGTCACCCAGTATGCGGATCGGTAACACTCCTTGCCGACAAGACACTCCATATGCCCTTCTTCTTCGTTTCGGACTGAATGTGCGTCGTAGATCTTTCCATAAAGAATGTTGAAAACGTTGCCGGAGATGACAGGCGCGAGGGTCATGGTCCCCCAATTCTGCGAGAGACCATGAACACCAAAACAATGCGCGACGAGGCTGGGGTACACCCCGAACAGCATCCCGTAAGCCAGACCCGTGAACCCCGACACAAACATAAGATAATGGGGGTCTGAGACGGCCGTTGCAACCACTTGTGCCAAACAGAATGTGAGGGCGGACGCAAACAGGCACCAAAACCGAGACCTGTTAAGTTTTGCCACGAGGATGTCGGAACCGATGCCTGACAGGAGGCGACCGCTGAAACTGCAGAAGGAAAGAATGGAAACGTGCATTGCCTGGCGGCTTTCAATGAAGGACGCAGGCGTGGAAGGGTCGTAGTGTTTCCAAAGCGCTTGGGCATCGTTGCCGATGTTGCTACAAAGACACAATGTCAGCAGTGCCCGCTTTTCGAGCAATGGCCGAGGTGAGAACTCAAGACTTACTTGATTGTCATTAGACCGATACCGGTCATCAAGCCCAGCATCAAGAACAATTGCCAAAACTCGGCATGGGGTAAGAGAGCGAAACCTCGGATGTCTAAATGTGGATGTTCATGGATCCTGTCAGATTCAAGCTGCTTTGAACTTTCAAGGTCTTCGGCCTCTTGCTCTTGGCTGGAAGTTTTGGAGAGCAAGGAAGACTCCTCATCCCCACTGATGGCTTCGTGGCCGTGGGACCGCTCTATGCCGCTGATGGAGGACTGAGCCTTGGGGTTTCGTGTGTGTGGCGCACCTGGTTCTTCGAGATGGGGAAGATGACGACTTCCTGGCGATCTGGTTCGGTGGAGGACTTGTCGTTCGTGCTGGGGAAGGTGATGGTAGGTGTGAGGAAGTATGACACGCATAAAAGGAAAGCATATCAAAGGAAGAAGAACCGTCCCCGTCGCAAGAAGAATGAGGAAGTTGTATGTCCCGCCGGGGAGTAATTGCGCGATAGCAGCGAAGAACAAAGCGCTCAGCCCGAAAGCTGCGAGGGGAAAGGCTGTTGCGGTTCCTCGAGATTCGGGATAGTTTAGGGCGGCTGGCCAGAGTCAGCTATAATTCAGAGCATGTGCGAATTTCTTTATTACCAGCTTTGATGGATGCAGTGAAGGCTGAACAACTTCCCGCACCGGTAAAGAACGAGAAAACACAGATCAATGCCACGCTATAGTGCCCCGGGCCAGCATCGTATGCTAGATGGTTGTCAGAAAGGTCTCTCGCCGCCGCATTCGGACACGGAGAACTCCGGGAGCCGTACCTTTGGCAATGGGATAGTAACCGGCGGCGAACAAGACAATGCCCAAAGCGATTCCCCATCGTGGCCCTTTTGCATCTACCATCATACCGGAAGGAATGCCAAATGCATACATCCCAAAATTGCCCACGGTTCCCTGCGCAACCCCAGATTGTTAGTCCATGTTCCCTCTCTTGACGGTCTCTTTGCGGTCTCTTTGCGGTAGGCTTTAACGTACGATAAGATTGCTGTCCGTGGCAGTCAACTTGAGACGAGAGGCGAAACTAGGTCCCCAGATGGAGTAGCCATACTAGCATTGTGGTCAGTAGTCGTCTCATAGTGGGGGAGGGGACCTGCGCACGTTGGAACCGCAAGCCAACGCAGTGACGGTACATGCGATCACGGTTATGATGCGGGCCTTCTTGTGGTCTGATGTGCGTATCATCTTGGGAAGCTCTGGTGGGAGACCACAATGGTCATCCCGTCATGGTCGAAAGAAAGATATCTCTGACTCCCCAGAATCCCGAGAGGTGAGATGTGCGGGACGGGAGGTGAGGTGAGGTGAGGGAGCAACTGATAAAGAGGGTTCGACGTTGGGACGCCAGAAATTCGTCAATCGGCAATGGATCCGACACCGAAGCACGGCCTCTCTGCTCAGAATGGTAAAGCGTGGCATGACGACGCCCGCACGAGCCAATGGGAAAAATGGTTGATCCGGCTAACCTGCCTTTGGAGGTGCCGTTTTCCCGGCTGCCACTGACCTCACTCTCCCACCAAGTAGTTGCCGCCTGCGTTCCTCTACTCCCCCATTTCTTCCATCAACATCTACCGCCAATCAACACAGCATCTTATTGTATGAAACCGAATAACGATAGGAAGCATTGTGCTGCCTTGCCCACAGCTTGATCTCACCAATCCCAGCCATCGATATCCGCCGAGGACACATTGCCCACACCTCGAAGCACAGCTCCTAGACGAACCCTTCCTCCCTCTCCAACATGGGCGGCGTCCTCGCTATTCCGGCCCTTATCCTGCCTTCCGCGGCGACATTGTGGTCGGTGGCAGCCTCGTGCTGCGGTGCGGCATCATGTTCTATGATTTGTGGGCCTTGTGGCATGTCCAAGTTCCGATCCTCGATCGCCACAAGAATTGCGTACGCTATGATACTGCTGGTCAACAGTATTCTGGCATGGATAATGCTCACACCCTGGGCCATTAAGAAGCTGGAACACCTGACTCTCGATTACATGAACTTTAAATGCGGCTCCTCTGAGTGTTACGGCTATTTTGCAGTCCAGCGCATCAATTTCGCCTTGGGCATGTTCCACTTGATCCTCTCCGTCCTCCTCATTGGCGTCCGAAGTACCAAAGACACTCGAGCCGGTCTGCAGAATGGCTTCTGGGGCCCGAAACTGCTGGTTTGGATCAGCTTCATCGTCGTCTCCTTTCTCATTCCAGAAGGCTTTTTCCTCTTCTGGGGTAATTATGTCGCCTATGCCGGGGCAATGCTCTTCGTGCTTTTGGGTCTTATCCTCCTGGTCGACCTCGCACACACTTGGGCAGAGCTCTGTCAGGACAAAATTGACGAAGGTGATGGTCCCAACTACCGACTGTGGCAAGTTTTACTTATGGGGTCGAGCTTGGGCATGTATCTGGCTGCGTTCGCCATGACCATCGTCATGTACATCTTCTTCGCTAGCAGTGGCTGCAGCATGAACATTGCCGCCATCACCATCAACTTGATCCTCCTCTTTATCGTCACTTTCCTCAGCGTCCAGCCGACTATTCAGGAAGCCAATCCGAAGGCAGGTCTGGCGCAGTCGGCCATGGTGGCAGTCTACTGCACCTACCTCACATTCTCAGCGGTGGCCATGGAACCAGATGACAAAAACTGCAATCCTCTTATCCGTGCTCGGGGTGCACGAACTACCACTGTCGTGTTGGGCGCGATTGTCACTATGCTAACCATTGCTTACACCACTACCCGGGCAGCTACACAAGGGTTCGCAATGGGATCGAACACTGGAAAGAACCGATATGCTCAGCTCACCCAAGACGAGAACGAACACGGCCTGGTGTCTCAGCAGCCAGCGTCCCGTCGTGAAATTATGAGAGCGGCGGTGGAAAGTGGAGCGCTCCCAGCCTCGGCGTTGGACGAGGACTCGGATGATGAAGATACTGCCGAAGTCAGTTCCAAGGACGACGAACGCCAAGGTACGCAGTATAACTACAGCTTGTTCCACATCATCTTCCTTATGGCGACATGCTGGGTGGCGACGCTTTTGACGCAGAAAATGGACCCGGAGAGCTCGACCGACTTTACCCCTGTGGGACGAACATACTGGGCCAGCTGGATCAAGATTATTAGTGCATGGGTATGCTATGCCATATACAGCTGGACTTTGGTTGCGCCGATTGTGCTGGAGGGGCGAGATTTCTCATGACGGGTTGAGGGTACCGGGTTTGGCGTAGGACAATGTTTTGTCTGTTGGGGTATCCAAAAGCCTGGATCATTTTGGCCGAGGGCATGATTATTGTATAGCGAACGTACCAATGTTGAACGAATTCGCCATTGAATCCCTCCCGTAAGTTCAGAACTGCGTATCAGCGCAGCCACCGCCCTGGTCGAGGCCAGCGGCCTTTCCAGGTCGATCGCTTGAATGTCTCTGCGGACCAACTCGTCTACTCTTGGCTGTCTCCTCAGCATCTCGGTGACAACTAGCGAGTGACCGGAGAGCACGGCGAGCGGGTTGCTGACATGCCAGGCAATCCCCTCTGGTGGGAACTGAGATTTCAATCCGATGGACGAATTCAGGACTCAGGAGTGCCTGGGCAGGGAGCTGGTCTATTCTACCCACCACCCTTCCTCGCAAACCGGACCATAGTGGAAGGGGATGCTGCAGAGGGATTCATGCTGGTGTAGGGAGATTTCGAGCGAGCGAGCCAGCCAGCGAGTGGCGGGAGTAGCTTTGGGACGGAGGACGGGCACGCTGCTCGGGAATCCGCCTCTGGACGAGGCCGACCTCTCGTCTTCTCTCAGCTGTGGTCGACTCCATAAGTCCCTTCCCGGTTGATAGTACGAGTAGTTACGATGCCGTACGCGCATGGGCGCCGGGCGGCGGTGATGGGCTGGTGACGGCGGTGACGACCCAGATACAATGCAGGCCAATCAATCATCGCGCGCCCAGTCTCGCAGGAGCCAAGGCATCCCCATCACACCTTGCAGCCCGATGATGATTTTGACGGGACTTCAGATTCACACCGTGATCGCCACGGCCGGACACCATTTGGACACCATTTGGTTTTTTTCCTGCCCCGATTGGGGGTGGTCCCTGTTTGTGTGGAAGGACTGCTACTCGCAGGCACTAGTATTGGTGTCGGTAGTGGCCCGATTCGTTTTTTTGCTGGAGCAAGGACTCGCGTACCGGGGGGACTCGGGGGGTACTCATCGTAGTTAGCTGGATAGCCAAGGGGTGAGGCGGCCCAAGAGAGGCAATCTCACTCGGATCGAGCTGAGGGCTTGCCAATCGGTCCCGCGATCACTTGGCTATTGGGTTAGTCAGTTGGTTGGTTCTAGCTTCGATGGGATGGGGATGGCGACCCCGAGTCCCCTGACTTATCTCAACCTAGATACCTCTGCAGATCGACGGCCCATCGCCAGCCTGAGGACCCATGTTCAGCTGCGCAAGGCACCGGGAGGCGATCCGCTCACGGATGGCGGGACGCGAGTCTTCCAGCATCTGGGCAAGTGACCTTGTCCAGTGGGCAGCTGGAGAGAGAGAGAGAGAGAACGAGAGAACGAGCAACCTCCCAAGATGGGAAGGGGAAGAGTGGAGGGTCGTCGTTTGAGGTGTAATATCATCATCCATCCACGTCCCAGATCTGGACTTTTGGAGGGTGGGAATTGGATTCCGCCCGGCGATCAAAAACTGGCAAACCGGGGCGCCAGCTCCATCAATCACCAAGTGCAAATGCACATGCACATGCACATGCACATGCAGACACCCTTTTTCCCCATCGCACACACACACACACAGAGAGAGAGAGAGGCAAACAAACAAAAAAAAAATAACGACAGGGTTCATCATTCCAAATGGACACGCATGCTCCGGAAAGTCAAAGATCCTCTTTTCAGACTCTATCTCATGCTCAGCTAAGTAAGTCACGACGCCGATGGCGCTAATGCTAACAGTCGCAGGATGCAGTGTGCAAAGGACAATGACCCAGAGCATGAGGGACTATACGAAGCGATAGGCAGCTGAGCATTCACCTACCTTTCTCCCTACCTCCCTACCTCCCTACCTACCTATCTACCTATCTACCTACCTACACGACACCTCCAGCTCGTACGAGGACTAGGAGGAGTATATTCTCCTCCCTCTCCAGCAACGTACAGTACTCACCCACCGGTCCATCCACACCATTTGCCCCATTTCCATTGCCCGTTGCTGACGCCTCATTACTGCATCTCGGGACTGGGCCCCGGAGATGCAAGATGCCTCGTATTCCCAACCATTTGAGCTGCTGTAGCTAGAGCTAGAGCTGCCGCATGCATCCAGTACCTACGTCGTGAAACCAATGTCGGGGCGGAACCATTTTCCACCTCCCCTGTCCTTCGTTACCTCGCATTGTCTCTCGCATTGTCTCTCGCATTTGCCTTTCTTGAGCGTCGCCACCAATCAAAACACCCCAAAAAGCTGCCTCGAGGAAAAAGTCGAGCATTCACGTCTCAGCTACTTCTCCCCCCCCCCCCCCCCGGCCCATCCCTGCTCTATCCAACCCAGCCCAACCTGGGCCAGTGGCTCGCGTGCTCCGAGTTTCTGAAAGCTTTTGTACCACCGACGGCGGAAGCGAACAGGGGTGCATGCATGTGCATGTGCATGTGCTTGTGCTTGTGGTTGTGGTAGAAGAAGAGCCGCAGCAGAGGATCAACGCCGCCCTGCTCTGCGCTGTCTCTTGCTCCCTTGCTCCCTTGTCCCTTGGTCGACCCTTATGCATCGTCCCTTTTCTCTAGACGGCTGACCGCTTGCCTTTTCCAAGGAGAGGGAGTTTAACGCACGTAAACAACACGAAGGGAAGCAAAGCATTGCATCCTCTCCCAAGGGGGGGGGGGGCCACCAGCCGCCGCCCAGCTAACAAACAAGACCGGTTCCGCGCGAACCCCACTGGTCGTCGTGGCCCTCGCTCCTCCCATGTCGTCTTTGTATGGATGGTGCTCTAGCATGATATCAAGACTCTTTTTGGGGGGGGGGGGGGGGGGGGGAAAGAAAAAAAGGGGGGGGAAAAAAAGGGGGGGGGGGGGGGGCAGAGAAGTCTAAAACGGGGGAGAAAGAAGAGAGCGTGAGGGGGTGGAGTGGGATGGGATGGGCGAGAGAAGCGGCAGGAGGAGGTCAGCGGGAGGAAGCCATGCTGCTCCCTGGGCTGGGAAGAGGACTCTTCTATCAATCACTCCAACCAGCGCTCCTGTAGTTTTGCAGCCAGAGAGAGGAAATTGTTTATATACGTGTCTACTAGTTGTCTGTGTTTGACGTTCGCATCAACCTAGGTAGGTACTTGGATATTCATTTCCTCCAGCATCACACTCTCAGTCATCGCGTGCGTACCTATCTTCGTAACAGATCCGTGGTTGAACGTAGATACCCCTATATCCCATGATCTGTTTGCAAAAAAAGTATCTCATACATCGTGATGATGGCGTCCCTAGCTCTGTCCTCTGTACAAGGAATCCCAAACAGCAACGAGGAAGAAATCAGCATCAAATACCCAATGCAAATCGTACCACCGCAGGACAACCAAGGTCAAGTCCCTAAAAGGTACGTATGGGAACTCTCTCTCTCTCTCTCTGTGTGTGGGCTTAGAGGTCCCAGAAGCCCCAAAGTCAGATTTTAGGTGAACGGGTGCAGGAATTGAGTTCTCTTCCTTGCCGTCCCCCACACGCACAAAATTGCCCTCCTCCAAAAAAAAATCGTAGAATTCGCTCCCGTGAGATAAATGGAGTGCGGTCTATCTGTATACGTTCAGTGCTTGCAAAGGTCGTTTTCGAGTGCTCGTGCAGTAGTTGTAGTTCTCAGACTAGAAAGGAGACGAGATATATTTCCCTTGCGTAACTGGGTACCGGCACATGGCGCGGAAGGGAGGGAAGGGGAGGGAGGAAAACAGCAGCAGCGCACGAAACACACTGCGCATCATCCCCGTGAATAGCCATTGCTCGTGTCTCGATTTGGCTCTGTTCCTGCTGTGTCATGTCGTCTTGGAACTGCATTGTTCACGCGATTGATGGGCCCCAGGCCAGGTAACGAGGAACCAAGGCAGGTGTCCAGTAAAGGAAAGGGGCTGGCGAGTGCGCAGGCAGACAGTTGGATAGTCAACGGTGTAAGAAAATATTCTGTCGTCCAGGGTCACCGTGACGATGTCATTATCACGCTGATCTCTTGTTGTGGTGCTATGGAAACCCTCAATGAAGCCTCAGTCCCCAGTCAAACCAGGCCATGCGACCCTGAGCCAAACCTCGAACAATGTCGTCGCAGGGGAACAAAGTCAGAAACCCTGTCCGCAGATACCTCCTCCCACACAATCCGCAGCCACGTCGCTGCTGTCACTTGTATGTAGTTAACCGCCCTACTTGTTGTGCCAGCACCCATTCCATTCCTTTCCATTGTAGTCCCGAAAGAACAAAAGCCACCACCACCAAGCCCAAGTTTGGCCGATCGCGTCGGGATAAGGGATATGTGGAACGAGAGGACAAGCCACAAGGACGTCAGATAGACATGTTCAAGGCGCTGCTGAACGTGCAATAGGCCATCGCGGCCACCCGAGAGCGCCTGCGCAGCAAGAAGATCCCCAACCCTCAACTCGATATGTCTCCTCCTACTTGGCTCACCGGCCGCGATAGCGATTCTGAGAAGGTACAGTGACACCGGTGCGTTGTTCGCTGTAGTTGCAGCAGCTCGGGCATAAGTTATGGCCGCAGTTCTCGCACTGGTAGATTGTGGTATGGGTCTCTGTGCATTTCTGGCACCGCCATACCAAAGGGCTATCTCTCGCGGCCGACATCTTGACATATTGATGCAGCGGACATTGTTGATAAGTGTATCGGAAATTCAGTCGGGTGTTGGCTGGCTATACGCATGCCTCAAACGTCAGTGGTATTCCGCAGCCCAGAAGGACCTCTGCCCGACAGTCAAGACTCACGTCAGTGTTGGTCTTCATGTTGTCTTATCTTTTCCTATGTGGTTTCAATCGCAATGGATGGTTGGGCAGTCGTAGTCAAGGTTTCATTGGGAGACGGTTGGACGAATGGACAGCGATAGGAAAAGACGGAGCGATACTTATAGCCGCCGTTTGTTCATACAAGTGAGGCTTCAGAAAGGACGGCATGGTGATTCATCATGCTTCAACGCATCAGCCGGGCGCTCACGGAGCGTGTCAAGCAAACCGATCAATTGCACCACTCTGCATCTATCACTTGGCGTCGAGAACGTCAGGGGCGATTGTGGCTGCCGCTTTGCAGATGCAGAGATGAGCCCAGGGAAGGAGAAAATCCTGGCGGTGACACTGTCCGCGTGGAAGTCCTTTGAAGAGAAAGAACCCGTCCAGCAGCACTTCTTACTTACCCTTAAGGGGATGGCTCCCCAGAGACAGGGTCGCCTTCGACGAGGGGATTGAACGAATCGAACGCTGGAACGCTGGAGCGGCAAGTGGTATTGCAGCTAATCCCTCCCCAAGAAAGTCTGAGGTATCCCATAGCTCAACGGGAACGCATCCCCCCGGTAGCCTAACAATTCAGCTCAGGTTCTCTCTTGAGAGTCCTCATGTGCCCACCCCAGCCTGTAGGCATCTGACGAGAATGTGGACTGCGGCGTCACCACCCCCTTTCCCAGTCCTGAGCCAGAATTAGAGTTTCCCTTTGGATCTCGAGAAGGTACTCCGTACAAGATGACATACCGCTCCACGGTTGGCCAGGCTTGAGGAGAAAAGGACAGGCTGATGGAGCCATGCCATCGTCGAACCGGCGTGGGTTGACCTTGCAACTATCGTTACCGCGGGTTGGATTTGTGGGGCGGTTCAGGGCGGTGGACCGTGGCCCAGGCCCCTGCAAGGTTCGATAGTCCGTGCTCCAATATCATGGGGAGCCGATGCAACCAGGTGGCTTTTCCAGACGCTCCAGAGCCCAGACAAAAGCCTCAGCTGTGTCACCCTCAACGGACCGAAGTATATCAGGGCGGTCCCCATACCGGCGCTGTCGCCGTCTGGACAAAGCTGCGCAATCATGAAGGACGAACCGAGGAGCAAGCCACAAGTCTCGGGACACAATTGCCTAGCGACGCCAGCGTAGTGGTTCTCGCGGTGTAGTCCGATCGTGTGTTTAACGAGGCGTAGTGTCGATCTTTTCTTACCGAGAGATTTCCAGCTCGCCAGCTTGCCAGATCCTAACCCTGGTGCTGCAGTGTGCGGGCCTCTTTCGCCCCCCTCCAAGTTTTTTTTGGGCGAGAGATCTTTAGTGAAGTCGCCCACACAACTCCTCCCCCAAATGCCCCCCAACCGGATCCGTGCCCCTGCTAATCACTTGGTCCCGGCTGATGACTCGCTCTCGAAGACTGCGCTAGCTGCTCCTTAGACAAGGCCCGCAGCTGCAACGCAACGCGTGCCCTGATCCTTAGTGGGTGGAAGAGATGCGTCTGGTCTGGATCTTGCTTCCGCTTCTGGCTGGTTCAGCTGCCCACCCTCCAAGCTCTACATCACAGGCTGTTCGAGCGAGTGAAATGAAAAAGAATAGTAGCCTCTAATAATGCTCCATGGTAATACACTGAGCTCCAATCGTGGTCATGTAGGAAGTCTCTGCGTCCACATAACGCGCGACAGCAACCTCCTGTTTATCGGGCAAAAGGAAAAACAAAAAGACGGGTCAAAGTCATCATGCGTCCTTAGGTGCTGCCGCTCCGAGAATGCGAGGCAGATACGGAGGATTCTGTCGTGTCGATCCCTCGTCGTTGAAAGAAATCTCTTGGATATGTTCGAGCTACTTCCGGTTTGTGTTACTCGAGTGCCAGCACTGATTGGAGGAACCGAAAATGGAAGAAGCATGGTCCCTTTCCTGGGTGGTTCGCAACGCCGTGCTCGAAACGAAAGTGGCTTGAAAAAATCCGAAAATTGGTGTAACACAACAGCACATGCCCTGCCTACCAGCCATGATCTGACAGCGTCATGGCGTTGCCAACGCCCGGAAGGTGCCGACAAGATTTGGGGCTTCTGATGTGCGCCGTTGCGGCATATCCGTGAGCTCATGGGCAAGAGAACTTTGTTTCCTGCGTTACAGGGGTAGCACCGTCGAGTGTTTGCATTACGTACTTTGAAGCACTTGTAGATCATGAAGCTGTAACTGATTGGTCATGTCGCCCTTCGACTCAAGGCATTTCGAGGATTCATGACGCTTGGTCGACCAAACGACAGGCGCGATGGGACAAGATTGGTTGTGACTAAGGATTCGGGCTGAGACAGCTGGTCATTCTCATGCATTCAAATGGAACAGAGTCGACATATCCTCTGCGTGATGGACGAGTCAGCTGCGAATTCCTCAAACCAGGCGCCTGAACTTACCTCCGTGGTGATTGCGTCGGATGGCCTCTGCCAGCAGATTTGAGAGGTCGATCATTATGAGCTTCTTCGAGGCGCGGATCCGCTCAGGCGGCACGGGAAAGGTATTTGTCACGACGATATAGTCAATGTAGTCGCACGCGTCTAGCTCCTCCAAGGAGTTTTCGCCAAAGAGTCCGTGGATGGCGATGCAATAAACTTTTCTGGCATGGCCGATCTTGACACAGGTTTCCGCAGCTGCAATCCACGACCCAGACCGATCAATAATATCGTCCATCAGGAGAACAGTCTTATCCTTGACGTTCCCTACGAGGGTGATGGTGTGTTCAAGATCAGGATTCTTAATACCCTCCTCTTCCTCGTCTGATGTCGCGGCCGCGTCGAAGGTCCCACCCAGCGCGTGTTCGGGTTGAAAGGACGATGCATTGGATACAAAAGAAGAAGTCATAGGATCGTTGGTGGGATTCTCTGTCCCGTCTTGCCCAGGCCGGTCGCCCGCGAGATTAGCAAGGGAAGCCGACATGCTTGACATTGCTGACGACGGATGATCTTCGTCCACCAGGTGGCCTTGGACCAGCCGACCCACGACTACATCTCTCGCCCGCTGATCGTTCTGTGCTTCACTAGCTTCGTATTCAGAGGGTCTACGTGCGCTGGGAACTGGCTCGAGGCGGGCTGCCGGGTCGGGCGAGGCAGGAGGGGAAGGCGTTTCGACCCTTGCCGCTTGGACCAGGGGGCTCGCTGCAATTGTGACTGCCTTGGGCCTGCCAATGCCAGAGCGGCTGACACCATTCAGGGTAGGACCCCTGGCACGGTGAGGAAACCCACGGTGGCGTGACTTCTCGGATTCATTGTCTGCATCGTCTGTGTCGTCCCCATCCAGAAGGTGGTTGCGATAACGGATGGACTGTGGCTCGATGGCATCAAAAAATATAGTGCTGTCCGCTAGGTTGTTGTGGTGGTGTGAATGTCGCGAGCGATCCTTGTCGGTGGACACAAGAGCGAAGCTGAGCTTGAGGGCGTCGGCCAGCGAAGTGACTCGCTTGGTGCCACCCACATTCTTGCTCACCACGACCGCATCACTCCAGCGGGGAACGTTGGCCTTGATCCACCGGGCAATGATCGGTTCCGCGAATAGGTTGTCGACGGGCTTGCCAAAGAACCCTTGCATCTGCGAGGCATGAAGGTCCACAGTGATGATGTGGTCCACGCCTGCTACCACCATGAGATTGGCCAGCATCTTTGCAGTGACGGCCCCTCGATGGCTCTTCTTCTTGGATTGGCGCGAGTAGGGGAAGTAAGGCATCACAGCGGTGATGGACTTGGCTGAGCCGCCTTTGCATGCAGCGATCATGATGAGCATTTCCATGACACTGTCGTTGACGCGAGGGCTGCCACTCTGCACGATGAAGACATCTTCGTTTCTAACGGAGACACCTATCTGGACGCTGATTTCGCCGTTTGCGAAGTTGCCCAGCTCGCATTTGGCTGGCGAAGAGCCCAGCCGCTCACAGATGGACTCGACGAGGACAGGATGAGACCGGCCGGAGAAGACTTGGACGCCTCGCATGTTGATCAAATGAACAGGTGCTAAGGTTGAGGTAGAAGTAACGAGAATAGGAAGGGTCTAGCAACTCCTGCTATGAGTAGTATAGCTTATCGACTCAGCTCGATGTCATCTTCTTCAGGTAAGTTTCATTCTTGGATCTTTCATTGTCTCGGAGGTTACACAAGAGCGTGGACTGCCAGAAACAAGCTGGAGTGGAAGGTGAAAGTGACTTTTTTTTGAACAGTGAAGAGACAGTCAACCAATCACACAACAGTTAAAAATCTAATCACGTGACACTAGGCTAAGCAAGAGAATTGGGTTCGTCAGACTGCTCCCAAAACTTGCTTCTGTGCCGGTCTTGCCGCCTTTAGAGGCTGTCAGACAGGACAATGCCATTTTTTTCCCCAGCAGTGTTTGTCTTATCTGCCTCATTGCATTCCACATCATTCATTATGAAATCAGCCGGCCACAATATCCCGTCCGCAGTCAGATCGGACTCCATGGCATTTGTGGACCGTATCACTATGCGCTCATCATGCCTTCCAAATTTCCAGAGATCCAGGGCGGAGGCTCCCTGATTCTCGCATGGCAGATCAAAGGCAAGCAAGTCCTCGTGATCGGCGGTGGTGAGGTATGTTTTGAGGGAGACGCCACTGGAGACTGCGACACGCAACACTAACTCGCACTGTGGCTTAGGTCGCTGCCGGTCGGATTGTCAACTTGCTTAATGCGGACGCAAAAGTGACTGTTGTTTGCCCGCGCGCGGGCCTGAACGAAGAGGTGGCATATCGAGTAGACCAAGGTCAGGTCAAACATGTCGACCGAGTATTCCTCCCTCTCGACCTTGAGCCGGAAAAGAACGTCGCCATGGTGCTCAGCGCGATTGATGACCCGGAGGCGTCAACGCGTATATGGAAGTACTGCAAGAGGTTGAAAGTCCCCGCCAACATTGCCGATGTGCCACCTGAATGCGACTTCTACTTTGGCAGCGTCCACCGCGATGGTCCCCTTCAAATAATGGTATCCACCAACGGAAATGGGCCCAGGATGGCCGCCGCCATCCGGCGGCAGATTGGCGAGATGCTGCCCAAGGGCACGGGAGACAGCATCAAGAAGGTCGGGCAGCTAAGACGAATGCTTCGAAAAGCAGCGCCAGGCAAAACCACACGCGACATCAGCAAGAGGATGGGCTGGATGAGCGAGGTCTGCGATAAATGGAGCACCGAGGAGTTCAATGCGATGGATGAGGAAGACATGGCCGAGCTGGTGCAATACTACGAAAGGGGCGTTGTGCCGAGTTTCGAGGAGATCCGGCTTGGATATCAGGGGGACGTGGTATGGGAGTTTGATGGGTCATTTGGATGGATGTAGACGAGTGAATTCTGTTTCCAATCTTCGCATAGCTGCCTGTATGCTGTGAGAGTGCTAACAACAGATGGCATCCTCCTTGTCTCGGTCGTCCCTGGTTCTCAGCACCTGCATCACCAAATTGTGCAGATGGTGTTTCTTTGGTAGATCCAACGTTTGGCCCAGGTGTTGATAGCATACTCCAGAGTTGCATCGGAACCTAATCGGTGGCACCAGCACCGACACGGATCGGATAGCGGCATGGATGGAGGGGGGCCAAGAGGAGGGAGGGAGGTTGGAGGAGTAGCGCAGCTGAGAGCGAGAACCAAGGCCGTGAATGACGTAGTTTGTTGGTCGCGCAAGCTGAACCTGAACATCTGACACCGCAACAGCATGCGCCCAGCAGCAGCCCATGCCCCAGTCCACCTCGAATGCCTTGACCTTGGTCAAAAATCCTCAGAAAGTATATTCCCACATCTTATCTGTCAAGAGTTCTTTCGCTTGTCTCTTGTCTCTCCCATACTATTGCACTGCTTCAGTTCTGTTGACCAGTTACTCGTTGCATTCTTGACCCCGCCCGCGAACTAGGCCATTGCACCAACAGATTGATTGGCACGGCACTGGATCGCGCCTGTACGCACTTGAATTACACTCCTGCCTCAGGTGACAAGCGAGAGCAAGAGAAAACGTACCAGGATGCAGGCCCTTCGCGAGAAGCTCAAAGGTCAGCCTTGTCGACCCTCCATGCCCGAACAGGTAGATGATTATCCCCCTTCTAGATTCCAAGCTGCACGATGCCAAAATCGAGGCCATCCATTTCAAGCACAAGATTGGCAAGCTCAAGAACCTGGTCAACAAGAACCATCGCCATGACGAGGCGCATGAACAAGAGACGGACCGGAAGAGGACGGCCATCTGCGAGTCCCATCGCTTCGAGTCCTTCTTCCCCGAGCGCGAAAACAACCGCATCAAATGGTATGTCGATGGTCGCGACTACTTCTGGGCCGTCTCGGTAGGTCTAGAAAATGCTAAAGAGACCATCTACATTGCCGACTGGTGGCTATCGCCCGAACTGTTCTTGCGCCGCCCTCCCTTTTTCAACCAAGAATGGCGTCTTGATCAAACCATCAAGCGTGCCGCTGAGCGTGGGGTTCAAGTCTACGTGATCGTCTACAAGGAGGTCCAGCAAGCCTTGACCTGTAACTCGGCCCATACGAAGCATGCCTTACGAGCACTTTGCCCCGAAGGCAGTCCTGGCCACGGGAATATCCACGTCCTGCGCCACCCGGACCACAATGTGTTTGAGAACCTTGGTGACATGACCTTCTACTGGGCGCACCATGAGAAGTTTATTGTTATTGACTACCACCTTGCATTCATCGGAGGCCTAGATCTCTGCTATGGGAGGTGGGATCTCCGTCAGCATCTTTTGGCGGATGTCCACCCCTCGGGAGTGGTCAATGAAATCTTCCCAGGACAAGACTTCAATAACAACAGGTAAACCACCTCACTCTCTCTGAAAACTCCGGACTGATTGAGAATCCGCATAGAATCATGGACTTCCACACGGTGGAGGATTGGTCGAACAACGAGCTCAACAAGACCGACTACGGCAGAATGCCATGGCATGACGTCGCAATGGCTCTCATCGGCGAGTCTGTGTTAGACATTGCCGAACATTTTGTACTGAGATGGAACTTTGTCAAACGAGACAAATACAAGCGAGACGAGGGTGTCGACTATCTGTGTATGTCTACTCGAGCAAAGGCGGATGGCTCCAACCCGGACGAAGACCTCATTGCGATACAGAGGCCAAAACATCCAGTGGGAAAGTATATCGAACATCCCCTCAGTCCGCTCGAGGGCAAGGGTCTCCAGAACGCCGGCACTGTCCATGCGCAGTTGGTTCGTAGCAGCGATGACTGGAGCAGTGGCATCCTCCTCGATCACAGTATTCAAACCGCCTACGTGGAAGTGATCGAAAGTGCCCAGCACTATGTCTACATTGAAAACCAGTTCTTCATCACCGCGACCGGCGAGCATCAGTCGCCTGTCCACAACCGAATCGGCCGAGCAATAGTCAACGCCTGCCTCCGTGCTGCAAAGGAAAACCGCAAATTCAGAGTCATCATCCTCATCCCTGCCATACCAGGCTTTGCAGGCGATCTTCGTAGCGATGCCGCCATCGGTACAAGGGCCATAATGGATTACCAGTACAAGAGCATCAATCGCGGTGAACATTCCATCTTTGGACAGCTGAAAGCGGCTGGGGTGGATCCGACCCAGTACATCTTCGTCTTCAATCTGCGCGCTTACGACCGCATCGACAAGACCCCGTCACTCATTCAACAGGAGAAAGAGTCTGGAGTCTCCTATCAACAGCTCCAGCGCGCCGAAGCAGAGGAGATCATGGGTAGCGGCATCCATGGCTATGAAGGTGAAAAGACTGAGAAGGAATCCCGCGGTACAGGCTCCCATGTCAGTGAAGATGAGCAACACGCCATCATCGACCGGAAACGTCGATTCGAGGCTGCACGCAAGAAACTCGATGTCAAAGACCCCGTCACCTCTGCCGAATCGATTGCCGAAGACGCCATGGCTCGCGGCGGGCTCGTCAGCGAAGAACCATGGGAGGGCGAACCGGAGGCCGAAAAGGACAACTTCGTGCAAGAGGAACTGTACATCCATGCGAAATTGCTGATTGCAGACGACAAGACGGTGATTTGCGGGTCGAGCAACATCAACGATCGCTCTCTCATGGGCTCGCACGACTCGGAACTCGCTATCGTCATGACCGACACCAAAGTTCTTGAGTCGACGATGGACGGCAAGCCCTACCAAGCAGGCTACCACGCTGCCAGTCTCCGTCGGCATATTTGGCGCGAACACTTAGGACTGATCGAAGCGCAGTCCGTGGACGCCTCGAATGACCCTAACGCTCAGCCGCCAACCGTCTGCATGAACGACGAGTACTCCGGTGAAGAATGGGAGTTTGTCGCCGACCCCTTGTCTGACGTGCTGTGGGAAAAATGGACAACCCAAGCGACGACCAACACTGACGTCTACCGCTACCTGTTCCGCGCAGACCCGGACAACCATATCAAGACGTGGAAGGATTACGACGACTTTGCACCCCGCAAGACGATCAAACAGGGCCATCTGCACGATCCTCATATGCCGGTAGAGCTTGTCCGGAAGGAACTGGACAAGATTAGGGGACATCTCGTTTGGATGCCCCTAGATTTCTTGTGCGAGGAAGAGATGGCAGAGAGAGGTATACAAGTTAATGCGTACACCGAGGTGAGCTTCAACTTTACTACTCAATCGCCGCGTGTTTTTCATTCTTCAACATCATCACTACAGAACCATTGTGGGGACGTATGCTAATCGTGGTGACTTATTGCAGAGTGTATACACTTGATTGAAGATTCAAAACAACGTGCCTCCGCAGCTGGAACAGGGACTTTAGGGGAACGGGAGGCAAGGTAGGCTCGGGCTATTCTCATTCAGATGCTCGGTGAGTGGTGAGGTAAGAATGACGCTCATGGTGCGTGCATACCGTGCACAAAGCGGGAAACTGATCGATGGTGCGCTTGGGGAGGGAGGGGGGTTTGCCAAAATTCCCATCAATGTCGCTGGGATTGGTATTACTGCGGCTGCGGGCAGTCAGGCCTGATGACGGGTCAAAAGGTAGGGATGGTGCCCAGGGCAGGAAGATTGAGAAATTGCCATGTCGTGGCGCATCGACTGTTGATGCTTCAGAACACTATTTTCCTCTGCCTCTGTCTCTGTCTCTGTCTCTAGGTACACCTCTCTTTACCCCTCTCGAGTCTCGATCGCCTCGCCCCTCAGGAGAGCGGGACAGATTTGTCATTTCCTCCCTCTGCCTGTGTATCGAATTGATTAAATCGCCTCCTCGACGCGGGCTAGGGCTAGACATCTCGACACGATACGCCGCGATCCAAAGGCTTTGCTTTCGTTTTACGAACAGTCAAACATCCAGGGTGTTGGGTGTCCGGATGAGATGGCTCCTTTTGATCGTTCCAGCGCTATTTGTTTCTTTGCTCGCTTGCTCGCCTACTGAATCTCTTTTGTGAGTTGTATTTACACTGCAAAGGCCACCGTCGGGTGCTTGATACATTTTGCATTGTATCACCATGAGATGTTCTTCTTTCGCCCCGTTCATTCCTTGTCTCTCGTGTCTCGTGTCTCGGTTCGGTCCTCGCCGCTGTGCGACCTGTCCAGTTCACTCGCTACAAACGATCCAGAACTTGATTTACGCCTCCCGCGTCTCAACCCCTGACAAAGGCAGGCCATCTCACCGCTGACTTCGCCTACAGCCCGACCAGGGAGGCTTCACGCGGCGTCCGCGGCGGCATCAGCGTCGACTTCGGCGGCAGCGCGCTTCAAGCGCGCCCAGTCCTCGTCGCCCGCCTCCTCCCACGCCTTGCCGCGGCCCAAGACCCTGCGCGCCGCGCTCCGCGCCTTGAAGCGCCACTTGGGCTCGACGGCCCCGCCGGTGCGCTCGCGCTGCAGGGGCCCCAGCTCGCGGTACCGCCGCATCACCCACGCCGTCTTGTCGACCACCTGCCGCCACTGGGCGCGGGGGACGTGGTCAAAGTCCTCGGCCGGGGACGCCGCGGTCAGCAGCGCGCGCCACGCTTTCTCGCTCCACTGCAGCGCCGCGTAGGGCCGCCGCCGCCACTGCGCGATGCGCGAGAGCAGCGTCCACAGCGGCGCCGACGAGGTCGCCAGAGGCGCGACCTGCGTGTCGACCAGGTGCAGGAACGCGCGCGGCGTGTACGGCAGTTTCCCCCCCTTGGGTACTGGCGTCGTTGTCGCTGTCGTGGCGTCGGGGTTGGTTTTTGGTATCGGTGATTCGTCGTCGTCCTTCTCATGCTGGCCGTTCTGCCTAGACTGTTTCTCCTCCGGACCAGCCGTCTCTGCGGCGCCTGCTTCGGCGGTAGCAGCAGGTTGGTCCTGCTCGTCCCCTTCTTCGCCCTCGTCTGTCGAAGGATACGTCCACGTCCCCGTGACGTAGTCTATGAGGACGGCTAGGATCTTCAGATCAATACACTTCTCCCCTTCTCTCTTGCCTCGCAGCTCCACCACACGCTCCATTGCCTGGATGACCTCCCCCCACGGCGTGTTTGCTGACGGGGGTATGCTCGCCGCGACCGTGAGGTAGTTGTCCCAGATCCGCGCGTCGTCTCTTTTCAGCGTCGCCGCGCGGCGCAGGGCCCGCAGAGCGTCTCGTAGGTGCCGATACGGGTCGGCTCTCTGCGCGGGAGGAGGAGGCCCCGAAGCAGCATCTGCCTCTGCGTCGGCGGTCGTTGCAGTAGACTCGCGGTCTTGTTGCGGCACATCCACGGATCCGGTCACCGGTCTGTCTAGCCTCAACAACGCAACGGCCAGATTCGACCAGCTCTCCGCGTCCCTGTCGTCCAACTGTACGCACCGAGTAAAGCTCTCGACCGCGGGCATCCACTCCTCCTGCTCTAGCTGCAGGCACCCCAACGCGAACCAGCTCGCTCGGTCGACGCGAGAGATACTCAGCGCGAGGGTGTACGCCTCTGCGGCACTCGGAAAGTCGCGCTTCTTGGTGTGGTACCGGCCGAGCGAGCGTTGAGCGCGGGCGTACCGGTTGGAGGAGACGGTCCAGGCGAGGGAATAGCAGGAGGGGTCATCGGTGATGTCGCCTAGTATACAAAGAAGACGGGGACCGTCTGTCGGGGGAGGAGAGCGTAGCCGTCTGTCAGTATCTGCGGCCTGCGGCTCTTCAAACAGCAACTCCTTGAGCAACTCCACCGCTTTGCCCTCCTGATCCGTCGCTGCAAGACATAGCGCCACCTCTGCGTTCATCTGGAGACGGTTGTAGATATCCAGAGCCGTTTTGAGGCCGCCCATCTGAGTCCAGCGCTGGGCGAGCTCGGCCTCGAGCTCCCATCGCAACGGTGGGGAGAGCTGGTATACGTATTTCAGACGTTCGGCGACGGAGGCGGACTCGGAGGGGTCTGCCTTGGGCAGGAATGTAGTTGCACCTGTTGTCGACGGGTCTGCTGACTCTGTGGCAGATGTCGTTGGGTTCTTCGTATCTGACGCTGAAGATGTGGACTCTGGTGTCGTTTCGATAATGACCTGATCAACGAGCGCCTGCAACTGTAACAGGCCTCTCTCTGCGGTACGGGCCCGGTAACCTTCAATTCTGCTCCTAACAAGTAGGGCTTGAGTGTATACTTGCCAGTTGGAGGATCCTCCTTCCAGGACCCGAGTCGCGTAGGGCAAAGTCTCTTCCCTTACCAGGCCATCATCTGGAGAGGTGTTGGTGATGCTGCTCGCGGTGGCAAGCAGGATGATACTGTCCATGGGGAAGAGAAGTGGCTGATTCGCCGGATCAAGAGATGCGAGTTGCGGGGGGATGTTGGAGTCGGGGGACGCAATGTGTGTCATTGTGTCTTCTGACACAGGAGCTGATGGAATACTGGATTGGAACTGGATGCGCTCGAGAAGGGTGTCGTCGTTGAGAGGCAGGCTCTCTGGTTTCGTCGCAGAGCTCCCAGGCGTAGCACTGGCTTCATCACGGTCAATCTCTGCGATGGGCTCGCTGGATTTTGTGCCCTCGACCCTACTGCCCTTACGACTGGTATAAGGTTCTGGTTCTTGGTCTCGACTCTTTGCCAATATGACAAGCTGGCTGATATCCCGGTCCTGGAATTTCGTCCTTTTGCCCAACGCCCCAGTCAGCACAAATTGAAACTGGCGCGTTGTGGCAGCTTTGGCGAGGTCGGCTCTTGCCAGCGCATCATCACCGTAGTATGTCCGGATCACTGCTCGCTCAATCAGGAACTCGACAAAATGTTCTTCGGCAGCTGCTCCGCCAAACGCCAAGCGAGAAGTCAGCTGGTGTTCGAGGATCTCGGCGTCCGAATAGAGGGCGTCACGCAGAGAGGGAGACTCCTCCAGGAGGAGTTTCTGATGCCAGAAGTTGACTCGAAAGCGTGCTCGCCGGCCATTGAACCCGGCTTCAGCCAGTGTAGGATTCGACAAGATGACTTTGGCGAGCCAGAAGAGCTCAATGTGCGGTGTTAGTGGGTATGGGCGAGAGCCATCGGCAGAAAGGTACTCGGACAGGGCCTGCTTTACCGATTCGAGGCCTTCGTTTCGGTATGGCGGTGGGAAAATGACCTCCTCGGGTTTGAACTCCAGTGGGGGCCCAGTACAGTTGGCCTGCAAGAATGCCTCGAGCGCGGTATACCCAATTTTGAGGAACGAGAGCTGTTGCATGGCATCGTTGAGTAAAAACTTGGCCCGCGAGGTGACCCCGCTGACGAAGGGGATTGGTTCGGCGTGGACGGCCTCAAAGCCCAGCAACTTGCGAGTCAAGGGATCCTGCAGAATTTCGAGGAATGAAGTGCCCATCTTGGGGTAAGGGTAGAGGTGCTCCATTGCGGCAGGTTGCTTGTCTCTTCATTAGAGTCCGGCTTTTGTCTTGGGGGGCTTGGTGGCCCTCTCAATCGCAGGACCTGCAACTACAAAGTTGTACAGGTATGGAACCAGCGTAATGAGTTGTAAGCTGTCCTTGACTGCTTCAGGGTTCTCCTAGCTGAAATTAGGTATCGCAGTGAAATTTTTGGCTTTAGAGGGGTCTCGCAATACGCGAGAGGAAGAATGAGGGCACTATTCCCAAGCCTGCGCCACACAAACCGGTCGGGAGAAGAGGCGCTATTCGATTCATGGTCTACAGACCGTGGAAGACAGAAGAGGACATAATAGAGGAGCGGAAGAAAAAGAGTGCCTCGTAGCGAATGATAAGCTGGGTTGGCCACCCTCGTCGTCTTCTTCTCGCTCATCAAATACAAAAAGGACGATGAAGGCCGCGGCGGCGAAAATGCAAAAGGCGACGAAAGTTTCTGTCTGTAGCGGTCACGTGCCACTTCACTCCGTCGCAACTCGTATACAAAAAAACTCATCATCATTCACCGGACATGTTCAATATCGTGTCTGAATCACTGCTGTTGTTGGTACAAATTCCATTTGTGAATCGCGCCATTCACAGTAAAAGCGAGGGTATCTCACCAACCAGTCTTTCACCAGTCTTTCAAAAAAGTGCGCCCGCTGCTCCTCCTCCCGCTGTCTTGGTACGGTGGCTGAAGCTAAAATCAATCTCCAATCAATCTCCAGTCACCTCCAGGTCTATATCCTCTTGCCAGTGCGCCCGGCCTGAGCCGCCTTTCGCTTTCTATACACACTTCTATATTGGATCCGGCCAATGGTGCCCAGTCCGTACGCCAGGAGGAACAAGAATGTCCACGAGCAGGTGACGATCAACCCCGTGGGGAAAATGCCCAGGCTCGTGCCGGGCAGGACAAAAGGCACCGCCGCGGTGATGGCGGCGGCGGCGACCGACGAGCTGACGAGGGCGTTCTTGAACTCGTCCTTGAATGATCCCACCACGAACCAAGCTCCGTCGGCGGCGCTGACGTTGGCCATGATGGGCGTCTGAGAGTTGGTCGCTGCGTTCAGCTTGATATCCGGCAGCATCAGCGACATGATTTGCGTGTCGTTCAGCATGGCGAGGTTCAAGTTCTTCTCAATCGTGCCAAAGAGGGTGTACTGCTGCACCTCGACCATGCTGCTTTGTCGGGCCTCCACATCTCGCTTCCTCCGCTTGGTTAGCGACTGGAACGTGGTGCTAGTGGGGTATGTCAAGCTGATCATGATGTCGTTGATGGGCACGTTCTCGAAGTTGCCCGTCGGCTGGAACATCTGGTAGAGTCGGAGATCGGCCTCGAAGGCCCCTTGCTTGCTGTCGTATTGCATGATGTTGTAGCATGCGGCGAGGCCGGCGGCATTCTCGACCGAACTGAGTGATTTGAGACTATTGACGCAAGCGGTTGCAATTGTCTCGTTCAATGCGCCCGTCGGTGCCGCCACGGAAAGGGAGCCGGTGGAGGACTGCGGCTCTCGTCGGAGAATCCTATCGGCCTCTCTCTCCATACCTTGGTCCCAGGCATTTCTCCTTCTGATCGCGTTGGGCAGATGCACAATGGCTTTGGCGGCAATAATGTCGGCCTCGGCCAAGAGCAACAACGCCGAGGCGACAATGGTTGTCAAATGCATCTTTCAGGTTGATATGCTTTTGCTTTTTCTTCCGGTAGTGATCGTTGGGTATTGGGGGTAAAACGGTGGTCGTCGAGACCGGTGATTTGAGACCAAGCACTGCTTGCTGAATAAGGAATGTAGGCACGGCCAGCGACTGCCAGGGAAAAGAATGAGGGATTGCTCAAGGAAAACGGGAGAGGAACCTGCCCACGAGCATGTAAAGCTTCTCGCAAAAATGACGGAGAAGAAAAGAACCAGAGAAAAAAGAGACAGGAGCAAAAAAAGGAGAGGTTGTTGCTGGGCCTGTGCAAGAAAAGAGTGGTCTGATAGAGCGCAACAACTACCAGGAGTTGGGCCCCGGATCAATATAAAACATTTACTGTAGGGGAACTCCCTCGGCCAAGGAGGGTTGACACATGGCCGGTGGGCTGGAATGGAGACCTGGTCCGCGGGTGTTGGTTCGTCTAACCTGGGCTATTGTGGTCTGTAGATATGAGGTGCTCCGCACCTACTTACGAGTAGGGGGGGCAGGGAGAGGAGGGACGGTCTGGTGGTCACATTCGAGCAGTACCTAGCCCTTGGTTAGAACGGTTGAGGAAAGGAAGTGGATGCTGGCATGAAACAACACGAGCAGATCGCCGGCGCAGCACGAAACGCGAAAGTGGGATGTCGCAACAGAGGTCGCATGGTGTCAAGGTATAGAGCGAATCGCTGAACAGACTTGTATAGTGGGCGAGGCCAGGGAGAAGGGGTTGGAGGGGTCGGGAGCAATCGAGCCAAGATACAAGCGAGAGCCTTGGTGGAGCAAGCTCCAGAGTACTCCGTACTCGCACCGAGTACATACTGTCCCAAGTGCCGCTGATGTCGGTGTGCTCTTGGAAAGCAGGGGGAAGAGGGTGGTATGTCTCGCGCAGGGCGGGTTTTGCCCAGCAAATTCGACACAATGGCTTGCAGCCAACCGGAGCCAGGGGCAGGGGGAGGAGGCTGATGTGCCCAGATGATTGGGCAGGAGGTGCGCCGGGCGGGGTCTCGGCGGGGTCTCGGCGGGGCGGAGGGACAAGGAGGCGTCCCCGCCGATCGTTTGAGAATCGACCATCTTGAAACAACGCCACCCTCCCTCGCGAACCATTGGCCGCTCGCTGCACTCCTTTAAATGACCCCTTTATTCATTCGCTGCCAGCGTCCGACTCTTTCTGCCCTCGTCCAACAACCGTCGCAACCTCCGGCAACCAGTTTCGAGGCCGGCCTCTTCGGTGGTTCTCGTCCAACCATCGCACAATGGCAATTTGAAAAATGGAAACTGACAGGTTCATCGCAACCCAAACTAGATCACGTCGTGGTTTATTCTTGATTTACCGCGCGGACGAGAGGTTGACATTATTGGAACGACTTTGTTGTTATTGTTGTCAACGAGGCTGACGGTTCTGGTTTCTGTGCTCTCCTCGTGTTGCGCGCGTTACCAGTAGCACGAGCTCGCAGTATACTACTAACATTGACTGAATTAGACATTGCGTGTATCCGTCCGTTGATGCAATAGTTGTTCCCCAGCTGGTCCCCCCTTCCCAGCCACGACAAATTATGCAAAAGGCATTCACATAATTGGCCACACAGATTTAGCGCAACGTGAACATGATTAACACTTTGATGCCCTGCGTGCCGAGTGGAAACATGCGCACCGATGCATTGACTGACACGTGAAACTCGTTGCTTGTGGCCCATATGATGTCCTCAATCACGTTGTGCCACACACAGAACCTAGTTTCCGGACCCTTGAACCATCCTTAAAAAGTCCCGGACTCGTCCTAGCTGCGAATTGTTGCTCATCTCCTTTTGCTCGCTGATGACCGCCTGCACGAGACCATCCAGCAAGCTATCAACCTTGTCTTCGTCAGCACCCGTACACAGACTCACAATCTTCTTGTACCGTGCTTCCAGCTCCACACTGTGGGCTTTGAGCACCTTGGCCATCTGGTCCAGCTGTTGGTTGTGTCGCTGATACACCTGGACCCGCCCCGACACCACCTCCGCTCTTTCCAGGCTTCCCAAGAGGTTAAGTTGCTCCTGGCTCAATGTCATGAGCCCGGCATCTACCTCGCCGTCAGGGAAGAACTGCGCCAGGAGCGGCAATTGTCCTTCCAGGTCAAGGCCCCGGTCTGCTTCTCCAACCGTGACTTTGTCTTGTATCGTGTTGAGCGGGTTCGATTCGCTCAACTCGGCGCGAAGTTTGGCCGCCGCTCGACGTAAATTGCCGATTTTCTGCTCTAGCTCGTCCTTTTCTCGGACTTTGGCTCGGTTCTCTTCTAGTCGCCGCCGCTCCTCTGCAAGCGAGCTACCAGACTCCTTCAATGCTGCGTTGGTCTTGTCCAGGATCTCCTTCTTTTCTTTCATCTCGGCTGCGAAGTCGGCCTCGGATTGAGACAGGACCTCTCGTATTGCTACCGTCATTAGCATCTAGAGACCATACGGTAAACAACATCACTTACAGGCCATGAGTCCTTCTTGAGCCTCTTCAAAGGATTTCTGTGTTGACCCGTTCGCTATTGGAGGCTGGTCTAACGGTGCGAATGCTGGGTCGAACATGTGGTTGTTGACCGGTCCACCGCCCACTCCAAAATCTGCTGGAGACAACCCGCCGCGGTTACTGATGTGCGGATCGGCACCAACCTCGACCAACTGATCAATGATGGTAGTCGTGCTTGTTCTTGCCGCCAGGTTCAAAGCTGTATCTCCTGTCTTATCTTGAGCATTCACAATTTCCGACATGAACCTCGCCAGGGTCATAGGATTGGTCTGGCTTAGGCTGTTGAGTCCGCCCATCGTCTCAAACTGCGTGCTTGTTTTGGACGAAGTGCCTTGTCGAATCACATACTCGAGTAGAGACTCGAGATAATACTTTCCGACTGCAGCTCTACCCTTTATCGCCGAAGCGACGGCGATGTGATGGAGCATTGTCCGGCCACGTCCATCTCTGACCTCGATGCTGGGACCGAGGAGCTCCAGCAGAGCAGGAAAAGAACTCTGATCGAGATTATTCCTCGCCTGGCATGCAGCGATCAATGCTGTCTCCCCCCCACTGTTTGCTCGCCGCATGTTGAATCCCTTCTCGAGCAACTTTCGAACGAGGGCGACTCGACCCAATGTAGCCGCCCAGTGTAAAGCAGTGTTAGATGAGCCATCAATTGGCACCTCATACTCATCGCCACTGAGTCGCAGAAAGGCTGGATGGTCGTCGAAGTCGGTACGTGAAGGGTCGATGAAAAGATCGAGTAAAAGTTCCTTTTTTTGCTCTTCCAAGGGGCCAGACGGATGAGCAAGTGGTTCTAGCCCATAGGGCAGCGGATCTGCAGAAATAAAAGCCTGTCCGGATTGAGAAAAGAATGAGACATTCGGCTCTGTCGGGACGCTGTCCTGCATGCTGAGGTCTATCGCGCCATCATAGATGAATGACGACTGTGGTGAAGGTCGAATGCGTTTGCGCGGCGGCTCCTGCGAATCTGTTGGAGGGAAATCCACGAAGCTGGCACCCTGGCTCATGATCCCACCATTGGTGCCGAAGCTATCCTGAGTCGTCATGCTGGGCATACTCTGCTGGCTTGCATACATGGCCTCCTGACTGTAACCAAAGGATTGGGATTGTTTTCTGGGGCCGATGGAGCGTCGTCCGTCCATATTGGGCGAGTCGAGCCTCGTTCTATTCAAGGCATGGATGGCGTTTGCCGCAGTGCTGGACATACTTTTGAAAAAGGTACCTCCGGTCGGCTGCCCAGCTAGTCGGCTGTCACCACCATACATTCTTTTTCTCTGAGCTGCCATGGCTTGCTCCTTGGTTGGGGTCTCCATGCCCTGAGAGACCCCCGACATACCATCCGAATTGATGTCGTACTCCAACAGCGGTAGGAGCAGCTGCTCGACCCCGTATTGTCTGCAAAACTCACGACCGCGCTGATAATTGACCCAGGTGCCCTGGTACTTTCCGTAGCCGCCTTGAACCTTTTCATGCTCGCCGGTGATTTCCTTTTCGAGCACTTTTGTTCGTTTACCCTTATCCACTCCCGCTACCTTGAGAATCTGGGTCGCGTTCAGCCAAGAGTCCGCACGGCGCCGCATAACAGCTACGCCATTGACCTCCATCTCGAAAACGGACACGTTGGAATAGACGGCGGTGTATATCTGTGGCTTGAGCCCGTTCGCGTAATAGTCGGGTTGGGTGAACGCATTTGCCTCCGAGTAGCCACCGAAGTTATTGGGCGGTGCCATCATATTTCCGTTTGACATGGAGGCTGTTCCATTCATGCTATATACCATCTGTTGCTGGGCCGATAAGGCCTGCTGCTGTTGGTGTTGAGATGCCGGTCTCGGAGGCGGAGGAGTGGGTGCTGGCGTAGAAGCGATCGACTGGCCCTCGAACGGGCCCATGGGCGGGGGTTGTTGCGCGAAAGTTGGGTTCATAGAGGTGGAATGGCCGTGTTGAGGGAAAGGTGGAGGGGGTTGCGCATAGACTCCTGAGTGAATGCCTCCCGATGCCATCATGATCAACAAGTGTGGAAACAAATCGAGCTCGGTGAAATTGGTCGAGAAGAAGTATGTGAACCGTGTGTCAAGACATGTCGGGTGCGCACACAGCGCTATCCAACCTGTTCTGGGGGATGTTCTTTCTTTTCAATGATAAAGGAGACCTTCCACCACCTAGCTTTCCTTTCACTAGTTTTTCCTTCCGACCGGACAGTATGACGGGCTCAGCTCGACAAAGAATCCAACACCAGTCAAACGCGACCCGATGTCAAGGCAGGAAGTAGAGCTATGAGGGCGGTGCCAGGTCGACTCTTCACGTTCAAGATCGGGGAGGCTAGTGTGTAGCACGGGAAGGATGGTCAGAGAGTTTCTCGGCGCCGACCAGGCAGGGAATTTTCGCATGGACTCGGACTGGACCGAGTTGCAGCGGCAGCCTCTTGGTGGTCACAGTGTCAGTTGTAAGTTGCAACCTGGGATCAGAGCCGTGCAGGCGGTTTGCGCAGGCTGTCGGTCGTCTGTGGTCTGTGGTCCGTGGTCTGTCGGCCAGGGAAATGGGCGCAGTCGAAATTGAATCACGTCTTGGGCAGTCACGCAGTGTGGAGCGGGGGAATTGGCCGCTGCTTCGGCCTCGATTTGTCGCGTCGCCCTTAGCGCGTTTTGCACGCTCGCCCCCGAAAACTCACAGCGACTTCAACTTTTCGGTTCTCCTGACATTCTATCTACCGGGTACGGAGTACATCCCACCCTCCCACCAATAAGGGGTTTCACGCGCTGCATTTTGGGTTCGAGGTCACTCGACCATTTCATCCTTACAAGAGAGACAACTAACTATTCGTCAGGGGCCGTCGCCAGCGATGGCGGTGCGCATCAGAACGTGAGGCAGACCGACGACGCCTCTAAGCTGATCAATCCGGACGACATCTCCACGAACCTGCATGGCTGGGTTCGACCCTTCTTCCCACTGAATATGAGCAACTCGACCTTTGCGAGAAATCGATCGAGCAGTCCAACCATATGGGTCGCTGTCGAATGCAGCCCGGACTCACTACCGCCTTCGGTGACCACTACTAAGTATCAAGCTTCTTATAGTATCAGCGCGACCTGAATGCAGAGCGATCAAGAAACAGAGTCTTTCGCAAGAGCCTCGATTGGCGCCCTCTCCAGTCTACCATGGCCAGCGACGGTTCTCATCTACAAACACCACATGAAGTTGGGTTACATCACGGAACATGCTTCCAGTTTCGAGTCGTTGGGCGCGAGATCTTGTGTATGGTGTCATCTACCTATAGAAGACGGATTTTCCCACGCAGGGACGAGTTTTGGCTATGCCAGTATAACAGACCTGCGGATATACGGGCCGGATCACTGCCACTTGCTGAAAGACATTCATTCCACAGCTGCATCCTGCCCAGCTCCCAGGATGTCGAAGATGTCTGACCGATTCTCCCAGTTAAAGAATGTTTAACTTGGGTGACTACAAAATCCCGTCAACTCGCTTCACTTACAAGCTGCTACGGAGAGTCAATCCAACAAATATCCGGTAAGTTGAAGTTCGAGAACCTAATGCTGACAGTCGGGATGCGTTGCCCCATGCCCGATGGTCATAGCTCGAGAGTGTCTTATTACGTATCTTCTCTAGGATACTATTGAGAATCGTAAAGCAAACCTCGCCTTGCACAAGCCCTGACCCTCTCGATGGCCACGTGGCGAGGGTGAACCAAGGTAGGACAGAAGTCATACCAGAGTCACGCACCTAGACGTCACCAGGCTTTTCATACTTCCAGATTCCGATCCAGGTCGCCTCCGTTCTCTTCTGGGTGTTCTTGAATGGGTTCTCAACTGTGAGGTCCATCTCCGTATCAGTGGTGATAAACTGAGTATCCTTCCCAACATGGCAGTGCATCTCACATGATCCCAGACCCAGTGACACTAAACCTCCTGAGAACTGGCATGAAGGTCCCCATCTACAGCTGCTTGATAGTTCTAACTCTCCTCTATCTTCAAAAGATAGTACACGACAGTCAAAGGGATACAGTTGTTGCAGTGGTCTTTGTGACTTCCAATTTCCTCCTTTGCCGCCAAATTGGATACTTTTACACGACCGATCATGCTTTGCCATGAGTTTTCTCCACCAGAAAACGAACGGATTCAATGCCACCATGCAGCGACACTCATGACATCATGTTAGGAGTCATCAGAGAATGGTCTGAAACTATCTGTTTGTTACAGGACAAAGATTCAATGAAGAACAATGGGCCAGCGCCGGTTGCAAGGGTCCTTGCAGGAGGAAACAAAGTCGTCCAGCACCCTTAGCCAGGGCTTCTTGACATGATACAGACACTTACACCGCACTCAGTATCCTGCCGTATTAGTGTTGGAGGCTCATTTGCCTCCACTTTCCTGCACTACTCCTCCCAGATGGGGAATCTGGATGTTCAACATGGCTTGCTACAGGTTTGCTTTCCAACCGCTGGATGATTTCCACAAAGCAACTGTTTGCTGATCTTCTTTGGCCAGTGGAGATAGGGTGAGAGATTCACTAAACAAGAGACCATGTTGAAGTTAGGCCAGGAAAGTACAAGAAGTGAACGATGCCACTCCTAAAGTACCCCCCAAATTCCTTCATTGCATAACATACCATCAACTTCTTCAAGATTTCCTTGTTACATGACAGATCACCGACGATCCCACCAAATGGCTCAGTTTGACCGCAGCAAGTGTTTCTTCTGTCCCAACACGAATTCCTGCACCTCAATACGTTGCAACGCCTGCAAGGCCTTGACCTTGCCAACGAAGGAAGATGATCAACGCGCGATAGAGTGGCACCTTATGGCCTTCGGCAGCAATGCTCCTGCTCCCTGCAGATCCCCATCATCCTTTTTTGACAAAGCCTTCGAATCCTTGGATGGTCTCCACAATGCTGCTATTTACATTGGTGATGCAAAAGAAGAAGTCCTGTTGATTCAGCGCCCCATTGAAGGAGACAAGGGAGGGTTGGAGAAGCAATTTTGCATTGGCACAACACAACCGAATGGCGAGAAACGTATACGAACCTGGACCTTTCTGGATGGAGTTCAAGGCAGTCGGCGAGCGTTCTTTGGCCCGGTGCGACGGATTTTGGCCCGTGGCACCATGATTTCTGGTAAGCACCATCCCTTCCAGTCCATTTGATTGAACTTTTACTAATTCTGGTTCTACAGGCAGTGCAGTCTGGCATCTGATTTGAATTGTGCGATAGGCTGGACATCATCACCGACAACCAACTTGCAAAACCAGAGGGGGAAAGATGTGGAAGAGTGATGGTAGCAGAGATCGGCTGGTCAACCATGGCAGACGCGTAATGGGAGAAGATGGCGATTGCCGGGCATGGGTCTTAGAAAACGGGGGCAGGTAAAGAAGGACCATGTTCTATGACATCCTCTGAAGGTGAACCAAAATGTTTGCGAAACGTTCAAACTCCTGCAGTGCATTCCTTTCCTTGGCTGTTGATATTAAGGCTGTGCTGTCATTATCCTCCTCACACCAACTCCTTGGGTGCGGCTGGCGATCTTTGGCCCTCAAGCATCAATTCACCAACTCATTCTCGTTACCGTCAAAGAATCTCATACCACGATGCTGGATCGAAGTCGCTGGCCCGCCAATCGACCACCTCATGTACATTCTTGGCTCCGCGATGCACGGACTTGATTTTTTGACCGTCAGGTCGGCATTTGCAGAAAGGCGCACGATATAGTGGGGGCAGAGGGGAATTGTGAGTGGTTTGGCAAAAGCGAATGGCTCTTCGGATCGGTACCAACGCCTGACTCAGAACTTCCCAGGCAGGGCCATCTTCCAACTCTGGACAAACCCTGTCCCAGATGCCTTCAAAAAGTTCCTCCTGGTCGCAGGTCCAGGCCCTGGCGCAGTATTTCTCCGCCCACCAAGGATAGAACCCGGCGGTCTCCCAGTCGAGAATCGCGATGATCTTGTCGTCCTTGACCATGATATTTCTGAGGTTGAAATCCCCATGGGTCAACACATACGGGTCTCCGCGTGGAAAGTTGTCTTTGATCTGTTGGAGTTTCTCTTCAATCACTTTCTCGTCTTTGATCAGGTACTGTCGACATAGCCCACCACGGATAGTTTCTGAGATTCCCTCCAGCCATTCGTCCATCGAATATCCTATTTTGAAGCAGGTGGGCGGAGCGCGACCCCTGCAGTTGGCGAGGATGCAATCGTCAAGTTTGTCGCCATTGATCTTTTGGGGGAAAGGTGCTGTGACTTGTCGCATTCGCTTGAGAATCTCCACCATTTGATCTCTGTAGCCCGCTTTCTGCTCGGCAGAACACTTGGGCCAGACGGAAGCCAGCGTCTTACCCTGGACTCGAGAGATGAGCGTGAATTGGAGGGAATCCTGAGGGTCACTTAAGGGGATCATCTTTTCCACCAGAGGCATATCCAGACCCGGTTGCTCTTTGAGGAACTTCCATGTCAAATAGTCATTCCCGCACCAGTCGTGCTTTGGTTCATCCTTGATCAGCCACTTGGATCCAATGGACCACATGCCCATGTTGTCACGGGCATACATGATTCTGACTCGTGGTGAATAGCCAGTGGTGTCTTGCTCTTGCGTAGACCAACCACACGCCCAGCATAGCAGAAGCGGCTCATGTCGGTGGTGAAACATTCTCCATCCAGTTTCTTGCCATTCTTTGCAGATATCGGGGGCAAGATTGGCAAAGTGACGTTCAGGATGGGTATAGTCGTGTTCGACTGGTTCGTTCCCGTTTTCATCGTCATGGTCGAACATCGTGACAGCTATCCGAAGAAAGGACCACAAGAGACAAATAGCATTGAGAAGGGGAGGAGAAGGAATCAGGAGAATCGGAGGAATTTGTTGATGGCAGTGGGAATGCAGATATATAGAGATTCGCGGAATCGACTGAAAGCTAGGTCCATTTCCGCAAACGGTAGACTCGCAACATTTCCGGACCATCTCTGCAGCAGAAGATACCGTATGAAACTCTTCTTTGAGCAGAATCCCGGCCCAATCTGTCTCTACACCTAGACGAAGTCAATGGCCGCAAACATCGACGTGAGCTTAAGGTGGCCGTGAGCATCATGAGCCGCTTGGTGAACTCGGTACAAGGAAGATACCGGAACAAGCATTGGTCTAACATACCATCGTCGAGGCCTGTGCTTTACACACGGCACGTGCCTCCCCAGAAGCGGACAATTTGTATAGCCTCTTTGTCGTGATTTTTGTTCGTTTCCTCACACAGCGAGCACATGACAGTAGCAATTCCGGACTAACCTGGTCTCTTTGTCCGAGACACATGGGCTTCCTGTCGAGGCATAACCCCTAGATGTACATCCGCGGACGGGCATCGTCATTACCAGTGCGCTAGGAGCATTGGCAGCAAACTGAAAATGGTCCCATAGCTATACCCGTTTAGTTTGACCGTGAGATCTCCAGCAGGAGCCTCGAAACAAGTCTCAATTGGTGATTTCCTTGGTTGATCTTGTTGAAAGGAGGATGGATCGGCTGGGGGGATCTCGTCTTTCGGGTCCAGCAGCAAGACAGACAGCTTCAAATAATCAGCACTACGTCTTTAAACCTTTCAGTGTTTGTAGGAGAGAGTGCTCAAGGCGATTCGTATCAACTCGCGAATCGACGCAACAACTGGCATCAACGATGGATGATGGAGATCAGCCCCACGGCCTCGCAGCCTCAAGCCTCCTTCCTGGGTTGTCGCCAAGAGCCGTTATCCCCGCAACAAAAATTGTTATCTCCGCAATTGGTATCATATTTTCCTGCGCACAACCCTACGAGCGCCATCGATCCTGGTGGCCCAAACTTTTCAACATCTAGATAACTATGCCTCGCCAGGCACACGGTAGGCCACTCCATGCGGCCAGAGCAAATACTACCGTCAAGAGGAAACCTGCCAGAAACCGCAGACTGAACGCACTCGAGATTGCGGAGCGAGAACATCCCGATGAGATTAAGATTCGACAGCACCGCCTCGGCCAGGTCGACGATGAGTTTCAAGATCCGCGCAGTAGGGCAGATGCCGACGAGCGGTCGTCGAAGAGAAGGAAACTTGCCATCACAGCTGCAGATGAGATTGAAGAGGAAGGTTCGGATCTCGAGGGCAACCGATGGCATCTGGGTGTGAACGAGGAGGATGAAGATAGTGACATTGACAGCGATGACGCCTTTGGTGCAAGCGATGAGGAAAGGTTTGCGGACTTTACCTTCCGCGGAAGTGCTACAACGTCCTCGGAGCCCAAGCGCCGGGGGGTTGCTGCTGCGTCCATTGAACCTGAACTCGACCTCGATGAAGAAGGCTGGGCTGGCGAAGAAAGCGAGAAGCCCGATGATGACCCAGATGACGATTTCGGGGATGAGGCTGTGGATTTGGCCACGGCTTGGGATATGGACGACCAAGAAAATGACGAAGTATCAAGAAGACGATCAAAAACGGGGACACGGCTCACAAACGACAATCACGACAACGACGAAGACTCCATGCCAGAACTTGGCGACACCCAAGAATCAGATGAGGACATGTCTCAATTTGAGGATGATGCGGAGTCGGAATTGTCCGTCTCTGAAGACGAAGGCGATCATTCAAGGCTTCAGAATTTTGTTGAAGGTCTAGCAAGCGGTGACAAGCGCCAATCAACTATCGAACGGCGACGTCTCCAAAATCTGCCAAATAAACCGTCGCAATTCGGTCTCAGCACTGCAAAAATCTCCGCTAGTGATCTTCTACACTATATCAAAGATCCTCGCCAGAGACAATCTCTAAAAATCTTGCAGAACAGCCAGAGCAAGGGAAACGACGCTTACAGAAGTGGAATTCCAGGGAAACTTGCCCCTCCTCTCGCAAAAAGGCAGCAAGATCGTCTTGATCGTTCTGCGGCATACGAGGAGACGAAAAAGGAGTTAGGCAAGTGGATCGAAACAATCAAGCAGAATCGACGTGCTGAGCACCTCTCATTCCCCCTGGTTGATGCTGCAGCAGCTGGTATGTTGAGCAATAAGCAACTTGGACCGACCGCTACTGCAGAGCCTATGACTTCGCTCGAATCAACAATCCAGAATATCATGACGGAGAGTGGGATGCAGCCGAAAGATAGAATGTCCCAGGAGGCTCAGGAACATGCCTTTGAGGAACTGAACGAGAAGAGAATGCCACTGGCGGAAGTGCAAGCCCGGAGAGCAGAACTGAGGCGGATGCGGGATCTGATGTTTCGTGAAGAAATCCGTGCACGACGGATCAAGAAGATCAAAAGCAAGGCATATCGTCGTGTCCACCGCAAAGAGCGCGAGCATGCAAGCCAGGAGAATAGAACTCTACTGGCGGCGCAAGGCTTGATCGATTCAGACGAAGAAAGAGAGAGGACCGAGCGCCGGCGAGCCGAGGAACGGATGGGCGCGCGTCATAGGGAGAGTAAATGGGCCAAAAGTGTCAAGTCTACAGGCAGGGCTGCTTGGGATGAGGATGCCAGACATGGTGTGACAGACCTTGCGAGGCGAGATGAAGAACTCCGCAGACGAATTGAAGGCAAGACCAGTACTGGCTTGGACGGGTCCGATTCAGAGTCTTCCGATTTCGACGGCTTCTCAGGTTCCGATGACGAAAAACAACACGTGGAAAGTAAGCTCGATGATCTTGAACGCGATGAAGTCGATACGTTCGAGACGAGGCTTGGCTCAATGGCATTTATGAGAAAAGCAGAGGCGGCAAGGAAAGCTGCCAATGAGGAAGAGATCCGCAACATAAGACGCGGTCTCCACGGCGATGAGGTAGGAGCGGTCGGCGAGGAGCATCTCGAATATGACGCCCCAGTGGGACGTCAAAAGTTTGGAGCGGTCACCCGAGATGTTACTGTGAAGCCACAACTTCATGTTTCCAAGAGCGAGTTCGAGGAACGCGATTCGGAGGCTGAGCTGGAAGAACCCCGAGCTCAAGACCAAACGGAAGGAATGAACGGCGATTTGCCAACAGCTATGAGGCCTAAAACCGACGAAATCAAGCTCAAATCGTCGTTGAAGCCCCCAGGCCCAGCGAAGCAGATGCCAAAATCCGACCTCAAAGGCGAGCTGTCGAGCAAGAATTATTCATCCAGCCTCGCCAAAAATGGTCGGAAGAAGCTGACACAAGTGCCACAGAGCCGCCTTCTCGATGATAATATTCCATCTGAGTCTGAGAATGAGCAGGATGAGAGAATCGCACTTGCACAAGCGATCTTTACTGGCTCGGATGAGATTCAGCAGGAGTTTGCGAAAGAAAAGAGAGAAACCGTGGAGGAAGAAGGGGATCAAATCGTGGACAACGGCCTTCCTGGATGGGGAAGTTGGACAGGAGAAGGAATCAGCAAGAAAGCTCAAAAGAGGGTCAAGGGTCGGTTTTTGACGACGGTCAAGGGTGTGGCGGAAGAAAAGCGACAAGACTCCAGGCTGGAAAAGGTCATCATCAACGAAAAGCGTGTCAAGAAGAACGGCAAGTATTTGGCCAGCGAACTCCCTCATCCATTCGAGTCACGACAACAGTACGAACGATCGCTTCGTCTACCCCTGGGACCTGAATGGACGACGAAGACTACGTTCCAGGACAGCACGAAGCCGCGCGTGTTGATCAAGCAGGGCGTCATCCAGCCCATGGCACGACCTCTGGCATAGAGGCCGAAGATAGATTGTGAGCAGTGGAGATGAAAAGCAGACCAAATGAGCAGGATCAGGATCGTGTCAAAATCAGTGCTTCAAGTTAGACGAAGAGGAGCACCTTACAGTATATGTGGAGTGGCATTCAGAAGAATTCAGCCTTGTCCTCAGACAGGACTCCTAATCTTGGCAACACGGCACGTGATCGACTTTCCACTGTCCTCTACAATCTCCTCGACCTCTGCCTCCTCCTTTCTCTCCATCACTTTGGAACACTCTGCACCACTTGCCGCCAGCGTCACGGACGGCCCTAGCTCTTTCCACCTCGCCGCCATGTCCACGTACGAAGCCCCGCCAAATCCTTGCTCTCATGCAGGAAGCAGCAATGGACAGCGTCTCAAATCAAGGGCACAAACTGTGCTATGCTCCCAACTTCGTTCTCGACCACATCATTTTTCTACACTCTCTGCCCTCCTGATCCGTCTATACGTTTTATCAACCCTCATTCCTAGTCATCAGACATCCTTTGGCCGCGTTTCCTATTCATATTCTTGGTCGCAGTTCTGCCGCAGTGTCACCTCGCCCCTAAGCTCGAGCCTCCTCGACCAGGTAGCCGCACAGATCGCCTTCTTCGCCGTGCATGTCCGCGCCAAAGCCTCCCGGTCTCGCTCTGGTATGCCCGGATGCCCCTCCCCACTACCTCACATACCATCTCGATCTGGAAAACTATTTTGCCCGCCATTTTTCTCCTCTCCTCAGCCTCGTCCCAGAGCTCGTCCCGTCTCCTCCCTGTTGAAGGAAGAGTAAAACTATTGTGATTCGGCTCTATACCTTGATTCGTGGACAAGAAGAGTATAGGAGCGCTCTGCAACCTCCAAACAGCACATCAACAATCCGCCGGAGATTCCGCACGCTTACCCATCGAGAAGACTACACTTCCCCCGCCCTTCTCCTTTCATGCGCCCTCAGTGCAGATCATGTTTGCTAACACTACTCCAGGTCCTGTTTGCTTCAGCCTTACCTATTCATCGGTTCTTCGGTCCGTTAAGCTCTCTAAATCCTGCATGTGATAGAGGTGGTCAAGATTTTTGATAGTGGCGGATTACTGACAATCCTCATCATCCAATCACACAGGTGCCAATGCAGCTCTTACCACTGACATCTTACCTCAACCCGCACCGTCCATATCAGGTCTGCATCCTCCCCGCTCGGCAGGATCGGTTGGTGGTGTTGACACCGCGGTTTAGGGGACACCCCCGACTCCAACATTGCATTGGCTGTCTATGACGCAGATGTTGAATCACAGAGCTATTCGTCTGCGATCACCTTTGCCGATCCACATCTCAGTATCCAAACCGTCACCATCACCGCATTACCTTCCTCGCAAGTTCCAACCGTGACTTCTGCAAGCCAAAGCGTTCCAGACACTACTGGTGTTAGTTTTATGCCTCTGCCCGTCCTCAAGCCTCAGATCGCTAATTTATCCAGTCATTAATTACGACTCTTGAAACCGAAGGGAATCCTCCCGTACAGCCTTTCCCTACAAGTATTCAAACTGTTGCCTCGCCCACTTTGGAGCCTCTGAATGGAACTGCTCCCTTCGGCAATTCAACAGCGATTAGTGCGCAGAGCACAGTGACCGAGACCATCACATTGCCACTGACAACTTTCGAAAGCATCTCGACCACGCAAACCGTGGCAACCGTGGCAATTGAAACGACCGCGGTTATAACTGCCGTCACAGTCCTCAACACCACTATTACTGCCGACGGGTCCATCGTAGCAACATCATCCGCAGGTACAACGGTCCTTACTACAACTGGAACAGCACTCGTCGAAACCACTTTGACAGCGTCATCAACCGTGACTGGGACGGTAGCAACAACCTTGACGGCGGCCCTCGGTTCAATCTCAAGTCTCCCCACCGCCAGTCCGGCCTGCTTGGTGAGCATGGGTTGCTCTGGACAGGATATCTTTCTGCCTGTTGCGCTGGGGCAACCCCCTAATAACATCGAACAAAGAGGTGGACATCCTGTTCCGCGGCTTGGGATTATTGATGTTGGCGGCCCAATCGAGACAAATAAATTCTACGAAAACTTCGTGCTAGGCTCCCAAGGCTCTCCCAGTTTTGTGATGCCGTACTCCCTAGCTTGGAGCAAGGGGAGTGGAAATGCCTTGAGTTGGGGAATGGCAATATCGCATCTTGATGACGACCAGAAGCATTTTGGGCCGAACAATACTGCGATCCCAGGCGCACCAGCATCTTACTACATCAATGGGCTCGGAATCCAGTCGGTGATCCTCTCCGCCGTCGAGTTTGGCTCAAACACAGTTCTGACAGCGGATTCCTTGTTGGCGTTCTCTGCAAACATCCATCTTCAGCCTTCAACCGGCTCACCTTCGGTGCTTACCATGTCGGTGGTCCAGGGCATGGCCTTTATCACTGGGCAATACGTCAATCTGCAGCCAGCGATACAAAGCAGCGTCTTCTTCCGGAATGTCGCTGCAGCGGGCGAACCGAAGCCAGGCATTTTCAAATACAGGGTCACTTTAGAAGACGGAAAACTGTGGCTGATATATGCTATACCAGCCAATGGACTCACCCCCAACTTCCAGCTCAGCTCAAGTACGTTACTCCGAGGCTTGCCAAATTGGTATGGAGATATACAGATTGCGAAGCTCTCTGATGACAGTTTGGAGTCTATATATGATGATGCGGCCGGCGCCTATCCAACAGCTGGACACATTTCCGGCTCCGCCCAGAACACGACCGCTCAATACAGTTTGTCTTGGTCCAAGGGAGGGGTTTATTCGAGCAACACGACTCTTCTCATGTTTGCTTTGCCTCATCACCGTGAGTCTTTCGACTCCTTTACCCAATGCAACGTCACTGCGATTGAGCTCGCCACCACAACCAAGGGCAACGCGACAGCAGTTGTGAGTGACTATTGGGTTCTGGAGGAGCGCAACCTCCCAATTACCCTGGGATTCGCGCCCTGGCGACCAGGAAATCCCACAGACTTCCAAGGGGCGAATTCCCTCTCCCCTGCAGCGCTTTCCATCATACAAAACGTCGCTGCAACTGAAGCCTCTCAGAACATGTCAGTCCAAACAAACCTCAACAGCATGTATTATAGCGGAAAGGCTCTGAGCAAATTCGCGCAGCTTGTTTACACCATGCACGATCTCGCGAATCAGCAAGATCTGGCAAACGCCGCGTTACTGGAGCTTGAAAGCTGCTTCGAGGTCTTCGCAGATAACCAGCAACAGTATCCTTTGATCTACGACACGGACTGGAAGGGCCTGGTGTCCTCAGCGAGTTATGTGACAGGGGATCCCGGTGTAGACTTTGGAAACTCCTACTACAATGATCACCACTTTCACTACGGCTACTTCCTCCACGCAGCTGCTGTCGTTGGTTATCTGGACCCTGCCTGGCTCAATCAGAACAAGGATTATGTGAACGCTTTAGTTCGCGATGTCTCCAACCCCAGTACTCTGGATCAATATTTCCCGGTTTTCCGATCCTTTGATTGGTATCATGGGCACTCATGGGCCAAAGGACTTTTTGAGTCTGGCGATGGCAAGGATGAAGAATCCTCTTCTGAGGATGCTATGTTTGCATACGGGCTGAAGATGTGGGGCAGGACGGTCGGCGATGCCTCCATGGAAGCTCGTGGCAATCTGATGCTCGCAGTTCTGGCACGCAGTCTGCAGAACTATTTCCTGATGACATCGGACAATACCAATCAGCCCGCCGCTTTCATTGGGAACAAAGTGACCGGCATCCTGTTTGAGAACAAAGCAGATCATGTCACCTACTTTGGTACTGATCTGAGCTATGTTCAAGGGTATGATACACTGTTTACTTCTCACACTTCCGCTTGCTACGTTGCTGATTACTCGCAGCATCCACATGATCCCTCTCATGCCTTTCTCGACGTTGACTCGGACCGGTAAGAGCTTCCACCAACCGAAGTCGCGCACCAAACTGACTTGCCTGTGACAGAGCAATTCGTAACAGAGGAATGGATCACATACTTCGCAGATGGCGCCGTTCGACAGGTTATAGATATTACTGGTGGCTGGAAAGGTGAGCGGTACGAGGACCATCTGATGGAGCGCAACACTGACAATCCTCAGGCATTGTGTATGCGAATTTAGCAATCATCAACCCAACAGCAGCGTACAATTTCTTCACGCAGCCTAGTTTTGACATGGGATGGATCGATGGCGGAGCGTCCCTGACGTGGTACATTGCAATGAGTGCCCTGTTGGGAGGGACGCCGTCATAGACAAGGGCTCCAGTGAGAGAGATCTGAGCTCGATCAGCCAACAGAAAGTTTGCAACAGACGGCAATGATCAGGGCATGGTCTGGAAAACGGTACCGGCACACGCATCTGAATTCAGGCAAGGATCCGGGCCAAGCACGGCATCAGGTCTGCATGAAGAGTGTTTGGCTTCCGGGATCGACGCGAGTGAATAAATTCTGCTCCTCCCTTCTGCTCAAAAGTATCGATTTAGTAGAAAGCCAACGTTCCCGTTTCCTCAGCGTTATCGTTGTCCACTCTCCAACCCATGGATGAGGATCTAGGAAGCTGCATCCGCCACAAACGCCGTCGACGCATTGCAGTTCAGTCGAGGGCGGCATGCCTCAGCTCTCGTTCATCTACGCTCCATCACCCAAACAAAAGCCTTGCTTGCCTGTCTTTCAAGGATTCCGACATGTTCTGCTCGCTTTTCTCCATCTCCGCCCTGGAGATGCCATCGTCCCAGTAGAAGACCAATCCCAAATCCGCGGCGGCCTTTGTACCGGCAGCCGCTGTCTTCACCAAGGGGGTCTGTTTCAAGACCACGCGGGAGAGTAGTCTTTGAAGAAGCCGAGGCGTGATTTTGTGAGGGCGACCGCTGTGCCAGTCCTTGAGACGGGGCCCGGGCCGGGGACCTTCCAATATCAGACAGGACTGGCTGTCGAGCCACTCCTGCTGCTGGATGGCCTCAGGCGAGATCCACGCCGGGGTCCGGCGCCGGACGAACGGTTCCATCTCCCTCCTGCCGCTCACGAGGTCGTGGAGCTCCCGGTACTCGTCTTCCGGCAGTGGGGGAAGCGCGGCCTTGACGTTGTGGTTGTACCATTTGCGGCGCAGGTTCTTGTACCGCGACTGCGGGAGCGGTTTGCCCCAGATGGTTGTCTCGGGCGGGTTGAATCGCGACTTGACTTTGAGGTGGGCGCCGACGCGCGTGAAGTAGACCTGTTCGCTGGCTTGGGACGCGATCAGGGCGAGCAGGCGCGGGGGAAGCTCCAGATTCTCCCATTTTTCGGTCGGCGCGTCTTGCTTCCCGCGGGGACGAGGCGTGGCGGGAACGGAGGTAGTGCCGTCGCCATCACCTCGCGCGGTCGTGACTGTGGGCTGTAAAGAAGGGTATAATGTGTCCTCTTCTGTGGTGCTCACAGAGTCCTCCTCCTCCGCCGCCACCTCCCCCGCGTCGTCCTTGAGTGTTTCATCAAGATCTAGTTCCGAGCTGGTAGGAGAGACGGCGTCCGCCAATGCCATTTCCGCGGTCGCGATATTCTGGCCCTTTGCGTCTTTTCCAAGTCCCGTTCTTCCGCCTTCAGGGCCCAGGGTGGCGGGTGGATACAAGAACTTTTCCAGGAGGTCATATTTCCTGGGCCCTTTTCTCCCGTAGGTCATGCGTAACACGTTCTCCAGCGCGGCGGTGTACCCTTGGTTCGCATGCCGGAGGATCGAAGCCAGTTTCCTGGCCTGGTGGAGCAGTCGCGTCACTTGCTCGGGCGCAAGGTCTCGGTCACGGCGGTGGAGTATGCGGCTTCGGTCGCCTCCTCCGGTGGTAGGCAACTTGGGAATCCAGCGCCGGAAGCCGTCGATGGTGAATTTTCGCATGTACGCCCGACATTGCGGGAGGGGGAGGTAGGAGCATTCTCGCAGGCACGCCCGGTAGATGTGTAGCGGGTTCGTTTCTGGGGGAGGCATTCACATGGTTCGATTGGACTGTAAAGGAGCGAGCGGTTGGGGTGCTGGTGTATTGCAAGAAGGTGAGTTACCTAGGTGCACTACAAGTACTCCGTGCAGAGCAGCCGTGTACAAAATATCTACGAGGTAGTATGGGCGAGTGGTGCCAGAAAGTTGAATGGGACATGTTGGCCAATGAGCGCTCGCGATGATCGGAGTCGGGAGCGAGCACAGCTGGACCCCGTTAGGACGGCATGACACTCGTCCTAAAACGACCATCAGTTTTTCAATGTTTCTTGCTCTTTTGTCGACGCTTCAGCATCGCAGAACGTCCATGGTTTTATAGCCGAAGAAACGCGAAGGGCGCCAGGACACTCCTACAGTTGCCATGGTCAAGCCTTCGCCTCAACTATGCGCCCGCCTGCGCTTCACCACCAAGCAGGTTGGCCGCGGATTCTACCGCGGAAATCGAGCTGGAGCGATGGGTGCTCACACCGAATTCGGCCGTTACGTGATCGACTGGCGGAAGACTGTACATTATAACATGCCCGAGATGAAAGACTTTCCAGTAAGCTCCTCCCGGGAATGTTCTGCGGGAAGTTCAGACACTAACTACTGGCCGCAAACTAGCTCACACCCTTCGTGACCATGGAGATGGAACCGAAAAGCAGAGCCGAGGATCGCCCCGACGGGACGACGTACGTACCGAGTCGGATCGATGCGCTGGAATTCCTGAGAACTTGGAAAAAGATCAATCCATTGGAGTATGATGGCATTGTCGCTCATCAGGAGGAAGAACGCCGACGGTTTGCGGCTGCAACAGCTGAACAGAACCATGAGGAGACGCAGGAGCAGGAGCAGGGGCAGGAGCAGGAGCGGGCCCAGCAGGAGGCTGAACGGTGGGCCCGAGAACAAGCGCAACAGCGACCCCAGAAGCGGATTCAAAAGCAAGTACAACAACAAACGCGATCCATCCATACGACCAGGAGATTGCGGACACCTGCCCAGGCTCCCGTGGTCCCAGAGCAACCCGACCAGCCGGGAAAGGAGTGGAATCAAATGTCCAGAGCTGAAAGGAAGGGACTGGTCAACAAAGCCACCACGTCGGAACTACGCCAGCTCAGACGAGAGCGCAAGGGCTCCAAAATCACACCGCAGGAGAAGAAGGAAACCAAGAAAGATGTCAAAGTGCGGCTGAGAAGGGAACTTCTTGGCAAAGGACTGTTCCAGGACGAGAAGGAGCTCCAAAAGCTGTTGACGGAAGAAGGCCGTCGGAGGAAGCGAGCCGGTCTGCCTCGCGCGACGGACGAAGAGAAGGGCCGATTTTTGGACGGGTTACAGCACAAGACCGAGGCGAAGGGGCTGTTTGACAAGATATTCGGTGGAGGAAGGCAATGACCAGAATGCTTGCCCGCTAAAGCCTTGCCCCGACATGGTAGAGGCTTTCAGACGCCCTCGATGAGGAATTCGCGCTGGCCAGCTGCCGCGCATTGGGAGCCACTTGCTGCGGAGTGGCTTTAGCAGCGACGCAGTCTGAACTGCTGTTCACGCGACAAGGCATCTTTGTCTGAAGGCCTCCCAGAGTTGGAAGCCTATGGCCAGCCTCATCGAACCACACAGCGCGGGGAACCATGAGAGGGTACTGAGAATTGCAATTCCGGGGGAACATTGCGAGCGTTGGACAGAGCCATGTCACATGTATTATTATACTGCCTTGGAGGACGGGTGGTGGCGTATATCTACAGCGGCCCTGTCAAAGGCCTGTCTGTGGTTTGTCCGCCGCTTCCTCCTGCAAGCCTGCAATACCCGTTTCTTCCACATCGTCCCCCGAAACATCCGCAACGCCAAGCCTCCAGTGCCCATTGTCGATGCCGGTGCCAGAAAGGGAGGATCAGTATAGAACAGTGTTCGTACTTAGTGGTATCACGAGGGCATGGTATTATGTAGTAAAACGAGGCCACTTTGACAATCCCATCCAGTGCATAGAGGGTGTACACGTGCTTGGGCATTGTAAGACTCTACCGTGACTACTTAGCAACCTGGTCACCTCCACCACCCACCTCCTATTCACGGCGGCAACGGATAGATGAGAGTGAACTATAGCGACGGGCTAGCTTGATATTCCCTTTGCTTGATATGTTGATCCCCTTTCTATTCGCGAGATCGCGGCATGAACCTGCGCCCCTTTATCAAATCTTTTCATAGAAATTCATGTCAATACTGGACACCGTCATACATCCAAGCCACTTCTCTGCCACAACATCTCTGCCCTAAAGTCGAAGACGTAGAGGATCGCCAGGCACAGGACAATCCCGGAGCTGTCACTCTCTTCTACCTGAGGTGCAAGTCGCCGCAAAGGACCGCCTGTTTCTCACGGTTCACTTCTGCCCTAGGTGTTCCGAGTCCTTCAAGAAAGATAGGGGATGCGAAGTGAACGTGTAGGCTCCCATAAGAGCTTCTTCGCCCGCTCGGCTGACTTCTATCGCAAGTGCGTCAAAGGGTTCGTCGTGCACTTCATCAGTTTCGTGGTTCGTGGGACTCGCTCTCGGTGCAGACCACGATTGTTTCCCAAGAATCATCTGTCCGGTCGTGGCTTTTCTGACTTCATTTTATCTTCCTCAAATTCCGGCGCCAGAATACTTTCTTCCCACCTTTTGGGCGATGATCCGGAAGAAGGTGGCAGAGAAGGCGCGAGGGAGGCGTAGCCTGAGTCACGTGGTGAGTCTGCCATTGAAGTTGGACGGGTCGGCAAAGGTCGGTAGGGGTATGATGAAAGTCGTGATGTTGGCCCAGAATGTAGGTGGGAGGCATAGCCTGAGTCCGGTAGTGAGTCCGCCATTTTTGACATTCGTTGGAAGCGCATATACGCCCGGTGGGTTAGTGATGGCATAGTGAGACCGTGCTGTTCGTCCCCTGAGGAGATCTAATTATGCGGAGTCAGTAAGTCTCGTTGTCTGGCTGTGGTCTATATGGGCTTGTGGTGACTTGCCTCGTTCTCGCTGTCCGACGTCGAAGGGTTTAATGCTGTACGGAAAAGAGCCAGTGGATCTGCAGACACGCTGCTCTGAGAGTCCAGCAGGTACCTCTTGCAAAGTACGTCGAGCAAGGTCGGAAGCTTAACTGAAGCCATGCCGAATGTCTGCCGGATATCTTCCAGGCTACGAGTCATGGGAATAACATAACCTGCTCCAAAGGTATCGGAGGCGACGACGTGGCCGTAGACTTCAAGTCGAGATGCATGAAGTACCCAGGACCCTGAATCACCGTCACCGATCTCTACATATCTGGTCAGCAAGACAGCGGTTTGGGGGGTTGAATTAACTCTACCGGCATCTCCGTCTAATTTGAGCGTGTACGCATCCACAAACTCTCTGCCATGACCGAGCAAGACTCGACAGGGCAGAGACGACAGCACCCCAGACTGAATTCCTTGCAGGCCACTCTTCATGACGACTGGGCGTGTCCTTGGGGATTCCATGAAATTAATCGTGCCCACCGTGAAGTCCCCTGAGCGGTGGCTGTGATCGTCGCCAAGCTGGTTAACGCTATAGTTGAGTCGGTCGTCAATGTCAATCAGAGCCCAATCATAGTAGTGTGGACGCTGAGGAAAATCCGAAACGGGGGGATCCAAGATCTGTCCTATGTTGTCCCACAACTCAGGCTTGGGCGACGGGGTTTCAGACAATAGCGATTTGATAAGGCCAGAAGCCTGTCCGAGCACCAGGGGATCGCGCTTGTCAAGAGGATTATTAGGGACACTGAGGTCCTCGTTGTCATCTTCGTCGTCTGAGATCAAGCTGTCGCTGTTGCTGTCACTGTCATCATCAGCGACAGTGAGATTCAGATCATAGGTGCCTTTCACTTGATCTGTGAGGTGACCAGCAGTCATGCCGTACAAAACATAATCACCTTCGCGAGAGGTCAGCTTGACGAGACCCCCGCAGGTTCCAATCCGAGATTCAACGCCCTTGACCAGCTTCATCGGTGCACCACACAGCGTTGTGTCCAGAGACCGAGGTCTCTCTATATTGCTTATGCAGACATTGATAGCACCGCCTCTGGTCTTCGGAGACTGGCCAACCACCAACACCTCAAAGGAGGGTATTGATGAATCTTGTGGTTGAGTGATAGCCTTCACGTGTTGTTGTTCAAAGAACTTTCGCGCCCGTTTGGCACGCGCCTCATGGCATAAGACCACGATCCAGGCTTTAGCGGTGTCTTCAGTATGTCCAAGCACCATCAGCCTCAGGGCCATGGGCTCACGCTTTAATGAACGTTTTGTCAATTGATGGAGTAATGGCCCTTCGACCCGCTCGAGGACATCTTTGAAGCGAGCAATCGTCGCTGTGTCAACGGGTTTATCGAATTCTCGCAAGCTGTCGCCACTGGAGGGAGGGAAAAGTACAATGCCTGTCCTATCACTACTGGCAACTCTCGACGGGTTGGATGTCTTTTCCAGGGTTTTCGGGGAGTGGGACGCGCTCGCATAGCCAGAGTCTGCACGGCTATCGTAGGAGATATTCTGATTGATATCGATTGGTAGGGGATGCTCGCTGGTCCTGCTCTCAGGAGGGATGCCACTATTTTCGGGGGTAGCAGTAACGTCGCCCATCGTTGTTTCCTTGCAGAGACAACGGACTGGAGTTTGAGGCGTTCTTTCCAAAGAGACTTCGGTCAATTTTTCATGGAGGAGCGAGTTGGGAGGAGGGTGTAGATGAAGAGAGAGGTAATGTAGTCGGTTCAGCCTCACCACTGCACAGCCCCGCCAACGCACACAGCTCCAATGGCAGCATCTCTCTTAGCGACCACAGCCACCACCGCGAGTCTGCGACAGCAAAGACACGCTGGGCCATGCGCGTGCTGCGCCTCCATTGTGAACATGGGCATTGACACTCATGGGAAAGACGAGAACGCATGACAAGCCTCCTCCTCCTCCTCCTCCTCCTCCGTCCTAGACTCTTGCTCTATCCAGCAGAATGATCTTCTTGTCGTCGCCGTTCCCCCTAGAGCACGTTTCTGACCAACAACTCCAGCGACTGTGCGAGGTGCTTTGGAGCTGGAAGATTTGTCTGAGCTGCAAAGCAGGACAAGGCTGCACGACACCTCATTGCTCATGGCCACGATCACAAAGACTGGCCGGGTATTTTGCATTCTACAAGGACATCACGGCTCTCTATGTCCCTGAATTCCTCCCCGGTAGCCATCCTGCCCTAAGAAGTCACGAGGATTTGTTCGAGATCATCCGAGTGCTCAAGTCTCAGCCTGATGTGCCACGCTTCCAGCTGACGAAGCACTATTTCTCGACTCGAGACGGCGGCAATGCTCCTATGCCGCCCATTTCTGACCAGGACAGAGCTGTCAGTCTCGCTGTGAGGGCCATGGCAATGGTCAAATGCTCCGCCGAGAAGCAATCTTTGGACTTTGTCGAGCTAGGGACCAAATCTCTGCAGTGGCGCCAAGAGATCTCGCTCTCTCAGTTTGTGACAGAGGCATTCCCGGAGACAAGCCACCCAGCGCTCAGTGAGAAGGACAATACCGGCAGCTCCTTGGAGATTAAGGCCCAGTTGACAGCACAGAGACTCAAAAAGATTGCGGGCCTGAAGTTCCAGCCGACGAGTGATCTTGGAGAACATCTGAAGCTTGACCAGAAGCTCGGGGTGGTGCATATCTTCCATCACACAGCTTTCCTGACCGAACACCTGATCGCAAGCCAGTCAATCTCCACGACGGTCTCCGTCGGCAAAGCCATCGAACTGTAGGCGCCTCCAACCACCACTACCGCATCGAGTGCAGGCTGACTATCGCAGGGCCAACATTCCACGCCAACTGGCGCTCGAGTCGCTCGACTCGGTACAACGAATCCTCTTCCCACCCGACATACACTCACAGTCCCTCCTGCGCTCCCTCGTCTCCAAAGCCGCTTTTGACCCCGACTGCCTGCGCTTTGAGTCCGCCCCTTACCGCTCCGACGATGAAAACGACATCACCTACCATCACTTCTGCTCTAGGCTGATGGACCTCTATGACGAGACCATCAGTCCGACGCCACGCAGCCTTGTCGACAAATGGGTTGAAAAGAGAAGCGGTGCGAGACATGTCATGATGGCGACACTCGTCGGTGTAATTATCGCCATCATTCTCGGAATACTCTCCCTTGCTGTTTCGATCTTCCAGGCTTGGGTCGGGTATCAAGCGTGGAAACATCCCCTACCCAATGTCTGAGCTCACAACGCATCCAGGGGAGGCTCAAATCTTCGACTCCATGGGGTCGCTCTCTAATGTTCTCGAAAATCGTCCATCTCTCTGGTTGCTGCTCTCTCGAACTTAGCTCTGCATTAAATCTTCCCAGCGCATCTTGGCAGTCAAGGTAGACCATGAAATAAATAAATAAAAAAGGCCCCTGGCGCGCAAAAAGGAGCAACTCCTGATACCAAACTACTTACAACTGTCCCACCTCCATACTCCACTGTGCGGTTCTCCCCAACTGGCCATCTGCCATGTCTCCTCGTCTGCTGTCGCACATGTCGGAGGTGGCAGCTTGGTCAGGTATCCGACGTGTGAGCTCACGGGTGACATGGACTGTAAACTCGAGGCGCAGTTTGGATGTAGAAGTCTGGCGATGCTGCTTTTGGGAAGAATTCCTATTGGATGAGCCGCCAACCGCAGCGAGAGCCACGGTCCTCAGCTGCTTCGATAGGGCGGCATCGCCATCGTCCCAATGGGGTTAAGGCGCGCCCTCGATTCCACGTCGTCTTGGCATCTGGAAACTGAATTTTGTATGTATTTCGTCTTCGCAGCCACCCCGCAATATCAACTGAGTCACACCATTCGCCTCCAGATATATCCTGCGAACATCGAAGGCTCCCTCAAACCGCAAGACATTCGACACAGCTTCTGTTGACAAGTTGACCGCTCTGGGCTACTTGTAGAAACTCTGAAATCTGTACGGCCTCAAGCCATCCACAAACATGGCTACCAACGGCGATCTGCCCTCTGACGATGAATTTTCTCAGCCTGGCACCCCCCCTGGCGACGAGAATGATGTCGATGACATTGAAGAAACCAACCAACCACCCAAATCCGCGCTGAAGAAGAACACCTCGGCCGCGATTCCTGAACCACAAGTCCCTCGCCCTGTCCTGCCCGAGCAGCCCGACCCGAAAGATCTCGATGTCTCGAAACTAACTCCTCTGTCACCCGAAATCATTGCAAGGCAAGCCACGATCAACATCGGCACAATAGGCCATGTGGCTCACGGGAAGTCGACCGTCGTCAAGGCCATCTCGGGAGTCCAAACCGTCCGATTCAAAAATGAGTTGGAACGAAACATCACCATCAAGTTGGGGTATGCCAACGCCAAAATCTACAAGTGTGACAATCCAGAGTGTCCGCGACCTACATGTTACAAATCCTACAAGTCTGAAAAGGAGGTCGACCCTCCGTGTGAAAGAGAAGGGTGCGGAGGCACGTACCGACTTCTCCGCCACGTGTCTTTCGTCGACTGTCCTGGGCACGATATTCTGATGAGCACCATGTTGTCTGGCGCCGCAGTCATGGATGCAGCGTTGCTTCTCATAGCAGGAAACGAAAGCTGTCCCCAGCCACAGACCTCGGAACATCTTGCTGCCATCGAGATCATGAAACTGAACCATATCATCATCCTACAGAACAAGGTCGACTTGATGAGGGAAGAGGGGGCACAAGCACATTACGAGTCGATTCTGAAGTTCATCAAAGGCACTGTTGCAGATGGCTCACCGATTATCCCCATCTCTGCTCAGCTGAAGTACAATATTGACGCCATTAACGAGTACCTGGTCACCAAAATCCCTGTTCCGGTGCGAAATTTCAGCGCCGCACCACATATGATCGTAATTCGATCATTTGATGTGAACAAGCCCGGCGCTGAGATCGAGGATCTCAAAGGCGGCGTCGCGGGCGGTTCTATCCTCACTGGCGTCCTCAAACTCGGCGACGAAATCGAGATCCGCCCGGGAATCATCACGAAAGACGCAACAGGTCAGACTGTGTGCCGCCCCATCATGTCCCGGGTTGTGAGCTTGTTCGCCGAACACAATGATCTGAAATTCGCCGTGCCTGGAGGCCTTATCGGCGTAGGCACCCGGGTTGACCCCACACTCTGCAGAGCAGACCGTCTAGTCGGCCATGTACTGGGGTTGAAGGGCCAACTCCCTGAAATCTACATGGAACTTGAGGTTAACTACTTCTTGCTCCGGCGTCTGTTGGGCGTCAAGACCGCGGATGGCAAGCAAGCTAAAGTGGCCAAACTAGCAAAGAACGAAGTATTGATGGTGAATATCGGATCAACAGCAACGGGTGCCAAGGTTATGGGCGTCAAGGCCGATGCGGCCAAGTTGACTTTGACTAACCCCGCCTGTACGGCTATCGGAGAGAAGATTGCGCTGAGTCGGAGAATCGAGAAGCACTGGCGATTGATCGGGTGGGCCAATATTGTGGCAGGCAACACCATCGAACCGGAGTCTTCTTAGGATGAGACTTTGAGATGAGACTACGCCATGTCGGGGGGGTTGAAAAGTGCGAGGAAGGCCAAGAACGGAAAAGAGAAGGAAGGACAAGGAACCCTTGAAATTTGAGGGAAAGAACTGGATTTCAGCCAGCGATGCTTGGATCAGGCTGGACAGATTGAAGTTTGACATGACAGCGATGGCCATGGCAGTGATGAGATTGACATGGCACAGCGACCGCAAAGTATGGATGAATTCTACATGACACACCTGGCGGAAGCAGACAACTGTGTCTCGGGAGTTATTGAACTCTCATGTCCTCTTTTCGCGACCACATGGACCAGACATGCTCTGGGATGAAGCGACAGGTTCCCGAAAGCGTGTCGGCGAGAGAGAGCAGTGGATTGAACGTGACACGAAGACGAGATGCATGACGAAAGAGAGATATCGAAGAATAGAGGAGACAAACCCAGTGATCATGGCTCCATTGACCAAAATGTGCCTGCGTCTGGTCCCAGTTCCAGCCCGAGTCCGAACAGATCCCCCGGTGGGCGAGAGTGCCATCCCAGCCCATATTGAAAGTCCCAAGGATCGAGAACGAGGTCCAAGGCAACCAACGCCACACTCTGGCTCGTATGATTCCCTTTACGCCCCAGCTGCATCGGACTCGGACCAGCCAAAACAAAAACAATCTATGAGAAGGGGCACAAGGGGCGGCGGACTTGGGAGTGGTTTGATGAACCGGCGTGGTTTGGAATTGGGACTGGAACGGGCACTAGGAGTGGGAATGAGAACCAGAGTCTCTCAAGCTCCCCCGGACTGATTTCTAGAACCTGATTCGGGTAGTACGGTAGAAGTACATCACAACATACGTTGTACGGACCTTTATTTAGACAGGAAGAGAGAGAATCGAGAGCTACATCAGAAATCAAAGTTCCCCAGGACCCAAACTGACGGACAAGAAGGACGGAGACTATACTGTATTGATTGATACGCTACAGTGTGAAATTCGCCCATCGAGGTATGTAGTAGTTAGGCTCTTGCTCAATATGGAATACGAGAAGTGAAAAAGAGAATGTGTCTCTCTCTCCGTGTGATATTAACCCCTTCTTTTCCTTGGACTAAAGGAGGACGAAAGGTATATATATATATATATATATATATACATAAACCCCGAACAGTCGTCGCCCGCGCCTTTTTCACTGACTCATGACCCGTCGCTTTACTCTCCCGCTAACGACTATTTAGTCGACTCGCTCCCTCGTCCGCTCTCTTCTGCTTCCTCCCTCTCTTTCGCGCTCCTCTTGTACTCCCGTCTGCTCCCTTCCGGCTCTGGCCCGCTCCTACTGTACTCCCTCACGTGCCAGCGAGGCTCCCGTTCGGGCTCTAGTCTTTGGATCTTTTTGCTGTTTGAAACCGGGGACGACCGCTATGAAGCCAATTGAAGTGTCATGTTGGTAAAGACTCGAAGTTAAGTATGTATCTGACTTGATGCTGAAGCAAGGAAAGTACCGTGTCGAGCTTGAAGGACGTGCTGCTTGAATTTTAATTTCTGATCCGGGCTGCTATGATCTCTGTGACGCCTTTCTCTCGCATTGATAGCCATGCAACCGTCACACCGGTTGAAATTGTGACATGGGATTGATATGGTGCAGTTGTGATTGGGGTGGCCCCTTGGCGCCCCAAGGACACGTGACCCACTGTAATGACGCTCAAAGCCGTCAGTACTGTCATTATAACGCTAGTATTATATAGTCTGACGGATCCCTCAGACCCTCTGAATCCATCATGTCCTCCAAGAGTCACATCTGCATCGCTACGACGCATCGCACCCCTCGCCAAACTAGCAATTATATCTCTGACCCTAAGCTCCTTGCCTGTACTCCGACAGTGTTTGATACACGCCTACCGAAAACCGCGCTTTTCATCATACGACCAGTATCATCGTATGACACGGAGAGACAAGTGTGATGCCTGCAGGAAGGCCAAAATCAAGGTACGTGCGACGAATAAGTTGTGTACACCCTGCATCTGATAACCATATAGTGTGATGAGTCGTCGCCCCAATGTTTCAACTGTGTTCGTCTGGGGAAAGCCTGTACTCGTGACCAGTATACAAAGGCTCAGTTCAAATTTGTCGAGGTAAAAGCTAGGATACCGGAGGGAGCCAAACAGCCATGCTTACCCTCCGCTGATGGGCTCGAGCCAGGACGCCTCGAATGCGCAAAGGGCTTTATTGGGACAGAGGAAATCCACCGTCGTTGTGAGACATCGACGTGACACTGGACAGGCAATCGGGCGAAGGGCAGCGAGACCGATCGAATCAGAACTGTCCCAAGCCGACCTCTTCTGGTCTCGCTCCGAAAGTTCTACGCTTCTCGCCAGATGGGCGTTCTCGACCGAAAATTATATCGATCATGTGGACAGCTATGGCGGCTGGTCCACCTATGTGCCTTGCTATCTCGGGAGAAGTGAGGCAGTCAGCAATGCTGCGCGCTGCTTCATGGAATGTAGACAAACTTTGGCGAATCAAACCGAGACTAACCTTAGAGCTCTCGAGTTGTCTAACGTCGATGCCGTGCGAAGTATTCGACAGGCCCTAGAGACGAGAGGTTCGCCCCCTTGTAAAGGAGACATTCTCCTAGCCGTCCAGCTGCTCTACGTCGTTGAAGTAGGTCGCCTACCACTGCCAAACGATTGAATGCTGCATATCTTGCTAATACCGAATGCACGCTAGGTCATGCTGACCCACAATCCCTCCGCCTTCGTCATCCATGTTGAGGGCTTGATAGCCCTTTTGAAAGCGCACAAGAAGCACCTGGGCGACCCAGATGACCAGGAAGAACTGATGAGCAGAATTATTTTTCAGTCGACATTCGCCAGCGGGGCAAGATCGTCAAAACACCTGCACCTTTCCATGTTGCTGCAGATATGCTGATGATGGGATTGTAGCTGGTCCCTGCCATGTTCGCCGGAACGAACCACGGTCTGGACGACCCAGAATGGCTGACAACTCCCCTGCTGCCGCGGGACATTTCCGGTGTTTCCAGAACAATGACACAACAGACTAGCGCGAGGGTTGCTCACTCTTTCCTTCTTATCCCGCGTCTGGCACGCCTAGTCAGGCTTCTCCGCGCCTCCGCAAATGAACCAGACGCCTAGAAGGAGGCCCTCGAACTCGCGCAGCACCTCTTCAATAACACAGTGGACGCCGAATTCTTCCGTGAGGCTACAGCTTCTGGCGAGCTTCGCCTCGAGCAGACGGTACTTCGGGAAATTGTTGAGGCAGTGCCAATGTCGTACCGCTTCGGATCGGTGCGCCTGTCAGTGTTGCTGTCAAGCTACTGGTCCTGTCGGCTCTTTATTTGTGGGTTGGTAGAAGCCCTGCTAGCCGTGTCACCAGTTGCGTCGCTCATGTTCGACGAGTGCACAGTACACAGCGAGGACGGTCGCGTGGCAACTGACGCCTTAATGGCTACGCAGCACACCGTCATGACAGTGGCAGCGGCGACAGACAAGACCCCCCACCGTGGCAGTGAGATGCGGCTGCTGATGCTACTTAATGCGGCCTTTGGCTCTTGGGTTCGACTGGAGAGAAGGCTGGAGGCATCGGGGAGGAGGCTAGGGAAAGAGAGACTGAAGCGAGCAACAAGGATGAAGCAGTCGTGTTTGGACATGGCGAATCGACTTCTAGTTGCATCGCATGCTGCCCCCATGACGGAAACTGGGTTGAAGGCTATTATAGACTTGTATTCCGGCGGTTCTCTAGTCGGCACCTAACCAACGACCGAGGTCTCGAAACATGCCACATTGTCTCTGTGCCAAGTCAACACGGAGACATGAGCAGGCCCCGACGAAGGCCGACAAGTATCCAGATCAAGCCTGCGTGTCTCCAGCATGTGGTGATTCTAGCCGAGCAACAGCATGCCACTGATGTCTGGAGGAGCAAGATAGTCCAGCAATACCTGTTCAGGGGGGCGCAGACCCTCCTCAATTCCTACTGATTATTACATGACACAGAAGAACATATTGAACTGGGGCGAGGCTTCTAGCCATAGGCGCCAACTCGTACGGCGGTAGGTAACAGGCACGTTCACATCTTGTAAAGCAGTTGATTGATTGTGTTGTTGTCTCTCTATCTCCCCAGACGAATGACAAAAGAAAAGACCACCAAGCTAAAGTGGTACCCTCGAACTGGCCAATCAGAGAGTGGCAACGTTTGCCTGTACAATGTACAGCCAAAAGTCGACCAATCACCTTGCTCGTCCGCCTTGTACCTCAGGTCCCCTTCAAACATTTCCCATTACAATATAGACATAGAACAGACGGCGCCTCACATCCTCCCTCCAGGAACCATGCTCAAGGTTACGTTGTCTTGTCGTGGGTACTTACTCTTCCGCTCGCCTTTGCCCTAGGCACGAGTGTCATGTCTGATATATCGAGGATAATGAAGTTAGGCAAGGAGGACCCTGAGTAATATGCGACAAAGGGATCGACGAGTCAAGTAGGGAAAAAAAGAGCCGGGTGCAGCGGGAGTTCGAAGCAGACTTGGGATCAGTTGAATTACCTACTCTCTTTTCCGCTCTCGAAATCTAAGTTTGCGTTCTTGGTGTCGATCGAAGACTCGCCTATATTTTTCTTTTCAAGTGCGGCGGGAAATACCTCGGTCTTGGTGAATTGAAACCTGATACTTCGGCCCGCCTTAATCAAAGATACGAGATATCTATCTACCTACTCACCCTTCCACCCATCCTATCTTTGTAATATTTACCAGTCTCAAGTCGCTCTCAAATAGCTTCCAAAGAACTCCGCCAATTCGCCGTACCTAGGACGTCGCGTGATGTCAGTCCAAACCAAACCACGAGATCAAACCAAAGGTCTCTCCAATAGCACTCACCCTCGCTCGAATTCTGCTCGACTGTGAAGCCCTTCAAGGTCCGCACGCGCACCCATCCAGCCATGCCACATGGTGCTGTATGTCTCGACATGTCCACCAATACCGTTCGACCTGACAACGTCGGCGTAGACTTTGACGAGATCGACCGGCTCATCCTTGGAAGCGAGGGTCATGTGTGGAATGGTCAGGCTTTCAGCGTCGGCTCTGTCCATGCGGCTGTGATAGTAACAGGTTAGGATAAGATATTCAGAATCAACGGCAAGAACAAGAAATCATCATGGTTCTGGAATAACGGAATGGAAAGTGGTATTTCGCTTACGCAGGATGGGCCTGAGCCGAAGCATCAAAGGGAGACTCGGAACCTGAAACAAATACAGCTATCTTCAAACCAGTATCAGTGTCTGAATCTGTCTCAGGCACCTCGATCGATTTCCTTGACAGAAAACATCAAGGCAAAAGAATAGATACCTTGCCACCCCAACAAAGTCCGTAAACGCCCCAATGCTCGACCGTCGGGAGTTTGGCTTTACACTCGCCCACGACCTCCAAGAGCGCTGCGCGACTCTTCTCGATACCCGCCTTCTGAGCCATGAAAGTCCCGAAAAGCAGCTTCTTTTCCTCTGTGTCCGTCGGTATCCAATCAAATTGGACGCCGGAGCCGTTGAAGAAGTCGGGGACCAAGACCACGGCAGAATCATTGAATTGGGTGGCAGACGAAAGAAGGTCGGCACCCTGGAGAGTTTGCGGACTGATGCCGAAGATGTCATATATTGCGATGATGCCGATTTTGGGGTTGGTGGTGGAAGGACCGGTAATGTCTGGTTATGAGCACGGCCATTCATTGGTCAGCTGATTGAGTATTTGTGTAACGTCTCTCGTGGGCATAGGATGACGGGGCAGAAATGGAGACAGGATATCTGAAGGAGAGGGGACAATTGTACAAGTCTTCAATCCCGCGAAAGTCTCATAGTTTCCCTTGGGAGTGTACTCCTTTGGCACGACGGTGGGAACGCTGTGGCATGCTTCGCTGGTCATCGTAAGCGCGCCACCCGTACATTTACCAGAAGTCCGGTGCGAATCTAGGAAGGAAAGCTTGGGTAGGGTGAAAGGATCCGTAACCTCAGATTGAAGTCTTCGTGAGACCTGAAGTTCCTGCAAGATTTGAGCAAATTGGCAAGCCTTTTCGTGCGAACAAATATAAAAGGCTACGTGGATGTGTTTGAATCCAGCCCCAACCCAAGTAGACGGACAAATTCCAGTTTTCGGATGTCAGTCCAACGGATCTGTCCAAGGCTGAAGTATTCCATACCATGTCAAAGTCAGTGGGACCTGAACTCCAGCGTATTCAAAATAGCCTCCCCTGATGTGAATGTGGATTCCCGTGGAGCTAAACAATGCACGATTAGATTAAAAAGCGAGGACGAAACCACAAACAGGCCCCTTCGTGGATTCTCCGCTCCGCTCGCCGTCGGGTACATCGGTCCGAGAGTTGTATTTGCCCAGGAACCTAATTGGCTTCTCTTTTCCTTGTGCAGCTGTAATGCCCTTTAGCGCATCCGATGTCTGTCCTGAAATCAGTTTAGTTCTGCCGATTGCCGACGGACACGATGGCACTTTGGATCGAGCCACGGACATGGCTCGGGGAGGGACAAGGTGACTATTGCTACTGGTTTCCCAGCACCTAAAGGACCAATAACGGAGTGGGAATCCGAGCCCCGCCCTCGCTGGCCAAGCCCAAAGTCTCATACCCCTCTTCAGGTTATCAAATCTCCCTCACTAACACTCACCCTTCTCACACGACGTCGCGAACAAAGAGAAAAATCCGTTGGGATAGAGACAGAGACGGTTGAAATGTCACTTGGAACCGATACGGGCTCGGGCTGGCCATCTGCAAGGGATCAGCCGCCATCCTCCAGCGGTATTACGCGCAACCGGTATGCGTGCACCGAATGCAGGAAGTCAAAGGTCTTTCTTTAGCCTGCCCCTCTTTGCCATAACATAACTCCACCACGAGTTGAGCCTTCACGTCAATGTATAGAGATATCTGACGAAAGCTGCCATCAGTTGCGATGTGATGCGCCGAAGAATCCATGCTCGCGATGCAGCAGACTTGGGCTGAAGTGCGAGGTTACATCAACTAAAAGGCTGAATAAAAGCCGGTAACTGTCCATATCAACTCTATTACTCCAAAGAGCTTTCAAGCTGACTACCGATAGCAAAATTGAAACTTTAGAGAAAGAATTACAACATCTGAGATCCGTTGTGGAATCGAATGCGACGTCAGGACCAGCCAACATTCCGGCGACCGGAACAACAGTTGGTATATCCTATTTACATCCGGCTTACAGCGTGGAGTTTCACCAATCCCTACCAGTACCTAGACAGTTTCAGACATCTACGGGTGATTCCAGAACCATAGAAACTGTCGAAATAGAGGGTGCTGAAGTCGAATATCTATTTCAAAAGTCAGTGGCTTGATTACATCTATCTGGCGGACTACTTATAAGACGCAGGTATTTCGCACACTACCATCCATTCCTTCCATTTCTCTCGCCATCCAAAACCACAAATCAGTATTACGATGACTCCATCCTCCTGTTCTGGTCGATTGTCTGCGTGGCGGCTCGCCGATGTCGAACAGGGGAAATTCTTTTGAGTAAGCTCACAGGGCCGGTGACAAGACTTCTCTGGGCAACCATCTCTTCCACGCCCATCTCACTCTTCAGCTTACAAGCTATCATTGTTCTTTCTGCGTGGCCCTTTCCAACGGCCAGGTTGACGACTGATCCCTCCCATGTCCTTACCGGGATCGCCATCAACTCCGCCATGTGTCTGGGCTTAAACCGACATGGAGCAGCAGTCAATCTCACAGAATCGGGGACCATCTTCACAGAAACGGAATGTCAAGAACGTCGCAGAACCTGGGCAGCGTGTAACATTTTATCTGAAACGTATGTCACCCCCCCATCAATACTGTCCGAAGCAATGCCCTGACTTGGAACACAGCGTGTGCTCAAGGCTTGGCCATTCCACCCCTGCGCAAACATTTGATTGGGGAATTGATCGTGCATGCGAATCTGGGTCCAGCTATAGCAACGCCCTTCACCCGAACCTTCGTCACCATTTGACCATTCAACGATTTTGCAACCGTGTCAATAAACTTATGACAGGAAATCGGTTAGATCCCAATGGATTCCCCTCGGACGGCGAACGATACTCGATGATGAATATGCTGGAAAATGACTTCGGTTCTCTTGAATTAGCTTTGGACAATGAACTATCAAGTCAGTTACGCCATTCAGATCACTACATTTCTTCTAATACGAGCAAGAAGATATCAATCAGCTCCACTTGCAGGCGGTCAAACTTTATCTGCATCTTTTCCATTTCTTTGATTCCTGCCTCTCTGAAGCTCGACAGGCGGGCATTCTCCGAGCTTATAACATTGCGACAAGCTTTATTTCCACGATGGTCGCCGCCGACACTGCTTCAGATGTTTTGGCATACACTCCTGTATATCTCATCCAAAGCTTGAGTACTGCTGCTCAAGTCATCTTTAAGGTCTTGAACTCCAGTTATCATCGTTTTGTTGATGGTGATGCCGGAAGTATGAGTTTTCACACAGCCACAGTTATCCTTCGCCGAAGCTCCTTGGAGAGCAATGACATAGGGGATAGAGCAGCTAGCAGGCTCACTCAGCTATGGCGTGCATATAGTATCATCCAGGAAAAGAAGCAGGAAGAGCCCGTCTTACAAGTGAAGAATCGATTGGGCGCTAGTTTGATGTACGACTTCTTGTGGCAGTACAGAGATCATTGCGGTATCCAAGCAAATGGAGGTTCGTGTTGCATGCCTACCAAAAAGGAGCTTCCAGAGGGGCTGTCGCTGACCTGACAAGCAGCAACAATCGATCGAATTTCTAGTAGCACTACTCATTCCTGCCCCCCGACAATAGTGCCTGATCCGATGATGAATTGGGAGGGGCTTGAAGATTTGGACTTGTGCTATAACTTTTGATCCTACGGGCCGTAAACGATCTCAGCACCAGAATGATTAAATTTGCATCGAAGTTGATAATGTACATTGGGAATAGCTATTTGGTCTCTACAATCGTGCCAGTCGTACTTCGCAGCGACTTACTTGCATGAAGGGACTCTGTTCTTAATCATAGCTGACAAATACGGAGTTACCTTTCGACAAAGCATATGTGTGTCGTCTAATGGGGGTTTCAGATATCCTGTAACAAGAGCCCGCCAGCTTTACGATCAAACTCAATCAGCTCTCGCATACCAGACACTGCTATCATATCCCGTGGGCCTGGGACGTCTCTATCCGCATCGCCTGTTTCCTTCAGCCTTTTCAATGCTGCTGAGACATATTTGAAGGTGGGAGCCAGACAGGCTCCGGGATATATGATGATTTTAATTCCCAATTCTTGCGCCTCGGTTACCGTGAGATGAGGCGTTGAGGATCCTTGAACCATGCCATACAGCACCGGTACAGGGGAGAGCACCTCACACAGTCTTCTGACTTGCTCTCTTGTTTGGATGGCTTCAAGCATGGCCACATCGGCGCCGACTTCAACGGCTTTCTTCAGCCTCAACAGTGCAGCTTCAAACCCGAGCTCATGCAAAGAGTCTGTCCTGGCAATGATGACAATGTCGGATCGGACGATTTTGCGCATCTCAGTGGCGGCTCGAATGCGGGATAGGAAGATCTCTTCTGAAACAAGTTCTTTCTGGTTAAGGTGTCCGCAACGTTTATTCACAACCTGGTCCTCCAGATGCAACGCGGCAACCCCTGCACGGCAATACTGTTCGACAGTCCGGCCTACCATTATCGGACCTGTGAACCCTAAGTGTCATTGCTCAAGACAAGGGCGGAGGAGCCGGGTCACGCACCTCCGTATCCAGTATCGGCATCTGCTATGACTGGGATGTCGCGATGGATGTTCGCTATCATTTCTGCATTCTCCTTCATGTCGTTCAAGGTTGCAAGACCAAGATCTGGGGTCCCGACTCGCGATACGCTTGTTCCTGCACCGGTCTGCCGCCTTTCGTGTCAGTTCAGCCATTCTGATATCAGTTCGCATGCTGCTGACCATGTACAAGCATTCAAATCCCGCATGCAGGGCCAATCTTGTCGACAAACCATCATATACACCAGGACAAACAACTATCTTTGCTGGGTCGGCCAACATCGATCTTAATTTTGCGGCCGCGTTTGGCAGGGGATTGGTCACGTATTGGCCGTGAGGCAGGCCATTTTGGACACTAGTACCTGTGCTTTCCATTTTTTTCTCCTATGGACAAAGACTTCTCTCTTCACAGCAGGTTTCAGAAATGGATTGAAAATGTGGGATGCGACTCAAAGGGATGTTCGTATATTCTTCACGATTGTTGTAACCAAGGCTACAAACCAACTTCACACGCACGTACCGATGACTTTTGCGGCACTAGCCTGTTCGATTCACCGGACATGCCGTAGCTGGTTGATGTTTCGGGTACAAATAATCGGCTAAAGTTCATCAAAGTTCATCTCGCACCGACACGCTCCGGCCCATGATACCCAATGATGCAGAGAGCGGAATGAACTCTCGACGCTAAGATGTAGACATGGCATCTATTAGCACTCACCCATCAGCCAATCCCGGCGGGAGATAAGAGTTCTTTGATTGTGAATTTGCAAGCACAGGAGTGATGGAAGTTGCATATTAAAGCACAACTTGCCGTCAACAGGCAAAACACGAAGGTTATCATCACAATGTCAACAATATTAGCCGAAGACTCTCATGCCATGCGAGCGAGCCGCGACATTGACGACACGTGTGAAAAGGTCCTCTCGCTTCTTAAGGATCTCAGAGGTGTTGAAATCGTCCAAGATGCAGTCTCAGGCAGGTCTACTTGCTACAATGACGGTCTCTATTGTTTGCTTAACTAATTGAGCTCAAGGGATTCTGACTCACTATTCGAATCTTCTGGGTTTCATAGATTCCTTGAGTCAAATACTCCCATCCATGGGGTACCCCCATGAATCGTCCGCTTTAAGATACGTTGTGGAAGTATGCACTACTTCTAACGACTTTGGTGGTCTGGGAATTGATACAAAAGCGTCCCTCTCTGACAGTGCAGAAGACGAAGTGGTATTCTTGGTTTCAGCTTGGTTGCAGGCTCTCAATTCTTCAGACCGAGCCAAATCTGTGCCAAAAATGCTGCCAATCAGGCCACCGGGAAGAAAGCCCATGACAATGGCAGAGAAAATTCTCGCCACACATGACACCGAGAGACGAGGTGAGGTGCAACTAGGAGATACCCTGCGTATAGATGTGGACTGGGTGATTGCTTCGGAGCTGTCTTGGAAGGTATGGCACTGGGTCAATCTCAAAGTCAATCGACGATAACGTGCATACAGGGGATGGAAAGGACGTACGATCTGATGGGAAAGCCTGGGATTTTCAGAAACGACCGTTTTTGGCTTGCAGGAGATCACAGAGTCCATCCTCGGCTGACCCAGGAGCCGCAAATAAAGGCGTTGATGGACGCCAGTGTGAGAGCGAAAAAAGATTTCAAAATGACCGAATTCCAGGGATTCAACGTAAGTCGCCACCTCTCATCGCTACTGTCGACCATCTGATGATTTCTCCTTCAGTATACCATTCTGCATACGGAATTCTTTCGTGAACGCGCACAACCAGGGATGCTAGTGATTGGTTCTGATTCTCATACATGTTCTGCAGGTGCCATTGGTTGTCTGGCGATCGGTTTGGGAGGAGCAGACGTGACGGTGCCACTCATTACAGGCGAAACTTGGATAAAAGTTCCCGAGATTGTTAATCTGCGTTTTATTAACAGACCACCCCGCGGGATTGGAGGGAAGGATACAATCCTATATATCCTCAAAGAGTTTAAGAGGAACACAATTGCTGCGGATAGGATTGTCGAGTTCACAGGTCCAGGCTTGAAGTATCTTTCCCTTGATGCTCGCTTTGCAATCGCTAATATGACAACGGTAGGTCTCCTTCAGCCTTTAAATTACTTGGATCCGCTGATGATGAATTGCATTTAGGAGCTCGGGGGGGTGACTGGGATTTTTGAGGCTGATCAACGGACATTTGACTTCGTCAATCGCCGACATATGAAGAGATATAAGAACGATTCGAACTATTTCCGAGCAGATCTAGATGCAAACTATTGCAAGATCTTCGAGATCGATCTCGCGAAAGTAGAAGCTTTTGTGGCGAGATTTCCGTCACCAGACAATGTCGTTCCTATTCAAGACATCGCCGGCATGAAGTTGGAAGGGTGCTTTATCGGTGCGTGTACGACTGCAGAAGAAGATCTCATCATTGGTGCGATGGTATTGGAGGAAGGAATGAAACAAGGAATGGTACCCGTGAAGGGAAGGAGACTGGTGATTCCAGGATCCAGGCCCATTCGACATAAGCTGGACAAACTTGGCTTTACCGAAATCTATCAGGCGGCTGGTTTTGAAGTCGGTGTTCCAGGCTGCAGTATGTGCGTTGGCACAGGTGTTGATCGAGCAGGCGAAGGAGAAATGTGGTTGTCTTCGCAAAATCGGAATTTCAAGAATCGTATGGGAAAGGGTGAGTGCTAATCTAGCTCTCCGAAAGCCAGTTCTCACCATCTCTTGAACAAATAGGATCTGTTGCGAATCTCGCATCTGCAGCCACCGTGGCGGCATCTTCATTCAAAATGGAAGTCACAAACCCGCAATATCTGCTAGAACGACTGGACGAAGCGCGATTGACTCAATATCTGGGATATGACCCTTTGATTGATCGGATTCCAGTTAGCATAGGAAGCCCGAGCTTTATGGAACCAGGCGGGTCAAGCACAGCTACAACACACGAAATTGCCGGTCCAATTGTAAGAAAGTCCACAGCGATGAAGACAGCCAGGCCGTCAGATGAGGCGAAGCCTAGCACGATCATTTCGGGGAAGGTCTTCAAACTTGGGGATTTTATTGACACGGATGCAGTACGTCAGAGGCTATGGACCAGCCTCCCTCCATTCTACGGGAAACTGACATAAGTGTATAGATTGCTCCTTCGCAGTTCGCGATGAGTTCCAAAACCCAGGCCGATTTTGGGCTACACTGCATGGAGCTCTTCATGCCAGAATTCAGACAATTGGTGAAAGATGGACTGAATGTAATTGTAGCTGGAGAATCTTTTGGCTGCGGCTCGTCGCGCGAAGCTGCCGTCACCTGTCTATTGGGTGAGCCATCTTTTCCCCACTACTTGAAAGCAAAAAATACTGACAAGAGACCACAACTAGGGGCCGGAATTCATTGTGTGATTGCAAAGTCGTTTTCTTTCATTTATGCCCGCAATCAGCCGAATCTGGGTCTTTTGGGCTTTACCATCACAGACAAAGACTTCCACGAATTGGCACAGCAAGGCGCGGAGATCAATATAAACCTGTCGGCCAGAGAGGTTATGATTCAAGGCAAAAGGTTTCCGTTCAAACTCAGTGAAATGGAGAAACAACTGATTGCTGTTGGAGGAATTACGTCGGCTTTCCAAGAATTTGGAAAGCGACTGTTCGAGCGCATGTGTTCTGGCCAACCGACTGTGGCTCGACAGAGACCACAGGACGAAAGACGCGAACTTTTTTAACCCAAGGCAATGAAGATTTGACTAATGATAAAATCTTGAATTGTGATATGTCAGCCGGAATGCTCATCTGAGATATTGAATGCTCCTTACTCCTGGTGCCTATTAGGCAAGGTGGTGCAGTCATGACGCCTGCATTGTTACCTACACCAAACCAGCCCTGTGGTGCCCATTACCACATCTCCTTGCGTAAGATGATGTCTATATAATGCAGATAGTCCTCCTGGTAGCCATGCTCTTCAGAGCCATCAATGACAATCATTTGCATGCATACTGTACGACATGATACCTCAACCTCCAAGGGTCATCACACATCTACATTGTTCTAACGCTAGAAACGATTTGGAATAATTGAATTCAGTCTCTGTTCATATGGCAGTGCCAATTTCAGCGAAGCCACTCTCGGTACTCGCAAGATTCTTCGGACGGGCTCCATCTCGGCCCAGAGCGGAATGTTATGATTTCGGTCCGAGTTTATCTAGGAGGTATGTACCCATTTGCTAGTATGCTATTGTGGGGACTCCAGGATTGTTGACGTTCATGGTTAAGGATTTTATCGATAAAATGAAGGCAAAGGAGGGAGATTGACTGTTATTCCACGCTACGCATTTCAGCTTCTTTGCTCCAAGATGGTGGATCACACTTTCAAATATTTTACATTCACTACTCCTCAGGAATGGATTGGACACGTGGAGATTAATAGGCCCGAAACGTTGAATGCTTTCTTTGAAGAGTAAGACCTTGTGATATGGTTCACATCTGAAAAATATTATACATTTTCGCCCTTCGAGATTAAACTAACACGGATATAGCATGTTGCACGAGCTCCGAGACATCTTCAAGTGGCTGTCCAGCGACGCTGACACCCGTGTTGTTATTCTTTCCGGTGCAGGACCTCGAGCGTTTTCGACAGGAATAGATGTCAAAAGGCCTTCTGCAAAAGTCGTGATACGGAACGGAGAGATACAAGACCCTGCAAGGAGGGCGAGGCAGATCAGGAGACATGTCATGGATGTCCAAGACTGTGTCAGTTCCATTGAATGCTGCGAAAAGCGTATGTCACAATCAAATGCTTGCAGTGTATGAAATTGCTCAAAGGGGGCCCTCAGGCTAACTGGCACAATCAAAATTGGAAGCTGTGATATGCATCATGCACGGCTACACTCTGGGACTAGCCATCGATATCTCAGCCAGCGCCGACATACGGATATGCACTAAAGACGCAATCTTCTCTGTCAAAGAGGTCGATTTGGGTCTTGCTGCAGATGCTGGGGCTCTTCAACGGCTGCCCAGCATTGTTGGCTCCTTATCTTGGGTCAAAGATGTCTGTTATACTGGGAGAAGATTCGGCGCCGAAGAGGCATTGAGCGTGGGATACGTCAGCTCCATTTCAAAAGACAAACAAAGTGCCACCCAAGAGGCCATTAAATTGGCCGCAAATATCGCTAGCAAAAGTCAGATTGCTGTACTGGGCACGAAAGAGTTGCTTAATTATGGCACGAATCATGACGCTTCAAATGGTAAGACTCTAAAATCTCAGGCAGCAATGGCGCCTCGGTACTAAATTGTTTTACAGGCCTTAGATACACTTCTCTATGGAGCGGTGCGATGCTTCAAACCAGGGATATATCCTCTGCCGTCAACGCAATGAAGCATAGGAAGAAGGCGACATTTGCGAACTTGTAAATTCCCATGGTTTCTCAAGCGAATGGGCCACCCGATCGCACCCTTATGGCAATATTCTTCAGTGCATCGAACCGCAACGATTATATTATATATGACTTGAAGGGAAAAGCGATCCTACTTGTCTAATCCGCCTTTTTTTTTTCAACTCTCCGACGTTTACCAAGTGTCTCGTTCGCTTTCGAGGCGAGAAGACCTTACTCTTGAGTAGAGCGAGCCGGTACATTTTCTGCCATGTACCATTCGTAATCTGATCAGTTTCACTATAAATCTAACTCAACGAGCTATCATGATACTGCGCGATACGACTCCTGATAGGTCGGTGGGCGACTCGCTTGTAATGTATGACATAGGCTACTTCGTTCAAGGAAGTCGATGAGATATTTTCTGTTTCACAGGTGTGGTAGTCGGAAGTGAGGATATATTTGCCCCAAAAAGTAATCTCCCACCACCACAGTCTCACAGAATGTATCGAAAGGCAATGTGATCATCGTAAACCTCCTCCAGCGATTTTTCCATATGAGGGTGAATCTCGTTTCTTGACGCGTATTCCGCTTTGACACGCTCTTTGCCACGGTTCTTGATTCGCATGATGGCTTGAGCCGTAACTGTGAGAATCAGACCAGTTACGAGGAGGGCCAAGACAATGCAATGTCCCTCAATGTAGCGAGGTGACTTTTTATAGATCTGCGTCCCGATCATGGATAGGCATTGGCTGAAAACCTGTGAAATGGCGTACACGGTCGCACGTTTGGTGTAGCCGGCAATATTGATTCCCACCCAAGCAACAAGCAGAACCACCGAAGGAAAGACCCCGCTGGATACGAGACAAGTGCCGAAGATCAGAACCGGAACATTCGTGACTGTAAGCAGGATGATGTACCCAACGCAGGAAAGACCAAGGGTTCCCATAAGAAAGTATCCTTTCAGGCCTGTGCGATCTGAGAGGATGTTGACAACAATCATCGTGGCTGTTGCACATGCGTATGGAATGACTGAGAAGAGTTGTGTATTAACTGCCTAACAATCAGTTCTGTCGGCGGAGGCATTACTGTAGATGGCAACGAACGTGGGGAGAATCCGAACGCCCTGATGAAGCTGGGAAGGAAAGAACTGAGCGATGCCACTCCTAAACCCAAAGACCCAGTAATGAGGCTGAATAAGTAGAGCCGAGCGTCTTTGAAGGCGATCAAAATCTGCCGAGGTTGAACCTTTGATTCAGGAGTATTGTAGACTGTGTCGTGTTAGTTGACGTAAATTAAGGCTGCTTTGATGATGTACCCAGCGAACGATCGATAGCCAACGCTACTTCTTTGTCCGTGAAAGGGAATTTCTTTTTGTTCTTCATTTGGTCTGGAAAGCCGGGAAGGATGATCCAAACTAGGAGGCCCAGACCTACAGCTATCGCTCCTTCGATGATGAACAGCCACTGCCACCCGGCTTTCCCGTGCACCCCAGTCAGATTCTTTTCAACTCCATAGGCCAACAGACCACTAAAGGAGCCAGATATTGTCGCAGCGGAGTAATAAACAGCTTTTTGCCGGTCAGCAACATCTTCATACACTAGAACAAAGTCAGATAAATAACTTACCTCCCCGAGTGGCAACCTCATCTCTTTTGTACCACACATTAGTATATAGGACCAGGCTCTGAATAAAGGCCTCCGAGGCTCCAATCAGAACACGAACCCCGGCGATTGTCTTCCAGTTACGGGCAGCGGACATTACGAAGACACATACGCCCAAAAGAATGCTGGCGCCACCAAGTTGGCGGTGTGGTCCTATCACACGCAGAAGTAGGTTGGCTGGCAGCATGAAAACACAATATCCGACAACTTGGAAAATCAGCATCGGCACGGCGAAAAAGATTCTTATTGAGGAAGGTTGACTAACAAAACAGCATCAGACAGTTGTAGAATTGGCCATCGGTCATTCTCAAATCCTTTTGCAGCGTCATGATTCGAGCGTTGCCCAAGTTGTTTCTGTCCTGTTCAATGTCACCAATTAGTGGAGGCTCTGGAGTCCAAAAAGGTACGCTCACAAGATATGCAACCAAAAAACTTGTTGCAAGCATTGGCAGAATGAAGAAATCCATTTTCCGCACAAGTAGCCGTTCAGCTCGCGATTTGCCGGGAGTTCCGCTGTTTGTCTGCTCTGAAGGATCGGTGACGGAAGCATCATCAGATTGGTCAACCTGAATTTCCTTGTTCTGCTCAGACATGGGGGGAGAACGAGACCGTCTGTGTTAGCTGTATCTTTTCTGTTGCTGGAGTTTCTAAGTCGAATCCGAATAGCAACAGGGTAAAGATGAATGAACGGGGAAGTGAGACCGGTTTTTTTTCTTCCTAAACAAGGCTTCCAATGACTGATTAAGTTATAGAGATGAAATCCTAGCTTTATGGAGAATACGGGGAAATTATCTGGGGAACAAGAGATCCCTCGGGCTAGGAGGCGCCTTCAGGTGTCGACCGGTCCGTAACTTTTAGTGCAATTAATCTTGCAGCAATTTGCATCGGTCCCAACTCAGCAAGCCCTGTCAACTCTGTTGAAATCTTGCGGTAGGCTAATGGTAGAGAAAGTACTACTCCTGAAGACCGGGGCGCCGTAAATGTGTGACACGTCTTTCGGTGCGCGTCTCGTACACTTTTATCTATAACCTACCTATGCTAAATTATCTAGAATATTAACTGCTTCCGAGAGCTTTTATGGAGGGAGTCGATGAGGACCACCGCAAGGTAATAAATCTGCATTTGGACATTGCGACTCCTCTGCATAGCAAGTCTGAAGAGGAAAATGGTCTCCAGTATCTGTGAGTAGAAGCTACAGGGTTAACCTCTTCTGTTTCCATGCTACTCGGTCCGAGTCGGTCCGAAATTGATCTGCCGCAATACCCGATCGGGTCAATGAATCGACCCAAGAGCCGATGGAAAGATGTTGCAGAGCAGGTGGGATGGATTCGCATGAAGAACCAGCTGGCTGTGAACGGGGTTGCGTGCATTACTTGCGGCTCAATGCTTCACTTAAGTCGGACTATGGCATTCATGCTAGAGAATCCGACAATTACTCCATGCCCTACTGCAAAGTTCTCCCCATAACACATGTCCAGCGGCTTTGACGAGGACCGATTCACGATGTTTCTAGCGGCGACTGCTGCCGCAACAGGTGGTGCGGCTATTGCAGCATATGTAGATGCCAAACTTGATATCACAAAGGACCTTCAATCAATATTAATCCAAAAAACAGTGGAGAGGAAATGGAAAAGAGCAGGTAAGTCGAAGTCAGAATGTGAATGTATTTTCATGCTGATCTCGATTCCCTCTGTGTAGTCACAAAGAAGAAGAAAAGCCTTTGGTATCTTTTCGAGTTCGAGGCTCGGCTACATCCTGTGAAGGAGTGCATATGGTCTGAAGCCGGCTCTTATACTTGGGCCGAAGTCCATCAGCAAAGCTGCCGCTATGCCAACTGGTTTCTCTCACAAGGAATAGCCTCGGGACAGTTGGTGGCTTTGTACCTGCAAAATTGCCCAGAATTCATTTTCGCCTGGTTAGGCCTCTGGGCCATTGGTTGTGCGCCGGCAATGATCAACTACAACCTCTCGGGAGATGCGTTACTGCATTGCTTACGGCTGGCCGAAGCTCCTCTTATTCTGGTCGACTCAGAGTTCCCAAAGCGCGTACTTGAGCATAGAGAAATTCTAGAATGCGAACTAGGATCTAAGATCGTCACTCTTGATCAGGAAGTCAAAGATGAGATTTCGAGAGAGGTTACAGATAGGCCAGGCGACAAATACAGAGATAATGTGAATGGCACAGATGCAAACAGCCTCATCTTCACCAGGTAGGTGGTATTTGGTACAACACTTACAGACCTCTACTGATGCTTTGTCAATAGTGGAACTACAGGTCGACCCAAAGCCTGTCCTCATCCAGTTTTGAAGGGGTTTGTATCTGGTTCAGTGGCAGGTCGAAATATAGGGCTTACGACTGACACGCGCTTGTACAATTGTATGCCCTTATATCACGCAACTGGCGGCCAGATCAGCATGATGTGCATGATGGGAGGTCTTTCTCTGTGCCTTGGAAAGAAATTTAGTGCCTCAGGGTTCTGGAACGATGTCAGGAAGTCACAAGCAACGTGCATAACCTATGTCGGGGAGACGGCACGATACCTGCTCGCTATGCCACCAAGCCCGCTAGATAAGCAGCACAGAGTGCAATGTATGATCGGGAATGGGCTGAGACCAGATGTCTGGGTCAAGTTTCGCGAGAGGTTTGGAGTTCAAGACGTTGCAGAATTCTTTAGCAGTTCAGAAGGGGTATTCGGACTCCTGAATCACTGCAAAGGTATAGATCCCCGAACTAAATCCTCAAGGAGCTGCAATCCAAGGACTAATTCATTTTCGAATACAGGTGACTATCTTTTAGGCGCGGTGGGTCACCACGGCGCCCTTTTGCGCTTTATGTTTCGGAATGTCTACGTCCCAGTCGAAATCAACCCTGCATCGAACGAGCTTCTGCGGGATCCACGCACTGGTTTTGCAAAACGCCGATCATACGATGAAGGCGGCGAGATCATTGTTGCTGTTTCTTCGGTCGCCGCTTTTGCAGGCTACTACAAAAACCCGGAAGCTACTGCTAAAAAATTCGAGCGAGACGTTTTTAGAACCGGAGACCTCTGGTATCGTACGGGCGACGCTCTCCGACGAACCACCGATGGCCGTTGGTACTTTCTCGACCGTTTAGGTGACACGTTCCGATGGAAAAGCGAAAATGTAAGCACGGCAGAGGTTGCTGGAGTGCTAGAAAAGTTCCCCGGAATTGCAGAAGCATGTGTATACGGTGTTGAAGTGCCCGGCCACGAAGGACGTGCTGGCTGTGCAGCGCTTCTCATCGATCACACTGGGCAAGCATCGTTTGATTTCGAAGCGTTACTGAAACATGCAAAAAGATTTCTACCAAGTTATGCGGTTCCGGTCTTTCTGAGGTTGGTCAAGGAAATGCCACATATTCACAACAACAAGCAAAACAAGGGTTTATTAAGACAGGGAGGTATAAACCCGACAGAAGCTCAGAATACCGATGTGCTATTATGGCTTGGACCTGGCAGAGAATGTTACATTCCCTTCAGGAACGAGAACTGGGAAGCTTTAAATCGAGGGACGGCAAAATTATAGGTCAATTTGCCATACATTGGTTCAGTGGCCACTCAAGCCTTCGTTCAACCGTGCTATAAGATCGGAATGCAGCGAGACTATGACGGCGTGGCTGAAGATGTCAAGGCCACTGCGACTTCTTTTTCTAGAGTAGTAAACTGATCGTCAATCAGACAGTCTGATCTAACACTTCAAGATGTCTTTCTCCACCAACAAACGACAGGCTCTCCGATGTACTGGTCCAAGCTCTTCAAGATGCCTTTTCGACGCTGCCAGGCTCCCGCCCGGATAAGCAAACTCTTCTCTGGCAATCAATATTATCATCTAACAAACACCCCCCGACAGTACAAGCTAGAGGAATCCTTCTTAACGGCACCTTCGCACCGACATTCGAAGTTGGCTATTTGAGCTCAACACCACACTTCGATTTTTCTTCGTGCTTCGCGCGCTCAAGCCATCATCTCCTCGTGGTCACTTCTCGGCTTCGAACTTTTATTGCAGGATCCGGAAGTGAACGGTCGGTCTATTATGAGCTAAAGGAGACTCTAGACTTCGGCTGGTGACCACTAGCCACCTGTGATTCAGGACACCAGTTTAACTCTGACAACGCCCGTTCATTTGTGCTTTCGTCGACCAGCCTTGCGGGGTTATGGCGATTTGCCTCCCCTTGCCTTCGGTCACTTTACATGTAAGCCGTCCTCCTCAAACTGCTGGGCCCCTTCGGTGGGAAGTTTCCAGGCCACACGGTCCTTGGTAAATTGCTCCATTGTGGGTTTCAACTTGGTCTCATGCAGAGAGAAATCGTCCACGCTGCCTACCCGCAGGATACTCACGCCCGGAAAAGCCGCGCCGACCCGATACATGAGCGAGCCGCACGTGGAACAGAAGTAGTTGGTCATGGTATTGTCCTGGCCCGAGGTTTTTACGAAAACAGTGTGCGATTGACCAAAGGTCTTCAGGTTGTCGCGACCGCGCAGGTGCTTCAGGTGCGTGTCGTAGACGGTGAAGTTGGTCGCGTGTACGGACGCAGTGAGTTTGTGGCAGTCGGAGCAGTTGCAGACGAAGGAACCGACAAAACCAGGGCCATGAGTTGGCTGGGAATTTGGAGGTGGTATTAGCGCAGAGCAGATAGAGGGGCAGACTCGAAAGACGGGCAGACTTGGATGCTAAAACTTACGAATGAGAGTTGCACGGCGCCACAAAAGCAGGTGGCCGTCGCTTCATCTTCGGTGGACCAGCCATCATTGGCCAAGCCTGCCACAGGGAAGTACGGTTTGGTTTTGTCGACGATGGTGTTGGTGGGCATGTTTGTGATCTTGTATATGGACGTCAAGAGTGATGTAGTATTCGGAGTTGTTAATTGAGTGATAACCTGATGGGCAGGATGCTAGAGCCAGGGTTGGTGGTGGTGTTACTGTTGCTGTTGCTGTTGGTGTTGGAGACACACTGTTATATAGGGCGTATGTTGGGGACTCAGATTATCTCCATTCATCATTTTACAATCAAGCCGATGCACCAGACGGCACCTTAGACCGTCGGCCAACTCGGTGCGGCGCCGTAGTTAAGTCGCCGACTGGACCGGACGCAATGCTGTTTTAGGTCTAGTCTTTAAGTACTCCTAAATACTGTCCTTATGAATACATTATCTCATGCCCATATCCACAGGAAGTCCTTCGAGCGGCTTAGTGCCGAGCTCGGTGCGAAGTACAGCCCCACAAATTACCCACTCTTACAAACCAGGCCGGACACAATGCTGTTTTAGGTCTAGTCATTAACACCACTAACTTCCAGGGATCCTGACGACCTGGTAAATTCTATCTCTCACTACCACGCCCACATGTGTCAAGTCACTTGATTGAGAATTCTCGATTGCTAGAGAAGAGCAATGGCAGAGCCAGGCGAGCTTCCTTGTATTCATTAGCAGAAAACCCAAACCACCGCGTACCATGGCCGCGAGACTATCAATATCCACGGGAGGAGTATTTCTGTCCTGTATCTTCCTTAGGATAACTGAAAGAGGTTTAGTCTGAATTAAAAACTTGGTAATCTGAGATGTAGATCGTTCAAGAATTAATCCCATGAACGAGGAGCGCAGATGGGGAGGAAAGAGTACTAGGACGCGTTGGGGTATACGCAAATACAACTTCGAGATCTGTTTTCAACTATTCAATCATTCCATAAAGCTTAGCAAGAGTGTGAGACACACGGCATGAATTCGCTGCATTAACCCAGTCTGTAACGGTCGTTGATCCATTTAGTGACTTCTGAAGCGGTCTGCTTGTGCTCAAGTGATGTGAACCGTGCCTTTTGGATCACCCACATCGAGCAAAGACAGAACAACCTTCCCACCATCTTTCCAGGCGGAGGTGAACGCGGATGCGAGTCATATCTGCGTGTAAAGCCCAAGAGCAGAGGGATTGACCACATGATCACAGAAGACAGCTTGTCGACAGCTTCCTGCTCCGTATGAATTCGTTCCATATTCTCCCGATCTGGTTCGCGCCCATGTATTGTGGCACCGTAGTTGATCACATCGACCAACGACTCCCGTAGAACGATCTGGCTTGCAGCATGAAAGTTCCACAAGCATCCCAACCAAAGGTTGTGGTAACTGAGCATACGTGCATATGGAAAATGGGGAATAGGAAGGTCAAATGGCTCATCCATCTCACGAGGTTGCGCAATTTGCTGTGGATCCGTCACCTCTGGCTTCCACAACCCCGTCATCGCCGAAGTCCAGCTCTCGATAGAAGCAATCAGGTTTTGGATTGAGTGCGCCAGTTGTGTTGACTGTTCTACCTTTTCCTCTAGAGAGCTCCCGACCTCCTCGCCGCTCTCCGTCAGCTTCTTAGCCGCAGCAAAGAGAATGTTCATATGGAGAACATCAGCAGTAATATGGATGTCGGGCTGATCAACGTTCAGCTTGCTCACCCACATTATCTGCTCAGGATCGGGTTCTTCACGAAGCAGGATTTGCCGAGCTTGAAGGCGTTTATGTGCTAGACACCCGAGAGCGAAGCTAGATTGATTGAAGAGATAGTCGTTACCTCCGCTATGGAGGATGTGTTTGATAGCGTCTCTATGAGGTCCAAGCGGCCCGATCCGTGCAAGATACATCTTCTATAATGGTTAAGAGTCAGCAGGTGCCAGAATTTATGGGAATAGCATAGTACTACGGTACCTCGAAGTTATCAATCAGTAGGATGGCAGCCAGAACTTGGTCACTGGCCAGTCTGTGCTCCTCATGTGCGACCACTCTCAGGCCATTCAAAGCGGCGCCGTAATACTGTCGTGCCTTGATATGGAAAGGAGTATCTCCGACACTCTCATGCCTCATGTCGGCACAGGCCACAGCTCGGACGGCTAGCCAAAGGACCGATCCTGGAGGGGCACTGAGGTAGAGTGGGTAAAGGTCGTGCATATGTCCGGGAACTACTCCGTCGTTGCCCGGATACAAGGTCCAGTTGACGAAGAACCGAGCAACAGCCCGAGTCTCAACATCTCTTTTCAGAGGGCCCGGTACCTCAGCGAGTGCCCTGTCACTAAGCCATGGATACTGTAATAGCAGACCGGGCTCGACGACGTGTGTGGATGCTTGTGGGTGCTGTTCCTGGAGTACCTGAGACGGTAGGACGTCGAACGACATTGCAGGCGCCTTACCCTCTCTCACTTCCCTCCTTGCTCGTTCCGAGTTCTTCTGCGACGCTTCGTTTTCGTCCCGAAACATGAAGTCAGTGTCTGCCGGAAAGCCAGAACAAGTCAGGCCTCGTTGCGTGCAGCGGCCACAAATGGGACGAACACGATCACACTGCAGCCGACTGTCAGCATGAATAGAGACCTGTCGATCGAATGGCATACCTTCGCCTTTGCGACTCTGCATGGCAAGCAGGTACGAACGACACTCATACTGTCTGCACCTTCAACATAGGCCGCATAGGTTCGCCGCCGTTGTCGGAGCAATACGTCTAGGTGGACTGGACGTCGGTAGACTTTGCGATGAGCTGTTAGAAATCTCTACGAGAAAATATATACGCTGAGATGTCACCAATTGCAATTCAGGGTTCTTAACCCTGAGAGATAAGCTGCCACCACCTTTTAAGTTTTGTCCCGTGAACCCTACGTCATGGTTCTACGTCGTGGTTCCACGTCATAGCATGTGACCAGGCAAACTAAACGGCCCGGCCGAATAGCCTGACTGCCTGACTAGGAAGTCGTTACCACAAGCACAGTCGGTGTCAGAAGTCTGTAGTACGAGAACGATTTCTGGTGAGAATTTTCACTTTTATCATTCTTGCTTCACTAGACTTTGAGATTGAATAATGAGGTTAAAGGATCTAATAGAGTAGAGTCTTGTGAGTATTTCTATAGCTTTAAAATATAGTTATAGCTTCTTAGTAAAAACTATGAGAAATGTTGAAATAGTCATTACGAATCGCACAATTTAGCTTGTCAGACGGGTTGATTCTTCGGTTAGACTAAAGCTGCCAGACTCCAGACTTCTGACACCGACTGTGACAAGCATAGCGCGACTAATTATATGCTAGGTTATCGCTAGGGAGGGTTGTTCTACCGTTTCCCAGAACAGAGCGAGTTATCGCCATCACCAAGTATGAATCCTTCCGAGAGCAACGGCTGGTGATGTCGACGTCCTCGATGAGCGAAGAAATACCCACCAGCTCAGGATGAAGGCGCACCACGCTCGCAGTACCACGTCGGTCCTGCAGGCCTTGGCTATCCGCATTCTCTATCCAAGTTTTGCTCATCACTACTTCGGTCAGGAGAGCAAGATCGGGTTCATTCATAATTCCATCGATGCCCTCTTTCACTGCCATGATAAGTCGAAGGGCTTTTATTCCTCGTCAGTTTGTCACTTCAGCTACAACCTGAGCAGGCCATATCCTTTCCGTTGGATCACTCCGGTCGCTATCGTGGGCGGCATCATACTCACTGTCCTCTTTTTGGTCCTCAACTTCGCAGCTAACGGATATATACTCTTAATTAGCTTCGTTGCTGATCTAAACTCCAAGGTCGCGGATATAGTTTGGTTCGAGAAGACGCAATTCTCTTACGAGAGTAAGCTGTCTGCGAGTTGTTAATCGGCGAATATCGCTTCGGGTACCGTACTTACCACAAAAGTCTGGTTTTCAATATACTTTGGGCAGTGTTTGGAGAGAGGATGAGACAGATCCCCCGGTTCCCCTAACAGCTTTGAACTATCTCAATAACTCAATTACAAACTGTGTTTTTGGGGGCGTTTCTATCTTCCTTTTCGACTTCGACTCCGAAAGCAATGGTCCATTGTGGAATTGGAACCGAGACTCTGAAGCATCCGTAAGCATTCATGACCTAAAGAAAGTGCATCTCCTCGGCTGATATAAACAGACGTACATCACTTGTTCATTGAACAACGGGCCGGTACCAATGTATTTCACTCTGAGCATTACTGTCAAGAGCAATTTGCAGGGTTCATCCGCTAACGATACCTAGGGGTTCCTGACTGCAAGAATGCAGACACAAGCCTGGTGAGCCTCATATCTCTGCTCACGCGCCGACCTTCCAACGATGATATCAGTCGCGGCTCAAACCAGCAAGACGTCTTAGCGGATGATTTCATAAAGATGTCAGACGGATATAACGCTTATTATGATATTGCTGGTGGAGATGTGGGCGCAGATAGTTGTCGGTGAATGAGAGAATGAGAATGAAAGCATGATGGCGTATTGTTTTCATACCTAAACCACGATTTTGGCGAAATAGTCCGCGTACAGTGAAAACGCTTCCGAGATTAGTCCCAAGATGGACCTACTGATCAACTTCTCTAGACTCCGTCACCAAACATCGCCAATGATTCCTCTGCAGCATCGGAAGGTGTGTCGGGAAAGCTCTTGCAACCGAGCTGCGGAGGTAACCCTTGGATTTGATAGCACAAGAGAGAAGATCTGAGTATGCCTTGTCGTATGGCCTAACCATGAGGAGGAAACCATTTTCAATACAATGTACTCCATTATAACTAACCCTGCTTCTATCCCTTGTGTCTAATCGCATGTTCATGACTTGGAAGGCTGTTTTTCAGCGAACAAGTACGCCTCTGTAACGCATCTTGCCTGTTCGCAGAGCTTCCATCGCGTCCTCGATCCCCTTCTCGTTCATCTGCCACTCCATAATGATAGGCTTGATACCGTGCAGGATCGAAAAGTCGAGCATTCGTCGAATGGAAGGGCGCGCAGCTACAACGGATCCTTGGATGCGGATGCCTTTCATCACAAGATCGAATAAGTGGATTGGAGTTGCCTCTGAGCTGACTGTAAGTGGGTAGATAGTGCCATCTGCTGCCAAAATAGGGATGAGTCTCAAAGACGTCTTGGTTAGCGTGCGTTGCGAACGTCGCAGCGTTTTAAACTTACTTCGAGTAATCGGGGTTTCCACTTCCGCAGATGAGAAGATGATTGATCTTCTTGTTCTCTGAAAGTTCCAATCCCTTCATCACATAAAAGTCGGTAGCACCCAACTTAATAGCTTCGTCCTTTTTCGATCCGGAGCTCGATATGACAGCAACCTCACAGCCGAGTTTGGCCGCAAATTGGATAGCTAGATGTCCCAAACCGCCCATTCCAAAAATCCCGACTCTATCACCAGGTTTTAGACCATACATGGTCAAAGCTGTCCACACTGTGGCACCAGCACACATCATAGGAGCAGCATGCTTCAATTCGAGACCGGAGGGAATTTTTGCCAACATATCAGCAGCCCATACGACGTGAGAACCGAATGATCCTTCGTCGAGATCGGCCTCGCCATAAATTTGGACATCAGCACAAAATTGTTCCATTCCTAGATTCATATTCGATATTCGTCAGGCCTCTCAAGAACACCTCGAGAAGTAGAAACTTACCGTTCAGGCAGTAATGACATTGTCCGCACACGTTGTGTACGTATCCAAAACCCACACGATCACCAGGCTTCAGACCCTGGACCTGTGAGCCAACATCCTCAACTATGCCGACGCCTTCGTGACCGAGAACACATCCTGTGTGTAGCAAATGTTCATCGGTTCCGCAGAGTCCAGAATGAGTCAATTTGACCAAGGCGTCATTGGGACCGAGTAGACGTGTTGTGGTGTCTTTAACAATCTTGCCTTCTCTGGAACCACGGAAAACTTCGAATGAAACCTCCTTTCGAGCCATTAGGTAGGAATGGTTGGTATTGTCTCGTTGATTTTGGATGAGGTTGATAACTCGAAGGGGTGGGTGAAGACCGGCCATCTATTTTATAGATGTAAAATACCATGTACTTAAAATAACTGCGAACGTAGGAATTGTGTTTGTCACAATTCTTAGCCAGATGTAACGGTACAAGGCTGCCGGCATCTCGTCTATTCTGTGCACAAACAGTGGTGAGGACCTAACCTAGTCGGGATATGCGTCCGGAACGCCAGATGAGGGCAAATATGCTGCCGATCTCGCGTCGTGTCGTTCTTCGCTTGAGCTGCTGTCATCAACCTCCTGCGTCTCCTTCCTTGTTTTCATCTTGTGACTTTGCCCCCTTGCAGCACTTGGAGTTTGGACATGGAGAATAAGGGTTTACCGGTAGAAAAATTCCAGCCACTATGGGACTATTCTATTATTTCTGATCTGCCCTGGGATTTCATTAAACATGTTTTACAAAGAAACCTCATGTGACAAGTGGGACCTGATACGTTTTACTTGCTTGTGCCGAGATGTGTTACACAGACGCTATCGCATTGGTTTATTTGGAAAGTGCCAGAAATTCATCATCCCATGCGTCCGGAAACTCCTGGATCCAATCGTTACGTCGTTCTTCCTTATACGAAGCAATATAACAGGCCTTGCAATATTCTCAATAAGCAGGATACCACCCAGCTTGTGGCCAGTCGACAATGACGATCACGTGAGGTGGGTCGACGAGAGAAGTGATGATGTTGGCTTGGTGAAGATCTTTATACGTCGAAATAATAGCTGCCTCGTCAGGTAAATACGACCTCCAGGGATCTATTGTCTTCTAATTTTACCAACAAATGAGCTATGAGGCGGTGCCTTTATGCTCCGAAGTGCTGTGAGCATATTTTGTGGATCGTAGCAAATAGCCGTACGGTCGGAAGCATTCAAAGAATCCCACCGGTCCATTAAACTGTGCCCGTGAATGACTTGCATATATATGAACGCTTGTTGTCAATTTGCGTGTGTAGGCGCGTCACCCACTGCATCGGAGTTGCGGACCGATGCTAAGAAAATGCTGCGGCACTTCGAGAAATCTCACCTCTAGCCCAGAAGCCACCTCCAAGACCATATATTGCTCCTCAAGTACTTTATTGCTCCTGCAGCCCCAGAGTTTCAGCATTAGAATCGGACGATCAGGGGGTTGGTCGTGCGACGGGACGAAGTAAGCAATGATCGGCTCGTATCAGCTCGAGGGGGACGTATAGCTGAGGCCCAAAGGAGACCCCTGAGCCCGAACTGGCCTTCTAGTTAGTGCTTGGGCGCACGCGCTCCCCCGGGCGTTGCTCTGTCCTCAGCCGGGCATCCCCGATGCTCCGTTACGTGCCCGATTAAAAGCGGCCTTGCTCTCTTTCCTGAACGAAAATGGTCGTGGACGAAGCACAGTTCGGGGCATATATACTATATATATATAGTTATAGTTATAGTTATATATATATCTAGACAGGTAGACAGGTAGACAGGTAGACAGGTAGACAGGTAGACACCCTTAGCAGAAGAACTCGTCAGCTGTACGAAGCGAGGTCTTGTACCGGATCCATCGAGTTGGGGTTGGGACAGAACTGTAAAAAGAGGAAAGCTCGATTTCTCCGCCCGTCATGATATTCCAACAATGTACCTCGCGAGTACCGAGTATCGAGTATCGAGTATCGAGTATCGAGCATCGAGCATCGAATAGTACGAAGGGCGAGAAAGTCCGAGACTATGCAGGTTCCAGTGTCCTTAATCTCAGGATATCCCACGGCCAAAACGCTCGCTCGTTCGCTGGACACAGGTAGGTACATAGGTACAAACAACAGGCCTCCGTCTAACCTAACCTCGTGACGACGACGACGACCACCACCACCAGGAGGAATGTATTCAGGCCTACAACTCGTCATCCTAATCATTGTCTTCGTCGCTGTAACTGGTGTCGTCGTCGTCCTCCTCCTCCTCATCCGACGAGGCGTTCGGATCCCGCTTACTCGGCGCGGGTCGACCGAACCATTTTCCCTTTGCTTGACTCGTTCTGTTCCCGGTGGTGCTCTTCTCGCTGGCCTTCGTGCCGACTTCCTCCGATGAAGACGATGAGGTCGAGGAACTACTGTCGTTGCTATTGTCATGATTCTGCTTCTGGCTCCCCGCTAGAGGCGTCTTGCGGATCGCCGCAACAACCTTTACCTCCTCTTCGTCGTCGTCTTCGCTTTCGTCACTCTCGTCATCATCGTCGTCGTCGTCGTCGTCGACGTTGAAGACGGACGGCTTCTGCCTCTGTGCGGCTGGGTTCACACGCGCAAGGACACTGCCTGCCACAGCCTTGCTCGCCTTGTTTGCGCTGCGCACCACCTCGTGGAGATCGATCAGGCGCTTGGCGGTTTCTAGCGTGGGCTTTCTCGCCTGAGGGGTTTTGGCCGGCGTCTTTCCCACTTTCGACTCCGTCTTTGCGGCTGGCGCTGGCGTGGATTTCCTGGCCACAGAAGAGCTCGTGGCGCTCTCTGTCGTCTGTGCGCGGACGCTGGGTTTGGGCGTCTTGCTGACCGTGGACGACTTGACAGACGGGTATTTTGGGGGTGCTTTTGCGGGCGTCTTCGGCGTCACTTTGTGTCCTGCGACCTGGACTCTTGATAAGCTCGTGGTGGATGACTCTCGCCTTATGGAGTTTGCTTCGCCCGGGCTAGACGGGTTTGTTCCTTCCCTCGGTTCTTCGGAGTTCTTGGCCGCATCTGGTCTTTTCGTCTTGTCGCTTTGCGTGGGCGATTCATCGTCAATGGAAAGACTCTTAGGCGTCTTCTTCGTCAATGTTGGGGCAGTTTTTGGTTCCGGGGTCTTGGACCTGTGTGCCGCCGTGCTTTTGTCCACTGATGACTTGTCGGTGGTGGGTTTCTTCTTTGCAGCGGCCCCTTGCTTCCTCTGACCTTCGGCATTTTTCTTCGCCTCTAATTGCTTCCGCTTCTTGTCTGCTTCATATTGCTCTTTCGTCATCCCTTTGCGACTTTCCATGATCTTGATCTCTTCCGGGGTCAACCCCAGACCAGAGGATGAGTTCTTCCCTGAGTCGGCCTGCTTGTCATCTCTCGCTCCGCCCACCACGACTGTGACCGAAGAACCCCGCTTGTCAACTGCAGCACGGTCAGAGCCCCAGTTCGGAAGGGGCTTCGTAAGTAAGTTGGCATTCCCATGGTCTTGTTGCGTGGCACGAAGAACGATGGTGGGCGAAGAGCCGGCCGCAGCCATCTCTGGACGCCCCATCGCAACTGCTGGCATCTCCAGCGACTTTTTATTCTTGACTCGCTCGGAAGGTGTCGTGGATGTCGTATCTTTCTTGGATGTCGTAGAACGCGATACCACAGAACCGGGCCCCTCGGCATCTTTCTCCGGCTTGTGTGGTGTCTTTTTTGCAGGAGTCGTCAACGCAGTTTTCTGCTGTGCTCCTCCGAGTCTCTTGTACACAGCATCCATGGGTATTTGGTCGTCCGTCGATTCTCGCAGATTCCGTGATAACTGCTCTCCGGGACTGTCGAGAGTCGCCCGCCTCTGCGATCCCTGAGTTTTCTTGCTACGTTTTGAGGCTTTCTTAGATTGTTTCTCTGCGTCAACCTGAATAGACTGGCCGGGTCCCTCTACAAACCCTTGCTGGCTGCCCTCCGCGCTGAAGGTGTCTGATTTCCGTTTCCGAACCCTCTTTGCCTGAGGTCGAGTCTCGCGAGCCGGGTCATCTTTTGACAAGCCGGTGGATTTGGCACCATGAATTTCGCCCCGTCTTCCCGATGTAGCATCTCCGGCAAGTGTATCCTTTGCAATATCCTTGCGGGGTGTTGTAGATATCACAACCAATGGTCCGTTTTCTTTGTCTTCCTCGCTCACCTGTCCGGGCTTTGCGGCTTCCGTGCGTTCTGTTTCCTTGGACGTATTCGTATCTATGAGGCCCGAGTGTTCCGCGTCTCCCGTCTCTGCATCTTCATAGATACTGTTTTCAATTTCGTCAGCGGACCTGGTGTTCGTCTTGAAGGCAGTCGGTGGTACTGGCAGCTGAATGATGGAGCGGGTGTCTTCAAATACAGACTCGTCATCCAGAGCATCAATGGCTTGACTGATGCTGAGCCCGTTGTCGCCTGCCTCGTGTTCCCGAGGAGACTGTAGACGCTCAATATGTGATAAACCGTCTCTTGGCCGTCGGCTGCCCAGCTGTGCTTGTCGTGATCGCGGGGACATTTGGGAGTCGTCAATATCCGACTCCGGGTAGTCGTAAACGTCACGTCTCTTAAACTTGTTGGCCGATGCCGGTGCCGGCCGAGCAGTGGAATTTGCGGCCTCTAGCGAGCGCTCGATCTGGTGGCTCACAGAAGTCGAAAGCCTTCTCGACGTCTCCGAGGGGGGTGTGATAGGCCCTTGGGAGCCCTTTCGAAGACGTCCGAAAGAATCAATCGATGGCAGGACACCGTTCGGTTGATGCGATTGACGAAAGTCATGGGGATATGCCGAACCATTTCTCTGTCTCTTGTTGGACCCAAAGGTTGCGGGGCGTTCTGCCAGCTCCTCCAGCTCGTCGAGTGTCGCTGGAGCGACATTCTGCAGCAACCTCCGGAGTTCGGGGGACTCTTGTTTCGGCCGGACGAGCGTCTGCCGTGCTCCCAAGTCTTGGTCTGGGTTTGTAAACTGCGTGCCCTCCACCAGCTCGAATGACCCTTGGACGTCCTCATGTTCAATCGATGAGACTGGAGTTTGATCTTCTCTTTGCGTCTCTGGTATCTCGACATGTCGGGGCCTCTTGCTCGCCGTCGCTGTCGAAGCGTAGTCATCGCCGATACGAAATGGACGTTTGCCCAGTGAGGAAGGCTGAGTAGGGAATGTGGGAACGGGCGGACGCGAACTCTTCTCGAGCTGGATTTGGTATCGGGGGTCGTCCAACTGACTACCAATTGCGACAGATCCTTCTCGCAGGGCTCGACCTTGCTCCAGGATGACTTTGATCGTGACGCGCTGATCGGAAGCATCGACTTGGGCTTTGCCTTCGTCCAAGAGGAGATCCGACACGTATGCTCGAGGGTCCAGATCGCAGTCGTCTTCGTTGTCCTTGAGGTACTTGATGGTCGGGAGCTCACTGGGTCCGAGTTAGAACATGTCGTGTGCGACACCTCAGCGGTCAAACAGGGCTTACAGTTGGTAGCAGCTCTGGTACGCTCTCTGCACCTCGAGAGCCAGAGTTCCGATCTGCCATTTGTACGGCTCCCGCACGACCACGACCAGCCGCTTCTCGCCTTTGACGGGGGAATTGGCGGATCCTTGAAGACTTTTGAGGTAGTCGTCTTCCGAGAGGATCCTTGCGGCAACACGCAACTTGACCATGGCGGGTGACAGTGCCTTGACCCGTGCGCATTCAAGGAGCGAATGGTGATGAACTGGTGGGAAAATAAATGTTTCGCGAGGTGAGGAGAGACTGAAAGTGCGGAGAAGGCGGCGTGGATCGCGCGACGAAAAACACGCGACGGGATCCACGGCGTTGAGGCAAACCCTTCATTTCTTCGATACATGGTCCACAATAGTCCTCCTCTGCTACGCATTATCTGGTCAAGCTAAGGGCTGACTTCACTTTATATTCACATTGGATTCACTGCCGTCCTCAACTGATGGAGATGTTGACTATTTTAATGTCCTCTTCTGGCTTCTCCTTGCGCACCTTTGTGTTTTCAATTTGATGGATCACATCCAACCCTTTGTACGCCCGTCCAAATATGGTGTGCTTATTGTCCAGCCATGGTGTCTTCTCCGTGGTGATGAAGAATTGTGACCCATTTGTATTGGGCCCAGCATTTGCCATACTCACGGTATATGGCTTGTCGTGCTTGAGATCGGAAAATTCGTCCTCGAACTCCTTTCCCCAGATGCTCTCGCCGCCGGTGCCATCGCCAAGTGGATCTCCGCCTTGTATCATAAATTTCCTGATCACCCGGTGGAAGATGGTGTTGTTGTAGTAGCCGTTCCTCGCGTGGGTGACAAAGTTTTCCACCGCCTTTGGGGCCTTGTCCGGAAACAATCTGATATGGATGTCGCCATAGGTGGTATGCAGGACGGCAGATGTGCCTGATTGGGCCTTCTTTTCTTCCTGCTTCTTTCCGGAAATGACTCGAGGCTTCTCGTTCTGCACATCGCGAGTCGATTTACTAATTTCTTCGTCGTTGGTGAACATGTAAAACCGGACTTTGCCATATGCGGTCGCAAACAGCATGGGGTCTCGAGCCTCGGCTTCGTTCAGCAGGGGATTGGCACTGGCAGCCATCGACACCGTCACCACTTCTTTCTTCTGAGGAGCTCCCTGGTACAAAGCCACGTTCAAAGCTCGAAATGGCTCGTCCTTGCCATACGCCTTCATCACTCGATTGGTGAGAGTGTTGATCACTTTGATGCCCAAGAGTGATCCGTACGCAATGAAATGGCCCGATTCGTCAAAAGCGATGTTGATTCTTGACCTGACAACCGGATTATCGAGTTCGCGCTCAACTGCCATCCTTCGTCCAAATTCAACCTCATCGAGCTTCTGAAGCGCAGTCCCTGCTTGTTGCATCGAGGTTATTGTCTCCAACGATTCATCGTATGACCGGTAGAGTTTGCCGGAAGCAAAGTCGAAAACCCTAATCTTCCGATCCGGAAATGATATCGTGGCAAACTGATGGCCCGACGGCGAAATTGTGATACAGCAAGGGGCGGACTTGGCCTTTTTGAAGTCGAACAGATTCGTCGTTGATTTCATCTTGAAGACGCTGTCCGGCTTTTCGTAATTGTCGCCTGGTTGCCAATATTCAATCATGCCGGTTGAGTCGGCTGACACGACGCAGTCAAAGGCTGGGTTGTACGCCATAGCCACCACGGGGGCTCTGTGAAGAGAAGACAAAGTGTTCACAGGAGTCTGTGAGTTGCCGGGATCATCGTAGATATGTATCTCTTTGCCTCTAGCGACAGCTAATATCGGCGAAGCTCCTCTCCGATGTACCCAACATATACAAGAAGCTGGGCTCTCCAGGTTCAAAATTGACAGTAGATCGAAGGTAATGACGTCGAAAATCTTGATGGTACTGTCGTCGTCGTCGCCAGCTGTGGCGAAGAAAGCTCCGTCTACACTGACCGAGGAGCTCACTATGCGTCCTTCATGTGCCCGGTACTCTTTGGCGAACTCGATCCCGACCGCAACTTTCTTCCAGAATTTGACGACGCCATCGACTGACGTGGTGATGACGAAATCAGCCGGCGACGGAGCAATTGTCACGGCCAGCAACTGATCCTTGTGCATCAATGATTTGGAATACCTCACGCCTTTCGGCAAGGCATCCACGTACAGAGATTCATATGGGAGCTTGCGTTTCTTTTTCGGGGGAACCGAGGACGGCAGTGCCGGTCCAAAGTCATCGTCAGAGGACTCGCTGTCGGATTTTGCGCCATCGACAGACCTCGAGCGTTTGCGGGACTGAGAATCTGCCATGATATGCTCTTGAGCTGGTGGGTTCTGAGATGTTGTTGGTTTCAGTTGCGAGGCTGAAAGAAGTGTCGAGTCGAAAACAAGAAAAACATGCAGATCGGATAAACTTCGGCACCAGCCTCCCGCTAACTATAAATGAGATAGACACTCTGCCAAGCCCATTATGATTGGTCTATCGTTTATCGGGGCTGACCTGGGGATCGACCTCCTCCAGCTGGTATCCCGACTGTTAGCAAGACATTCATTATAACTCTTCTCCTATGCTGCTCGCATGAGTCGACAACTGAGAATCTCCAGCACTATGCAGAGAGGATGCTCAGTTGAACAAATGCGCTAAACTGCGGGAGTTGGCTCCGGTGCGACCCCACTCCTTGACACGAATGGCTTCCCACGAGTGAACGAGTTGCGCATGACTGTGCGACCTTGACCGCAAAGCTCCTTTCGCCATCTGAATTTCTCAATTCGGTGTACAGGCGCAAAAGGTCTCGCCTATGGACGCTTTCAACCTGTTCAACAGACTGCTTGTCTGGTGTTTCTTTGTTCCTTTGTCTGGCATTTTCATTGCTCGCTGGCTTTGGGATCTCCAACGGCCTAGAGCGGTCTTACCGCCTCACAGGGATTCTCAAATTGGGCATGATGAGCACGAACTACTGATGTTCTTCATCTGCCTCGGCTACTTGAGTTCGAGGTATTCTTCAACGGTTGTTTCATGATATCAAGATGCCGTCGTCTCTTCGATTTCGCTCCCCATATCGCGGCGAGAAGGACGGCCCCGCCGTGCCGCGGACCCCCAGGTCGCCTCGTGGGGAATACACTGGAGACCCTGTACCTGCGGAGGGCTCTTTATCCAAGCACAACCCCTTGAAAATCGTCTTCAGCGTCCTCCTTGTGACGGCTGCCCTCTCGTTCGCGCTCTTCAGCTATCGATACCAGCTCATCCAAGCGTTCCCGACTCGCCCCTCCGCATACTGGAAGACCAACAGCGCCGCCGCGCATATGACTCCGGAGCTCCGGACCTTTGCGCCGCCCTTCGGGGAGGCACCCTCGGTATTTGCCGACAGATATGAGTTCCAGCTCCAAGGAGCCAGGGGCGATCGGGCGTGGCTGCGCATGTTTCCGAAGGGAGACGGGAGAATATCCGTCCGGCACCCGAGGGAATATGGACTGCCATCGAGCGCTGCTGCGTTTGACGGAGACGGCCACGCGATTTCTGATACCGAAATATACGATGTTGCTGTAGTGAGGCAATTGGAATGCCTGGTAAGCTCCCCTGACGCCCGCCACCTTACTCCCGGGCCCACAATGGACTGCGCAATTGTATATAGGACTGCAATTCGCTGACCATGATCCCTGTCCTCGCGTAGGCATTCATCCGCCAGATTCTAATCGACTACGACCACGAAGAACACCCCCACGTCCACGAGAAAGCCTATGTCTTTCACTGCCTCGACCATGGTAAGAAGTCTTCCTCTCCAAACCCTTTCTTTTGCTTCTCCTCCCCCCTAACCCCCCTCCCAGCATGGTACTAAACTCTGTGCTTTGATAAAACATAGTCCGGCAAGCCCTGCTCTGTGCCGCGGACACGACGCTGGAACCCACGCGCGATGGCGGCGTGGTTTCATCCCCGAACGGCCCGCATCACTACGTGGGACATCAGAAGATGGTGGCCGATCGCAGCGGCAGCGCGTTGCAGAGCGCGTTGCATACGTGCAAGAACTGGACGGCGGTCAGGACTTGGATTGAAGAGAATAGGGTTGTGGAGATGGAATGATTTGCTGTCATTCGTTGGCTGGAATCAGAGAAGGGGGAGCGTAGTCCTGGGGGATATAGAGATGTAGATGAGAATACAGATTTTGGTCATTACAAGATCAGCTGCGTTGTAAAGTGAAGAGTAGCGACGGACCGGTCCAAACCATCTTCCCACTAATGAATAGAGCATAGTAGACAAGTCTTTCCCACCAGGCATTCGTCTCATCTGTCCAATCATGCCCTATGCCGTCTGACTTGCACCGTCATCACCAGCATTTAGCAACGCCCACAATCTCCCTCCCCTCTCAACCAACTCCGTAAAAGGCCCCTGTTCAACAGCTCTCCCCTCCTCCATGACCACGACATGGTCCGCAACCTCCATCATCTCCCTTGCGTGTGTGACCACGATCACCGTCAATTTGCCCTTTTTCTCCCGACTCAGTCTAGCGATACTCTGTCGAATACTTGCCGCGCTGTCTCGATCCAATGCGCTGGTCGCTTCATCGAGGATGAGAACCTTGGGGTCGCGAATGAGCGCGCGAGCGATGACGATCCGCTGTGCCTGGCCGCCGGAGACGCCGAGACCGCCTTCCCCAATGACGGTGGCGTAGCCTTGCGAGAGGGATTGTATGAATTCATGGATCCCGGCCGCGCGGGCGGCAGAGTCAATGCGAGTTGCGGATGTCCAAGGGGAGTCGGGGGGGAGACCGTAGATGATGTTCTCGCGTACTGTTGTGGGGAGGAGTACTGGGATCTGCGGAACGGCGGCGATCAGGGAACGGAGAGAGGAGACGTCAAGGGTTCGAATATCGCGGCCGGACAGTGTGAGTGATGCTGGGCCTTCATTGGGATTCGAAGGGGACAGTGCGAGGTGATCTGCTGTTGGGGGGTAGAGGCCTAAGAGGAGGGATGCAATGGTCGATTTCCCCGAGCCCGAGGCTCCTACTATCGCGGTGGTTTTCCCAGAGGGAATGGTGAGATTCAGTCTTCGAAGGGCTGCCGCCTCCGGTCGGGTCGGGTAAAAGAATGTCAAATTAATGAAGTGGATTGGCCCTGAAAGTGTGACTGGGTCATGTTCATCTAGTTGGACCTTACCAACTTCTTCATGAGAGTTGACTTGCATACGTGCAAGTCGGAGGAGGCGGTTGGCAGTATCGGCCGCTGAACTAGTCTGAGGTATGTAGGTGATGACCGCATTCGCATTGGTAGTACAAAACAAGAGGAGTCCAAATACGGTGAGTATAGAGTTAATCGGCCACTCGTGATCTGTTGCAAGGCGAGCTCCATACCAAAAAATCATCGGCGTGAAGAAAGCGATGGCGGAATCAGATAGGCCGAAGAAGAAACCGCTGAATAAAGCTCGTCGTACGCCAATGGAAAAGGCCTGACGTGTGGCATCGCGATACTTGTTGTGGAAGTAAGATTCCAGAGTGAGCGATCGTACTGTCTTGATGTCTGCAAAAGATTCGACAAATATTTCGTTGACACTGTCACTGGCCGAGCTTGTTCGAGATTCCCACAAAGCAGAGACAATACCAAAACCCTTTGCCAGAATGTAGAGCACCGGAGAGGCCGCAAGGCTGACCAGTGTGATCTTCCAACAGGAGAGCATCGACCATGTGAAAGCCACAGCCATCATAACAGCAACGACGAGGAGCTGTGCAGCAAATTTTTCCACGAGATCCTTAATCTCTTCTGCATTCTTATCGAGTGAAGATATGAGGGCTGCAGGATTGTTGTGGTCTTCATCGAACCAAGCCTTGGGTTGGCGTAGAATACGTTGCAATGCCTGGATTCGGAGCGTGTCCACCCACGATTGGCTTGCAGAGTCGAGAAGGTATTGCATGAAAAAACACGCAAAGCCATCGACAACGGCAATTCCAACAACGACCATTGAGTAGGTCAAGGCTTTCTTCTCGTATCCTGTCGGGAAGTAGTAGGTATCAAAGATTTGCACGAGGGCATATGAGAATGCGGGTGGAGCCCCTGCGTGGACCAAGGTTGCCAGGAATCCGAGAAGCAGTTTGCTTCGGTTGACATTATCGAGGCTGGGCCATAGTGCAAGCAGTACTGCAGTGATTGAAGCTGCTGGCTGCAAGTGTTTGCTCACTTTCTCTGCAAGGGTTACATCCATGATATCGTGGTCTATGCTTTTATTCCCACCGATGGCATCGTATCTCAAGGGTGGCGTGGGCAATGGTTTGTCTCGAGTCCTCGGAGTTCTTGGGATGGCTGACACGAAAATCGATTTGCGGGTAATGGCGGCTGGATTAGCGTACGCAGCGGATGATGAAGTCGCTCCCTGATGTTCAGACGGATTCGTTTGGTAAAGAGTATACATAGCTTTGGCACGGGCCATTGACTGACGCTTGAGAAGCTTCAGTGCAGCTCCACTGCTTGCAGATAATCCTTTCCTCAGCCGATGTCCAAGTGATCTGCCTCCCCAAGAGTCCTGGGCAGTTTCCAAGCTGTGACTCTGTGCACTTGCTGCTGTATCAAGGTCGAACGAGTCCTTCTTCAATGGCGAAGAAGGGGTAATCGTTCTTGGCGAGCCCGGAAGGCCCCGTCGTGACATGGATTTGGTCCTCTCATCAGAACAGTTGATTTGTCCGATTGACAGCTCCTTTGCGTAGGCTCCATGGCCGGTGGCAGCGCTTTTCAAGTCGGCAAGGCTCCCACGACGGCCTTCCTGAATGACTCGACCGCTTTCAAGAACGTACACGAAGTCATTGTCCTGTATCTGACTTAGATCATGTGTAATAATGATGGTCGTTTTTCCTCGTCGCCATTCTCGAATAGATCTCATGACAGCTATCTTGCTCGAATTGTCGAGAGCACTTGTTGCCTCGTCCAGTATCATTATCGGTGTGTCTCTCAAACAAGCACGTGCAATCGCAATCCGCTGCTTTTGGCCTCCAGAGAGAGATGAGCCACTAGTCCCGACTCTAGTATGAACCCCTCCCGGAAGTTGGTCAATGGTGTGTCCCAAAGCTGCCATCCTAAGGCATTCGTTTACACGAACCTCCGTAACTCGATCAAAATCGCGTCGACCCAGCGCAACGTTTCTGAAAATAGTATCGCTGAAAAGGACGCATTTCTGTTGGACTAGAGTGATATTGTTTCGGAGCCAGTTTGTATCAATATCTCCTAAGTCATTGTCGTCGATGAAAATCGCCCCGGTCTTAGGATGGTAGAATCTCATCAGTATATTGCTGAGTGTGCTTTTCCCAGACCCGCTCTTGCCCACGATGAATGTGGTCTCTCCCGCAGGAAAATAGAATGTACAATGGTCCAGAGCCAGGGATGTGGGTCTTGATGGGTAGGCAAATGAAACCTTCTCAGAATTAGACAATCAACTTGCGAAATATACTGAGCACATACCGCCCGGATTTCGATGTTCCCCTCGCAAAATTGTGGCGACAATCTACCCACATTTCGCAGTTGCGGCTGCCCTTCCAAGACTTTGTTCACCACTGTCTCCAATGCTGAAGCTGACGACTGGCTTCGTTGAAGAATGATGCAATGTGGCAACATGTCCTCAATCGCCTTCGCAGTTATGAGGCAGGCCCAAAATGTCGTGACCACTTTGCCGGCACTAGTTGCACCCGAATGGACCTGTGTACCACCATACCAGAACCCTGCACACATTCATGAGAGTTGTTCTTTGGTCAGGCGCGAAGAACTTGCCCTGGACGAACATTGCGGTCGTGGTAAAACGTACGAACCCAGATTGCAATGCAGTGGAAAAGGCCTGCTTCAAGGAGAACACACCGGCCGCCCTGACTGCTGAAGAGTAGTTGTTTGCTTCTTGGTCTTGAGTGTTGAAACACTTTACGGTAACGATGTTTGTGACACACTTATTGGCTAAGGTGGTGGCGGTAGTCAGTGTTTCGTTCCGGTAGTCGATATTCGCTTGTACACGTCGAGAAATGAGGATGCTGCCAATAGCGATGACAGGGATTGCCGAGAGCACAACCAGAGTCAACTTCCAGTTTGTGACCATTGCGAGGCCAAGTCCAGCCAATGCTTGAACCAGACACACAAATACGAAACCAAGAGGCTGCGAGGTTCCTAGTTGCAGTTCACTGATCTGTCTGATATCATTAGAAAGGTGGCCTGTCACTCTCGACACGTCGTACCTCTGGAACCTGGTTAGGAGCGTCCCTACCCCCGTTGTTCGCGCCTCGTACCATTCTATTTCACGATCGAGTAGAGATTGGAAGAGCAGTTCACGAATGCTCCTTGCCTGCATCTCGCCAAACACTAGCCAGAGGCTAAAAAGGGTGCCCTTGAAAACAAATGTGGCGGCTGCAAGTCCCAAGAGCGCGTGGAGACTACCTAGAGAGCGGTCCATGAAGGTTGAGCCATCAGTCTTCCCAGCAGCAAAGTCGGAAAAAGTGTCGAAGAACTTCCCGAAAAAGAATGCCATTGCTGGTTGCAAGCATCCTGCGGCGGCTGAGGTGGCAGTGGCCGGCAATAGAATGAATAAGTGTGCCTTTGCTGTGAACTTGAAAATGCTTCTCCAGCAGCCGAGGAAGCCATGTTTTTGCCGCGCCTCATTAGACTCGATTTGATGCTCGTCTTGAGCAGTTGTGGTCATGTCGCGAAGGTGGAAGCTTGACTAGACATGGTCGAGAAGGCCAACGTTTCAATGTCGCGAACTGATGGCAGCGGGAATAGACATCAAGAATCAACAGCTTGAACCATGCAAAGTCATTATTGAAAACAATGTTCATTCCTCGACTTGAATGTTGAGTGCCAAGAGCGCCGATGGCACATCTTGATATTGTTCTTGTGGAATGTGCAGGAATTCCCACGCGGTCCCGCACGGTGGAGGCTTTGAGATTCAGTGCACTTGGAAACGAAGCCCCTGGCGCCGACTCGTGCTGTGGTGAACGGCTCGGCATTCGCTGTTGCTGTCTAATTTGGTGTTGGCGTGCCAGTCTCCCTGCCTACGACTTCTTCTCCTGCTTCTGAGCGTTTTCATGAATCCAGTCGTTCAGTCCAGCCCTGTTTCTAGCAATTTCGATTGCATAGAACTGCACTCGAATTACGAAAATGGTCTCTTTTTCGCCATACTCGGTTTTGGGGCTCTTCCTCAGCATGGTGCCGAAGTTGTAGTCCTCAATTTTCTTCTCGCCCTTTTCGTAGACCTTGGCGAAGTTGCGCCACTTCTCTTTGCCCTCTTTGCTCTTCATGGCCTCCTCATCGATCTCCTGAGCAGGGTCAAAGTCCGGAAATTCACTCTTAAAGTGCTCGAGAATCTCGTCGTCGAGTCGAGTCAAACGGAGCTTTGAGCCAGGCAGCTTTTCGAGGATTCCCCAATAAACAGTCATTTGTTGCACTGCCCTCACGGCGAATTGCTTCTCCATGTCCTCGTAGTTCGGAGCATTCTCCGGGTCGATGACGCTGGTGAGGGACATCTCGGCGACCTGGAGATTGTGATTCTGGAAGTGTTCGTACCCGATGAGTTCGGATTTCGCAGCCTGCGGGATCAAATTGATTGGTATCTCGGGAAATGTTTCTGACGGAGATGTTTTGTGAATTTCTTGGATGATTTTTCGTTGTCAAAGTCTTTCACAAAAAAGACTCCTTGAAACTTGAGATCGATGATACGCCAAAAGGGGTTAGTATGTCTTGGCAAACACGTGACTCCTATTCGGTGAAGCATTCTGACCAGGAGATGCAGGCGCCTTGTGGTCGATTGTCCAGCGACCACGACTGTCGATCCATTCCAACTCCTCATCATGTTCGGGCTGCAATTTCACTTCAGATGGGGGAGGGACTGGCCTCTCCAAGTTGTCCGTGAATTATCCGCTACCTTCAGCGAACTCGGCTTAGTCGAACATGCAACATGTCAGATCGGGCGGCCCTCGTCGCACGGCCCGCCTTATCCGCCGACCACGACCACGGCACATTGCATGCCTCGGCAGGGTTCCTCGCGGAATTGTGGTGGTCGTTCTCTCGAGGGCTAGAGTGAGATCATGTCCGGGGAAATACCCAGCCTGACGACTGTACTATTTCTCCCGCATACCGGCCATAATGCGCAACCCACCCCAGGCATCGTTATAGCAACCCCCCTCAAAACATTCAACCAACAGGCAAACAATCAGAATGAGACAGTATCGAGATACCCAGCCAGACCCAGGCCAAACATCCGCAACGCTGCAACGGCCACCCCTCTTTGTCGCTCAGTTACCATCCAGCAGCCATGGCAGAAGGCAGATTCAGAGGGTGTTGATCGCGAATAGAGGTGAAATCGCATGTCGAATCATCGCAACTTGTCGGAAACTAGATCTAACATCGATCGCTATCTACGCACAAGAAGACTCGTCTTCGCGCCATGTTGCCGAGGCAGACGAGGCAGTCAATCTGGGAAGCATTAATCAAACCGGAGGAAACCCATTCTTGAATATCCCGCTTCTTGTTGATGTTGCTCGATCGCAGGGCGCTGATGCCATACATCCAGGCTATGGCTATCTCAGCGAGAACAAAGATTTCGCGGACGCCGTACGTCAAGCAGGAATGATCTTCATTGGACCAAGTTCCCAGGCCATGTCCACGCTGGGCGACAAACGCAATTCAAAGGACTACTTGAGGAAACATGCGCCCAGTGTTCCGCTCATTCCAGGATTCACAGGCTCAAGCCAGAACGTCAAAGAGTTGGAATCCGCCGCAGAAAAGGTTGGGTTTCCGGTGATGCTAAAGGCATCTGCTGGAGGTGGAGGTCGCGGGATGCGGATTGTTCGAGAGCGTTCACAACTTGCGGGTGAGCTTGCTCGCGCACAGTCAGAGGCTCAGCGTTCTTTTGGATCGAGCGACTGCATTCTCGAGAAGTACATCGAAGCGGCCAAACATGTCGAAGTCCAGATCATTGGTGACAGCCATGGCAAAGTCCTGTCGTTGTGGGAGAGAGAGTGCTCTGTTCAGCGACGGCACCAGAAGATTATCGAGGAGACGCCATCCCCATTTTTGACTCCCGAACAGAGGCAAAGAATGTGCGCAGTCGCTGTCCAAATAGGCGAACTCATTGGGTACGAGGGTGCTGGTACCGTCGAGTTTGTTGTGGACGCCAGAGACGGAAGTTTCTACTTCCTCGAAGTCAACACGCGCCTGCAAGTTGAACACCCCATCACAGAAGAGGTTACGGGCCTTGACGTTGTCTCGCTGCAATTGTTTGTGGCCGCCGGTGGATCCCTCGCCAGTCTGTCCGTTCTACAGCACATTCCGCAAAAGGGCCACGCCATCGAGTGTCGGCTCTGCGCAGAAGATCCAAGCAGTGATTTCATGCCACAGAACGGCACCATCCAACTGTGGCGGGAGTCAGACCAGTATCCATCGTCAAGAGACGTACGATACGAGACCTCTGTACAAACCGGATCCACCATATCCATTTACTTTGATTCGATGATCGCCAAAATCGTGGTGTGGGCGCCGACAAGATCCATGGCAATCTCGAAAATGGTCAAGGTTTTGGCAAATACGGTGTGCGCAGGAGTGAAAACCAACCAGCTTTTCCTCCAGGCCTGCCTTTTGCATCAAAGCTTTCATGACCCGGCTTATACGACCTCGCTGATTCCGACGCATGTGCAGAGTCTGCTGAAAAATCCCTACACTGAATCTGTGCAAGACATGATCTCTATGCTTTCTCTGGTTCCGGGTCTTGTGCTGAGGGGTGGAGCATCTCCGCTGGCCGATGCGAGGCCTTTCAAGCACGTCACTCGAGGCTTTAGAAACCAATACTTTGACCCTGTCAATCGCAGCACAACTGTAATTGTTCCTTCAGAGCCCTCCTCCGCTCAGACACCCATTTTGTCAGTTTGGAGCGCCCACTCTCGCGGCGAGAGCGGCCACTCAAAATACGAGGCCACATTAGTCCCCATCCCAACTGATGAAAACGACCAGGCGCCGGACACCTCAAGCCGTGACCCCGAGGCCTACCAGATATCTCGGCAGTATCATGCCATCAGCCACAAGCTCAGAGATCCATCTCTAGCCAACGCTCCACAGTACACCGTGGAATTTACAAAGTGGAAGGACATGCAAGATCCGACTGGCGACAACGCATGGAGAACCGCGTCAGTCGCCATCTCCATCAACCAATCCATCATCCACGCCCACATCGCAACAGACACACCTTCCAACCCCGCCTCCTCCACCGCCTCGTATCAGACCGTCCTGTGCCATTTCCGCGGGCTGGGCACGTGGGTGGAATACAAGTGCTACAGCGTCCTCAACTACATGGAGAGTCTACGACAAGCCGTTGGTGGTCGCGGCGGCTCTCTGGGAGGTTCAAACTCCAAGGTCATCAAATCCCCCATGCCGTGCAAAGTCCTCTCGGTGCTCAAAGCCAACGGAGAACAAGTCAAGGCCGGCGAAGTGGTCATGGTCATTGAGAGTATGAAGATGGAGACGAACATCTGCATCAATGTGGACGGCAAGTTCATGACGGGAGTCAAGAACGGGGATGCCGTGAATGATGGCGCTGTGTTGTGCTGGGTTGAATAGAAGCGGGATATTATACAGTAGATAGACCATGTATATAGAGAAAAATCCCCTTGATTGAATCGAGGTTAGTCGAGTCCTCGATACGGTGATGCTACATCTCTCCACACGAGCATTTTATCGGTATCACCTCGCATACAGGTTACTTACTATGTATATCGGATACGAGGTATGTACTAGGTACTAGACAGCCAACCCACCGACTCTCTCTTCAAGTCGACATGTCCACTACCCACCCCCTTGCGACACGCTCTCTCGTCACGCTGTACCGTACTACGACAACTCGTACCAAGCCTCAAACACAGACCTAGTTACCTACGGGGGATGCCGAGGACTGTGCCGCCCAGGAATTATGCCTCCCTTCGTCCATCCACCTCTTACAGTACGCACCCGGCCCGCCCACGGCGCCAAGCCGGACTCGGGGTCTCCCTCGCCCCCAGGCTCCACCCCAATGAGTAGAACCTCGACTACCCATCACCATCGGCCTGTAAGACGGGATAAGCAGTCCCAGTGCCCCAGCCTAGGTAGGTAGGCATGGACCGTGACATAATAGCACGGACACCCACATGCCTAACGTCTCATGCGTTTCATACGTAAGAAGGAGGTCCACCCAGGGAGGGTAACACCACCGAATGACCAGCACCAAGCTCAGCCTCGGCTGAGCTGAGTGAGTGAGTGAGGCCCATCCCATCCGCAGGGTGTGGATTCAAAGGCCGAGCCCCCAGACATGGAGGCTGTCCTCGCCTCTGCCCTGTCCTGCCGGGTCGAGGCCCGAGCAATGTGCTTTGGGGACGGGTGGCACCTTAAGCCTGGGTTGGGGTGAACCATAAGGACTGGCACTCGGCTTGAGATCGGTATTTGAGAGAAAAAGATCCTAGACTTTTGTTGGACTGCTCACGCTACAGTACAAGCAGCCCTCTATGGAACGTGGGCGGAGAAATTGATAATAAAGCATTCTTCCGGAACGCGAACTCCCACAGAAGAGGAGAAGCACACTTTCACTTTCTTGAGTCTAGACATATTGATTGATCAATTTTCGACTGGAAAGCTTTGTTCACAATGGCTCCCTCCGTCTCCCCAGCGCCCTACGCCGACCCTGCTTGGCTCTCGCGCGACGTGAGCCCCTACTACACCGCGAGCCACCGACGCCTCCAAGCCGAAGCGCGCGAATACGTCTCCACGCACATCACGCCGTTCTGCGAGGACTGGGAGCGGCAGGGCTCCGTGCCCAAGGATGTCATCCTCACCCACGCGCGGCTGGGATACATGGCTGTCTCGATATACCCGCTTGCCGTCGCGCAGATCAAGGCTCTGGGCCAGAGGCTGCCGGGAGACATCGACCCGGAAGAGTGGGATGGGTTCCACGACCTGATTGTGATCGACGAGATTGCCCGGTGTGGCTACCTGGGTGTCATCTGGGCGTTGAGCTGCGGTAATTCCATCGGCGCCCCGCCTCTCATAAATTTCGGAAACGAGGAGCAAAAGGCGAGATTCTTGCCGGACGTGATCGCCGGGAGATCGCGATTCTGTCTGGGAGTCACCGAGCCAGATGGTAAATTCCCTCTCCAGCTCCTTGTCGGTACAGCATCATGTTCCTAACTCGATATAGCTGGATCAGATGTGGCGGGCATCACGACGACGGCCGAGCGGCGCGGAGACGTCTATATCGTGAATGGCGCGAAGAAATGGATCACCAATGCCATATTTGCCGACTACTGCACCGCCGCGGTACGCACAGGTGGACCAGGCCGCGCGGGAGTCTCTGCCCTGATAATACCGCTCAATTCTCCCGGCGTGAAATGCAGCAAGATCGAAAACTCGGGTGTCAACGCCAGCGGCTCCACGTATATCGAGTTTGACGATGTCGCGGTACCTGTGACAAATCTCCTGGGCGCAGAAAACCGTGGTTTCGACATCATCATGTCAAACTTCAACCATGAAAGACTCTGGCTGGCATGTACATCCCTTCGCATGGCGCGCGTCTGCATCGAAGACGCTTATGCCCATGCGCTCCGAAGAGAAACTTTCGGCAAGCCCCTGATTGCGAACCAGGTCATCTCGGCCAAGTTTGCCGACTTTGCCCGTGACGTCGAACCGGTATATGCGTATCTAGAGTCGATTGTGTACTTGACGGAGCACGAGCGAAAGAGAAAAACTCGAGGTCGCCCAGGAGGTGACCAGGCCGCATCCCATGGAGACCTCAATCTTGGAGGGATGATTGCCACCCTGAAGACCGGCGCCGGGCGGGTTTTAGAGCGTGTCAACCGGGACGCGCAGCAAATCATGGGCGGAGCAGGTTATTCACGCACTGGCAAGGGTGCCAGAATCGAGCAGATCAGTCGAGATGTTCGAGTTATGGTGGTGGGCGGAGGCAGCGATGAGATATTGAGCGATCTTGCCGTCAAGCTGGAGACAAAGGAGCTGCAAAGACTGACTCGTCCGTCGAGCAAGTTGTGACTTATTGTGAAGCAATCTGAATAGTATTGGAAATCGTCAGTGAGAACCAGAAAGACATATGAACGCCAAAATGTGGAATTAAAGTACAATCTTGACTGTACCTACAACAACATTAACGTAGCTGTTTCCCCCACAGCTGAACCATTCTGTCCGGTTTCTGCTGAATGAAGATTACCCTGATATTGAGCTTCACAAGGCGATCATTGCTGTTTCACACAGGAACGGGAACCCCTCCCAGAAAATGCTCCGTTCGCATGACCCAGCTCGCACCAAGAAGGCAGCGGACTAGAAGTCACGCACGTGAAGAGGCCAGGACATCAGAATGCAGCCGACGATCTATTGGAAAACGTTTGTCGGGGGAATCCCTGCAAGCCGTTGTCTCCCATGGCTTCTGACAAAATCCCGCCCATGTCTTCTCCCAACATACGAGCGTACGTTGGAGGTAGTACACCACTAGCGGGAAACTGGCCGCCCGGAAGATTTGTGCTGTCAGAAGTCAAAGACTCGGTTATATTTGGCCGGAGGTGTCCTGTTCCGGGTAGTAAATCTGCTAGAGAAGACCTATTCTCCCCAGGGCGGATGTTCTGGGGCAACCAAGCGTAATCAAGGAGCTGCCACAGCATATTTCCGAGCGGCACAGTCACTTTCTGTGCCAGGCTCACAGGATTTGTGAGAACCCTAGCAACCCCAGGATCCAACTTGAACGACCGGAGGAGGGTGCCCTTGAGATTCAAATCAGGATACTGTCATCGTGTAGTATAGTAGGATGTCGTGCAACGTAATCGATGCGAGTAGGAGATCATCACTTACCATGTGGCCTACATGACCCCACCGCACTGGCTCGCGCTGCAGAAACTTGAGCGCAGCTTGGAGGTGTTTCCTCGAGGTCTGCGCAATTTCTGCGTCATCACTTTTCTCATATATGCTGTGTATCACTCCTGCCGCCATTGCACAATACCCATAGAAGCTGGGATGGCTGAGAGGGCCATACGATTCCAGATCGTTTAGCAGCTCCAGGAGGTTTGTGGCGTGTCTTCGACATCGTTCCAGGGCCTCTTGCACGAAACTTAGAGGGACAGGAGCTGCATAAGCCTGGAAGAAGCGGTATAATATGAATGGATGGTTGAGTAGACAATTGTTGAGGTGATAGAGGGCATGGGAGTAGACAATGTGACTGACTTGTGACGGTGATACGGTCTCGTCAAATGAAGGTTGTCGATTTAGAGCCTCGGAAATGGTGCTGAAAGCACACGGCGAGTGGCTTTCATAGTACAGTAAAATGCTCTGTACCTCATAATACTTGGATCGTGGGTCCCAGAGGACATGGGTGGTATTCAGAGTGCGCTTCAAGCTAAATCGGATAAAGCGGCCCAGTGCCGACGCCATGATTACAGTCATGGCAAAGGGATCCAGGTTCTGGTGGTTGGAACCTGACGGATTTTCGACAACGTCGGTCAAATTTGGCACGGGCCCACCATCGAGTCCATCCCTGAAAAGAGCTTCATGGCATGGAAGACGGACGGTGCAGTCTTCATCTAGAAGTGAAGGAGGTCGGTTCGGCCCGATTGACATCAAGATATCCAGGAGATAAACCGACCAGAATATTCGTCGCCGCTCTTCTTGTTCGTGGATAGGAAGCTGCTGATCGGGCTCTTCATTGAGCCGCAGGGCATGTGCGAACCGACACGAAAGAGCCAGTTTCACCCAGCCGATCTTTGGACGTCCAGCTATAGTCAATGCTTAGTCAATCCGTGCACGACAAAGAAAAAGCATCTCGCCAAACTCACCTGCAAAGTCCACAATCGCCAACATGGCTAGAGCTACCACCATCCACGGCTCTAAACTCTCTGCGTCTGAGAATGAATGCTCAAATATCTGCCCAAAGGATGCCTGGGCATAGGCGTCAATGGCTTCGGCCCGACGCTGCTGATAGAATTCGTGGTCGGAGAAACGGCAGGCAGCAGCAGCAAAGGCATAGAGTAAATACTCGGGCAGCGATCCGGATTCATAATCATGGCGAAACATCTCTTCGTGGAAAAAGGCATAAGGCTGATTGTGACAACGATCAAAATAGACCTGAACAAGAGATCGAAATATTGCCGGATCTGGAAGAAAGGTGAAGTCGCTATTCGTGCGGGCGATCTCGTCAACAACGGGAGGCTGGTCTACAGACTGGTTGACGGTCGTCTGTGGCGACACAGATGCGAACAGGTTGAAAGCGCTGTCTGCATCCAGGAAGCTCAGCCGAGACTCTAGCAAGGCGACTCTTGCAGCGAGGCTGGCATTGTGTGCGGCCGCTCCTGAGAGGGATGGCGCTTGGCCCGGGTCCGTGAATCGATCAGGCGAGACATCTTCGTCGCCATCCCACGTACAGCGCTGATTGAGTCGGGCACAGAAGGCGCATACTGGCTTCTCTCCCGAGCAGCGCGTCTTCTTCCTACCAATCATTGTTAGCCTGTATCGAGGAGTGCTCGAGATACCGTATCGCATGCGCTGTTTGAGGGTCGTGTCTCGTTGCCAACAGGATCGAACTCACCTCCTGCAGTTGAGACACGCCTGGCGTGCTCTTTTAGCCTCACGCCTGTCGTCCATGAAGGCTGACGGATAGGGGAAGCGTAAAGACTTGATTTGTAAAGGTACGCGGCATCTGCAGAGGGGTTGATGCAGAAGTAGGTGGCAAGTAAAGCCAAGGCAAGCGAGAAGTGGTGTCTAGACGCGGCTTTGATGGGTTGGAAGACGTGTTTTGTCTGACAGAAAGAAACCCCACCAATTGATATAACAGAATCGCAGAATCCAGCCGTGCAGGAAGAAATCTATCTGTCTGACTCGAATTTTTTATGTACAGCTCCTCAGCTTCGCTTCTCGCCCACTTTCCAGCTTCTCCCCCAATTTCATCCTCAGTGCCATGTCACATTATATTCTTGCCAACGCCCGGTGGCCTGCACTCCCTTGCACTCCCGGGGTTTGCACGACTTCTAGACACATTGCAAGCACGTCGCGAGTATCCCGAGGGTCAATCACTCCGTCATCAAGCATGTAGGCGCTTGTGCGATACGCACTGCTATCCCTTTGGACCTCCTTTTGCAGTCGCTGCACTCTGGCTTCCACCTCCTCGGGCTTGAGAACCACTCCTTTGCTTCGGGCACTGTTCGCTTCAACTTGAGCCATCACCCCAGACAGCTGTTCTGGCCCCATGACGCTGCACCGTCCAGTCGGCCAGGTGAACAGAAAACGCGGCCGATATGACCTTCCACACATAGCATAGTTGCCTGCTCCATATGATGCCCCTAAGATGATGGAGATATGTGGTACCTTTGAACAGCTAACCGCGGATACAAACTGCGCCCCCTTTTTGATGATGCCGGCATGCTCAGCCTTCGAGCCGACCATAAAGCCCGTCACGTTGTGGAGAAAGGCAATCGGGGTGTTCTGTTGGTTGCATAGGCGAATGAACTGCGTTCCTTTCGATGCTTCGTCTGGGTTGATGATGGGTGTCTGGTTTGCAATTATCCCGACACGCATCCCTACTTCAACTTAGCACTTGTTTCCTATCGGGATTCCAGCGCAGAACTTACCCATGATATAGGCCCACCCTGTCAACAGATTGCTGCCATACTCTGGCTTGAACACGGCCAAACGTGACTCGTCAACCAATCGAAGAACCACTTCTTTCATATCGAACGGTTTCCGGACGTCAGGGTTAACTATGGAAAATATATCCTCGATTGGATAACGCGGCGCAAGCGGAGGACGCATGGGCTGAGCTGGTTGATTCCGCTGTGATAGTGTGCTGACCCATTCGCGAGCCTTCCGGACAGCATCAAACTCGTCAAAGGCAATCTGATCTGCAAGGCCGGTAACAGTCCCATGAACTCGAGCTCCTCCCAGCTCTTCCGCAACGATGTTTTCCCCGGTAGCCATTTTGACCAGAGGAGGACCTGCGAGAAAAACTTGCGCTTGGTTTTCGACAAAAATGGTGTAATCTGAGAGCCCAGGATGGTAGGCACCGCCTGCTGTCGAAGAGCCGAAAACAATCGCACAGGAAGCGTGGCCATTCTGGGTTCGCATGGCGAGATCACGGAAAATCTGCCCGCCCTTGTGGAAAACACGAAATTGCTGCGGCAGAAAGACCCCTGCAGACTGCACAAGAGCGACGAGCGGTAGGTCATTCTCGCTGGCGATTTCGGTCACTCTGTTTTGTTTGATCACCGTCAACTCGTTCCATGCGCCGCCACTTTGTGTTGCGATGTGTGCAATAACGAGGCAGATGCGGCCGCTGATGCTCCCAATGCCAGCCAGGAGACTGGCACAGGGGCTGGAGTCGTCCAAGTCGAAGCCGGTAAAAGTGCCCAGTTCAAGGAATGACGAGTCGGGGTCTAACAGCAGCGATATCCTGTCTCTTGCCAGTAATTGTCCCCTCTTCTCATGTTTGTCGATGGCTTGGGGGTTGCCTTCAGACGTTGTCCTCCTCAGGTTCTGGGAGAATTCCTCCATTACCGGCTTCCATGCTTCTCGATTCGACCTATACGGTTCTCTAGTCACGTCGAGAACCGACTCAACCACGGGGAACCCAGCAGCGTGCGCCATGTTGAATTTGGTGGTTTGGGTAGATGAAAGCTGACCTCGAGGCGGGCTTCGGGCTTCAATGTGATATGAAAGTCCGCCAGTTCGACAGGCCAATGCTTGGGCATGACGGTGGACAGTTGGGCCGAGGCTGGTGTTGCTGCCCCGGGTTCGACGGTGGTTCGGACGCCAAAGCGCGACCCTGGCAAGGCGGGCCGCCATGGCGGAACCGGCTCCACATCCACCGCGAGTCGCAACACCGATCGAGACATGTATACCCTGAAGCTGACTATGCTCGAGTCTTATGGTTCCGTTCTTAGTTACCAGTTTCGGGACAGTTCTCACTCATATACCGGGTCTGCAGCAACATCACTAGGACTGTCACCGAGACTCGGAGCAAGTGCATTCCATTCTGAAGTACATAATGGCGAGCACTGATCTTGCAACCCGTTCGACAGGACAAACAACAACAATGTCGTCTGCAGCTTCTTTCGTTGCAGGCCCCCGAACGCCGCCCTTGCTGGAGGAAACTCTGGGGGAACTCATGCATCGACAGGCTGCTCGATATGGAGACCACAAAGCAGCCACCTTCTCCTGGCAACGTCATACACTATCGTACAATGACCTTGCAAACCGAAGCGAAGCAATTGCAAAGTCGATGTTGGCCAGAGGGCTGAGGCATGGAGACAACATTGCAATCATGGCCGGGAATTGCTATCAATACCTCGAAACGTTCATCGCTGCTGGCCGAATAGGCTGTCCTTTCGTTGTCCTGAACAACACCTACACTCCGAAAGAACTGATCTCTGCCTTGAGCGTCACCTGCAAGTTTTGCCTCTACTCTCTATGAAGCTGGTCTGACTAGAATTACAGCATGCAAACTTCTCTTTATCGCTGCACAAATCCGACTGAAAGATCTGTCTGCACATATCGAAGCCGTGTCCAAGGAACTGAGCACCATACCCTGTGTTTCCCTGTCAGCAGAAGACAATGCAACGCATAAGGCATTGGGGTTGTGTACTTATTCATCTTTCGCCTCTGAAGGACGGAACATCGACCAGGCAACACTGAAGCGAGCAGAGAGCCGTATCAGATGTGATGATGTCGTCAACCTCCAATTTACTTCCGGTATGTCACCTTGTCTTGTGTATAATTTCCAACCCACATACTGAGTGAAACAGGAACCACTGGCGCTCCGAAAGCAGCCATGCTAACTCACAGGTATCCAAACCTTCATCTGGTTGAGATCAATGCACTATACTAACAAGCTGGCCAGGAACCTCATCAACAATGCCCGCCTCGTCGGGATGACCATGCGCTTGAATCCCTCTGACATCATCTGTTGTCCACCTCCCTTATTTCACTGTTTCGGGCTGGTGATGGGCTTTCTAGGGTCATTCACCCATGGCAGCAGAGTTGTGTTTCCATGCGACCAGTTCGATGCTGACTCCGTCCTCGATGCACTGAATGAAGAGAAATGCACTGCGCTCCTCGGCGTGCCAACCATGTTCATTTCGGAGATCGAAGCCAATAAAGCAAAGAAATATAAAATCTCGTCGGTTAAGACGGGGCTCGTTGCAGGGTCGTCCGTGTCGCCGGCCTTGGTGAAGCAATTAGACCGAGAGTTTGGAATCAAGGGAATGCTCATTCCATATGGAATGACTGAAACAAGTCCAGTAACATTCATGACTGTGTTTGATGACACGGAAGAAAGACGAACTAAGACTGTTGGACGAGTGCTACCACACACGATGGCCAAGATTGTTGACCGCGCCGGAAACATTGTCCCGCGCGGGGTGCGAGGAGAGCTCTGTGTCAGTGGATATTCTCTACAGAAAGGGTACTACAACAATCCAGCCAAGACAGACGAAGCAATGAAGAGGGATGAAAATGGTATACTGTGGATGTATACTGGCGACGAATGCGTCATTGACGAGGAGGGTTACTGTTCGGTAACTGGACGGATCAAGGATATTATCATTCGCGGTAAGTCACCAGACCACCGTCTCCATCTACTTCATCCTGTGCGTTGATCTCTGGCGTACTCATCACTGACCCCCGACTAGGCGGTGAAAACATCTTCCCCAGCGAGATTGAAAGTTGCCTGGCCGAGCATCCGTCCATCGCCGAGGCCAGCTGCGTCGCCATCAAAGACGCCAGGTATGGCGAAGTCGTCGGCGCGTTCCTCCGCGCGCATCCACGACCCGGCTGCCTCGACCTCGACCTCAAGGAGGGAAACAGAACGCGGCTCATGAGGCCGAGTTGGAGGGAAGTCAACAATTGGGTGCGCAAATCGCTGGGCAGTCACAAAGCGCCCAGATATGTTTTCTGGGTCGGGGATGACGGTGTAGGCCAAGAGTTCCCCAAGACCGGCAGTGGGAAGATCATGAAGCATCTTCTTCGAGACGTAGGGGAGAAACTTGTGCAGATGGGTAGAGGGATGGAAGACAAGGGGCCAGAGGACAAGGCGGTGGCGGTGAGAGCCAGGCTGTGAGTTGTCGTTGCGAGTATCAAAACAGCGGTGGGTGTACAGATCCAATAGAGGGATAGACAATACAGGAAGGAAGGGGCTCAGTCTTTGTTCTTGCTGACTCCCTCGTAGCTACAATACGAGCACGGTAACCACCTGGTGATGAGACATTGCCCAGGAGTTACCTGGTCCCATGTCGTCGTGACATTTGCGCTGTTTGCTTACCGTTCCAGCCGTCTAAGGGGTTCCCTGCAATGCCAGCTACTACTGTGATTACTCGTAGGTCCAGCTTCCCGGTCTTACTTAAGCAGTAGCAGCACTGTGGAGGCCGTACCTGGTCTCGCCTCACATACCATTGCGCTATGACTAACCACCACAAAGACGCGTCGGAGGCGCCCATAAGACGGATGTGACATCATACTTACTACCCGGGCACCATTCTCCGTTCACAGTATCCATTGCGTAGGACGCATAAGTAAGTACGAGGTATACGGAGTAATATGGATAGGTACCATGTAGGTCAGACGACCTTGGGACTGGAAGCAAGAGCACTAATTACTGTATAGGTAGGCCAAGAGCACTAATTACTGTATAGGTAGGTGCTTCAATAGGTGGATACCCAGTAATAGGTAGGTAGGTAGCGAGGTACAGTATGCAGGAAGGGAGCCTTAGGGGATGAGAGCCTCGGCCCCTCCTCGTCCCCAATGCCCGGCTCGATCCGTCTGCGATTGGCACGGGCGCCATGCCGGGCCCACACTCTCTGAATCGTTCTCCACTCCGCGCCCGGCCCAGGGTCGAGGGAATCCGAGCAGCAAAACGACTCCAAGGCTCCGAGGTTATTTTTGGGGCGAGAGGGGGGGGGGAGAGATTCGACTCGGACTTTGTGTGGGAGAGAGAAAGCACGGCTTTGTGTCACGATCGGTCCTCGCGATTCACTTGCGATGCCCTCGTCTTCGGCATTTCTGCCCTTTGCCACGCCCGTGAATGACAATCCTACGTACATGTAGGTGACGGACGGGTGGAAACGCTAGGGACTTGCGTTTGCCGGGGGGACGGTCAAATGAATCTTCTTGTGCGCGGTGCTTCACGTTGTCGGCCGTCTTTGCTGCTTGCCTGGGATTGCGGACGGGCAGTCTCAGTATCTTCTGCTTATTATTGTTGTTCTAGCGTCTCGACATGGGGGTTCGCCCGTGCGCCTACTAGTTCGTTCAGTGGAAATACATTCGCAACAAGCACCAGCACCAGCGCTGGCAGCAGCAACATGGCTCGAGGCATGGCCAGCATTCCCAGAAGGGACGTCCGCATCGTCGAGGTGGGCCCCCGCGACGGGCTCCAGAACGTCAAGACGGCGATCCCGACGTCGACGAAGCTGGAGCTCATCGCCCGTCTGCGCGCCACGGGCTTAGACACCATCGAGATCACCTCCGTTGTCTCGCCGCGCGCGATCCCACAGCTGGCCGACTGTCGACAGGTGCTCGCCGACCAAACCATCAAGGCTCTCCTGCCCAATGACAGCCTTCGACTTCCGGTGCTCATCCCCAACCTGAAGGGCCTGCAGATCGCGATGGAGAACTCGGTGCGGGAGGTGGCGGTGTTTGTGAGCGCCAGCGAGGGGTTCAGCAGAGCCAACATCAACGCGACTGTGGACGAGGGGCTGGCGAGGGCGAGACAGGTGGCGGAGAACGCGACTGCCGCGGGTCTCGCCGTCAGGGGATATATCTCGTGCATCTTTGCTGACCCATTTGACGGGCCTACCCCGCCGGCCGCTGTCCTCAAAGCGGTGCGCGAACTGCTGGATATGGGCTGCTACGAAGTCAGTCTGGGCGACACACTGGGCATTGGCACAGCGGCCGACGTCAAGAGCTTGCTCATGTACCTTGAGAACAATGGGATTTCGCCCTCACGGCTTGCTGGCCATTTCCACGATACATATGGCCAGGCAGTCAGCAACGTCTGGCAGGCTTACCAGTGTGGTCTCCGTGTCTTCGATAGCAGTGTCGGTGGATTGGGCGGGTGCCCGTTTGCGCCTGGAGCGAAGGGGAATGCTGCCACGGAAGACTTGGTGTTTTTGTTCCAGCAGGCTGGGGTTGAGACCGGCGTTGACCTCTCCAAGCTGGTGGAGGTTGGGAGTTGGATCTCTAATCAACTCAAGAAACCGAACGAGAGCCGCGCCGGGGTTGCTCTACTGGCTAAACGAGCCCTCCTGCAGTCCAAGGATATGACACAGCAAAAGAGTCGGATTGGCCGTGAATCCGCTTGGGTGTTGGTCAGCGAGACGGAGAGCATCAGACTATACCGATCTGGAGTCAACCTCAAGGTGGTTCTCAATCAGCCAAAGAAGGGCAACGCTTTGACCATCGCAATGATCGCCGATCTCACAGATGTGTTCCGTCGCGCACGAGACGACCGCTCGGTTTCTCGAATAGTCCTAACGGCGGAGGGGAAATACTTCTGTGCCGGCATGGATCTCGGGAAGGGGACGTCGCCGGTTGCACAATCGAGCGAGGTTAGCGACGCACAATACGAGCGGCTCACGCAGCTTTTTGATGCCATTGACAAGGCACCCCAGGTGACGATAGCCGGCATCAATGGATCAGCGTTTGGCGGCGGTGTGGGACTGGCCTTTGCCTGCGACGTCAGGATCGCCGCAAAATCTGCCACGTTTACTCTGAGCGAAGCCAAACTAGGCTTGTGTCCAGCAACAATCTCGACGTACGTGATCAGAGAATGCGGATTCGCTTTCACCCGAGAGGCCATGCTCTCTGCCCGTCCGATCTCGATGGACGAGCTGCGCTCCCTCGGCTTGATCGCGAAGGTTGTGGACGAGCCTGAACAGCTCCCAGCAGACCTGGATCAGTACCTTGCTCGCCTGAAGGTGGCTGGGCCGGAAGCATCTACCATGTGTAAAGAATTGATCAGATTGGGCTGGGTCCATGGCGGAAGTGAGCAGCAGGCAAAGGGCATCAAGCAACTGTTCGACAAGATGATGCGGCCTGATGGTGAAGCAGCCATTGGACTGAAAGCGTTCCAAGCCACGAAGAAGGCACTGGACTGGGACGAGATCACCATGGCGCGGACGGCAGCTGCTGCGAAGCCTAAGTTGTAGACCAGGCGTTGCAGGTGTCGTCGTAGCATTGAATGAACATCTATCTATGAAGGCGAAGTAAGTAGGGGGGTTTGATAGTGGTGTATGATCCGCAGTATCAATACGGTGGATCATTTGATTGTTACGCAGCTCCACATGCCACAGCCCCAGTCGAGCCTAACTGTTTGGTAATAGGCTGGTGGTACTGGGTAGTAGTGAGGTCAGTAACAGTGGCCTCAGCCGGGTGTCTAGCCCCCAACTCACCCACTTCGGCAAGGTGTTGTGTGTTTTGTTGCAGCGTTGCGTGACCCTTGGGCGCACCTCCGATGTCAACCTGCATATGGACATGTGAAAAGAAGAAAATACAGAACCTTCCCCTACCATCATCCCAGCTCATGTGTGCTGTCACAACAGCGGACCTGACGCCTCCGCTCCCCATCTACTCGGGTCTTCTCATGCTATCTCGCCTTGGCTGAGGCTGACATCTTCACTTCACCATCATGGTTGACTTATAATACTGGGACTCTCCATTTTTGCATTGACAGTCGCACGAGTCACACTGCACTCAGCTGAACTGCCCATCTATCCTCGCCCTCATTTCGTGAGCCTTGTCCGTGCCACTATCTTCCATCACACGAGACCTCCTTGCCATTATGGAGATGCCTCAGGTCTACCGACCCATTCCTCGACGAGCTTTTGAGCTCACACCTGCCTCGACCGACTCTTCACACCCTCCATCACCGGCTGAGGCTTCCAGCCCCGAACTGCTCATGGCTCAGAAGCCTGACCTCTCCCCAAGTCGCACGCGATCAATCCTCAACCTGACTTCTTCCACTCTGCTTGGGATTTACTCCCCCCTTACCTCAGATGGGACCCGGGACGAAACATCGACCCCTTGGGGCACTGGGGCACAGACACCCAGCAAAAGACCCAGCGTCGATGACTACAGCTACGATCCAACTGGAGCTCCAGTGAGTTGGAACGGCGAGGCCACGAAACCTCGGTTAAAAGTCAAGAGAAAAGGCTTTCGCGGCTACCTCGTGCCTCTGTTTCTGCAGACCTCACTGTTGTTCGGATGTGGAATTGGCTATGGCACAATCATCACACATCTCCACAAGACTCAACGTATAACGCCGGTGCCGGTGCCTGATATTGACCGGAATTCTTTGTACTATCAGGTCTCTTGGGGCGTCTTTGGCATCCTGCTCGGGAATGCGCTTCCGCTAGTCGATTCCTTCTGGCAGAGATTCGTCTCGTCCCAGGAGAAGTCGGCGAAGAGTACGGCGCTTCAGCCTGAAGCTGCCAATTCTGCCTCGTCCTCTGACAGTGGACTGGGCCCATTGTGGTACTCTACCGTCCGCAGCATGGGGGCATTCGTTGGTATTGCATTTGCAGTGGTAAGCCATCATTCCGTCTCCCGCCATCGATATCACATCCTAACTAATTGTGTCAGCGCCGGATCCCCTGGCAATCGACCCTGCAAGTTGCTTTGACCCTGGCTCTGGCGAACCCTGTCCTGTGGTATCTTATCGACCGGTCCTTGCCCGGCTTCGCTTTTTCAGCAGCCGTAAGCACCATTGGCACTTTGGTCATGTTGGTGGTGGACCCCAATTTTGTGCCAGTTCCAGCGATTCATCAGCCAATGGCGTCTGAAAAGTTTGGTGTCTATACTTGGTTGGCTAGCATACTCTTTTGCACCAGCCTTTGCTTTGGGGCGATTGGACGGAGGCTACGATTGTGACCAACGGCAGCTTCTCAACAGTACTTTTATTTCGAGAGTATACCTAGAATATTTAATGCTCTTCAAAAGCCTCGATTGACACCTGTCCACCCGGGGTTTTCGAGATATGATTTGTAAAGGTTGTTCGGCCATGAAGCTGCGGGGGCCTTTGCTGGATTCTGAACAGCTTGTTGAACGACAGCGTCCCCCAAGATCTTCTCAATCTCCAGCCGTGGAAGTTTGGCCTCGAGGGTTTCTGCATATGCCACTGCATCCAAGGCCGCCCGGGTTGCCGGACGGAAATCAATCAGGACGCCCAACCTGACCAGCCTAGCCAATGGTGTGATGCGTTCTGCTATGCCAGGCGACGTATGTAGAGCGATCGCCGTCCAGACTTCGTGCGCCTCTGCTTCCGACCTCGACTGCCTGCGTAGGAAGTCCGCGGCAGCATCGGCGCCCTCGACCTCGAATCGCTGTGGGCCATTGTGCGCCTGGGCGGCACCAATATCATGGCATATGCATGCCACGAACAAGAGATCACTGTCTGCCCACTCACTCTTCTCGCGCTGGGCCAACCAATTCGCAAGCAGGTAGACCCGCAGCGAGTGATGCACGATCGTCAGCGGCAGGCCGGCGGACATCACCAGGTCGAACGCAGAGGTGCAAAGGGTGGAAGCGGGGACGAAGGCTTGCAACGACTGTGATGCCTTTGCCGCATCGCTATCGGAGGAATGCGAGTGTGAGAGGGTGGTTTCAGGTGTCACGGCCAGGGAGGCCTCTGCGCCGGGCGCTGCGGAACGGCCACACATTGGCTGGTTGGCGAAGGGGGTGGTACGAGGGCGCACGAACTGACAGTGGGAATGTTGCGTGTTGACGTAGCCAGTGTTTACCACCGACCCTTCGACAGCATCCGATGTTTGTTATGGGTATGCAAAATTCCTGATGGATGGCGCACAACAAGCAAGTTTTGGAGCAGGATGTCCAGTGAGCCCCAGGTGTTCGTGAACCATCATGCGCTCCATGACTTTGGTTTTGCAGTAGTCAGACCTGATGACCACTGAACGCGCCCTGCGCGGGACATGAATGGTCAGGCGCGACGCGGTTGGGGGGACGAGCGAGGTCTCAAACATGGGCTTGCTGGTGCTTGGGTTCCCCCTGATTAAATCATCATGGGCGTATGATAGGCGTCAGGAGGGCGGGCAATGGTGTGGAACTAACAGTAAAGCAGTAAGGCGGGCGGCCACTAGACCTGCTTCAGGTGACGAATGTTGGCTCCAAATATAAAAAAAATGGTGCCAAGCGAAGGGGGCCGCTATCAACAAAGAGGGCATCCTTGGTGCGAACACCCTGCTTTTGGCCCTGCTGCGACGCCCTGACGCCCTCACGCCCTCACGCATACCGATCCTGCCCCTCTGACCCCAGGGCAAAACCTCCCTCCTGACATTATTTGACGCCCTTACACTCTTTTTGTCGCCGTTCCCGCTCGAGAGCTGGCTCTTGTGCGACCCTCGAACCTGTTGCTGCCCAACCGACCCGCTCCTTTCCACCGTCTTTTTTTTTGTTCGTTGCCTCGCGGCCCTGAACTTTCGGGAGGGACTGCCTCACCACTCACGCAACAACACGCAAGAATGGTTTCTTTTCAATGCGAGGTCAGCACTATGCGCCGCGGATCATCGCCCTCAACACTTCTAACAATCCCATGTACAGGCCTGCGGCGACGTCCTGACCAAGAAGAAGCTCGATCCACACCGCAACCAATGTCGGGGCGCGATGTTTACCTGTATCGACTGCATGACGACTTTTCATGGCACAAGCTATAGAGCACATACGGTATGTGAACCCACAGACGGCGCTTGGTCCTTCTAGCCAGGGATCTCCTTCTACACACTGCGCCCGACTACGCGGAGGACCTTTGGCACTGACCGCACGGAAAACAGTCATGCATTACAGAAGATCAGAAGTACCAGGGCGCTTTATATCGCGAGAAGCCCTCCAAGGCCGCGAAGAGGAAATCTGTCTCCATCATCGAGCCAGAGAACGAAAAGGCTCTAGTTCCTCGTCGAGCATACGTTGAAGACGACCCGGATACAGATGCCCCTCCCCACGTTCCTACTCCTCCCCCCGCCGTGCCGGATTCAAACCGTGACAGTGTTTTCGATTATATGGTTGACGAAGGTAGCCGAACAGGCACACCCCAGATAAGTTTTACAAAGGAGAAGGAAGAAATGTCTATGAAGCAGACTGCTCCGTCAATCTTCTCCAACAGTCGGCCGTCCAGCCAGAATGGGTATCACAACGCAGATGAGGAGGAGCAGCATAGCAAGGAGTACGAAGAAAACGGCTACACTTGGGGTGCAGCACCGGTCAAGCCTCGAGGAGCGTTAGACATGAACAACAGTACCCTGTCGCTCGAATTTATGACCCCGGCAGCAAAGGAGGTGAAATCCAAGTTAGACAAGAAAGAGAGACCACGCGCCCATAGTCGGACGAACAGCGGCAGTGAAAAGAAACGGAAACGGCCCACGGAAGATCAAGTCCACGAACTGGAAGGTGACACCTTGATGGCTGACGCGGTGAAGGTGGACACGCCAGTGATTGTGCACTCCGGGCTCACGGGTGGGCTGAGCCGAATGATGTCCCAGGATGAATCGTACCCGTTCCGTCGGTCTCCCGATCCCAACGACAAACGCGTGGTGGTCCAGAAGGAGCGAACGGGTCGTCGAAGTTTGAAACCGGAAGACCCCACTTCTCCGTTAAAACGTACTCGACACACCAAGGAGGATTCCAATGGGCTTGGCATCTCGATCAAAGGTCGAGCAGTTAGAGCACTCTCGATGGTGGGCGGTGCACTTCTTCCTGGTCAGGTCGAGAGCCAAATGGCCAACACCAAAACGCGGAGGAGAGCCAGCTCGTCGGACCATGGGAACAGCCTTTCTCGAATCCGAGATGGTGAGAAGCGAGAGAGAAAGAAGCACAAGGTCCATCGACATAATGGTACTGCATCCGCCAATATTCGCCATGAGCACCGGTCGCGCCGCCGGTACAGCGACGATTCGCCCTCACGATCTCCGGGTGAAGGCACTGCGCGTAAACTCAAAGCCATTGAGTACCACAAACACGACGACTCAGCCTCTGACACGGACTCAGACCCGATGCATCAGCATAGCAATGGTGCAGCCAAACGCAAGAGCACTAATGGTGCAATGGTCGTGTTCGGCGCAGAGGAAAAGACCAAGCGTGCTTGCCGCAGTTTCCTCGCCAATGCACCCGGACTGGACTCGGACAAAGGATATTCCATTCACAAGATGCTCAAGCGATGGCATAAGCATAACGACATCCGAAGCAGCACGTCCAAGCTGGACGAGGAGCAAGACCTGTGGAGGTCGTTGAGGATAAAACGAAATGAGAAGGGCGAGTATGTGGTGTTTTTCTGAGCGCGATGCAGGCAACCTCTTTTCTTGAATGTCTTGCTATTTGACGGGATTCATGGATATTAATGGGTTGTGGACTCGCACTTACACTCTCCTCCTGTGTCACCTCCGACGTCCCATGCCGAAGACGGGAGATGGGGATTGAGATCTAATGACTGTACAAAATGGCATGACGGAGAAGCCGTGCTTGTCGTGGTTTTCTTTAGCGGCTGATCGGAAATGACAGCATAGAATGAGAACAGTGTACCTCGTATCGAGACTGGAATTTTGATGGAACACAAGGATTGTAGGGAGAAACCAGTATATGCAAAGGGATGATGCTTGTATGAGTGGGATACCGGATGTTGATCCACGGTCTGTGAGCACCACCATCATGTAAGGAGGAAGAGACCATCGGATGATCTTCATTGTTAAAGGCTCACCAGGTCTCGCGAGGTCAGTCAACACACCGACCTTGCGCTGTCAATCATATGCGGTCTTCAGGAGACGGTAAGAAGGATTCTGTGTACTATTCGTCGTGTTCAACAGTCGATGGGGAAAAGGCTTCAGCCTGAAACACACGCATCGGCTCCCTTGAGGCTGGTTCGAGTTTAGATCGTCTCTGGAACGGGGCGCAGAGCGAAAGCCAGAGAATCCAATGGTTCGTTGGCCACCGTCAGGGGGAGCATTCGCTGAGGGCGTCCGGGGCTGGATACGGACGGGCATTGAACCGGAGGGCTAATTAGTGGGCATTGGCTGGTGGCATTCTAGGCTCTTCACTGGGCCTATGGGGGGCCGCTGGGGGTCACCCGAGCTTGACTTGACAAGGGCAACAAGGGAAGTAAGGGCAGCACCCACGCCATGCGGGTGGCTGTCTTCCCAGTGCCCAGTGCCCAGTGCCCAGTGCCCACTGTATGCTAGGGACCTCGCATTTGTTATTCTACTTGGGCTTCCGTACTCGTAAGCTGACCGACACCTCCCACTTCCCACCTTTCCTAAAAACTCACTCGCACCACCACCACCAACCCTCTTTTCTCCTTAATATTTCATCTCCATATCAGACAATCCGACACCATGTCGTCCACGATATAGATCAGATCCATCGTCGTCTTCTACAACACTGGAGTCCCTCGTCTTCGACTATGGCCAAACCTCCGCTTCGGCCTCCAAAGGGCCGACGTGGAGGATCGAAACCGAAAACCATGTTGACTTGGGCCATTTTCCTGCTCCTCATAGCTGCAGCTCACCCTCAGTCCCTTCCTCCGTCCGATGCTCCTCAGAGATTGGTGGCTTCGACCCAGAGCCTGCGCTCAGAGTCGAGTCGTCCGTCCGCTCCGGCTGGCCGCAGTCCAGCAGAGATCCCGCTTCTCAAAAACGACATCACCACCGTTAAGTTTCGAAGCACCGATGAAAACCCCGAAAACCACAAGCTCCGTGCCTTGGCTCCAGCCCACGACTCCTTGAGTAGTAGTGGTGCTGTCAGAGCACCTCTTGCACAGTCTGACGAGTCCTTGTCTCAGGGACTCTCTGCGCTTTCAGCGCGGCTGCTGCAGGATTGGGAGGTGGAGAACATTGTCCTACTAGCCACCATTGATGGCACCATACATGCCCGTGACAGGAAGACCGGCAATGAGAGGTGGTCACTGGGCATTCCAGACAGTCCCATGATCCAGACCATCCACCACAAATTGAATCGGAGTGACCCGGAGGTGGACGGTTCACAATACGAGGACGACTACATGTTCATCGTCGAGCCGAGTAAAGATGGCAACCTCTACATTCAACACCGAGACCCCAGAATAGGTCTACAACGACTGGGTATCACCGTCAGATCCCTGGCGGCCGAAACGCCGCAGTTTGTCGATGATCCCCCTCTTGTCACGATTTCCTCTCAGGAGACAACGGCATACGTTGTAGATGCAGCCACTGGTAATATCCTACAGCAATTTGACAAATACCGGGGCTTTTCCAATGACGACCAAGGCCGCAGCTGCCGGCGACTCAGTGGTTTCGAATTGGATGACCCTGCATGTGATCCGATTGGAACTATCAACCTGGGAAGAGTCGAGTACACCATTGAGATATCCCACAAGATCACAACTCAGCCTCTCTGCACAATCAAGTTCGCCGAATGGGTTCCAAACAAGGGCGACAGCGATCTCCAAGACCAGTATGTCGCTCCATTGGACAACTACCAAATCCAGAGCTATTACAATGGCCGAATTATTGGCATCGACAGCACTGCCGACTCTGGCAAGGTTCCCCGGTTCACCCACATGTTCGATACTCCTGTAGCCCGAGTGTTTGATGTTGTTCGTCCCCTGGACAATCGAGATGAATCTGCCAAGCTGGTCTTGTTAGCACGACCCACGGACTCGCCTCTCCTCTCCTCTCCCGAGATCTGGAGGAACGAAATGCAGCGAGCTGAGAGGGTTTTTGTGAACAAAACTGAGTCCGGCGTTTGGTACGCTATGTCCGAGTTGTCGTACCCCGGCGTGACCAGTGGTGCGTCGCCTGCAAGCTCAAACTGGAATTATGACAGTCAGCCATTGGATTTTGACGGCAACTTGGAAGAAATTGTCGGTGTCCACGTGCTCTCCACAGAACCGAACCTCACCCCCCTCAGGTTGACGATCTCCGGCCCTCCCCCAGTGACGGATTTGGCTGAGGAGGCAGAGAAGGCAATGGCAGCACTGGAGGCCAAGATTCCCCCATCCTTGGTACCTGTGATCAACCATCCGCTATTATCCGTCTTTAATATCATCTGCGCGAGCATTATCTTATTTGTGGTTGGATTGCAGATGAGGATACCGCTTATGTTGAAGATGCAACGCCTCCTCCGAAAGGCAGGCGTAGAGGTCGCGGTGGAGAAGACTCGGACTCAAGCGACCCCCGGTGCTCCAGCTCCAGCTACCACAGACCAGCAAGAAGACCAAGTGGCTGAGGTTACAGGGGAGAAAGACACCGCTGAAGTTGTCTCTGAAATCCTGGAGGACGTAATCAAAACACCTGTTAGGAGCCGAGCTCAAAGTGCTGCAGTCTCGGTTGCCAGCCCTGCAAAGACTGTCAAAGTGTTTGAACCCAATGATGAGAGCTCAGATGGCGAATCAGAAGATGAAAAGAACAAGGACGAGTCTAATACTAATGAAAACGCCGAGAACGGTGCACAACCTCGCCGGCGAACTGCCAAGAGAGGGAAGCGAGGTGGAAAGAGGAACAAAAAGGGCAAGAAAACAATGGATCCGGAGGCTATGGATGAAAAGGAACAACTTGTCGTAGAAGTTCCCACAAAGGACGGCCTTCTCCAGGTTGGAAAGCTCAGAATCGACACCAGGGAAGATCGATGCCTGGGCCGTGGAAGCAATGGTACAGCAGTTTTTCCTGGCTCACTGGACGGCAGAGAAGTCGCAGTCAAGCGTTTGATTCGTTCCTCGAACAGCCTGGCTGCCAAAGAGATCAAGCATCTACTGTCTAGCGATGAGAACCCGCACGTCATCCGATACTTCGGAAAGGAGGAATCGCAACACTTCACCTACATCGCACTCGAGCGGTTCACCACATCTCTGGATCAGTTCATCGAGCGACCTCTCCAGTATCCCGAATTGGTGAAGATGCCGGAGGGATTTGACGTCAAGGACACTCTACGACAGATTACGGACGGTGTGCAACATCTGCATTCACTCAAATTGGTGCATCGAGACATCAAGCCTCAGAATGTCCTGGTCAAGGCTGTTAAGAGCAATCGTCCTACCAATGGCTTGCCGAAACTGCAATTTGTGATTTCCGACTTCGGTTTATGCAAGCCACTCGAGGAAGGCCCGGAATCGACTTTCGCTCCAACTGCGAATCATACAGCTGCCGGCACAACAGGCTGGAGAGCGCCAGAGTTGCTTGTCGGCTCTAGATCGGCAGTGACACCGAATTCTAGTTCGACTACCGCTTCCAAATCCACCACCCACTCTAGCGAAGGTACTGTCATTGATCGTCCATCAGGCCGTCGTGCAACCAAGGCAATCGACATCTTTTCCTTGGGGTGTGTCTTCTACTATGTCATGACTCAAGGTCGTCATCCTTTTGATGTTGGGGGTACTAGCCTCGGTCGAGACCTGAACATCAAAGAGAACAAGTTCAGCACAGAAGACTTACGACTGTATGAGTACCAGTTCGATGCCGACGACCTTGTTATGCAAATGCTCAAACACGACCCCAAAGAGCGACCTGACACGGGACAAATACTTCGTCACCCTTATTTCTGGGACGTGGCCGATAAGCTGGAATTCCTCTGCGACGTATCGGATTGCTACGAGCGGGAGAAGAATTCCATCAGCAACATCTTCGACGAAACCGCGATACGCACCTCTGCGGAGAAGAATTCTCTTGCCGAGCTCGCCGCGCTAGAATCCCTTGCACCCAACGTCATCGGATCATCTAAGGATTGGCTTCGCGCTCTGCCCAAAACCTTTCTCACAGAAATGGGCAAGCAGCGCAAATACAGTGGTACTAAAATGATCGACTTGTTGAGAGTGATCCGCAACAAGAAGAACCACTTCCACGACTTGCCACAGGACGTGAAAGAGCAGATGCTGGGTGGGAGTGCCAAGGGATACTATGAATTTTGGGCAAAGCGGTTCCCGAGCCTGCTGATTAACTGCCACTGCCTTATCCTGGAACGCGGGTTGGTCGAGCGGTTCAGGATGGAGAGGTGGTTTCTGGAGTGAGTTGGGAACGTGAGTTTGGGAAAAGGATATATACCACAGTATATCACATGAAATGCGAGAAATTTTAAGATATCTACTCTGCTCGTGGTCTCGTTTTGATTCTTTTTTTTTGTCTTTTCCAGCATCTATTCGAGGCCCCTTTAATCTCAAGTCGGCCTCCAGGGTACGGAGGAATCCTTGTGACATGTCCCATGACTACCTACCTACCTATCTATCAAACCTTTCGAGATGTACCAGTATGGATGGCCGCGAATCGCATCGCCTGGCATTGGCTGGGTCGGCACTGTGTGGTTTAACAGGCAAATGGCTCCTCAAAACACTCTTTCGATCTGCAAGCCATGCGACCTATGCGTCCATGTGTACCTCGTAGGTTCATGCATAAGATATCCATTCGAACTCGCTCGCCCAGTGCCAGGAGATGGTTCGTTCACTGCCGACCGGGGACCATCAAGGAGACGCTCCCGTCGACAATTGGGATAGGATCGAGATGTTTGTCAATGGGGTCAGTTGTGCATGAGTTGGGTCGAATGGTGGAGGGGATCGATGAAATTTGAGGGCTTGATTGTTGGGTGATTGGGGCTCCGTCTCTTGCGAGGCACCCTGCCTACATACATACATACATACCTATGTGTCATGAAAGGTATGTAGATAGGTAGGTAGGGGGATTCTGGCAATGGCAAAGCGCATGCAGGTAGGTGCTTGATGTGGTCTGACGTGGTATGATATGATGTGATGCGTCCAGCGAGCTAGCCGGCCAGTCAAGTGGTCCTACCCGAGTCAAACGCTCACAGGTTCGGTCGTGAATGGGCTGAAGAGAAAGGGCTTGTAGGCGTCGTGGACAGGCAGTTATGTAGGTAGATAGGTGGGCGCACAGATGAAATTGGCTTGTCGTTGGGCAGGTCCCGGGAACTTGTTTGGTCGGTGCATTGTTGTCCATGGCCTCGTCAAGCATTTGACTGGTTTCTTCCGTTGAGGCAAGTAGATCCGCATGGCAGTCGACTGCCCTTTTTTCTCCTTCCTTGTCCTTTCGAAGAAGCAGGTCCGCACGGATTTTCACACCCGCCGCAGACGATGAGGGAAATCCCATTCATTCCCACGTCATCTGCCATCTGCCACTTGCAACACTCACTCCCTCTCACATCCGCTCCCTCCTCCTTGGCGCCGCCCGAATGATATCATCCACTCTCAGCAACAACTCTGCAGCCTCACTCGCGCTCCCTACCACCGCCTTCTTCAACTTGTAACTCTCGATGACACCCAACTCCCGCATATCGGCGATGCCGCCACCCGGAGTCAGGAGATCCAAGCCGGAACTCGTCATACCCCTGTACACTTCGCTTCTCAACTCCGACACCAAAGCAGAGGAGTCGAGACCGGCATTGTCCGCAAGGATGGTAGGAAGTTGACGTAGTGCGGTTGAGAATGAATCGACAGCCAAGCGCTTTTTACCAGGTATCTTCTGCGCAATAGAGTCCACGGCTTTTGCCATGACCATTTCAGAACAGCCGCCGCCAAGGACAACGCGAGGTTCTTTGACAGTTTGTGACAATACGGCAAGAGCGTCGTGCAGACTTCGCTCCGCCTCGTCCAGAAGTTGTTCCGTGGCACCTCTTAGAACGATGGTGCAGGCCTGACCTGCTGCCGCGCCGGAGAATTTGATCAACGTGTCTTCGCCGATGATGACCTCCTCGATCAAGTCGCAGTGCCCGAGCTTGACGGACTCCGGGTGGTCGAAAGTGCTGGCAATCTCTCCACCGGTGACCAAGGCGAGACGTTCCACACCGTCGAAATCGGCATGTTCGATGGACATTATTCCCGCTTCCGTAAAGAGTTGCTCCGGCCAGTTGTAGATAAGCTGCCTGTTGATGAAGCAGTTTATCCCATGTGCTTTGATCCGTTCGACCTTCGCACGCATTCTCTCCCGCTCAGCTTTCTCCAGCTCGGCCAGTTCTTTCGTTGAACCGACTTTCATGCGGGCGGCCCAGATTTTCACTTTATCCGTGTCCATTGCAGTATTCGCCACGAGTATTTTTGCATTTTCCAATCTCTTCGGTTGGTTCACGCCAATGCGCTTGTCAAGGATGAATCCTTCGTCAAGATACGAGTCGGACAGTTTGCCTCCTGACTTCTTGATGATTTGGATGTGGTTCAAATCAACAGAGCCTTTTAGCCGCAGGACGGCATCGACCGCCAAATTGGCGAACTGATCGCGATCTTGAGAAAGGACCTTCGAGGATAGTGTAGTGCGGGCGATGGCCAGGAGGTCCTTTCGGAAATGCTCGGGGTGTTTCGAATTGTCGACAGCGGATTTTTCAAGTGCTTGTAGAGCCGCTTGTGATGCGAGACGGAAGCCTTCAATGATGGTCTGGGGGTGGATGTGACGATTGACTAGTTGTTCTGCCTCTCGTAGCAGTTCTGCTGCCAGTACAGTAACCGATGTGGTACCGTCTCCCACTTCATCATCTTGGACTTTGGATATGTTGACGAGGACTTTGGCGGCGGCGTTGTCGAGAGCGATGGATTTGAGGATTGTGGCACCGTCATTCGTTACCATTATCTCTCCCGTTGAAGCAGACTGAAGAATCTTGTCCATGCCCTTGGGGCCAAGTGTGGATTTCACGAGGTCGCCAACTGCGATGGCACCAACGAAGGCCGAGAGACGCGCATTTTCGCCTTTTTCTTCTTGCACGTCTTCGGCAAATATTTGGGTGGGATTCGTGTATGCAGCCATGGTGTCTTCGCCTGATGTACTCCTCTCTTCTTCTGCTGTTGCTGCGGAAGGGGCTGGTGTAACAGAGAAATCGCAGTTCAGTGCAGTCGAGGCAGACACAGCGAGCCCAAATTTTGAAGACTGCGGGGAGAATCAGGCCATGTAAATGACAAGGCTGCGGCTTGGCAAGGCTGAAAGCTACTCCCTCTCATGATTATCCGTCGACATTGAATATCTAGCTTACTTGCCACCATCATCCTTGCTTACCCTTTCCCTTATAACGGTGCGCAAGGCCCCTGAGCCTGTCGAAGCTTTGATCAGAGACACAAGGATGTCAGCACTACAAATATTCGTTGGACAGCGCCGCTGGCCTGGAGCAAAAGCTACCAAATCTCACCGTGAGCAATCTTACAACTAAGTCACCTCTCTCAATCCTCGAACAGAAGCATTTTATTCTCTCCTCCATTGCGCTTCAAAGTCTGTCGATAGCTCGTTGCAACCGCACCAAAAAAGCAACGGCTGAACATCATTTGTCCCGGGTCGAAATCCATACCATCCGATCCCGTTTTCGCAGCAGCCACTCTTAACGCCTGACCGATGAGCTCGCCAAGTCCGTGTCTCCAACTTCTGCTCGAAAGCCTCAGACTTGAATAAATTCCAAGCATGGGAAATTGTATGTCACTTGGTCCGAACGAGGAAGATGTTCGGATAGCACGGTGTTACTCCCACGCTCAGAGATATCAACAACCATTCCACTTTAGCCACGGCCCGGTCATGAGCGAAACATCATACTATTCTTTCGATCCATATACCGCTTTTTCCCAGGGCGACAATTCTAGGCGACGCAGTTGGAAGGCTCCATCACAACGAAGGCATGAATCCTGATGCTGCAGCGCGCAATGGGTGTCGCAGAGCAACCTGGAATGTCTTAGACTCAAACACCCACGACGGCGTGCCTAGGGTCAAAGAAGTCGCAATGATTACCTGTCGAAAATACTCCGGGTTTTCGGATTCGATTCACCGCCAGACAAGCATAACCAAGCAGATGTACCTTCGACAATTTATTTTCAGCCGATTTACATTCTGCAGGACCTCTTTTACAGGGTGTATAACCAGGCGCTCCAAAGCAAGTCCCGTCGTGCATGACTGTCAGAGGGAAAAATAGTGTCCAAGTGACCTGCATTACGTGCCGGCAAAGATCGCCCCATACTCTCTGCTTTCTATGGTGCTAGGGTTAGTTTTCCCACTCACACAGCATGTCACCTTGTATTATACAACTTTTTGACGCTCAGGACCGCTGAAGCTGATAGGTTGAATAGCTCCAAGAAACAGACATCGTATTCAAAGCCGAGATATAGTCTACGACTATGGCCTTCTTGTAACGAGCGATATGAACCACCAGTCTGCTCTTAGCTGAGCCTTCACTTGATCGACCTGGGGCGCAGGTTTCGTACCTGATGATATGAGGATAGGGCAAGATGCCACGGGCGAGGAGAACGTGCTCCGGGGGACGACGGTTGTCCAAAATGTCTATTCAACTGTGGCTGTTCCTTTTATCTGTTGTTGGTGGCCACAGGCTGCCTTATGATGTGGCCATGTCACCGCAAGCTGGTTCTCCTGTGTGAATGGAGCGCTATGGCTCTCATATCATGCCATCACCCTCACCAAGGGGAGGAGGAATGAAAGCTGAACCTGACGCTGCGCGCTGTGAACAATAGCATCGTGATAGAGAAGTGTTCTATAAAGCCGTCGACCGGAAGAAGGATACTTGAACGTAGAGCATTTGTTCCAAGGTCTTCGACATGAATTTTGATCATACGCGTCGTTCCATTGCAGTTTTGACACCGAAAATCAGTGGAGTTTTCAGTAGGGGAGAAAAAGGGGCAAAGTACAAAGCGGCGTCGAACCTCGTCCCGAAGCAGGCAAAATCTGTCGCCGATTTAACTTACCTTGGCGCATGGAACCCTCAGCCCAGCCTCTTCTCCATCAGATTGTATTGCTTTAACCATGTTGACCGCAGCGAACATCTGCTCAAGGTCAAGTTTGACGCGGAAGTGGCCTCCTTCTAGAAACCCTATCTTCGGCCTTCTTCAATGGTCTCACAATATAGTCCCGAAGGCATACACGATGTCTGAACGCCCTGCATACGACCACGACGACTGATGCATTCCACCTGTTTGCTCAAGTTCATTCACGAAAGAGTGCATCCAGCCGACTCCAGAAATGGGTCGGCAGCCTCATATTGCGCGTCTAGCTTTGGTAAGGAATTGCGTTCCGTTATACGCTCTGAACCTTTGAACCCCTCCTTATCTCAACACTTGGGCCACGTTTCGTACTAAACAAACCAGCTGCATTGACATAAGAAACTAATACTTGATCTTAGGGAAGGTCTCCTTTCGGTCCTCCGCTGGAAGATGAGAATGGAGAGTTCATCCTGGGACCAAATGTGCAACGTCGGACAGACCAAAACTATATCCAACAATTCGACGATCGAGGTCATCCAAGAAATCTTGATTCTGAGACATCGAGAAGGCGACTGCTTCGAGCCCAAAATGAAGCTCTGTCCACAGTTGGTGTCGTTGTTCGCAAAGCGCAAATGCAACGGACACGATGGCAATCCATGAACGACATGCAGAGATACCGACTTCTCCTGGACGAACATGCTACTGGTGCTTACTGCGAGATCGTCGAGACTGTTGCCCAAAACGTAGCTACTCACTGGATAGTCAACTTCCGCCGGCGGCTTTTTGTAGGTGGAAAAAATCATCCACCAGGCGGCTGCTAACGTGCCCAGACCTTCAAGTCTTACTTGGGACTGCCAGTTCCTCAGATGCTATTCTCTGAATGGAACATCGTGGGCCCGAGTGCTTTCCTGTTTGCCGGCTTCCTTCCTGGCACAATCGCGAGAATCAGCCAATTGCTCAGAGTCGCGATACTAGAAGATGAGAGAATTTCAAAATCAACGCGTCCGGCTAGGGTTTTTGGCCTAACGAATCTTGGCAGAATACTTCGCTGGTCAAGGTAAGCAATCCGGGGGCGTTGAGTATATCTCACTGACCCTGGGCAGCCTGCAAGTGCTATGGTTTGCCTTCGAATACCCATTCCGTGTCTATTCCGTCTTACAGTCGCTATACCTCATCCCGCTTCATCCAGCGCCGTCCTTGTCTGCCTTCATACCCTTCAGCAGCCAGTCTCCCATTCAGATGTCGTCAGGTGTATCAGACTGGTCTTGGAGAGGCTTGTTCCCATTACTAGTGAATACAATTTCCAGTCCCTTTGCCTTGGCTCTCATCAGAGACCTGGTTGGCAACTATCTCTTTAAAAAGGTCTACGTCATGGTCCGCCAGATAGCGGCCAAGCCTGATCGGCCGGATCGCATATCACTACAAAGTGCCAGAAATCTGAACCTTGAAACCGCATCTCTCGAACTGGAAGAGGCTATTTTTGGTGAATCGGGCGAGATGGGCACCCGGTCCATGAGAGAAACTATTCAGGCAATTATTCCAGCCTCGTTATGGTTTTGGGTCCGGATCATTCAAACACAAAGAGTTCCACTGGCAGTCGAGTTAAGCCCGAATATCGAAAGAGAGTTGCTAGGACGGAGCGCCATGCACTATCGAGCATTATATCGACAAAATCGTGAGCTTGACCTCAGGCGAGCCCCGAGAACCCTTCGAGTCATGGCTATCCGTTCTGCTTTTCACGACTTCGATCTGGATCCGGATCACTCAATGATTGACATATTTGAACTCGCGGACGATGTCAGCTTTTTAGCGTCCAGTACGGCGTCTACCTCGACACCAGACCCACACGACCTTCCACTCTTTACAGAAGCTGTAACAGGCCCCGGCACCGCGAGCGAGTCTCGAGCCGATGCCGAACCCGAAAGTCGGCAAAGAGAGCGCCAATCCGGGGATGGACACATTGAAGAAAATACAAATGATCAAGATCTCCTTGTCTGGGGCGACTCGCACGAAGAAACCGGCGACACTGTCGGTCCTCTCCCATTTTCAGGCAGTCCAGTCGTGGATGGAGAAAGCTTTCAGCCTGCCGTCCCGCTAGAGACACTTCTTGAGCCTGGTCAGCCCAACAACGCAGAATCAGGAGAGTTGCAAACAACTAGTCCTGTTCCAGCCCCACCGGATCCGGGGTCTCCTATCGTTCCAATTCCATCCACGGGCTCTCCTCTCCAGCGAACCCCATCCCCCATCTCCCCTGTTCCGGGCATATCTCGTGCGACGAGTCTACCGCACACAACACCAAGGCCTGTGCGGCGTCCGACAGTCATAGAACAAGATGCGCCGACCATGGGGGACGAGATGCTACAGCGTCGTCAACCGCAATCAAGAGATCCGCGTAATGCAGACGAGAGTCTCTATCGTGTGACTGTCCTTTCAAACCATCCAGCTGAAGCATTTGCACATTATACGACCTCAATCATCCAGTCGATTATCCTGCTCCCGCTTGATATCATGTTCTTCAGGTCACTAGCTCGAGGCTTCCTCTCCCGCCATTCTCCAGATCAACAAATGGCCAGGCCCTCCTCATTGCTTAGCGATGTGTGGCCTGTCACTTCAGGACTGGGAGTGCGAGACCTTTCTATGACGCAAAGACTGCAATTCTGGGGCAATTTCTTCCTCACGATCGGCATGCAAGGCTTGGTAAATTTTGTGATATGGGGAGTCGGTACGCGGGTAACAATGGGACTGGGAGAAGGATTCGGTTGGGGGAATATATGAGGCCTCTCGGAACTGACTTGGTGGGAAGGTGAAAAGTGTTTTGAGCAAAGCAGTCCAAAAGATACCCGGCCACTTGGTCACACAAAAGTCAATTTCGCTTCTTCGAAGTGCTGAAAAGAACCGATTCCCAAAGATCATGATCCGTTCTATGTGTATTGCTGTTAGGTTGCAAATTGTATTACTAGAATTGACTTTTCCATCTTTTGCTTTGTGCTCGTCTTGAAGAGGCGGGAGGCAACAGGACCACCAGGCTGCGAGGCTGATGTCTGGCCAATCAGCCGCTGGAAGGCCTCTCCGCATCAAATTATTGCGCAGTCTCAATTTTCCGATCACATGAACCACCAACCTCGACGCTCTACAGTTTTCTCGTTTGCAATGTCGAAACGGAAGTCGGAAGAACCCTTGGAGGGCATTTTTGCCACGACATCTCCAGCAAGCAAGAAAGCGCGCGTCGAAGATGTTCTTGAAGAGGAGACCGGCGCGAATGGTAGTTTGGATACTTCTGAAAGCCGAAACGCCCAGCCTACAAACGGCGCGAGTGTACCCAAGAGGATAATGGAGGAACAGGAAGAGGAGGAAGAAGTCGAATCAGACGTTGAGGATGACCGGTTACCCTCTGCACCACTGCGACAAAATGCTCCCACAGAAGGCTATGACGATCTTTATCTCGACACCATCAATCGATCCTTGCTCGATTTCGACTTCGAGAAACTCTGCTCCGTTACCCTCTCCAACATTAATGTCTATGCTTGTCTCGTCTGCGGCAAGTATTTCCAAGGCCGAGGTCCAAAGTCACACGCATATCTCCACGCCCTCGAAGTCGACCATCATGTTTTCATCAATATGGAGACCAAGAGAGTCTATGTCTTACCTGAGGGCTATGAGGTGCACAACAAGAGTTTGGATGATATCAAGTACGTGGTGGATCCAAAATACACGGAAGAGGAGGTCAGAATGCTGGACAAGAATCCGAAGGAGTCAACAGACCTTGCCCACAAGAGATACAGGCCGGGATTCATGGGAATGAACAACATTAAAGCCAACGACTACCTTAATGTCGTTGTGCAGGCGTTGGCACATGTTTCACCCTTAAGGGACTTCTTCCTTCTGCAGGCATTCCCTCACACAGCGTCGCAGTTGCCGGTACGCTTCAGCACTCTGGTTCGCAAACTCTGGAACCCCCGCGCGTTTCGATCTCACGTGTCGCCGCATGAACTGTTGCAAGAGATTGCCCTGCGGTCGTCCAAGAGATTTACTTTGACACAACAATCGGATCCTGTGGACCTGCTTGCCTGGCTCCTCAACAATCTGCACAGCACGCTAGGAGGGTCACGCAAGGCGCTGTCATCCCCGATATACAAGTGTTTCCAAGGCAAACTGCGGGTGGAATCACAAGAAATCACTGCAAAATCTGATGCCATGGGTGATCGGCTGAGGTTCGAGGAGTCATCCAACATCAAGACGGACATGCATCCGTTCCTCATCTTGACGCTAGATCTGCCTCCAGTGCCTCTGTTTCGAGATGCTGTCGAATCCAAGAATATTATCCCCCAAGTCCCTCTCATCAACCTATTACAAAAGTATAACGGGTTAAGCGCTATGGAAAGAGCGGCTCATCGACTTCGACATCGACTTCTACACCCGCTCCCGCCCTACCTTTTATTTCACATCAAGCGGTTCAGTCAGAACAAATTCGTTTCCGAGAGGAATCCAACTATTGTGACATTTCCTTCTCCTCGCGGGCTGGACATGTCACCCTACGTCGAACCTAATCCGGCAATCCACCCACCCGGTGAGCCGATCCTTTACGACATGGTTGCAAACATTATTTTGGACACGACCTCAATTTCGAGTGCTGGCGGCGAAGACACCAATGCCGCCGACGCGGCGAACAAAGCCGTTGGCGCGGAGGGTCAGAAAGTGGCTTGGAAGGTTCAACTCCGAGACAAGGCTGTTGCGTATGCTCAGCGAACTGATCTTCCGGAATGGCTGGAAATTCAAGATCTGTGGGTTGAACGAGCGGAATCCGAGACTCTTTTCACAAGAGAGAGCTACTTGATGGTGTGGGAACGCAGGAGAGAAAAGAAGAAGGCCAAGCAAACGAACGGAGTGAAAGCAGCGCAAGGCTGAAGTCGTAGCAGTCTTTACTTGAGATCGTATCAACTCCAAGTTCTGATCTTATCCCAAGGAGAAAGACATGTCCTAAACCCACTGCCCATGGTTGTTGTAGACATTGCGTCGCCAGCAAGGAGATCCGCACTTTCGTGATCTGTAGTGGAGCTTTCGAACGGCGATCCAGTCTAGTTCTTATCATGCCCATCTACGGAACATCCACTCCAGCTTTTATTAAAGCTCATCGATGTACCTCGTACGGAGTATCCCGTTTGCTCAACCCTCAAGCTGTCGACGTGGTTGGAAGTCATGAAGCTAGTCCAAAGCTTCGCCATAGCATTGCTCCCAGTCTATGCATCCCTCTCCCATGCTCTCGTCACCGCGGGGGGCAGTGAAAAGCTAGCGCAGCAGCATCAGCAACAAGCAATACAGCAGCAGCCGTCTTGGGCTCTAGGACCGGACGCTGTCGACCATGGAAAGCTCTCCGATGTGATTGCTGCTTCGCCTTTGTTGTCCCTGCATCGGGCCATCTGCGAAATCGAGTCGATCACGGACAATGAAGCCGCGGTGGGGAAACTCCTCGTTTCAGTACTTGAAGCGCACAATTTCACGGTGCTTACGCAGAGTGTGCCGCCGCCCGCAGCGGATTCGACGAGCAACGCGAAGGAGAGATTCAATATCTATGCGTACCCGGATGTTGCGAAGTATGGAGGCTCCGCCCCGGCGTCTGATGCGGAACGCAGCCAGCCCAAAGTCCTCCTGTCCTCGCACATTGACACGGTCCCGCCACATATCCCGTATTCGCTGTCTCTTCCCAGCGAGGGAGATGAGACTGTTTCCACGACGTCGTTCTCGCGCAGGGACATACTCATCTCCGGTCGCGGGACGGTCGACGACAAAGCTTGCGTGGCCGTCCAAGTCCAAGCCGCTTTGGACCTGCTCTCGGACCCCGCCGTGACTACGACCTTCTCCCCTTCTGACATTGCCCTGCTGTTTGTGGTGGGCGAGGAAAAGAGGGGGGACGGGATGCGTCACTTCTCCTCGTCGCAGCTCTACAACCACACCCGCGACAACTACAAAGCCATCCTCTTCGGCGAACCTACAGAGGGTAAACTGGCCACCGGCCACAAGGGGATTGAAATGCTTTCTCTCCGCGCCCGCGGCAAGGCGGCGCATTCCGGCTATCCGTGGCTGGGGAGGAGTGCAAATAGCATGATCTTGCCCGCGCTTGTGGTTCTGGATAAGTTGGGAGATACACCCGAGGAGGACGGTGGACTGCCCCGGAGTGACAAGTACGGGAAATCTACGGTGAACGTTGGGTTTATGCAGGGAGGCGTGGCGGGCAATGTTGTTCCCGAGTTTGCCATGGCCGACGTGACCTTCAGGCTTGCAGGAGGAACCGTCCCAGATGTCCGCAGGATTGTCACGGACGCGGTGCGGAAGGTCGACCCTGAGGCACTGCTGGACTTGCAGTTCTCCCAAGGATATGGGCCCGTGCCGTTGGACGCGGATGTGGATGGATTCGAGACGATCACTGTGAATTATGGGACGGATGTGCCGAACCTGGACGTTGCGGAAGGGGTAAAGAAGTACCTCTATGGGCCTGGGAGCATTCTTGTCGCGCATGGCAAGGATGAGGGGCTGACAGTGGGGGATATGGAGGAGGCACTGGAAGGCTACAAGAGGTTGGTGAGGCATGCGTTGAAATTGTAAATTCCTACAAGAGTTATTTGAGAGACCTGGGGTCGGGCTTTCAATGGAAGGTCTGGAAGATCCAAATAGTTGCAGACACAATGATATAACATTTGGGCATATGAGTGCGAAACAGCAAGTAGAGCCTCTCGAGGCGCGAAGCCAGAAATGCCAAGACCGCACCGCGCCATACCTGATTCGGAGCCCACAATTCGGCAAACTTTCCGCCCTCTTTGGATGCGAAAAGTTGCAACTGCGGCCGGGAATTTGACACACCCACGAACCTCATTGTCTTGCTTATTCCTCAGTTTCGCTTTCGCCAACGCATCAGACCGTTCAAGATGGCGAAAGAACGCACTGAGAAGTCCGGCATCATTGTCGGCTTGAACAAGGGCCATGTGAGTTTCTCCTCCCAGGAATCCGAGTGCCTTCCGCCGGGTCCCCTTCCTCCAATCGAAAAATATCGCACACGGGTGTTTCCAACAGATGATGAGGAGGATGATGATGGGATGAAGGGCAAATAGAATGCTGGCTTCCTTGCCTCCTTCAGTTTCCGTCCAACCATCCCGTCATTACAGCCATCCGCAAACAAGCAAGCAACTAACATGTCTTTTTCTCTTCGCTTTTCTAGAAAGTCACACCCATCGACAACAAGCCTCGAATCTCCCGGCGCAAGGGCTCGCTCAGCAAACGCACCGCCTTCGTCCGCGAAATCGTCAAGGAAGTCGCCGGCCTGGCACCGTACGAGCGCCGCGTGATCGAATTGTTGAGGAACAGCAAGGACAAGCGTGCGAGAAAGCTGGCCAAGAAGAGGGTACGTTTCGACATACAATACAATCCCCGCTAATCGCTCCGCATACACATACTCCTCTCTCGCCCTTTGCCTCTCGCCTTGGAATCTAGTCTTGCGCTACGGTTCCACTGATCAGAGCGTTGGGCGGGAAGCAGTGTGAAAAGCGAGGATGAAATTAAATAAAACGTTACTCGAAAGAGACTAACATCTTGCGTCATCAAATAGCTCGGTACATTCGGCCGTGCGAAGAGAAAGGTCGACGAGTTGCAGCGCGTCATTGCCGAGGCCAGAAGAACTGGTGCCCATTAAACATCGCCAAAAATCTCTACCCCGGCTTTACGATTGGGCATTGCTTTTGACGATGGAGATGGAGATGGGAGAGGCATGAGGTGATTGAGTGGAGCTGAACGGGAACGGGCTTGAGACAAAAAGCTCTCGAACCTGCAGGGGGGAGACCATGAGGTGGTTTTCTTGAACCTTCGCGACAGTCAAGTTGAAGCGAAGAATGATACTGGGGAGGTGGGCGAGCAAAAAGCATCTTGTGGCGCTGCTGTTTAAACATGGAAACCTGTCCCTCGGGCCTGGCTGGCTAGCCAGCTAGCAAGGTCAAGGTGCAAGACCCTGGAACGACTTGCGGGTGGACGACATCTTGAGCTTGGAGCAGAATACGAAAAAAGGAAAGTACACTCTCCGGGGAATGGGCAGGAAAATTGCTCGCTTTGTCGTGTTGTTTACGCTCAGCAGAGAAAAGTGGCCCTGCCTGGCTTGCTTGCTACGTTCTTTGTAGGGCTGCTGCGGGCAACCGTGTCTCAGCAACGACCAACACCAGCGAGAACAATGAAACCAATGAACTGAACCAACGCCTGAAAACCCCATCCTTGTCCTCGTCGTGAACACCAGCAACCTGTTGGCGTACTTATTGGCTCGCCTATTCGTTGATATCTATCTGTATACAGAGGCTACTTGGAGACCCGCCCCCCGGTTTCCGACCCATGTTACGCTCCCTCCGGTCACATTCTCTCCCACATTGAAGCAGGCCATTGCATTCGAGATTTCTCCTTCTTTTTTAACGGATACTTACCTCGACTTCATCCTCGTCCTCAAAGCCGACCTCCTCGACCGTGCTCTCCGCGTCCAGCCTCTCGCCGTCGAAGATCAGCCACGGCGTCTTTGCCTCATCCACCTTCCTCGTCGCCGCATACCCGCGCATGATCTTGCCGATCGTCGTGTGCGGCCGCACCCGCAGCTGCATGGGCTCCAGGTCCTTGCTGACCAGCCGGATCACGATGGCGCCTTTGTCTCTTTCTGCCGCCGCCGCCGCCGCTGCCGGTGTTTCTGATGCGGCTGCGGCTGCGTTTGCGGCGTCCTCGTCCTCCTGCTCTTCCGGGTCTCCGTCCTCGTCTTCTCCGTCGGCGGCGGCCGTAGAGGAGATTTGCGGTCGCTGTCGTTGTTGACGACGCTCCTTGTCGCGCAGCCTCTGCTCGTAGATCTCCGGCGTCATGGCTTCGAGCATGATGTTTCCTCCGCTCGGATCCTTGGTGCTGCTAGAGTCGTATCCATCATCATCACCACCACCACCACCATCCTCATCCCCATCCTCGATGCCCAGGCTGAGACTTCGCGGCCGCTGCTGCTGGCGATGGTAATCCTTCTTTAAGCCGCGGATGATGCCGCGCATCGTCGTCGAGTCGAACAGTCTCGTCCCTTTCCAGGTGAAGAAGACCTGCCTGGTGACGGATTCTTCGAGGTCGAATTTCCGGCACCAGAACTCCTTGACCTGTTTCAGGGACTGCGATGCCTTGCGCCTGACGATCAGCGATTTGGCGCCCGGGATGTCGGACTGGATCAGAATCTTGACTTCTGGGTCGTTCTCTTGGTCCGGGTTCGGCGTCCGTCTGGCTGATGCCACGCCGAAGTCTTGGATCGAGTTGGACGAGGCTGGCCGACTGTCACGCTGTGCTCGCACCACGGAGGGCGACCTTGGATCGGCGGTTTCCAGGGCTATCGAAGATCCTCTATCAGGCGGTGTGCTGGACCTCTGAACCGTTTGGCCGTCCTGCCGCTGCAGTCGCGCCTTTTCACGGGCCTTCTGCTTGAGGAGGCGTAGGTATTCGTCCTCCTCTTCCGAGTCCCTTTCGTCCAAAACCTCATCCGCCTTTGATTTTCTGGGACTCATGACCAGATCGTCGTCCTCGGTCTCTTCTTCGTCCCCGCCATCGAGAGTTATGGTGGTGTTCTTCACATCAGCCTTACCCCGTGGTGACTGACGTGTTCTAGTGGATGCATCCAGCCCATCGCTCAAACCCTTGCGTTTCATCGGCGTGCTGCGCGTCACAGGCTTTTCGCGAACCCCATCCTCCTCCTTCTTTTTCTTCCTGCTGTGCTCCGCCTCGCTGCCCGAAGCACTCTCAACGTCCCGTTCTTCTCCCGGGGATAATCGCCGTCTCTTCAAATCGTGCCTATCATCGCTCTTTTCCTTGCCACCACCACGGGCTTTGGTCTTTGCGGCCTTCCTCTCCCGTTCCGCCCGCTCCGCTCGCACGATGTCCTCATAGTCGACATTGCGGCCGAAGATTGACCCGCCGTCGGTTGCCAAAGGCGAATTCGCAGCCGGGGGTGCAATCCATGCCGACTTGCTGAATAGGGGCCGTTTCACGCCGCCGCTAGTCATGCTTAGGAGGAGGAGGAGGAGGAGGAGGAGGATGAGGAGGCTCGAGAAATCCCTTTATCGTCCGGAAGCACTCTCTGGCGCGATCGCGGGGAGTGGGAAAAATAAATGGGAATCTTCGAGGCGAGCGTTTTCGGGGGTCGCGCGGGGCAGCCTTGTCTGCAAAACAGTAGCGACTGCTGTCTGTACGCTTAACTATATTCGGCAAAGCCCAGCCTTGCTCCTGTAATGCTCGCTCATTGCGTTTTGTCCAGAGGAAAACAGACAGCCTGATAAGAGCCAAAGAGCTCCTACTTCGTGCAAGGGTGATGAGATAACTATGCCCATCAGCGAGTGTCGCAATCCAGCTGGCACCGAATATCTCCGGACTCAAGCCGGCCTTGGTCTATTTTCTAGGAGACCCGCTTTGGGTCTGTTCTACGTAGTATCCAAGGGCTATTCTATGTCCATTCCCCCATCTGTGAGTGCACCGGACCAAGGAGCTGGCATCCTTGGTCATCCGATTGTTCGCTGTCGCTAGCTTCAGGTTCCAAGCCCGCATCGTCTTCAAGGTCCAGCGTCGGGACAGCTATCATATTGCTCTGAAACTGTACCTCGTGATTGAAGGCTCTCGACACGCTCCACATCTCGCTTTGCTCTCGTCCTCGTGCATTTTTGGATAACAAGGTCTTCATGCGGTCCCTGAGGCAGGTCCAGGTGCTCGAAAACTCGTGGATGTTCGCCCTCTTCTTCGGCACTCAATGGGGCGCAGCCAGCGTCACAGGTGTATTTACCTGGATCGAAAGCCGCCACCACCACCACTACTCAGTATCAGGGGCTGTGGCGAGCTCTCTCGGTCAAGGGCTCCCCCTTCTTTCCCCAACCTTGGTTGCGTTGTATCAGGATTGATCCTCAGCCTCGCAAGGCTGGACTGAGTGCATCTTGGGACGAATGACGTATGCGGGGTTGTGGATTGGATGCCATTCCACCGAGCAACTTCCTGGGGAAACCACTTGATGATGTTGATCAAAACCCAATCATAAAACACCTTCCCCAAGTTGATTGCATCTCCTCCGCCAGTCGCCCATCTCGCCTGAGGATGATGTGGCTCTCTCCACCGGGAAGCCTCCGTGGAGTGCCTGGAGGCGTAATCCCCCTCCGACCTCGATAGTCGAACGATCTTCGCACATAATCTGCTGCCCGCTTTCTCTTACCATACTTCAAAGCTTTGCTAGGGGACAACGGACGCAATGGCAGGGTCACAGCCAAACGGCACATACACCGCCGCGGGCCGCAGACCCAGGCACATCATCATCGTAGGCGGTTCGCTCGGAGGCCTCTTCACGGGCGTGGCACTCAAGCAGCATGGCTATGACACGACAATCCTGGAGCGCAACCCGACCAATCTACTAGAGAACCAAGGCGCTGGTATTGTCGCGGGCGGCGATACCCTCGCCTTCTTCGAGCGTTACGACCGCTGCAAGCGGCCCGTGGCTGTGACATCCCAGAAGCGAATGTACCTTGACCAGTCGGGCGAGGTCGTCCACGAGGAGGTCATGAAGCAGACCATGACAAGTTGGGACTTGTGCTATTACATGCTCCGCGCCAACTATGACCACCAGCAGAGCGGGTACTGCAAGGTGCCCGGACCCCAGCCCGGCGACGGCAAGATCGATTATAGGTACGGCTGTACAGTGACGGGTTTTCAGGAAGAAGGCGATCAAATAAGGGTGTTTTACGACAAGACCGACGGCGGAAAGGAGTCTGTCGTGGGGGACATGCTCGTCGGCGCGGATGGGCCGAGTTCGAGCGTCCGGAAGATATTGTGTCCCGAAGTCGAGCGAAAATATGCGGGTTACTGCGTGATAAGGGGCACAGTGCCTGAGAACGAAGCGTCTGAGGAAGCCAGGAAGGCGTTCGTGGAGAGGTTCACTTTCTTCCACGCTCCAGGAATACAAAACCTAACTTACACCATACCTGGGATTGACGGCGCAATGGAGCCAGGAAAGCGGCTGCTGAATTTCGTCTGGTACACGAACTTTCCTGAAGGCGAGGAGGAGCTTGAAAAGGTCATGACCGATAAGGATGGTAAGAGGAGGCGACTGACCATCCCGCCCGGGACGATGCGACCAGAGGCTTGGGAGATGGTCAAACAACGTGGGCGAGACCGTCTCCCACCGCAGATGTCCGAAATGGTCGAGAAGACCAAGCAGCCCTTTGTGCAGTGCATCACTGACGTGATCACCCCCACCAATGACTTCTACGGTGGTAAGGTTGTGCTTATTGGAGATGCACTCGCCGGGTTCAGGCCGCACACAGTCGCTAGCACAAGCCAAGCGGCGTTCGACGTCCTCATGCTGGTAGAGTATCTTGAGACGGGCGATCATGCGGAGTTCGTGCGAAGGACCATGGAGTATGCACGCTTGATCCAGAAAAGGGGTATGAACATTGGGGACAGAAGCCAGTTCGAGAAGCTCCCGTTGAGAGAATACGTCGAGGACCGGAATATGATGTCGATAAAGAGGGAAGACCTGGAATTCCCGGAATGGACGCAAGTTAGAGTATAGCTTTGCTCATTAGAGGCAGATGTTGAGCCTAAGGAGGGACATTGACGACTCAACACAGACGTGTGGTAGATTTGTTAACTCTCACGTTCGGGAAGCAATGTTAAGCACAAGATATCATTGAAAGTTCGACTCGCCAGCGTTGACACCAGCTGCCTACCTGCTCTCGTCATGATATCGGATTTTGGGGTAGCAAGCTGGTGACTCAGCTTCGTGGCCGTAGTCCAGAACGACGAGGCTGTCTAGGTTCAGTCGTTGGTTCAGACTTCGTGATTGACACGTCTTCGGCGGCGGCCAGCGTTGTTCTCTCTGTGGATTTCTTCGCGACCTTCGTCTTCACGTCCCGCTTGTTCTGGGTTAGGGTCGGAGCCCTTGCAGCCCTGCCTGGCACATTCCCACCAGCAAGCATCTGGACGATTGCTTCGATCCGTTTAGCCCGATTTTGAGGCGAAGCTGTTTGCACGCGCCAGAGTACAGCATACCGCTCTGTCTTGCCCAGGCCTTCGAAGAATGACGACGCCACAGGCACGGCAGCGAGGGCGGCGGCAAGATCGTCCGACAAAGCCATCGTCGCCGGTCCGTCGTACGCACGCTCCCAACGGCCGTCCGCTTTGGCGGTGTCGACCGCGGCAATACCTGCCGGACGCATTCTGCCTTCCTGGTCCAACCTCGCCACTGTGTTCACATTCTTCCGGGACCAGACACTCTTCGACCGGCGCGGCGTGTATCGGACCAACCACCAGTCCTCATCGACGCCGTTGGCTCGACCGTCGATCCATCCAAAACACAGCGCGACCTCGACCGCCTCGGCAGCCGAGATGGACGGCACGCCCGCCGATTTCTTTGCAAGCTTAAGGTAGCATCCGGGCGCGGTCGTGTGCTCGCGGTCAAGGAAAGCCTCAAAATGTTGGGCGCCGGGAAAAGTGTGAATGGGCAGGTCGGTGGGGAGTGGCTTAGATGACATGATAGAACCCCAATGCTGAGCAACAGGGGATTTTTGTCGGGCCTTCAAGTCGCAGGGCGTCAGAATCCTCTCTGAGATGTGACAACCAAAGGATCACAGTGTCGCTGCGACCCGGACGAAAGAGCGTGGATGAACGGTTGCAAGCATATACCGAGCTCCAGGACGCGTTTTCTGAGGCTTCAATTCGTCCAGATAGCCAAAAACAGCATTATCCACGAGATACGACGCGTATTTTGCTGCGCCATGTCCAAATACGAAACTGATCCTGTGCATATGGACTTGGTCGTGAAGCGAATGAAGCTCTACAGCGGGGGAACCTGCTCGGCGCCAAGACAAGGTAAAGTCACGTCGAGTTCACCCTCCTTCGGGACGGGGGTGATGCCGCCCTGTGCTCACCCCGGTCGTGCGCGAGCCAGAGTTACCACCAAAATGAGGCAGTTTTTGGGGGCTGAGACCTTTCCATCTCTGCCTGTCGGCCACGCCTCGCTACCACCATACCATCACTGAACCGTTTATGACACTCGCCTTTCCAGCCTTTTCCCTAATCCATCATTGTCACGAGCTGATACAGGAAGGACAAAAGCTGCAAGATGCGAGATTGTCGCTATCTGTACATAAGCGAGATGTCGTTGGCCAGTTGCCGATCACCCTCTGCCCACCTCCAGATTCTCGGAGGCTTCCAGCGTTTTATTGCTGCGACTCTGGACTTGACCTGGTTAGCCGATAGCCTGCAGAATACGAGGCAGTGTCTCAAACCTTGTTCCAGTCGCTTAAGTCGGGACAGCATGCCTCATGTAACGGAGCGAAAGCTGGGCAGACGCCTTCTGCTGTTAGGCTGAACAAGTGACTATGCTGGCCTCCGGAATAATCAGCTTGCAGCAGCTAGTGTGCTTTCAGAAGCCCATCGGCGGCTCTAGAGCTCAGACTCGGCACGAAAGCTGCTCAGCCTAATCGCGCATGAGTATATGACAAAGTGTGCTGCCCTTGAGGGACTGCACCATTCCTGGCAGCCTTTTCTATCATTGTTCAATATGCATCGAAAACCTGTGCCCGCCAGACCAGCAGCTGTCTTCGGGCCTGACACTGCAATTACAGGCTCTCTGAACAGCTCCAGTGTTGCAACGAGTACTCCGCCCGTTGTCAAAGATGACCGTCCGCAATCCAAAACGGCCAGTCCCGAGCTTCGCGGGCCGATATGGCGTACCCGTGCTACTATCACGATGTGTCTCGCCCTTGCGGCTGGTACACTGCTTGCGACCGCCCATCACCTTGTTTATGCATACTACAGTGGGAGAGCCGTTCAGAATTCCATTGGCCAGCAATGGATCAACCGCATAGGCACGGCGTTTGCATTTCTGGTCAAAACTGCTCTGGTTATTGCTGTGGGCTCAGCCTATGTTCAGAGACAATGGTATAAACTTGGGACGAGGTCTTATCGCATCGCACAGGTCGACGTGCTGTTCGGCGTGCTTGGTGACGCAACACTATTTCTGTCAGGACTATGGTTCGAAAATGGTCTTTTGGGCCTCCTTGCTCTATCTTGCTGGTGAGTGCACCTTGATCATTCACTATTTTCTCAACTTCTAACAATAGCAGGCTCCTACCATTTGCTGCGATTGTTACCCCAGGAACTCTGACTGTGGATCTAACTCCACAAGTGGATATGCATCCAGTTCAGGTTGCGCAACATCAATTCAACTACTCAACGTACGCCATTACGCAAAGCATAGGGAACACGTATCATAGCGCCAGCACCGAAGTCAGCCGTATCGCGATCGCCACCGCAACATCAGGACAGGTTCTATCAATCCCAAGTCACTACCAGAACGAGTCATATACTCTTAATTTCTTCGGCCCTGCTGTCGACTGTTTCCGTAACAGCACGATTCTGTCACAGATGGAGAATTCGTGGGCCACGAACGGGACAATGAACGAAAACAAACTTGTGTTTGCGTCGTGGGTACCGAGCGATGAAGCGCATGCGGGACCGCCATGGGATTTCGAGTCGAATGAGGCTTATGAGACAGTCGATAACACAAACAATATGGGCGGCGTAGCTCCTGATTATCTGACACCAACGTTCCCTTTACGTCTCTTCCTCTTCGCCAGCGACGGTCTGAGACCAGAAAGCACCACTGAGAGTGTCACTGAATGTGTTCTTCACAACGCTTCATACACTGTCGATTTCGACTTCACCTGGCCCAATCAGGATGTTCGACTACGGCAGCTAGCGCTCAAGGAAACGATTATTACCGATGATGATCAGGACCTGATGAGCGTCGCAGGAAGTTACGTTTTGTCCTACAGCGACCCGTACCTATCGAACCGACGACTCTCATATAAAGCAATCATGGACGCCTTTGGATCTATATTCGTGGGTGAAGCCACCTACTCTCATTACGGTGTTACCATACCCAGCGGAGGAAGCCGTTACTCGCAAACAGCCGTCGACTGGACGAACTCTGAGACTATACAACGATCGCTCGAAGGTCTGTTCCACAACATCACTCTCGGTTTACTGAGCTCGAAGCAGCTTGTCATGAACGATACCGTGGCGCCCTTCGTGAACGTCTCCGTCACAACATATCCGAACAAGTATACCTACGACGCCTTCGATCTCTGGTTGTCCTATGGTATTGCCATCGGCGTGACACTGCTCTGTGTCGCCTTTGGACTCGAGGCCATTGTTCGAAACCAGGCGACGTATAGTAATCGCTTCTCAACCATTTTGAGGACGACCAGAAATTCAGCATTTGACGATCTGGTCGGCGAGAACGATGACGGATCTGATCCGTTGCCAACAAGTATTGGAGAAGCGATATTGTTACACGAGGCAAACAGGCAGAGACAGGGTAGAGAGAAGAAATCTACCGGCACGAAGAGTCCACAGTTTGTGGAGGAACGACTGCTGCCGTAGCGACCATTTATTCAACGATCTTGTGAGCGTTCGTGAATCCCAATCGCTGCCGCGGAAAAGCATTGGCTTCTCATCGGCGACTGTTGATGATAATCTCTTCCACGACATCCAATCTGGTCATCTTCTTGAGCATACCTTCAAACATACTCGAGGGCAGGTGAGAGGGGATAAGCGGTGTTTAAAAGCGGCGCCCATTGGGTGAGGCGCGGGTGAGCTCGGCGTCGAAAAGCCTTTCTCTTGAGCCGCCAAGACGAGAGACGAGCCGACGCCCTGACTACCTAGAAGTAGGTACCTCCTTGTACTTGTACTCGCGACCGACAAACTTATCGTCCATCCTCCCGTTTTGATTAGCCGCTCGCCGCTTTGCTCACCCTCGGCTCACCTGCTGCTTCCTGAGCGATCCCTGAGCACTCCCTGAGTCGTGCCTGAGCCTACGATAGATAGGACCCGTTGAAGATGCTGCGAGATCCCAACTGGGCCCCCCTTGTAATGTGCTTAGACCGGTTAGCTGGGCGGCATCGGGCGACCGATACGGCTCGGTAGTAACCCTTATTGACACGCGATTGGATACGTTACATTTGACAAGCCTAGAGTGAATTGGCCTTGTCATCGTTACCCAACCCCCGTGGGTGCAACCCGTCAGACAAGCTGCTGACACAGTAGATATCATTTAAGGCAAAGCAGAGGGACAGAAGATTATGCTCCACTAATCAGGGGCTCGACCTTCATGTGTGACATCGTATCAGGACCTACGTTACGCGGTAGGGAACTGAGAATTGGAGTAGCTGGATGCTTTTTCTACCCGCATAGTCCTAGTAACAACGGCTCAACGCTCGAGAAAGAAGAAGAAGAGAAAGAGACCACTCCTACCAGACTCGGGGGGGAGACCTAATGTCCTGGGGCCAACAGTATGTTCGTGACACTATGCTCTTCTTTAAGTTTCTCATTTTTGACCCAAGAGGGCTTGGAAAACCGATATTTCCTTCCAGACGAAGAAGCTTTCCATGATGACATAGGCAGGAATGAATGGAGTGGGTAGGTAGATTTGGCGGATCTTTGGACTTTGTGGACACTGGTCTTGTCACTCACTGAGTACAAGCCAGTCTGAACCGGATTCAAGTCGCGATCGCATCGGAGACATGCTCGGTAGTGGCGACTTCGGCGTGTTGCGAAAGGTATTGTTGCTTGGTATCGCCAATCCCTTTTGTCTCATAAACGTCTTGGAGGACTTCGCGAAGCACTTCGCCGTGGCTTCCAAAGTGCTTCGGCTCTGTCCGTGCTACTCGGACTGCGTCGAAGACGCTCGTTGACTTGGCAAATATGATATCCAGCTCTTCCAGCGAACGGTAGGCCGTCTCGGGGTAACAGAGATATACTATGGGAACGGTGACGGCGTTGAAGACGGCAAATATAACGTATGTCCGAGATCCAATGGATGAGAATGCCACAGGTGTGATCATAACCACCACTATTGACAAGTCAGCGGTTCGTGCCTGTGGATCAGGGTCAAAAATAGACTCACTGAAGTTGAAGATCCAGTTGGCCGATGTCGAAAGAGCATTTGCCTGAGCACGGATCTCCAGGGGCACCACTTCGGCCGGATACAGCCACGGTATTCCTAGCCAGCCCAGAGCGAAAAAGCTGTTGAAGACAAACAAAAAGACAGCGGCGACAATACCGGGCTTGGTGCCGCCGATATGCGTCATAACAGCCAGAATTACCATGGACACAGCCATTCCCGCTGAACCTATCATCAACAAAGGCCGACGGCCAAACCTTTCGACCATGAAGATTGCTGGAATGGAAGCCAGAAAGTACTCTGTTCCGTTGCACGCCGCGAGAATGCGCGACATGAACCCGCTCATCCCGATCTCGTTCTGATAAATCGTCGCGGCATAGTAGGTGATAATGTTGATTCCTGTAAGCTGTTGAAGCACCTGGATTCCGTACGCGAGGCTGGTTCGCTGAAAGTGTTTGGAGCGGCCGCCTTTAAAGATTTCCTTCAAGGAGCGCTGGTCAGCTTCAATGGTCGCGATGACGGCTTGTAGTTGGTTGGCCACGTGTGGGTCAGTCTCGGGCACACCATATAACAAGCTCAGGACCTCGAGTGCTTGAGACTCCCTGCCCTTCAGGACCAGCCACCTGGGCGATTCTGGCATCAAGAGGATAATGGCCATGACCACAAGAGAGAAGATCAGCTGGAACAGGATTGGGAAGCGCCAGGCTAGCGAACTTGGCTCCGTGTATGACAAGCCAAAGTCCAACCAGTAACTTAACATGACACCGCTGACAACAATAGAGAGCTCGGCCAAGATGGTTTGACCTCGTCGGTTGGGCTTTGAACACTCGGCTTGCCAAACAGGGACTGTTGAGCTGTTGATGCCGTTTCCAATGCCGCAGATGACTCTGCCAACGATGAAATGGGCAAGAGAGAAGGCCGAACCCTGCAAGACGGCACCGATCACCATCAATCCTGAGCCAACAAAAATGGCTCGGCGTCGTCCGAGAGGATCTCCCAGCCAGAGAATCAGCATTGCTCCAGTGAAACAGCCAAGATTGTAGGATGAGACCGATGTGCCTGCCCAATGTCAGACATGTACCTAATGGTTGACGATGGCCAGGCATTGCCACCCGAGTGAGCCTCCCACCTTGTATCAGCGCCCGATGGTTCTTCTGAGAAGCTGTCATACCAACGGTGCAGTCTGCCGTAGTGCATATTTCTGGGAATGTCTTTGTGAAGGACGGCAAGGTCAACAATCCGCCAACCACACCTTGGTCATAGCCGAACAGCCTGCAAAGTATTCATTAGCATGGTTCAGCAGTCATGACCACCACAGATTTCGCAATCACATCAGATCAATACCGGCAACAACAGCAACCGCCACTTGGAGACCGGTGCCCCGTAGGCCAAAGTATTTCTGTTGAGACTTCCTTTCCGCCATTGTGATCCTGGGCTTATCGTAGCAGTCGAATTGAGGATCTGGAGACTCACAGCGTCTCCCGAGCCACATGAGGCTACTTATAGTTGCGTAACGCTACCCCGAGAAATGAGGCAGTTTACCCGTGGGGATATGATCAGGCACGGGGCACCCTTGCGCTCTGGTTAGTCTAGACCCCTGATGTTAGGAGAACAAGACTGGAGGCGGCGGTGGTCGGAGCAGCTCCTCGGTATCGCTCCGAGAGGCAGGGTATTTCAGCCAAATTGGTTTTGTGGAAAGCTGTCTAAGGACCCATTCAGCTCTTCCAACAGTCTGGAGAAGCCTAGATGTGTCTCGCTGAGTGCACCGTCATTCACATAGTTTTTGTTCTGGCGGAGTGTTCTACAACTTTCCCTACGGAAGCCCTCCGGAAGGCCTCCGACAAGCTCTCCTAACAACCACACATGGCTTCGCCTTTGAATCGTCGCACTGGAATTCTTGATTTGTGGAATCTACAGAGATCATCTGTACAGAAAACCTCGATTCACTACCAGTGAAAGTTGAAGGTTATTAAAGAAGTATTGCGCACACAGAATCACCTCGAGATCAGGACGACCATAGAGACAACAGCAGCGAGATGGCTTCTCAATTTCGATGTCGCTGGGCTCTGTTGAGCCTTTCAGCCATTGCCTCGACCTTCGTTGATGATATTCTATTGCCACGGGACGACTCCGATACTATACGGCACGTAATAACATGCGTCTCGACGACAGGCTCCGAGAATCGGGCACGATCCTGGCTTACAGAGCGGAACGTCCCAGATCTGTCGAGTGTGAAAATCTTCACTTCCTATGAGGAGATGCTCAAGGCTGGAGATTTTGATATTGTCTATGTGTCGACCCCTCATTCTCTACACTATCTCCATGCTAGTACGGCTCTCGACAACAAGAGAAATGTTCTCCTGGAAAAGCCAGCCACAATAAACGTCAAACAATTCGAGAGGCTTGTACAGAAAGCTAAATCACAGAATGTGGTCTTGATGGAGGCAATGTGGACACGATATCTTCCGGCGACGGTATTCTTGCAGCGCGAACTCCTTCCGACAGTTGGACAGGTAAAGCGCATTTTCGCAGATCTGTCAGTTCCGATTGTCTCGGATGATCTCCCGCGATCATCTCGACTGCTCGACAAACGGGCCGGGGCCGGGGCCCTGCTGGATATGGGTGTCTATGCCCTTGCCTGGATTGACATTGCTTCCAACGGCAACCGCTCCAACGAAGTCGTGTACGCAAACACCGTGCCCTATGACACCGGCAAAGAACTCATAGACGACATCAATACCGTCGTGGTTTCGGACGGAGCGTCGGTCGGCATCGTCACAACAAGTCTTTCTCTCGGTGGCTCAAACAAGCATCCAGACAAGCTTGCCGCACCGAAGATCGGTCCAGCTGTCCGGATCGAGGCAGAGAAGGCGCAAATCACCATCCCCTTCATCCTCATCCGTCCGCAGGAGTTCCGAGTCGAATGGTACGATGCAGAGCATCTGGACGAGCAAGGTCACGAGAAGGTCGAAGTCATCAAAAAGCCGGTCGACCGTGGCTGGGGACTCTGGTACCAAGCGGACTTGATTGCGGCAGCTGTTCGTGATAACACTGGTTCTGGACTGGTCATTGACGAGGAAAGGAGCAGGCGTGTGTTAAGCTGGTTAGGAAAAGCGCGTGAGTTGGCTAGTATAACCTACGATGAGGATATAGAGGCACTGTAGGCACGGATGGTGAAATTGACAGCCGTGGAAATTAGCCCACAAACATTATGTGAAGACTGTTCGAATTAAATTCATCTCGATGATGCTACCTTGTAGTCCTACGCAGAGAAAACTTATGAGAAGTGCCTCTTGCTGTTGTCTTCCGTCTTCCAAACAGTTCCATGGAGAGCAAAATATAAGGTGACCGATAGTGCTAACATCATCGAAGGTCACGACTACGCTGTTTTATGCGATCTTAATCTTGGGCAGGATATTTTTCTTCGTCGGCATCCCGTCCGTTTCGAGGGCGCACAGTAGGCTCTCCTCTCGAAGCATGCCAGGTGGCACTAGTGGGCCAGAGCTAAGGCGTTCAACTGCTCTTATATATAATATACCAATGGGAAACGTACCGCGGAGCTGCTCCGACAAAGTCAAAAGGCGATCTACGCCACTCGTGGCCTTGCCACCTTAAGGCCCGGCCGCGCACCCGCTACGCAAAATTCGGCTGCGAGAAGTGACGGAAAATTCGACACGAGAGTTGGCTCGAGTGGGTGTGTCTTCCAAGTTAAAAAGGAAACGTCATTGAAAGTAAGTGTGTCCTCAAAGTCCCGTACGAGGGAAGATATCTCGACTCTGTACCTAGCTATATATCGAACCACGAGATTTGAAAACCTGCTTATTTCAACGGACCTCTATCATCATCAATCAACCGACTATGGAGCAGGTAAGGGAAACCAAAGGCAAAACTCACGTTGCCCACCGTCGCCGTCACAGCTCTCTGACACGTAAACCTCGGGACAGTTCTCGTTAAAGGGGAAAACCGCTGTCTTGACCGGCGCAGCACGCGGCCTGGGATTTGCATTTGCTGAGGCTCTTGCTGAAGCGGGTGCCAACATTGCTGTTTTGGACCTTGCCAGTCCTGGGGAACGGCTAGCAATACTCCAGACGAAATATGGTGTCAAATCTGAATACTACCAGACCGACGTCACGAATCGTGAGAATGTCACTGAGGTCATCGAGAGGATCGAACAGGACTTTGGATCGGTAGATATTAAGTAAGTGCCGGGCGAGATTCTTGAATTGAAACCGATCCAGACAGCCTTACACTCATGCTAACGATGATTTTTTTTGGACAGCGTTAACGCTGCTGGTGTGGTGACCGACGAAACATTCTTAACCACCTCCGACAAGAATATAAGTTCAACGTTTGCAGTCAACGTGCGTTCGTCTACCCCCTCGCCTGACGTTGTGTATCTGCGCAACTTTGGTCTTCACTGTGTTTAAGGCTCGCACAGGACTAACTTTCAGCCGGAGTTTAGTTCGTCGGGTCATTTCTCGTCGCGCAGGCCTGCGCAAATGCTATGGTCCGCAAATGGGAGAAGATGGGCAAACCGGCGCCGAGCGACTCGCCACCGATCGGTTCCATCGTCTTTGTCGCCAGCGTAGCAACACACATCAGCACCGCGGTGCAGAATATCAGCTGCTATATTGCCTCCAAAGCCGCCGTGAGAGGTCTGGTCAAGCCGATGGCCATGGAACTTGCGCAATATGGCATTCGAGTGAATTCTCTTTCTCCGGGACCTATGAGGACCGACATGATGAGACAAGTTGAACAACAGCAACCAGATCTGGTGAAGCAGTTTAACAAGGAGTCGATGTTTGGGCGGGTGGGGAACCCCGACGAGTTGAAACCTGCCATTCTCTTTCTGTGTTGTAGCGGTTGGACGACTGGACAGGATCTGCTGGTCGATGGCGGTGTGAGCTCCTGGAAGCATCCGGCTTTTTAGGAGATTGATCAAAAACGGTTCAATCGGCACAGCGGCTGTGATGATGTGAACTATAGGCTTATTTATATCTCTACAGGACCACAAATGCCTGTTCGAAGAGTCTATTGATGTGAAGCTTTGACTTGCTTCACTACCGGCCAAATAGTATGGAGAACCAAGCCCTCAACTCGAGGAACTATATTCTGGACCTGCTTCATCTGTTCATATCGACACCAACAACCCGTGCGTTTGAACGTTGCCCATCTTAGAGCCTGCAAAGATCAAAGTGTACACAGGTAGGATGACCATAATTATCGCTCACATTGATTCCAGCTATCACGACCGAGGGATGATGCGCTCAGCTAACAGGAGGCTATCGGCGATTGAAAACCCTGACGAATATTCGTCAACAACTCCAGGCTCCGCACAAAGGCAAGCGATAAAGGCGCTGCGCATGCCATGGCGCTTTCTGCCATATCAAGAACCATATCGATCTCTTGCTGCTCACGGAACTGCGCTGAAAATTGTGAAGCTGTCTGAACTGACAATAACACCGCATATGCCCCTATCAACAGTTGTGCCTCGTGCCAGCTCAGCACTGGAGTTTCGAACGTACCGACCTGGCCGACGTTCGACTGTGTGAGGTTGAAGACGATCAGTTTGGCGCTCTCAATACACGCGTAACAGGAATTCAGGACCCAAGCAACCAGATTTCTTTCTGCCCCGTCGGCGATACCAGGGTAGTTGGAGTTCTCAATGTCTTGGTAAAGCACCCAGTAGAGGACCGGCCGATTGAGAACGAACACGCAGACGTGATAGCGTACAGATATCTCTCTCTATCGAGTTCAGACTTAGTTAACGGCTCACCTATGACACAGAATTGTACTCACTATGCGGAGGGATCTAGCCGGCATGAGAGTCCGGTACGTCCTCAGATTTCGACTGAAATGCAGAGCTAAAGGCAACGACTGGTACCAGCTATCTAACTCAGAGGTGATCTGGCTAATCACTGACCCAACTTCATCCGGGCGACAGTATGCTTGACTAGTGGTGAACATTTTGCTAAGGATTCGGTTCAGGCAGGCCCTGAGCCAAAGATTGGCCGAGAAGAGTAGGTCCGTGTCGTGCTGTGCTTGGGATATTTCAAAAGACGAAACAGGGGTCGGACGTATTTCAGCGTTCTGATCAATGTTCTGGTCTCCGGGCGACCTGGAGTAAGACCTAGCCAAAATCGGACTTTTGTTATTCTGAAGGGATTTTGATCCATGCTGAGCAAGAGAGGGAACTCTTGTCGACGGAACGCCGTCAATCTCGCTCAGAATATCGCTGCTCAGATTAGCAGCTGCCTGGATTTGAACAGAGCACAAGTAAAATGGTACCTCTGCAGCAAATAAAAGACTTGGCCGTAGAGCAAGCGTGGTAAATCCTGCTTCCTAACGTGATCTCCGTCAGCAAGAGTCGGAAACAAGGTGGATCATTCATACCAGTCATTTGAGTGCAAAAATAGTCTGTCGATAGCTGCATCTATGACCTGCAACATGGACAGTGCGTGGAAAGGTTTGTTGAAAAAGTGCAGATATATTTGAGCAAAGCACAAAATTAAGGGTACGGATATCTCGTCATTCTCCAGGTGTACTTGCCACAAGGCTTGAAGTGCCAGTTTGAAGCATGTTTCTGCATCGAGGTGCGGCGGGAATGGCTCGGTCTGTACACCATGCATCGTCCTGAGTGCGATTGTATATGTCAAGAGATGTGCCACCGGAAGATCTCGAAGCCTGAAAGAGGAATCTGGGACGTGTTCTTGGGTTATGGCATCATTGAGCCATGTTGAGATCTGTCTGAAGGAAAGCATGTCGCAGTGCGTCAGAAGTGTCGCCACGGTGATTGGAAGCGCGGACAACTCGTTATAAAATGCTTCGGCCAGGTCTCTCAGCACAGATAGGGCAACTCGAACTTCCAACTGGTCGGAAGAGAGGGCGTCAGCAAGCACAAAATCGTCTCTGTCAGCGGCCTTCAGATACTCCAGGACCGCCACGCCCGGGATCGACAGTCGCACTCGTAAACGAGACCAATACTGCAGGATCTTGTGGCCGGCACCATGGTGAAAGGCGGGCAGGCTGAGCACGTCGTCTTCGGAGGTGACACGGTCTTCGGGCTCTGGCGAATGGAGTGTTATGGAGCGACCGGCAGACTCGAGGGACTCTAAACGAGATTCCAACCCAGCCAACGTAGCTCGGATTGAGGCCTCGCTTTCAGCGTGGTCAGTTGAAGGTCTCGGGAATGTCTAGATCCGCCTACTTTTCAAGGCTATTTTGAGTGTCACGGTAGTGGCAACTGAGCCCTGCGTCTACGCAACGCCGGCAGGAAGGGCGGGTGCCGTCACATTTGGATTTCCGTCGGCGACACGGATCACAGGCGAGGTGCGTCTTGGTTCTCTTGGACGAGTCACCCAGCAACCCATCATTTCTCGAGGCCAATTGGGACATGAACACCGTTGATAGCGGCTTGAGGTGCACGAGGGGTCAAACAAAGATGGATCTGTGGATAGGAGACTGATAAGGCCGACGAGGACAAACGCATGCAGGACTTGACGTTGTACAGTAGCAAACTTTGCTTTACTTTTGCACGTGTCACGCATCCTGGTCCGCTATCTATCTGAACCAAGGTATGGGGCCTACCTCGTTAGGGGCAATGGACACGAGGGGAAAGATGCCGAGCGGGGCGCGGAGCGGCGGAGCTAGCTCTGAGCTCTTGGCGTCGGGATTGCTCCGACCGGATCATCGCGCAGTGTGTTGACGCTACTGTAAGTCCGCGGATGGGCCGTTTGGTTGGACGTGCACCGACAGTGCCGGTAGCACTCAGATGAGATGAGCCTTTCTTTTTGGAAATCGACCAGAAGCCAAATTCCAATGAGCAGCGCAAAGCAATATGTTCTCGTTGGTAGTTCCTCCAGTTAAGATGTGCCAAATAGCATCCTATCGTCCAACAGGCATACAAAAAGCCGGCGGGGCTGCTCTTTCCTATCGATGGCATGCAGAGATCTTTAACTTGGCTCCTGAGCACTGTCCTGTTCTGACACCAACATCTCGCCATGGCATCGTACATCATCGGTCTGAACAGCGGCTCCTCTTTTGACGGGATCGACGCCGTCCTCTGTTCAATTGACATCTCAGCAGACGGCCATCCGTCGCGACCGAAGTTCATCGACGCCATATCAATCGACTGGCCGCAAGAGCTTCAGCCCCAAATATTCCGAGCATTCAACAATGACCTTTCTCTGTTCGACATGACCCGCGTGAATTACGCGGCGGGAGCCGCCTACGCCGAAGCTGTACGATCCCTCTTGTCCCGAAACAACCTGAAATCTCAGGATATCGACGTTGTCGGGTACGATGGCCAAACAATTTATCAAGAACCCCCCGAGCCCGAGAAGCAGGCTGCGCTCATGGCGTCGGACAACAAAAGTTTGGTGGATAGATGGCTGATTGGTGGATACCCGTGCGGCTTCTTCATCGTTGAATCCGGTGTCGTCGCTGCCCTTACAGACATTGACACCGTCACACAATTTCGGCCGATTGATCATGCACTGGGAGGCTCGGGAGCACCTCTGATGCAATACCTTGACTTTGTCTCTTTTCGTGACCAAGGGCCGGTGGTAACTTTGAATATTGGTGGAATTGCAAATCTTCAACTTGCGCAGAAGGATCGATCAAAAATGATGGCGTTTGACACTGGACCAGGAAACGTTATGATCGATCATGTCATCAAAGCCAGAACAGGTCGCACCTACGACAGAGACGGCGAGCTGGCCGCTAAAGGGAGTGTCATGGAGCCTTTACTCACCAAGTTACAAGGACATGCTTTCTTTCTGCGCAAACCACCAAGGTCTGCTTGGAGATTGGACTTCGGCGCAGACTTTGCCGACCGGATCCTCGCCGAGTATACGTCCTCATCCACCGAAGACTTACTAGCCACGCTCACCATGTTCACTGTAACATCAATCGAGCGGTCACTAGTTGATTTTATTCTTCCAAGGGCCGCCGTGTCACAGGTGGTCGCCAGCGGAGGAGGCACTCGGAACCTTTGTCTGATGCGCTTCCTTCAAACGAGGTTAAGCCATCACAGTGTGAAACTGACGACGAGTGATGAGTACGGTTTGCCTCCTGCATATAAAGAAGCCATTAAGTTTGCGACTCTCGGCTATGCTTGTAAGAGAAGACTTGCCAACAACATCCCCGCGGCCAGCGGTGCTTCGTCCTTTGCGGTGTTGGGAAAATTAAGCTTCGCTCCCAGCTCAGGTTTCAAGCAAGGTAAGTCAAAAAGCTTCGAGTTTGGACAAACAGATGTCGTGGGAGGGCAACGAGACTGATAAATTCCTAGGATTATGCGCACCATCCTCCCTCGCTACGAATGGGATTCATTGAAAAGACGGATGTTTTAGATTGGAAATGTGGTAGAGCCTCGCAAATCCTGTTGAGCTGAGGACTCCTTTAGCACATTGTTGCTTGTCTTCTATTTCAGTTGCCTAGACATGCTTCTCAAGCACTCTGAAAGTTTCCATAGCTTGTACACACTCTTTTTTGGTACTACAGATAGATAGATATACCTCTCCTGCTCTGGGACTCTTGTCCAGAGTTTAGAGCACTCAAATTGATTGATTTGATACAAATCCCATGTTTAGGCAATTTGTGACGATGAGCCGACCAACCAAGCTATTCGACCAACTGTGGCAGTTACTCGTCTCTTTGGGCGACTGGCTTCAGGATACCGGAACCCCTCCTGCTTGAAATCGCTTCTAGGTTACATATCACGCGACAGAGTCACGCCAGACGAAATTGCTGCCTTGTTTCTCGCCCACTCCGTTCTTTGTCGGCTGTAAATCTTGCGTCCTTGGGCGCAGGCGTGCCTCTGGGAGCCAGCATGCCATCTCGATTGTAATGGCTGGTAAACAGGCAGACAAACAGCGCTTGTCTACAAGTAGATATAGCAGCAAGTAGATCCATAGGTCTCCACTGTTGGACGAAGAATCTTGAAGAATATTTCCAGGGAAGAAGCCGGTTTTGCAAGTTTCTGTACTTGCTCTTCTTTCTCTCCTGGCTATCTTTTCGCAGCTCTTCACGGTTTGAAATTTTAGGTTTTAGGCATCATTAGGGGGCTGATTCCATCACCCGAATAAATCGAAGACGAAGTTTACCTACAGCGCTTGTGGAATGGTAAGAACCAGATCCGGCACCCCTCGGAGCCGTAACATACAGAGTTCTTCTTTTAACTTTAATGTCTAACTAAAGTAAATACTGATAGGGAAACAAAAAGCTCCTCGTCACTATCGCTGTCGAGATGAAACAGAATACTCTATCCCAAGAGCATGCAGTATAAACAACGTATTCTTAAAACCGACATGTGACGGTCCTCCCTCCGAAGTCGACGGAACAATCGTCTCAACTGGACTTTAAGTTTTTAAAGACCTCTCTTCCATAGTGTTTCTGTCAGGGAAATGAGGCTCGTCTCTCGAGGCCATCTTCTACGATTCCGCCGCGCTCACAATGCCTAGCCGAGAGGCAGATATAGCCAATCGCTAGGGGGGCCAGATTGGAATCCAGGTGTATTTGCTTAGGGAATGCTCGGGGAGTACTCCGGGAGCGCTCAGGGAGCACCCAGTTAAAGCTCAGGGTAAAGCGGCCTTCGCTCACCCTCTAGGATCAAACCGTAAATGGCAATCAGGTTTTTCGTTCTCGAGTAATAGAGGTACCTATGTAGACTCACGGAGTGAGACGAGGCTGATGCCGCCCTGTGCTCATGAGCCGTTTAACCGTTCTTTTCTCCTTGTTTGACAGGTACATGGCGACTGGGAAACCCATTTTACTGCAGATTGGGCGGCCATTCTTGACTTCCACAAGTCAAAGTCAGAGGTGGTCAGAAAGAGGCAGAGAAAAGAAGTCCGGAAGAACCCAGGCATGGACTGAGGGTGAGAGCTGGGCTGAACACGATCCCTGTTAGCAACTATCAGAGTAACCCGAGTATAGCTTGACATGTTGATATGAGGATGAGGACTGCGTCGGCGCTCTCGAACGAGCATTCTTAATCCATAGCCCGAATTAATAGCTGCCGGTGTCCTCGCACGAGCAAATCAATCAATCAATCGATCAATCAATCAATCGATCAATCAATCAATCAATCAATCAATCGACAATTCCCATACTCCCAGAGCATTTTGGCGACTACAACGAATCCCCCGATAGCCGGAATCGCGTAAATGCAGGCAACTAGCAGCGACACATGTAAGACAACGAAAGAGCCGAAGAATAGAGAGTCGGGAAGCTCCTTCCGCCGACGCGCCCTTAACAGTTGCCTCCAAGCCTCCGACAGCCTGTATAACGAGGGTCTCCATAAGGGCCCGGCATAGGTTCCGTAAACTATCCATGTCATAACCCAAGCCCTCTGGGCGAGAGTACTGGACCCGGACTGGAAACGAGAGATACCGCCGATAATAGCGAGAGAAATGCCGCCGGCGACGAGGAGGAGTCCCAACGGAGTCAGCTTTGAGGGGCTGGCGAAAAGGTGCAAAAGCATCGGCACAAATCCAGGCTTGATGAAAAAAGGATACATGCAATCCAGGTGAGATGACTTGGCGGTCTTCCTTTGGAAGTTGTAGCACACCGGAAACGCAATCGAGGGTTTATCTTCTATCGGGTCTGTGAAGCCGGCGAGCGCAATATTCTCGGGAGTGGTCCGGCTGAATGCCCAAATCACAGAACTATTTTGTTCGGCTGCTGACGGTGCCATCGACTCCAAGGGGGTTATTTCCGAGGTAACGTTGGACTTGGGCTCTTGGCCTTCTGTATCAACGGACTCCTTGATTCTCGGACGTTCTTCAAATGCATCATTGTCCATCTGCACAGACGTCAACTCGAACTCGAACGTTTTGCGAGATTCACGGTCGTCGTCAGTAACGTTCAAGTCGTGGTCAGGAGCCTCATTGCACTCTTTGAATGACCCCGAGAAGATAAAGGTGCCATCGACGGTGACTTCTTCACCGACTAGTTGACCAACAACACTTGGAAAACACCCTCCCCGCGCCTGGGCTTCCTTCATGATATCTGATCCAACCAAATAAAAGGCAGAGTATTCCGGTGTGATCAAGGTGCTGAGCAGGTTGATGACAGACATGACGAGATATGGAACCACCGTAAGACCGAACGCAGCGTATCCGTACCTCCTGATTTGATCTCCTCGCGATCGATACAATGTCGTTGAAGCATAGGCCGTCTGAGCGACAGCAATCAAAGCTTTGGGGAGACTGTACGATACGGCGATCGGCTCTGTCTTAAAGCGGTTCATGTCAAAATCTCCGGAGTCGTCAGTGCTCTGGACAGAACTCTCCACAAGTGCATCGGACGGAACCAGAGCCAGAGTATAGCCATCTGGTAGCTGGAGGTTACCGTGTATCCGACGTCCAACAATGCGGTAGGAGCCTCTGAGCCATGGAGGCGCTTGAATGCTCAAGCGGACAGGGTTCTGAGGCGTGGTACTGTGTTTCCTGCGGCGATAAGGGCTCTCGGCTTAGCGTCGACATCTAGCAAGCAGAGCTGCTTTAGATATGCCATGGACCTACAGTGAATTGAGTTCCTCTGCTGGATTCCGCTGTTCTTTTAACCAGTTGTGGACCTTTTTCCAGGACCAGAAAGGTGCAACTTTTGCGGCCATTCCTATCTATCGAGTCAGTAAACCCCGCCCTGGGGAATATCATGCTGTCGGCTCTCGAGAGGTAATTTCTAGAAAGATAGGAGGGTACTTACTGCTCATATCCTGACTCACGTATGAGAGTGTGTGAAGATGGTCGCCGGATTTTGGGCGCCAGTTGGGCGTCCGAACAACCATGCAGAGAGCTTGAGCCTTAAGCGCAGTTTGCAAGGGATCTCGCGTCAAGGTGCTGTTCCAGATAGAATAGATCCCCCGTAGAGCTCCTGAAGACGGGAACAAAAGAGCAAAGACCATCGCTGTAATGGCATCTATGGTCGCCTCCCCTGGCAATAGAGTAATTGTCCCGGCATGGGCAGCGTAGTTGCCGAGGAAAAAGAACGCAACGTCACTCCAGCCAGTAGGCGTGCAGATCAAGTTTGGGTTTCCATGGTTCGAAAGGCCAGCAGGAAGGGTAGTGTTTGACGATCGAGTGGTGAGCTCTGCAGCGACTGTAACGGGAACAAGGCTGAGACCAACCACCAGCCATGACTGCAAGGATATCAGCAAAGATATCCGTCCTTTCCAGAATGGCATTTTCAGAGTAATGCAATATCGAAGGCCACTCCAGCTGTATTCACCGAGGGTCCTCGAGCGACTCCAAACGGTGTTGCAAAAAGGTGTGCAGCATCATCTTTCCGTGGAGGGAGAGGAGGGTTTTCATTCAATTGTGGTGCCCCACCAACCCTGAAGAGAGGTTCTTTTGCCTTGAATATACGGAGTACTTGAGGCAGCCAATAGGTGGTTGATTGGGCCGATGTGCGGTCCTAGCCCAATATGCGGAACGGTGCGCTGGCCGAACTTGTTGGAAGGTGCTGCTTGTACGTAAAGAGTGACCAGTGTAATCCGGACACCACGGTCTCTGGCCGTTAATCCACCATCCCATTTGCTCATGCAACGCCGACTAGTGTAGCTAGCATCGACTCTTTCATGTTCCACGCCAGGGTGGCGTCTTTAGGGCAGGTGGCTGCGTCCATCCCCAGTCTTCGAGTGGATCTTCGATGCGACGAGACTTCAATCAGGCTGAGGCTGAAGCGAAACCTGTCCTTCACTACTGCAGCACGACAGAAGTGGACAGACATTTTGCGTCGGATTGCCTACGCGTGGGGAGCAAGACCCGTGAATGCAGAAGTTTACCTGCCTCAGGGCTAGGAGAGGCGTTGCTGGCGCACTCGGCCTGATGTCGAGCCTGCCCGTCATGTGTTTGACAAAACAGCATTCGGTGCTGAGACCAAAGTTCTGAAAGATGTACGGGTAATAATTTTTTGGTTCTTGTGGCTGAGGGGAACCCTCGACGTTCCGACGTTCGTTAGGCAGTGAATGGACAGGGCCATTCTTTCTGGGAGATCTCTCTATTATGTGGTAAACACCGCGTCAGAAGTTTCAGTCGGGACGGGTCCTTCATGGGGCAAGCACTCTCAGACAACAGGCTTAGCCGAACCCGGCTTCGGAAGGACTCTGGCAGCAGCTTGAATGCCTGAATAGACCGGGAACGCAACGTCCCCCTTCAGGTATGCGATAGCCTAACAATTAGGAACCTGGAAGAGGGGTGAGGGGTGAGGTGAGTGTTTACAAAAGCAGCGCGGTCGGGATGATTGGCCCGTGAACTGCGCGACTAGGAGTAGTTTTCCCTACGCTTGGCGTGCCAAGACGAGACGAACCGACGCCCAACTCATCCACGGAGTCAGACGAGGCTGAGGCGGGCACCACCCTCACCGTCATCCCCAGTACTTAATATTGCATGGGACAAAATAAGAACAGCACGTGTCAGAGGCCCGGCTTCTGCCACTAACCTCTTACATCAACCCCGAGTATTAGTTGTGGAGGGAGTCAAGATATAGAGAATAGCAGACAGCCTTACGACATCGAGTGACTAAGTCAGGACACGGGCTACCGCATTGGGGACAGTTAGAGGGGCCAATTTGTATCCAAATGGGCAGCACTCTCACTATCCCCTTTCCAAAGGCGGACGGGCTTGGGTTTAGAGTTTTCCAGTGCCGTCCACGCAGCATTGCCGGGGTGAGTGGTCAGCATTTTTGGTTACAAGCGCAGGGTGAGCCGCGGGCAGGGCTCCACAAGGCTATGTAAGTCAACACGAGTAAGTCATCCCGAAAAGAACAGCGACGAGCATGAGAATGATACGGCTTCCGATTGTCATGGAGAACTCGTGGGGGACACAACCAACTCACGCATCTGCGAAGAGAGAGGCGCAGCAGCCACACACCCGATCCAGGGAAACTGACATCCTATAAAGATGGCATGGGGGATGGCTCTCTTAACTCCTCAGCTTTTACTATCGACCAGACTTATTTACCCTACTCACCTCTTCTGACTCGAGGATTTGGATCTTTCCTTGTCCACGCTAACCCTCTGAACCAACCCTGAGACCTCTCCTTGCTCTCCTCCGTCGACCCAGCAAGTACAGCACGCCAGCATGTCTTTCTTCGGCAGGAAGAAACAGCAGCCTCAGCGACCGCTGAGCATGATGCCCGAAATGCAGGACGAGCCAGACCCGTTCCACGGCGGAGATCCCGTCCAGGTGATACACTCCCAGCATCCTTCTACTTCAAGCCAACATCCCGCCGCTGCAAGCCATCATATGGCTGCCCCAACCCAACATCCAGCAATGCCAGGTCACCCTCAAACCACTCACGACCCACACGCCGCCATGCCAGGCCAGCATCAGGCTCATCCGGACGACGACCCAGCCATTCCAGACTTCGAGGTCCACGATCCGAACGCACTCCTCGGCCAGACGCAGCCCCGACCGCGCAATATGGTCCGCCAGCACCACGCGACGGTCCAGGACGCCCAGAACGCTCTGGCCGACCACGAGAGCCTCGTCGCCGAGCACGGAGCTGAAGATGAAGACGAGGAGGGAGAAGGGTGGGACGAAGAAGAAGAGCATGAGGGGGCTGATCAACATCACTTGGATGCAGCCCACGGGGAGGAGGAGTACCACCCCGGCGACGAGGACTATGAAGAGTACCCTGAAGATGGCGAGCCGGTTGGCATCGCATACTAGAGCAGGCAGCCGTGGTCAACCTTTCCTGCAGCGCGAAACAGTGAGCCCCATGTCCTTCCCCCCCCTTTCGTTGTATCTAGTTGGCAGTCTGTGAATTCTGGTCGATCGAGCGAGGCTGGGTATGTATGCAATGTCACTGTAGTCTAGATTTTTCTCTTTTTCAGGAAATATAGTATAGTGTCGGTGCCGGCACTAGTCTTCACGGTCGTCAGTGTTCGCAGAGCCCCGTGCTTGCCTGGGGTAAAAACTCGTTGTATCTGATGCGGGCGAGTGGGCGGCCACTGTCCCTTTCGTTCGGGTTGCGGGACAGAAATAGAACTAACTATTAAGACGGTGCGGCCTTGAAAACGAAGCCAAGCGCCTTACTTGCCAAACCCCGTGGCTCGGAGCGCCTTATTAAGTGATCCTATAAGCTGAGCGGAAGCCGAACAGACTAGAAATTGGAGCCGGGGAGAGTCGAGACAGGTATAGAAACGGCTCGGGCTCGACTCTGCGTGGGCCGTTGCTGACTACCTAGTACCTACGCCAGAAGAGCACAACCAGAGAGATCGAATATGTCGGTTTGCAAAGGAAGCCGTGGAGACAAAAAGAGACGGTTAAATCAAACATCCCCCAGAGGTACCAATCCATTGACATATCCAAAATATTTCTGTGCGAGCTTCTCTAATACGCCCTTTGAGCGGGCCCATTGTTGTGACCAGCCGAGCTCTGGTTTCCGCGTTGCACTTGTCGACAGTGTGGTCAGCGCCTTAAAGTAGTCCTCCTTTCTCAATCTTCATTACTAGAATAACCTGGGTGCTGCCGGCAGTGCTGATCACGTTTAGCTGTTGTCGTTATGCTCACGGGACGCTTGTTGACGTGTTGAGAAACGAAGATCCTCAACGGGAGTTACACCGCACCGTCCACCCTCACATAACTAAACCTGCCGGGGCGACGCAACGAGCATCATCTTCTCCTGCACCCAGATACCATGGGCGATCGACGAAGCTCCCTTGATTGGATCCACAAGCGCCCAGTCGAAGTTGCGGAGGAGCTAGATGTGCAACCGTCAGATCAAAACATGAGAGCATACAGAAATAGTGACGGCTCACCTCGACAAACGCCTTGTGCAGTTCCATCATGGCAATGTTCTTGCCCAGGCACGCGAATCGTCCGCTCCCAAACATCAGCTCCGCCGTCCGCAAGTACTTGGCCCTCACTTCTGGATCCGGGTGGAGCCATCTATCGGGCCGGTACAGATCTGCGTCCTCTCCGAAGACGTCTGTCCTGCGTCCAACACCTTCGCAACAAAAGGCCACTTCCGTCCCCGGAGGGTAGAAGACTCCGTTGATTGTCTCGCCCTCGGGAGGGGCGAGTTTGCTCTGCAGGCCGAACAACGGTGGGAACAGCCTGATGCCCTCCCAGATGCAGGCCGACAAATACTCGAGCTCGGCCGCCTCACTATACCTGACGATCGGGTAGGAGATCTTGCCGTCCGCAACGGCTGTGTCGATTTCGTCGACGAGCTTTCGGTACACCGTCGGATTGCCGGTCAACATCATCATTGTGATGCGCAGAGCCGACGACGTCGAGTCGGAGCCGGCAATGATCTGCAGGTGCGACTCGGCCTCGGCCTGTGTCTGGCTCAACCCCTTTGCGATGAAGTGTCCAAGCATGTCCCTTTTGACCTTGGCATTGGGCTGATAGCGTTCGGCGACCGCTTTTTGAGCAATCCCAATCACGCGGCCCTGACCGAATTCGTCGGTGCCTTTAGGGGCCAAGAGCTTCTGCATCGGCTTGCTTTGGATGAACTTGCGCAGAGTGTCGTGGTTGACGATCAATTCAATTACCTTGAAGAATTGGTTTGCGATCTTGTTGAAATTGTAGAGGTCTTGATTGGCCGTCAGGAAGCCAAAGGCATCCCCAAAAGCGATTTGGCTCAGTACATCTAGGGTGAAAAACGATGCCAGAAGTGACATGTCAAGAGGCTTGCCATTGTACTCATGCTTGATCAGAGCCAGCAACCGTTGTAAGTTCTCGTCGATGTCGGATTCCAATGTATCGACTTCTTTCCCGGAATACTTCATCAGTCAGCAAGATCAAGACCCCAGCATTCAAGATCCAGGGAATGGCGTGTGGCTCCGTTGTACTTACTGCGCCGATCATCTTCGATCTCATCTCCGCATGGCGTCGCTCGTCGCGCTCGGAGAAGATGTTGTTCACCCTGGGATCCAGCTTCATGCCGTCGTACCACGAACTCCGCGTCCATTTGGACCTAGGCGCACTCATGTGCCGTAGAAGCTCAGGGTCATCGGTGACCAACAAGCTGGGTCCTATCCGAGCTGGGGACCCTACATCATCACGCCCATTAATCTGGTGCCGCTGGTGGATGCGGGCTGAAGTATAGCGACACTTACCATACTTCCTAAGGGCCTCTTTTTGGGCAGTGGGCATGCGCGCGTTGATGGCCTGTGAAGCGAGCCACAAGCTGGTGAAGGCGGCTAGAGGAGGACCTTTGAAGTGACTAAGCTTTTCATAACTGCGATACACCCCCACGAGATATCTGAGCGCACAACCAAGGATAATGAGTGTTAGAGCCACGACGCCCTTCACCGCTGATGAGCTCGGCATGGCGGCTGCTCGATAGGCTCACAAACCAGGCTTGAAAAGGGCTGGGTCGTGGGGGAGCTCTGATGGAGTTTGTCAACTGCTAAAAGAAAAAAAATAGAGAAAGGAAAGCAAAAGCACATAGAACCTGTTATAGACCAGTCGATAGTGAGCAGGGAAATCAGTGCACAGCTCGTTCAGTAGAGATGGAGAACAAAGCTAAGTTCCTCCTGGTAGCCATTCATTGTTGAGAACGGGTGCCATTGATCGCCATTTCAGTGACACTGCATCAATGGGCGGCTTGGGTATTGCCCTTGACTGCTAGGAAGTAAATGGCGGTGGCCTAATGCAACTGTTGCAGCCCTCGGCCTCGCCTACAAGCGACTGGGGGCCTGGTGATTCGCCCCTGTCGATACCACGTTTTCTAGAGGATCTGGGTAGTTCCCCGGGGGCTGGACGAACAGGTTAGAGATCGTTAAGGATGAGGGGCGAGTAGTAGGCCTGCTTCAGCCAGTGCACCGCTGGCCTAGTTGATCGTCTCGAAAACGATCGACACCAGGTCAGGCCAGCTGAGAGACGATCCTCTTAGTCAAGCCATGAGTAACGTCGCATTCAGGCCTGCAGAGGCGAGATACTCGTGGCATCTCTATCAGCCCACGAAGCCTGTTGATATATGGGAGGGAAGAAGTTGTAGAAATACCTAGCTGTTGTTCCTTGGGCGCTATTTATGTACCTAGGGCACTTGCTGAACCCTAGGACAACCCTAAGAGAGCCTAGGAGAACTTAGCCGGGGAGCCTCGGCGACGCCAGCACCAGTTCCCTCACTTAGGGACCTCGCTCTCATACACAAGAGTTGCCAATCGGAGCGATAACGGGCGGGAAGGACATAACCGACAACCCCCACTGACGCTGCAATTGCTGAGAAGACGGACCGCTGGGGGGATGTCGGCGAGCCCTATGGCGTGGGCAATTGGGCCAAAAAATCCCGTCGTGGAGTGACGGCAGTTCAAAATCCTGATGCTTCGTCATATAGAGCCTGGAAGAAGCGAAGTTGATCCCGCAGAAATGTCATTGTCTTGAAAGTATCAAGGCCATTGTCCTCCACTGAGCCGTGCTGAGGGCTTCATCGTTGCTCCCTGCGCTTGTCGACCATGTTTCGCCGGTGGGGTGCTTGAATAGTTTGTCCGTCATGTCAGGTTCCAATAACAATCCTGGGAGCGGACAGACACTCCCAGAGTCGGGAGCAGCGGCCACTGTGCCTGCTGCTCTCCCAATAGAATCGATCGAGCAATCCTTCAGTGACACCGACTCGGGATACGAAGAGGGTACCTTGTCGACAGCTTCGGTGACCTCCAGCATCTACGCGTTTGAGCAGGAAAATGGCAGGACGTACCACTCATACAAGGCTGACAAAAAATATGTTATGCCGAATGACGAGGCCGAAAGAGAGCGTATGGACAGTAAGTCTCCCAGAGAGACGACCCAGTGATCTATTGTTCTTACTGACGTTTTGGGCCCAGTCCACTACCATAGCCTTCGCTACGCTATGAGAGATAAACTCTTCTATGCCCCGATAGAACACCCGACCTCTGTCTTCGACGTCGGCACAGGCACAGGCATCTGGGCCATGGACGTGGCAGATGCATATCCGGGGGCACAAGTGCTGGGTATCGACTTGTCGCCCATTCAGCCGACCTGGGTGGCTCCAAACCTTGAGTTCCAGGTATTCGATCTAGAGGAGCCGTGGGACATGCCAGGGCGGTTTGACCTGGTGCACAGCCGCGAGATGAATGGCTTCTCGATCAAGAACTGGCCCAAATTCTTCGAACAGGCCTTTGCGTCTTTGAAACCTGGTGGGTGGGTTGAATGCCAGGAGTTTGACCTGGACATCAAGTCCGACGACAATACCATCCCCACGACCAGTGCTGTGATAAGGTGGCAGAGTCTTTGGGAAGAGGGCGTCCAGCAAGCTGGTATGACCGGCCGATGCTACCCAGATAAGATGGCAGAACAGATGCGCGAAGTGGGCTTCATCAACATCCGAATCCTATCCTTCAAGATGCCCATTGGACCCTGGGCCAAAGATCCCATGCTGCGACAATCAGGACTATGTACGCTGGTCGGTCTGTTGGACGGCGTCTTCGGGCTGAGTGTCAGAGTGTATACTCAGCTCCTCGGCTGGTCCGTCGAGGAGTTGGAAGCGCTCCTGGTGCAAGTGCGGCAGGAATGGAGGAGCAAGAGGATTCACAGCTATTTCCCAATGTGAGTGAGATGCTTGTCTGTGAAGTGCAGTTACTGACCAGCCCATTGTAGATACGTGGTTTACGGCCAGAAGCCGCCGTGAGGAGAAGTTCAGGTGCCATTATACCACATTTTATTATTCTCGATGCATATCTAGGTGTTTCTGCGGGCGATGAAAGGGGTAAGGGAGAGCGGTGAGTTCTGCATGAGAGCCGTCGTTCGCAGGGAGTTTCCACGCCAGAGTAAAATTCTCGAGTGTTTCAACACTTCAATGTCTTCGACCCCAGTCTCAGAGGCGCGCGGACATTTTCATATAGACGATAGAGAAGTGAAAGTCGACCAAAGTACTGTTTAAACGCACAGCTGGATGACAGCCTCGTTGCGCCAAGGAATAACCCATCTGTGGTCTGTAAGGCTCTACCACGGCAGCTCTAATAATTGACCTTCAAATAGCCCTCCAACTCACTCCATTGACCTTGGCTGCACCGCCACTCCGACACAATCCTGCACCTAGCCTTTGCGCGCAGTGCAGCGACCCAATCTCTACCTCTGTCTTTTTTTTCCCTTCGCCCGTTTCCTTCTTCCGTTCCCTTTCGACCCGTCTAGAAAATGGAAAACCACAACTCGCCCGCCGGCGCACCCTCGAGTTCGGACCCCAAAGACCCGGCCTCCTTCCTGTCCTCGATCATCGGCGTGCCCGTTACCGTCAAGCTCAACTCCGGCGTGGTCTACAAGGGCGAGCTTCAGAGCGTGGACGGGTACATGAACATCGCGCTGGAAAAGTGCAGCGAATATGTAGACGGGAAACTGCGGCGCAAGTATGGTGATGCGTTTGTTAGAGGGAACAACGGTACGTCTTTCTACAGGCCTCTCACTACTCCATACCGGCGCAGGAAGAGGAAGAGGAAGGGGAGGTGATGGTGCACCGTGGCAAGAATAACGATAAATGACGAAGGGAGTTTGTGGGCGAGGGAAGAAGGGGTCAACGATTTTAAGAGTGTTTTACTAACGTGGCTGTGTGACGATGCAGTGCTCTATATTTCCAGCGATTAAGGGAGAACCGCGACTGATCGACTGACCGATCCACTGATTGCATGAATGCGTCAGGCTACGAGAGAAGGGAACAGTCAGACGCACGCCGATTTGATATGCGTAGTTGACAGACCTCGAAGAACGAGCCCCCTGGATGGTCACCGGACTTGGGACAGTTGTGCCTTGATACATTTGTTGGATCAAGACTTTGGGGTATCAGTGCTACCTAGCCACCTAAGACCTGAGGTGGGAATGATCATAGGCCGGGAGAGGCTACAGAACGATCCGATCGCACTGGCCCGTAGAAGAAGGAACCCCGAAGAAGCATTGGGAACATATCAGGGACGCCAGAAAGCGACCTTCGAGAATATTGTGTTTGGTATCGACAGACCTAGCCACTGCTCTTAAGCGGCTCAGCAGGGATTTTACTCGTCCAGAAGAATACAGTCCGGCCGTGGACAGCCACCAGGCCGTCTTGATTGATTTCGGTTCCTTCCGACCTCAGACTGTCGTCGAATGTTTTTCTCACCTTCTCCAGTTCTTCACCCTCCAATATCGCAAGCTGACTCAACGTCCTCAGCCTACCCCAGAGATCTTCCTTGGGCAACCACGACGTGAAGTCAACGCTCCCTTCGCCCAAGGGCAGCCCAAACAGCGGATCAGTGAAGTTCACGCTCAAGGGATTACTCGCGGTCTGGTCCTCGAACACTTGTCGCCACTTCTCGTGTCGGAAGCGTGGCGCGCCGTCTTCGAATGTCCAAATCACATCGCGCATTGCTTGCTCCCAGCCACGATGGATGGTCCATGATTTTGGTGTATTGTCTGTGTTACGGCAAATGAGCTTTCCCTCCTTCTCGATCATGGGGGGCCAACCATACAATCATCAATATTCCAAATCATGCCAAACACACCTGCTGGGCGCAGAGTCCGAGCAATTTCTTTCAATGCGTCCATGTTGGCAAACCTTGACGAAAGCCATCAGATCATCAGAAGATTCATCGTGGAATGTTTTCACACATACCAATGAAACGACTACGGGTGAATCAGAAAAACCTCGGCCCCATCAATCACCCTCTGAACTCACCTGTGATGCTATGAGACATGCAAGAGACCCATCAGCGATTCCTGACATATGGTCGGCAGTGCCTTTCAGAACCCGTACGTGGGGAAGGGTTTTCTGCTCCAATTGCGCCCGCATGCCGTCGTGAGGCTCTATGGCAACGATTTCATATTCTTCTGGTCGTCTTGCCAGAATCTCTGTGAACTTCCCCGTGCCAGCTGCGAGATCTGCAATCCTGGCGCCTTTGACACCGGCCACCTCACAGGCTTCGAGGAGCCGTTGGACTGCTTCTTCGGGATAGGATGGGCGATGCGCATCGTAGGCTGCTGCTGGAGCGAAGCCACTCTGTGCCGGCTCAGCAATCCCTGATCCTCTCATGCTCGAAAACCTTAGAGGAAGACAGAGAAAATACGGAGTACTCAAGGTAAAAAGCCTGAACTTCTCGAAAAGCTTCAGACAATTGCCAGTGGCAGAGGCACGTGGGTGGACGCGGTGAGGGGTAACAAATCATCACGACCCCGCAATGGCGCGATGATAAAAAAAGTTGGTGGCGCGATGAAAACAATCCCATAGAGACAAATCCCAAACAAAACGAACCATTCTGTCCTAGAGTCCGAGCTCCTCACCCCTTGCTCGTTTCCTCAATTGCCCTCAGTCATGGTACTGCAGGCCATACAGTATGAGCCAGCTTCGGCCGATTCCTCTCCGACCCTGCGAATTCTCGATCAGCTCGTCTTACCGCACCGAACGAGCTATGTTCCGATCAGAAGCTGCGAAGAAGCGCACGCTGCGATCAAACAGATGAAAGTCCGTGGGGCACCAGCAATTGCCATTGTGGCCGCGCTGGCGCTTGCTGTCGAGGTGGGGGGTGCAGCCAAGACAGGGAAACTGCCTGCAACTCCTGAAGAGGTTAAGGACAGTATAGGTCAGCGATTGGACTTTCTCAAAACGAGCAGGCCGACGGCCGTTAATCTGGGGGATGCGGTCGGCAAGCTCAAGATCGTGGCAAAGAAGGCCACATTGCAGCCTGGGGCGTCGGCGGAGTCCGTTGCTCAAGCCTATGTTGCTGCTGCAGAACGGATGCTGGTGGACGATGTCTCGGACAACAAGGCAATCGGGGAACACGGAGCCCGTTGGATTGAGGAGAACACCGCGGCAGGGAGGAAAAGGAAAGCAGACAGAAGTCAGGAGATTGCAATTCTGACACATTGCAACACTGGGTAAGATCATGGCACACAACCGTACAGGAAGACTTCAAGGGAGCTGACGGTTGTACAGGTCTCTGGCGACTGCAGGGTATGGCACGGCGCTTGGTGTTATCAGGTCTCTGAGGGCCGCCGACATGCTCACCCGAGCATACTGCTCAGAGACCCGGCCGTACAACCAAGGTTCCCGATTGACAGCATATGAGCTGGTCCACGATGAGATCCCGGCCACGCTTATCACAGACTCGATGGCATGTGCACTCATGGCAAGAGAAGGAGATCGTCTGGCGGCCATCGTCGTTGGAGCCGACCGCGTGGCGGCGAATGGTGACACGGCCAACAAAATCGGAACGCATTCTCTCGCTGTACTTGCCGGCCATCACGGGGTAAAATTTTTGGTTGCCGCCCCTAGGACCACCATCGATCGAGACACGGCTTCGGGCATGGACATTGTCATCGAGGAGAGAGCACCGGAAGAGGTAACGAGGATCAAAGGCCCCAGAGTTACAGCGGACGGAAAGCTACTTCTGGACGAAGGTTCAGAGATGGTGAGCACGGCTGCGGTTGGAATTGATGTATGGAATCCTGCTTTTGATGTGACCCCAGCAGAGCTCATTGATGGGGTCGTCACCGAGGTCGGAGTGGTTGAGAAGGTAGATGGGAAGTTCAATTTCGACCCCATCTTCCCCCAGCCCTGAGTTGGCAAGACCTGGCGGGATTCACGCATTTCTGAGACCCAGTTCTGGAGCAACCATCATCCTGGGTCAAGAGAATGAGCGCGGACAATCCGAATGCATGAAAGCGACCTGCATGGGCGTTGACGGGCGTTGACGGGGGCTTCACCTCAGGTCCCGATTGGCCCTCCTGTCTCGGGACATGTGAAAATCGGGACAGGCCCACGTGTCTTACAAGGAGGAGCAGGCCCGCCCAAGGGCTACTTGGACTCGGAGGGGTTCGAGGAGGGATTCTGCGGCTTGGACTGAGGAAGCTCCTCAAAGCTGGCCAGGAGCTCATCAAGCTGTTTGTGAATGCCATCCAGCTTGACTTCAAGAGCTGCAGCAGTGGTCTCCGCCCTGGGCGAGTGTCAACGAGCGCATTTCTAGCGGTTGTTTTAGGGCATACTGTTCAAGTTCTTGGAAAGCCTTTTCTCCAGCAGAGGTTGTCGAATAGTCAGCGGAATTGACCGGAAACTGCACCCGGGTGACAGCTGTTTCTCATACCTTTGCCATCTCTGAGGTCAACCGTTGAGCGCTGTCAATGTTCAGGTCACTGTCTGGCTGGGACTGGTCCTCCACTTTGTGGGAGTTAGACTTCTGTTGCGCCATATCGGATAGGCCGGTGCTTGTGATGGTCAGCCCGTTCAAGAAGGCCAGTCGCACACTCGAAAGGAATTCGGTTGTCGGTTAGAGCCCCGAGACTGGGTGAGCCAGACGGGTCAAAGGGTTCGCTCGAGTTGCAGCTCGTATTGTTTCGGAACGCACTCAGACACGGCGGGGTGGTTGGAGCTCTGCAGGAGGAGCCATGGAAGACGGTAGACGGCGATAGAAGCTGGTGTGCGTCAGTCAGGCGGGCATGGCGAAGAAGAAATGAGTTTTGCGAAGCGAAGGGAAAAAAGCGGACCAGGCAAGGGATGATGTGAGGATGGGCGCAGGCTAGGCTGTTATCGATAAGGCCCAGACTAGCCCCATCAGGATTAGTGTTTCTCTAAACCACGCGATGAGCGAGACTCCGCCAAGGACGTCACCCACTGGGCCCCACCATCTGTTTCCTCTTTCTCTACTGAATACTCAGTACTCCGTACCTCGACCCGACTGTACCTACTCGGTGCCTACTGACCTTGTCTGGGCCTTGGTCTTCACAGCTCGGGTCCCGAAAGCATATGAATCCGATGTATTTCTTTATTGCGTGTGGAGATTCTCGACCAAGGAAGCCCTTGGGCCCCAAGATCAGCCCCTTCTTCACGACCTGTCTATATCCTAGCCTCCCTCCACCGTGCTGAAAGCCTGTCCAAGTTCTCTTGGAGGACGACCAGCTGGTTCAAATGGAGCAGGTTCTGCTGCGAGGTCCCCGACGAGCGGATCCTCAAACCCTTTGTCATGGAGGTGTAACCCATTTAGACACTGATCTACTGCAACTTGGCCCACCAGAAGCCCAATCATCCCAAGCGTTTGGATTGAACCGGGTTTCCCCATTATCTCGTGTTCCGTATTTCTCTGAAAGCATTTATATTATTCACTCCAAACCCCCTGATTCGTTCTGGTCTGTCCAAAAGGGCTCTCAATCAAAGGGTACAGTCTCCACGGTATATCCCGTCGAACCACCATGGCCTCCAAACCTAAATAATGCCGCGCTTATTGACGCTGCCGAGTCCCGGTGTTTGGTCCCAGTTTGACATCAGCGTCATGGCGTTGGAATGTGGACAGCGGCTCTCGAATTCCGCAGGCAGGACCACCCGAGAAAGGGTGGGTGTGGTATAGCACCTTTGTTGGGTATGGGCTACGCCTGCTCCGGGCGGTATACGCCTCGATAGGAGACTCCCTGCAAGCCCACTCTAGGAACTCGTTTTCGGCACCGGATATCCGACCGATCATTACTGAATCTCGTCATTGGAGTTTCAGGCTAGGCGCATGGCACCCGCTACCCCTCAGCCGCAGAAGCCACACGAAAGGGCGGCTCCAGGGGACCAAGGGGACCAGGGGAACTGCGAGCCAGTCAGTTCTCAGATCCAAGACGCATCGAAACAGGAATTCAATCTTGTGTTCTCAACTCCAATCCACCGTTGGCAGTCCGAACGGAAAATATTCAGGATTTTCGCCAGAAGGAATTTGGACGTGGAGTCCTGGGTACGCCGGAGCTTTGGCTCAGATCCAGGCTAGGCTTAGGTCAACCAAGGCTGTCGCTGCGAATCGAGCATTTGCTGGAGCATCTCACCTACCTGCCACTTCTGCCCCTGGTCATGCCGATGGCGGCACTTGGGACCCAGATCGCACTTTTCGACTACAATCGGACTTCTGGGAGAAGGGGTTCGTGAACCTGCATCCACATCTGGGTTGCATCTGCTCTTACTTCCGTGGAGCGGTCGCCTGTATCAAGGACCCTTTCGTGGCATCGTGAAGCTGAACTCCTAGCTCCTGGCCCTCAATACCCAACTTTAACTGAACGCCAGATCGGCCGGCTGCATTCCTGTCACGTTCACCAAGCCTCCGCTTCCGTGCAGGTTGTCGATCTTCAGTAGACCTTATCGGCGCCAAGTTCGCAATATGTTATGTCTGTGGAAGCCGACTCAGCGTCGACAAAGAGCCTTGTGCCCCATCAAAACGGCTGACCCTTGCAGCCCATTTCTCCAGGACCAGGGCTTTTGGAGTATCCAACGACCATGAAGCGTCAATCACGAAAATAATCCTTGACCGTTTCGAGGCGGTGTGTCAAGAAGAAACTCGTTCAGGAATTTACCGCAATAACAATCGAAAGCAGTCAACAGGAAGCGAGATGACGCCTAAGGAGCCAGCCACCATGCTTCGAGGAACCACCTTCAGCTTGTATGTTTGTTATATCTATATAGTGATGGGAAGGAGGCATCGGCTTCCCTCGTCGAAATCCTCTATCCTCGAGCCGAGCGGATAGCTAGATGTTGTCATCAGGCAGTTCTCTTTGGTGGTCCACGCAGGTACCATGGTGCGTGTACGAGGTAGACGAATGCCTCCCCACAACACGGGCTCTATCGAGCTGTAGTTGGTTGGCGGGGAGTTGGCGGCCGAAGAGGCTGCCGACTAAAGCCAAAGGGTGGTATCCTCCTCCCCTCTGGAGAGCTTGGACAGCTCGGTTACGGGTAGGGAGCTAAAGGGGGGGGGGGGGGAGAGGGGGAGAGGCTGCGAGCTGCGCAAACCTTGCAACGAAGCAAGCTCCCGCTGTCCCCCAATATCATCCCCTTCCCACCACGGCTCTTTTTGCCCTTGGAGCCCATTCTTCCTGCGTCGCTAGTCGGCGAATGGCGGCACAGCACGCGGACGCTTCCCTCGTTGCATCATCTGATTCTCCTGTGTGCTCCAGTTGCTCCAGTTGCTCCACGGCCTCACACACAGCGAAATTTTTACTTGGCTTCTTTTCACAACCCATCACTCCTTATCCAGATCAATGAACAGCCTATAGATTGATTTGCCGGGCCTCATCCCGCCTATTCTCCTTTCTATCCGTACACTGGCGCCAGTCGCCTCGTTTTCCTTTTTGTCCGATCATCTCCATAGGTATTGGCGGGGGGTTTCCTCTCTCGTGAGTCTATTTCGGTCGCTCGGTTCGTCGCCTTCTGCCTCAGCACCCAAAAAAAAAGCCATCTTGGGAGACGCGTGGTGTGCCACCTTGCCGCCATCGGAAACACATTTTTCCCTGTCGAAGATCTGAATATCCATATATCCATTCACTCCGAGTTCGATCCGAAGGGGAGCCTCATAGCCCGGTTTCCCGTCGCCAGGGTCTAGCAGCTGTCCATCTCTCGTGCCTCAACCCCACTACATGCCACCGAAGACTGTGGTATTATTTGAGGTTGATCACTCGAGACCCTGAATGACATTGACCCTGTTTGTTGCCATCACTGTCTCGGTCATCGATCTCCCTCAGTCGACCAGGCCTGAGGGATTGACTGTCCCTTCTTGAGGAGCAACTTGAATTCTGCCCTTGGAAACCTCAAGCTGCGCACAAACACCCCTCAACGGCGGCGCAATATCAAAAGCTCATAATACTGCCATCCAATCTATTTGGGGGCCGGACATCTGGCCCAACCCATAGATTCTATACTTATCCGACCGTTGAGAAGTACGACCCCAGTCCTATTCGAGCGGGTTGCCACTCCCTCTACGGTTGAGATCTGCGTTCCTTGCTACGAAAATTCCACATGAGAAACGAGTCGGCGTGTACCGCGATTCATCGTACAGCTTGTGAGGCCTATCGCCCTGATTGACTGTCTCGTCGCTGGAGCACCTGCTCGCCTCGACTTTGCAACAAACCTTGGTGTCAATGAAATTCCACCTGTGCTTGAATGACCGATCTCGCACCCCATCTCGAGCGCCTTGGCCTTGAGCAATACCTCGACGCTTTCATCGGCGAAGGATTCGACACCTGGGAGACTTTGACAGATATTCAAGAGAGCGACTTGTGAGTTTGTCAGGCATACATCTCGTGGCAGCCGGGTATACTTACTCTGTAGTAGTGACGCTCTCAATGTCAAACTTGGCCATCGCAGGGTATGTTCTTTAGGTGCCCTTGCTCATCGTGCAAAGGGTCGCTGACATTCGGGATAGAAGCTTCAGCGGGCAATTGCTGAATACCGAGGGGTCTCATACGAGCGCCTCTTCGGCTCCCCTGCTCACGAAGGGCTCTCAGAAAGCAACAGAGGGTTTGAGGCGGGTGCGGGGCCCCCGTTGGGTCCTGAGCGACCGTCTGTTCCTCCTCCCGAGACAAAGCGAAAGTACAGGCGTCATCCTAAACCGGACGAGAATGCTCCCGAACGTCCTCCTTCTGCCTACGTGATCTTTTCGAACAAAGTGAGGGAAGAGGTCAAAGACCAAAACCTTTCCTTTACGCAAATAGCCAAACTCGTTGGGGACCGATGGCAGAAGTTGGATCCAGCTGGCAAAGAGCCCTTCGAGGCCCAGGCAAGTGCCGCCAAAGAGAAATACAACATCCAGCTGTCGGCATACCGCAAGACCGAGGAGTACAGGGACTACATGGCTTACCTTGCAGAGTTTAAAGCCAGGCACGGCCAGTCGTCCGAGGCCAAGCGGCCCAAGCTGGAGCAGGAATCCAGCGGGAGCATCATCTCTACAAAGTCGGTCGAAGCAAACCCAGAAGGGACGGCGCAGGCGTCTGGTCATTTCCGCGGAGGCTCGATCGGCTCGTCCGCATCTTCTCCATTCATTGGCGGCACCATGCATCCCAGCGGTTCAGGAGGGTCGCTACAATCACGACCGCAACTACCTTCGTCTCGGAGCGGGACGCCTCCCTCAGTCCAGCAGGCCCGTGAGTACTTTCGTCCGGGCTTACTCTCTAGCCAGAGTTCGGTCTCTGATGAATCTTCTACAGTCCGGAGTGAAGTCCCTGATCCATTGATCCGGGCTGCTGGTCTATCGCTGGGCACAGGGTCAGGTACGCCTCCTCTACCGGCACTGCCACCGAGTGCGTCGTCAGTGGAGTCTACAGGGTCCCCTGACCCCCTTGCAAGGTCAAGACTGTCGTATTTCGTACAGCAGCAGCAGCAGCAGCAACAACTACAACAGCAGCAACAACCCCCGCCGCCGCCGCCGATCCCTCCTCCCCCGCCGGCGTTTGGCAGTGTCCCCCCTGGACACAGCGTCTTGCCCTATCAACCGACATTACCCTCGCCCACAATGCAGGAGCCGTCGTGGAGAAATCGTCCACCCGACTTTCGAGGCTACCAAGAGACCCCGAGGGCCTCCCACGCTTCCATACACCTTCCTAGTCCTGGTAGAGAACAGTTGAGCCCGACTCAGCTGCCTCCAATCCTGTCCCACGAACGACCTCCTGAATTCCCTCAAGGCCCGGGGTCGAGAAGTCTCCCGCCTCCTCCTCGAACAGGCTCGATAGGTACTACTACTCTTCCGCATCTCGGCCGTGCCATGGACCAACCTCGACCCGTGGCGACCGATCCTCTACAAATACGCCAGCCAGGGCGCGATGAAGGCCGGCCCGGCCTCAATCGGTCAGAGAGCGATGCGGCGAACACATTGGCTGGACTGGCGACAGGAGTCCCTCGCTCTGACACCACCCGGCCTCGCACCCACCCACCGCTTCCACGCCCTCCACGACGGTCTCCATAGCAGCTGGCATTCTGCTCCGAGAGCGACACTGGGTTTGAGCAGTGCGACCTCGGGTGACGTAGGTGCATTCACGTGATTTGAGATTTGCTAGGGCGGCATTCTGGAGGCATCGTACAACATTTACACTTTTGGCATGGCTATGATGAAAAGAAAACATAAATCAACGTTTAATATCGTCCCAGCTCGTCTCGGCGTCGAGGAGTTTGTGCGTTACATGCCTGATACTCATTGCTCCGTCCTCAATTTGCTTTGCGGATCAAGATTGTTCTTTTGCCATGCCGCACCATGTCACCCCATCATTCAAGCTCGGAGGATCAAGCGTGCATCTTCAGCGGTGGCATTTCGGCGGCGGCCGATGGGTTGTTGTCTCTCATAGGAGGGAGTTTGGCTGTATGTCTTGAACGCAATCTTATAGAAAACCATCTGCCCCACCGCTGTGTGCTCGTAACTTGTCGAGAAGGGACCCGGTCAGGTTCAGAAGTACCTGATAATTGTATGTGATAGAAGCTAGACATGGTAGGTACGTTGGGAGGCTAGAAGAGGGCACCGGACTGTGCATGGCTCACGCGTCTGGCAGGAAGTTGGTCGGAAAGAGGTTTATGGCTTTGCCAGATTGAGCCGCATCCGGTCTGATCTGCGCCAATCTTACCAAGGGACCCCATTCCCCGTGTCGAGTAGTATTGAGAGGTAGGAAGGTCATTGGACGTTGGCAAGGGAGAGAGGCTCTGATAGACTTTGCGCGTGGGAAGGCAACCTCGTCTGCAGGGCGGGAGCGGGCCTCAAGGGCATTTGTTTAGCAACGGTGCCAGCGGCAGTTCATTTCAAGGGAGGACGAATCGAGAGGCGAGATAAGCAGCCAGAACGGACTAGTCAGGACCACTGCAGAAGGAGCAGGAATGAAGGTTGGAATACCATTGAAACAGCTTGGCCAGGGCGATGGTTTGCTGGACGCTGTCTCCGTCGAGCAGAATGCGTCGATCATGCAGTGCTAGCGCAGCTGGTCGCGTAGCCAATCAGCGCCAGCCGTGGCACTTTCTTCTTCCGACCTCATCTTAAACGTCCCATCGCCATCAACCACTGCTCGCTTCATCACCGCCTCCTCTGCATTAGGCACCAGATTTGCTTCTGCTTCAAACCGGCCATCTCCCATGCTCCCAGACAAGTCCCCACGTTTCATGACCCTCGCTCTCAATCTCCTCCAAGGCGCTAAGCTCAGACAGTATCGACTCCTTCCACAGCCTGCCGTGATGACTTGCGCTCCAATCGTGCCCCTCGACAGCCTTTCCTCGGCAGATTGGGACCGTCGAAGCTTCGATGCCGTGCTTGACATGCTCGGTGGTCTTCTCGAATCATGGCAACGTTCAACGCATGCTCTCCAGGATCTGGGCCTCGGATGTCTTCGCGACCTTCTCGAAATGTCGTTCTCTCCGTGATGCACGTCCGCTTCATGGTCCTTCCAATATCGACGATCCTCGTGCACTGGATCCAGAGTACCATTGATACGTGCCTATCTCATGGTTTAGCCAGAATCTACCACGAACAAGGTAGTGGCATAGGATCCGCTTTGGATTTGTGATGTTGACCTCGTGAACTCCACATAGAGATATATAAGATCTCGTTGACGAGCCCGTCTCGAAACCGCTCTCTACCAAGTCAGTCCCTCCTTCCGACCAGCAAGACGTCCATTCATTTGCCTGTTTCTGTTTGAAACTTGTCTCTCTTTTATTTTCTTTAAGGATGCTTTCTTTCACAGTTTTGCTGGCGGCTTCCGCCTTGACGAGCGTGACGCTCGCAAAGCCCATTCCTGTTCCCCAGGTCGAGACCAAGAAGGGTTTCACCCTTGTTCAGAGTGTTGCAAAGCCATTTCAGGCTGGTCCTGTGGTTTTGCAAAAGACCTACCGCAAATACAACAGTGCTGTGCCCGACGATGTCAAAGCGGCCGCCGCAGATGGCTCTGTCACTGCCACTCCGGAGCAATATGATGCCGAATACCTGTGCCCTGTCAGCATTGGAGGCGAAACATTGAACCTCGATTTCGACACTGGGTCTGCAGATCTGTAAACACTCCCCTGGTTGTCACTGGTATTGGTGGTTATGAGGACTAATCAATTCTAGATGGGTCTTCTCGTCTGAGTTGTCCAGCTCCGAACGCTCTGGACACAGCATCTATGACCCGTCCAAGTCCGAGACGGCCAAGCAGCTCAGTGGAGCCACCTGGAAGATTTCTTACGGCGATGGCTCGAGCGCGAGCGGCAATGTCTACACCGACACTGTCAACGTCGGCGGCACTACAGTCACTGGACAGGCTGTCGAACTTGCCCAACAAATCAGTTCGCAGTTCCAACAAGATGCAGACAACGACGGTTTGCTCGGCCTAGCGTTCAGCTCTATTAACACCGGTCAGTGGACCCGCGAGCCATCCGGGATTCGTTGCTAATGTCATCCAGTCCAACCCCAACAACAAACCACCTTCTTCGATACTGCCATTGCCCAAGGAGTTCTTGAGCAAAATGTCTTCACGGCGGACTTGAAGAAGGGAGCCCCGGGTTCGTACGACTTTGGCTTCATTGACAGCAGCAAGTACACGGGCGACATCACCTATACACCCGTGGACAACTCCCAAGGCTTCTGGGAAATTACGGGTACAGGCTACCAGGTTGGCGATGGGAAATTCCAGTCGGCAAGCATTGATGCCATTGCTGATACCGGCACGACCCTTCTTCTCATGGATGATGACATTGTTTCTGCCTACTACGACCAAGTTGACAGTGCCGAGTACGACAACTCCCAAGGTGGTTATACTTTCCCGTGCTCTGCCGATCTTCCCGACTTCGCTGTCGGTATTGGCAGCTATCATGCTGTCATTCCAGGGTCATTTATGAACTACGCCCCTGTTTCCGCCGGTTCTTCTTGTAAGTCGACCACTCAGATGCAAGGCCATTTCAGCGCACTGACAAATATTCTGCTCCAGCTTGTTTCGGTGGTCTTCAGAGCAACGAAGGCATCGGCCAGTCTATCTATGGCGACATTTTCCTCAAGGCCGTGTTCGCTGTCTTTGACAACGACAACATGCAATTTGGCGTTGCAGCAAAGGACTTGTGAAAAGAGTCGTTGACAGATACGGACTTGGTGGGAAGGCCACGGCTTGGTGTCGGGGTCCGGAGAATACGCTGGTTATTTTATGATCTTAGGGATTTTATACACGAGGGGGCTTCGAGGGGGCAGAGTGGGAGTTTTCATGACAATGAAAGCTGTACATACACAAGGCCAGCGAATCCATACATTCACGCGGCACTTGGCGAGGCTAGCATATTTTATGCATTGATTTCTTAGCGTCTGACGGTCACGGTTGGCAATGACGTCACCAGGAGCCGGGACTTGGCCTCCTGTTCTGGGACACCCAATCATGTCATGGCCGCGTTGCACTCAACATGGTTCCTGCGCACATTGTTTCCTCGCAACTCTCCTACATTCCGCCTTTCCAGCTCTTTGTGCTTACATGCGGATTCAGATCGTTATACATGTGTTGATTGATGCTCCGCCGGGGTCACTCGGACTTTGCCTGGTTTCGTGAACGCGCGCAATCGCTTCACAGCGATTCACTCTCGGCCTACACTGAAATGGCGGCGACCGCAGTAGAGGGCCAGGGGCAACTGAACCCGGAGCCGTCCCAGCCAGAAGAACGCGCTGAGCACGAGCTCCCGCCAAAATCCTACGCAGACGCCGTAAGCAGTGGCCCGAATGGCCAGACGCATGGCCTCACTGGGCTCGGGTCAGGTGGGAGGGAATCCACTACAGTGAATGGATCTACCCAATCCACCGTGGCCAATGGCCAAAGCAGTCGGCAGCAACTAGACGAAGAGAAGGTCCTTTATGAGAAGCATGTGAATCACACTGGAGAGATCTTGACGAGTATCAAGCCCAGCAACGGCTATGAAGATTCTCTCAAGCACAACGGAAAGACTGCGCCACGAGAGAGGAAACGCAATCGGCCGCCCAAGCGCCAGGATGAGCTTGCAAGTGGCCGAAGAGCTGGCGCCGGCTGGCAAACTTCTGCGTATGCACCTTCTCGAAGTCTGCAATCGTGGCTAATTGTCTCGTAATAGGATACGGTGGGCGCCTCTCAACGTGCCATTACAGCGGCGACTCCAAACTCTAGCCGTCCTGTGGCACACTACCACCATCCCTCTATTCCTCTCCCTATTCTTCCTCCTCTGCGCAATACCTCTCACCTGGCCCCTCCTGATCCCGTACCTCATCTACACTCTCGTCATCAGTGAAGAAGCCACCAACGGCACCCTTTCAAGAAGATCACAGTGGATGCGTGGGTCGAAATTCTGGTCTCTCTTCGCATCCTACTTCCCCGCCCGCTTGCATCGCACCGTCGAATTGGAACCGACGAGGAAATACATTTTTGGATACCATCCGCACGGGATCATCTCTCACGGCGCATTCGCTGCCTTTGCAACTGAGGCTTTGGGATTCTCAGACCTGTACCCTGGCATCACCAATACCTTGTTGACCCTTGACACGAATTTCCGAGTCCCATTCTATCGGGACTATGCCTTAGCCATGGGTTTAGCCTCCGTATCACGCGAATCTATTGAGAATATCCTATGCAAAGGAGGACTGAATGGTGAAGGCATGGGTCGGGCAGTCACAATTGTCATCGGTGGTGCTCGCGAGTCTCTCGGTGCCAAGCCTCATTCGCTCCGTCTGGTTCTGAAGAGCAGGAAGGGATTCATCAAACTAGCGATACGCACTGGTGCCGACCTTGTTCCCGTGCTCGCCTTCGGCGAAAATGAACTCTATGATCAAATCGACAGTGTCGAACACCCGTGGATCCACAAATTCCAAATGCTCGTGAAAAAGTTCATGGGCTTCACCGTCCCACTATTTCACGCAAGAGGAATATTCAACTACGACGTAGGACTGCTGCCATACAGGAGGTCAGTTAACGTTGTCGTGGGAAGACCGATCAGGATCGTGCAACAGGGAACCAAGGATAATAATGTGGATGAGAGATATCTGGACCAGGTGCACAAGGAGTACGTGGCAGAGCTGTTCAGACTCTGGGATGGATATAAGGACCTTTTCGCCCAAGATCGACACGGTGAGTTGGAGATTGTGGACTAGAAAGAAACCACAGGACGGGCGGCCTGGTGACGAGCAGCATGAAGAGATGTGTGACGGCGAATGTCGATTCCACGTCTAGAACCATGGTTATCCGTGGAGTAACGAATCTTTTCTCGTGTATCTTTACTAATAGCTCAAAAAAACGTCGAAAGACAGAGCGGGAGTCGTTCTGGTGAATGACAATGTACAAAATTGGCTTGTAGGAACAACTGATAGACGATAGGGTTGGAATGATCCAGCAGCGTCGTCATGTCATTTGTATTGACTGATTGATCTCTGCTGTTCGTCGGTATTTATTCGCTCTTGCCTCCTTTCTTAAACCTTAGGATTGCTTACTGTGACTATATCCTTCACGACGATACTAGGTATATATATCTTTCTCCCACACTTTCTCTGCGGCTTTCGTGCCAACTTCAAAGCCATTTGAGTTGATCGCAGCGCACGCCTCCCACCGTCTCCGTCCCATTCCACCACACCTCTTCCTGTACCTCTTTTCCCTCCTCCGCATCAATTACCGGTTCTCGACAATGTCTTCGAAACGGGTCAAGAGGAACTCGGCACCCGCTCAGTTCAACAGGGACGAAGACAGTGGGGGAGAAGAAGAAGATTCCGGCATGGAGATCGACAGCACAAAAGGGCAGTTGAAGAAGAAGGAGGAGAACCTGAAGAAGACAATGGCCATTGATGTGAGTATCGTGCGGGAAGGGGGACCTGTTCATCGGCATCAGAGCGAAGGAGGCCCCTCTGAAGTTTTGTTACTCTGTCTCTGGTTCTGCCGCCTCTTGACACCTGCCTGGTCACCCATTGCACTTCGTCAGAAAGCATCTGTCTTCTGGCAAAAGTCACACTCGCTTCCTACCGCCTTGCTCATTCTCAATATTTCCGCTGCCGGGCGGCGAGAAGAGATTCTGCTGTTGCGCTGAACTGGTACTGACATTTGCTGTCGCCAGGTCGGTCTTCGTAAAGGACAAAGACAGCAACGTCTAGAGAAGGACTTTGAAAATGAGTTCCACGAGCTCGAGGCGCAGATTGACGAAAGAGTGGAAAGGTGCCAGCGAGACACGTAAGAACTTTCCAAGGATCTGTCTCCTCTTTCGCGAGTTGTTACGGGCGGCTCCGATTGACTTGGACCCGCGTCCACAGGAAGCGGTATCGAGACGAGTTTTTGACCAGGCTGCTCGCATTGACAGAGAGGAAAGCAGATGTTGAGAAACGAATCATTCAGACAGTCCAAGAGTTTGCCAGGGCGCATGAAACGATCAAGCAAGAGTTTGAAGCCATTCTGCAAGGCCGCTCGACGGATGTTTGTGAGGCAATCACCGCCTTGCACGAAGCCGAAAAGGCGAGTCCGAGGCCACATTGAGAAGATGATCCTTTTCACGCCTCCTCAAGGGCAAACAAGACCTTGATGAAGAGACTACATCCTCGACAACCGACATAAATCTCCCCTTGCTGCGCCTCTTTCTCGAGATCAGACTCGGTCACAGTATAGCCTTCTTCGTCACCGCAGCGGCAGCCCTTGGTCCAGACTGACCGAATCTCATCGAACCTTAGATCTTCAAGGTCATAGGCCTCTACTCCAATGTGTGTGCCTTTGTCACCGCTCTTATCCTCCCGACCAAAGCTCACAGCGTGATCCAGGGTATGATCATATTCCGCGCGTTTCTTTGCGTCGGAGAGAACCTCATATGCGACAACGATGTCATCTACCGAGTATATGGGCCTTGGTGTTGGAGACCCATTGTTCCGCAGGGTTTTCAGGGAGGTATTCGTGGTGGTACTGGGAGATTTGTCTGGATGATGTATGAGTAATGCGCGTCGGTATGCGGCCTTGATGTCGTCCTTGGACAGGCGGTCGAACTGTTCGGGACGGCGAGGGAGTTGGAGGACATCGTAGTGGGTATAGATTCTTGATCTTGCTTGGGTTGCACCTGCGCTGGACATCAAGAACCCCGTCAGATATGCAGTTCTCAGTCAGTTTGGAATGAGAAGAGGGACCACTGCTCCATGCGATCCTGCATGCAGATCCCCGCAACGCCACTCGGGTTATTGGCGGGCGATCACCCTCGTTCTCATTCCCCGTTCACCTGCGCTGGATGGCCCTCCTTGTTTCTCGGTTCTGCCTCGCCTTCTGCTGACAATGCAGCCAGGCCATAGAACAGAACAAGCATAAGGCCAGGTTCTGTTGGCAGATCATCCGTCGCCTTGAACCCTTGCGGCTGGTGGAGCTGGCTTTGGATCATCTGTTTGGGTTCGCTTACTGAACTCCGTGTGTTGCTGCTGGTCTGCCGCGTGGAGTTGCGACGTCATTGTCTGCTTCCTCCCTCTTCGTTTCACCTGTTTGCCTCCAATGCCTTGATTCAAGGTTTGTCGTCGTAGTATTTGCGGGATGGGATGATGTGAATATTTACAGAGCCACTTGGCCCTGTCTCTTGTCTGTTCTCTTGGTGCTGAGGCTGGTTCTCACCACACCCTGCCCGTTACTTCCAGGTAGGCAAAGTCCTTTTCCCACTTCCTTACCTATTTTCGACAGGAATCTCTCCTGGAGTGCCCTGTTATGGGCAAACATGTCTTCTACGGACGACTTCGACCCAGAATCTCAGCGGAGAACATACCAAGCCCCTCACTCTGCCCGCCATCCTATTCCTACCATCCAGAAATACAGGGCCGAGCGGAGCGAGTTGAACAACCAGCAGCAACAAGCCGAAGAGGCCCAGCATGACGAGACCGACGATTCCACCGTCAAAAGAGCGTACCACGCCGCCAAGGGCATCTTGAAGGGCGAGGAGGAGGGTCCCAGGTCGACGCACGAACCCTACAGGTCTCAAAATCGGAATATCCAGAGGTCCTCGGACACAGGAGGAGGGGGAGAAGCCCAGGAAGAAAGGCAGGATCGAGGAGACGTGGACCGGGATCAAAAACAAGAACAAGAGGGCCGGGATGAAGGAGACACCAAGACAGATCAACCAGGCCAATCGGCCACCGAGGCCGTGGCAGGCCACCATGACCCTCGCCAGAAGAGAAAGGACATGAAACACAAGAAGCGCAGCGATGGCGGGAGAGAGGTCACAGACCCCGTAACCCACTTGCCCATCATCATCAGAGACTCGACACGCAAGGATCTCAAGGCCGCTGAGGAGAACATCCCCGCGACCGGAAGCGACTTTCGGACTAAGACTGGACTCAGTGGTGCCAGGAAATCGGGCAGGGAACTCGCCACGGAGCGCGACGAGGTCCAGGACAGCCTGCACGGCATGCAGAAGCTGTTCCCGCCTCCGGCGTTCGACGACTTGAAGAATGAACTGACGACGACGTACGAGCGTGCCATCACAATAGGCCTTGTGAGTGTCCTGGGATTGGTACTGCTGGGAGAGGCCGTCACTCGAGCGTTCGGTGTCAGCATCTACGAGAAAGGGTCATCTTTGCAGTCGAGGCTCTCTGCTGCTGCACTGGTCATCCTCATACCAGGCGTCATGGCCGCCTCCGTGATATTGCTGGTCAGAGATTGGCTCGGTAAGAAGGTAGACGCGATCTGCAAAGACGAGGTCTGGGATGCCGCACGACAGGAAGAACTTCACACTACTCAGGCCGAAGATGCCATCCCAGAGTCGGTCGCTTGGTTGAACAATCTCTTGTCCGCCGTCTGGCCTCTGGTCAATCCAGACCTGTTCACTTCCATCTCTGACATGTTGGAGGATGTCATGCAGGCATCTCTCCCGAGAGTGGTCCGGATGGTCAGCGTCGATGATCTGGGCCAAGGGAGTGAAGCCTTCCGCATTCTCGGGATCAATTGGCTGCCCACGGGTGCGGCGAGTCAATCTGTAGGCGCGGATGGGGAACTCAAGAAGAACGGAGACAAGGAGGGCAATGATCGGACCGCGTCCGGGGAGGGAGAGATTGAGAACGGCGCCGGCGGCAAGGATCAGAGCAACTCGGACGACAGTGGCCAAAACAACCAGCAAAAGGAGGAGGATCAGCAAGCAATCCGTGAGGGCATGGAGGCTGAACAGGGCGACTTTGTCAACATGGAGCTCGCATTCGCCTATCGTGCCCGGTCTTCGGGCAAGTCTTTGCAAGCAAAGGCAAAGAACGCCCATCTCTACCTCAAGTTCTACCTGCCAGGTGGCGTTGCCGTCCCGGTCTGGGTGGAACTGCGCGGGATCATTGGCACAATGCGTCTTCGATTACAGCTCACTCCTGACCCTCCATTCTTCAGCCTCTGCACTCTGACGTTCATGGGACAGCCGCAGGCGGATTTGTCCTGTGTGCCACTATCCCGCCACGCGCTCAACTTGATGGATGTGCCACTCATTTCGTCGTTTGTACAGTCCTCGATTGATGCAGCACTGGCGGAGTACGTGGCACCAAAGAGTCTGACATTAGACCTCAAAGACATGCTTGTGGGTGACGACTTCAAAAAGGACACAATCGCCCGAGGAGTCGTCATGATCTTTATCAAATCTGCCCAGGGCTTCAAGGAAGGCGATGGAGGCTTTGGTCCGCTTGAGGGGTCGAGTGACGCGTACATGACCGTTTCGTGGGGCAAGTTTGGCAAGCCTGTTGCCTCGACCAGGATCATTGTCGACGACCAGGCACCGAACTGGTCAGAGTGGTCGCATATTCTGGTGACGCCTGAAGAACTGAATGCAGACGAGAAGCTTCGGCTTCAGCTCTGGGATTCCGACAAATACACCGCAGACGATGACCTTGGACGCGTGGAGGTGGACCTTCGTGAACTGATGCATAGCTCCAAGACAAAGAACAAGATGTGTGACCGTGAGGATCGGTTTGTGGGCGAAGAGCCCGAGGAAAAGATGCCGGGCACCCTTCAGTGGCAGGTGGGCTATTTCACCAAGACCAGGATCACGGAGGAGCAACTTGCGAAACAGACTGCCGATCCCAACGTCCGCACAATAGAGGACTTGAGGAAGCAAGTCAGCGAGACGGCCGAGCGCAAGCTGCGAGAGGCCACGGCGCATGACGAGAGCAAGGAAATCAAACAGCAAAGGGAAGAAGACTACAAGGAGCGTGAAGACGCCTTGATCATCTCGAGTCCTCCGCCGGATGACTATGTCAGTGGCATATTCAGCATCCAAATCCACAACATCACGGGACTGGAGGTGGAGTCTTTGCAGAAACGAGAGAAAAACACGGGCAACGATAACCGCGAAGACGAGGCCGAGCAGAATGATGACCTGCCCAGTAGCTACGCGACCATTATCCTTAACCACCAGAAGATCTACCGCACGAGAACCAAGCCGAAGAACGCGAAGCCGTTCTTCAATGCTGGCACGGAACGGTTCGTCCCGGACTGGAAGACTGCAGAAGTCATGATTTCCGTCCGTGACGATCGCGAGCGGGAAGACGATGCGCTGCTCGGAATGATCTACCTCCCTCTGCGAAGGGTCTTTCAGGAAAGGAGCCAGGTCATGCAGACCTATCCGCTTGTGGGTGGTATTGGGTATGGTCGCGCGCGCATCAGCATGGTTTGGCGCAGTGTGGAGTTGAAACTACCGAAAGAATTACTCGGCTGGAATTTCGGGACCTTGGAAATCAAATGCCCCGTCAGAGCAAAGGGACGAAGCGGAAACACGAAGGAAGCGAGATCATTCACCCAGCAACGCATCAAGTTGCGGACCAACTTGATGAGAGCCAAGATGCACCCCAGTGGCTCGGGTGAGGATGGTGAATGGAGACCCAAGGGCGACAAAGAATCCGTCTTCCTTGCGGTCCGCAAACGCTACTCAAGCTCCCTAATCATCGAGTGCCGCAAATCTCGCCTTGGCCCTGACTCCACGCCTGCCTTGGGGGTCTTCTGGCTCAAGGACATCCCAGACGAGGAAGAGAAAACGATCGTCGTGAAACTTTGGAAGGGTGGCAAAGAGGCCGCGCATCGCGCCACCACGAGTTACGGCTATTCGGGGTTGGAGGAAAACGAGCAGCCGCTGGGCGAACTTGAGCTCACGGTCAAATTCTGGAGAGGGCTCAGCGGGTATCACAAGAGCTATGCAAACAAAGCCCGCAATGCGGATTTGAGGCAGGTGATGGAGGTGTTGGACACGGCGAACGACGAAGGACAGGTCGATCAGTACGAAGGTGAATATAAAGGAGAAAGAGAAATTGACGACGACGAAGACAGCGACAGCACAGACGATGATGAGTCGTCAAGCAAAAAGGACAGATCCCGCCGCAAGCTGCGCACACACGCCAACGATGACTCCTCCGCCTCGGACTCGGACTCGGGCACGACGTCTTCAGCCTCCAAGAACCCACTTAACGGTCCCGCCCGTCTCGTGTCCAAGCCCCTCGGCGCAGTCGGCTCCACGGCCGCCCACCTCCTGGACGTCAACGGACATAATGACCCCGACGATGGCTCTCGGGGGTTGAGGGCGCAGGTGAGGGATTACAAAGACCACCACCGCGAGCTGCACAGGAAGCACAGGGGGATCATGCAGTGGAGGGGAGCGCGGACGCTGGACTGGATGGTCGGAAAGGCCAAGAGGGTTGAGGGAGGAGTGGAGAGAGTTTTCGAAAGGGACAAAGACGGGCGCGGCGGTGACGGTGTCGAGACCGAGGTATGATTTGGTCATCAGCCCTTTCAAAGGTGTTTCTCAGAATGGCCCCCCCTCGCGAAAGAAACGGAAGAGAGCCAAACCTGCTTTATTCGATGCAGGACGAAAAAGCAAAAAAGGACGGGGGAAGGAAGCAATATATCAACCGGAGGGAAGAAAGATAATATATATATAATCCCTGGACGAGTGCCTTTACTACTATTGAGTCGACTCACTAGACTCGGATATTGATCGAGATTTGCAGTCGAACACTCTCAAAATCTGACCCTCGGAGATCTTCTTTATACTATAAATAGTATAAAAATACTCAGTTTTCATGTATACAGTACACTAATATTCTATGTAGTAGCCGGGCTATGGGCCGGAACATTCAGAGTTGTTAAGTTTGGGTTGGAGTGCATTCCCAGCCTCAGGTCAGCCGTTGAAATAAGGTCAATCAAATTGCCACTCAGTCAGACTGTGACCCCCTGCAAGTCAGAGACCGTGGCCCTCAGTAGACCTCCAGGCTCCAGCTCATGCTCTGCAGCTGGGGATGACATCGTAATCTAAGCTTCAGTCTCTACCGGTATTTGACTGACGATCCCTTCTTTCCGAACGTCACCATCAGGGAGCTCGCCAGGAGTGGATGTACCGGAATCGGGTTTCTCGTCGACCCCTTTCGCCCCCCTTAGGACAATCCAGATCTGCTTCAGCCCTCCGTCTACGAGAGGATAGAAATTCGCAATGACCAGCGCGATCCAAAGCCAGATGAGCGACACCACGACCCAAGTGACGAACAGCTGGAAAGGATGCCGAGTCAGCCACGGATCCGAAAGACGACATCTCACACAAAAGAGAGAGAGAGAGAGAAGACTTACCCCTTTGGAGAAGATGATGCGAGCGCCGTACATGGGCAACGGCCAGAGCGCCACGTGCCCTGCAAACGTCGCGATGCCCCAAATCACCGCAATTCGCGACATGCGCTTCATGTACGCGACGCGCTCGGGGCTGAAATAGGTTGCCTCGTCGAAGTGTGTTGCTCGTGCCCCGACTTTGCCGTGCGCGTCGTCCTCGATTCGCTTGATGGACAGCAGGTCGGACCATTCAAAAGTCTTGTTGGGCCAGAGGTACGAGATTGCCAGGGTGAGGGGCAGAGGGACGAAGGACGAGGTGAGGCATCCGTACATGCAGGGCAGGGTCTGTCCCAGAGTCGCGATCGTGGCGCTGCCGTAAAGGGCACGAGCCGTCCCAATCCACACGGCCAACCCCGCGGCCGTTCCCACGACCGGCGAGACGATGGCTGCAAGCCGAGTTTGCTTCTTCCAGCACAGGGCGAATGCGGTAGGGAAGGTTCCAGGACTGGTATTGGGGTCCCCGCCCTTGGTGTCAGTAAAAAAAACCCCTTCCCGAGACACATGGGGAGAGTCCAAAAAAGACTCACCATATCAGAATCCCCAGCATGTACAGAAGCCAATTGAGGTCGACGCCACCTTCGTGGAAAGCCGTGGCCACGGTCGAGGACACCAGGGCCGAGCCTACAACCCCGATGTGTGACCATCGGATGAGTTGTCTGTTTGTCGCGTGTTTGTTGATGTAGGTGCCGTAGACGTCAAAGGAGAAGATGGAGCTCATGGCGATCAGCTGGGCGGACGACACGCTGGTGCAGGACATGAAAATGATCACCAGAACGGCCCCTGCGCCGCCTTTGCCGGCAATGGCCTGCGAAACTGCAAGGAAGGCTGGTCAGTATATTCGCCAACTGGAAAACCCTCACATGGGGAACGAGGGGGCGTACCGTAAGGCAGGACAAGTCCCGCGCCGACCTCCTCTGCGGTCATTCTCTGTTTTTTGAGGGTCAGTGCTAGGAATTGTGACTTTTCCCTCCAATATGGGGGGTGTCCCGACTCACTCTGGGATAGGTAGGGAACGCAGGCGTGTGCTCCAGTACCAGCGCGCCCAGACCCATGATGGTTCCAAAGGCAAACGGGAGGGCGAAGTAGGCATTTCCACCCAGAATGTATCCGGGCACGGCAGCGGCCACTTCGGCCGAAAACCCCTTTGTGACCCCTTCCCGTCAGCAAACAGTCTTGTTGGAACCAAAAAAAGATATTCTATGGTCCGTACCTTCTGCCAGAAACCGGTGTCGAGGAAGACGATCCCGTAGTTGGTCCTGGATCAGACGTCAGCTTGTAAGTCGGGGGCAGGTAGGGTGCGCAGAAGCACAGCACGTTATATGGATGATGCCAAAGAAGATCGATTCCCGGCTTGTCATGGTCAGGTAGGAACCTTTGTAGTTTCCGGCCACCGGCTGCGTTTTGTCCAGTGGCTTCAGGAGGTCGTACAGGGCCCCGATCGAGCCGATTTCGTGGACGGTGAGGATCTTGATCGTGAACCAAGCCAGTATGATCATGATGATGAAAGTGTGGACGTAGTCGGTGAGGAAGGTCGCACGGATGCCACCAAAGTAAGTGTATACGACCTGAATGTCACGTTAGGCCTGCGTGGAGAAGCAACACAAGTGCTTGTGCGAAGAAGAGCGGATGGAAACTCACCACGCCAAGAGGGAGCAGGTATGTGGTCGCGATAATGTCCATCCCCGTCAACGACGAAACCGCCGTCGAGGCGCCGACCAGCATGGATGTGAAGTTGAGGAGGTTGTTGATCAGGCACATGACGATCCAGATCAAGTGGGCGGCCACGCCGTACCGAGCTCTGATCAACTCGAGAAGGGTGTGCGCATTGGGGACCCTGCGTTTGGCTTGGATCGCCAGCCACCCAAAGGCGCATATCATGGTGCTTTGGCCTGCAGCCCACCACACCGGCAGGGCAATGCCATACCAGTAGGTCAGATACGGGGACCCCAGAAGCGCCGTGCTGTACGTCCACGAGGATATGACGGCCGAGGCCGTCAGGCCGGTCCCGACGCTTCGGTTCGCGACCATGAACCTGTCAAACCCGTCAGCCGGGGTGGTGAGGACAAGGGGATGTGGCTGATGCCCACGTCTCGGTGGTTTCGTTGTCCTCTCCCAGGGTTTTCTTGAGTGCTCGAGTGACAAAAACCATGCCTGCTCATGTTAGCGATGCTAGAAACCGACCGGGAAGTTTGGGGTATACCGATAGCAAAGGCCACACCCAGGCCGACAACCACTCCATAGCCAACACTTTGAGATAGCGGCGGAGGCACGACAGCAGGCCCCGACATGGTTAGTCACTACCCTGGACCAGGAATTTGATTTGCAGGAGAAATAGATCTCGTCTTGGACAGATATCGAGACAAAAGATTGCCGCCATGGCCATTATATCCCGACGAGCTGCAACATGAAACCGTTCCGGTGGATTGATGAATGGTGTTAGATAGTTGTTTGATGGCATCATCACCTCGAATTTTCGACTTCAAGATCCACCTTGGCCAGAATTTCGAAATTGATATGATATTTCGGCACGATTGTTCCGTTCTGAAAGGTGAGTCGGACGGCCTTAGTTTGGGGGGCCGCGTGGTGAAAGCGGGATCTTAAAGGATGGCGTGCTTGTCGTTGCTGATATGCCCAAAAACAATGTATATCAAAAGGCGCACTATCAGAAAAGTGTATAACCGAGGGGCTTCGCATGGAGCCAAAGACTGGTGCTTGATCCACCTTTGATCTTGATGATTATGAAAGGACGAAGGCCAGGTGTCAAGAGACGTCGAGTTGGACCTCCTCGCCTGAGCCGTCTGATCTTTACATCGCAATCTAGGCAATACCTTGCAAGATGGGATCCCTGGTACCGCCGAAGAAACAATGGATCATGAATGCCTTTGCCATGAGCTCGCCCGGCCACGTGAATGCAGGTGTGTTTGGATCGGTCTCACCGCGTTGCACAGGCAGATGGAAGCTTACGTCCCGCCAGGGCTTTGGAGGCATCCGCGGAACAGATGCCAGGAATACCACAACGTTGATTATTGGATTGAGCTTGCTCGGATTCTCGAGAAGGGCAAATTCCACGGCATCTTCATTGCAGATATGCTGGGCGCCGTGAGTGGGCAATCCCCATGGGAGAGCTGCAAATTTCCCTGACAGAGAGATCCAGTACGACGTATACAAAGGTCCCGAGAACATCGACCCGGTCCTACCTGGTGCTGCTCAATTCCCCATCTCAGACCCCTTGTAAGCAGCAGTGACAGATCTGGAGGTCATCACCTCTTTGTGGACTAACGGATTTCCCACAGCCTGGCCGTCGCAGCCATGGCGGCGGTGACGAAGTCGCTGTCCTTCGGCATCACGTCGTCCACGACGTACGAACATCCCTTCGCGCTGGCCCGCCGCTTCTCAACGCTGGACCACCTGACCCGTGGCCGTGTCGGCTGGAACGTCGTCACAAGTTATCTCGACAATGCGGCCAAGAATTTCGGGCTGGACACCCAGATACCGCACGACACGAGATACAAGAAAGCCGACGAGTATCTCAACGTGGCGTACAAGCTCTGGGAAGGGTCCTGGAGAGATGACGCCGTGGTGCAAGACGCAAAGGCAGGCCAGTATAGCGTCCCTGGCCGCGTCAGGCGCATTGATCATCAAGGGTACGCTTCCCCGTGCAAGCGAAAGCAGAAATATTTCAAAAACTCAAGCTGACGAAGCCGGGGAATGGGTAGGGAATGGTTTAAATGCGCCGGACCTCACACGGTCGAACCGTCGCCACAGCGGACGCCCTTTATTTTCCAGGCAGGCACCAGCACGGCAGGCAAGGTGTTCGCCACCAGGCACGCCGAGGCCATGTTCATCCCCGGTATGGACATCGTCGCCATCCGAAAGGGAGTCGACGCGATCCGCAATCTGGCCTCCGAGATTGGTCGCGAGCCGGGGAGCATTAAATTGATAGCCGGTGTTCACATCATAGTCGACGAAACGGACGAGAAGGCTCAAGCCAAGCACGCCGAATATCTCTCCTACGCAGACCTCGAGGGCACTCTCGCCCTGTTCGGAGGCTGGTTCGGCGTCGACATCTCCCATTGGGGCGACGACGAGGACTTTCGGTTCGCGCCCGGCTTTCCCGGTGCCATCCAAGGAATGTTGGAGGCGTGGACGGCGACCGTCCCCGGCGGCGAGGGCATCAAGTGGACCAAATCCCGCATCGCCCGGGAACTGGCACTCGGCGGTCCGCATCTCAAAGCAATCGGGTCGCCGACCACCGTGGCCGATGTCTTACAGAAGCTGGTCGACGAGGCCGGCGTCGACGGATTCAATATCTCCTACGCTGTCTCGCCTGGGGATTTCCAAGACATCGCCCAGTACCTCTTCCCCGAGCTGAGGCGGCGAGGTGTATTCTGGGACGACTACGCCGTGCCTGGAGGGACCACCCGCGAGAATTACAGCGCAGACGATCGAGGGAAAAGAGTCAGGGAGGATCACCCGGCGTCCAAGTACAGGTGGAGAGCGGGCGAATCGGATCCGGAATACGCCAAGCACCAAGCCGTTGCCGTGGATGGGAACACGTAATAGGTTGAGCATGCGAGGAGGACCGTATATCTTGCTCAGCCGCCTGGAAGATGATGGTCTGGGCATCAAGAATAGATCGATTCATTGTAAGCCAGCAGCGCAAGCTGAGAGTGGGTCTTCCTGTAGTTATGGATGCACTGTTCACGAGGATCGACGGTTGCGAACTGTCTACACCACTGGGAGTTTCCCGTTGTTCTCAAGTACGTCCAGAGCTGGGACGTCTTAGCGCACTCCCATATTCTGTGTTGCCCGATCGGATGGAGGAGTGAGTTGCTTTGTCCTCGAGCGAGCGCTGCTCATGGAAACTTGATTGGGGGACCCGAGCCTCGTCATCTGGAGCCTCAAGCACGACACCTGATAGAGCCAAAAGTATAACTCGGGATTCGGGAATTATCGCGATGTCCCTGCTTGAGAGATCGGAACGCACCCGGCAGGCCGTCTTTTGACTAGCGCTGCTGCTACCCACGGTCTGATCTTATCGGCGCAGCATTACTCACAAGTTTGCTTGTACATGGCATTCAGCCCTTCCACCTCTGCTGGCCGTTGCTCGGCGCTTCAAGCCTTACCCAGAAGGTGAAGGCCGCAGCCACCAGCATGAGGACTCCGACGGTAATGGCGCTATGAATGTAGGTCGTCGACAAGGTCAACGCGGTCGACTGGGAGATGAGCAGAGCCGTCAGCGGGGTGCCGAGCAGTGAGCCCATTCCTCGGATGAAGGATAGTGCTCCATTGACGCTCGTGAAATGTTGGCGGCCGAAGAGCTCGAGCAGAGCGGCAGGAAACAAGGAGATGTAGGCGCTGGCGAAGGCGCCGTAGAAGACGGTGAAGAAGAAAAACAAGACGTCGGCCTTGGTGTTGCAGGCTTTCTGGTGGTCGCAGAACGTGCTCGGAAACCAGAAGCCCAGCACGGCGACGGCGCTGAGGAAGGTGGTCGCGAACAGGGCGTTCAGCCGGCCCAGTCGGTCTGCGGCGAAGCCGATCACGATCCGCGAGAGGAAATTGGCCGCATTGCTCAAGGTGATGAAGTTGGCGGCCGCGTTGGCGCTGTAGCCGCGCGACTGGGCGTACGCGGCGTAGAAGAACAGCGGCGTGGAATAGCCGGCCGACTGGAAAAAGTTGCCCAGGGCCTGCGCGGCGAACTTCTTGGACGTGGCGACTTGCCAGTTCAGCCTGGGGAAGGAGATCAGCCGGCGGAGGATGCTCTTCTCTTTGACGGCGCGCATCTCGACGCGAATCCTCTCCTCGAACTCGGGCTCCCACTTCAGCACGCGGCCCGAGATCGCCACCAGCACGGCCGAGATGCTCCCAGACGTCCTCATTGCGTTCCGAAATCCGACGTGCGTGACCAGGGCGCGGAGGATTGGAGGCCAGATCATCCCCCCTACCCCCGTCCCGCTGATGATGACGCCCATGGCGAGACCGCGCCGCTTGTCGAACCACGCCGGGGCCACCGAGGTCATGGGCACATAGGCCATGCAGGTCCCGAGGCCGACGAGGAGGCCTTGAGTCAAGGCGAATTGCCAGAGGTGTTGGCTGAAGCTGGCCAGAATGAACGCCACCCCGAAGAGGACGCCGCCGGCGCTGATGACCATTTGCGGCGAGTACAGCTTGGACCAGTTCACGGCGAAAGGGCCGGCCATGGTCATCAGCGACAGTGCCAGTGTCCCGACCAGACCGATTGCGGCAGACGAGCACCCGGTAAAAGGCGTGTTCGGCTCCTTGGCCATCTCTTCGTACAAGGCTTGGTAGACTCCATAGGCGAACACGATGGAACAGGTCATGGCCACCACGACGAAGCCGGCCACGATGATGGCGATTTGACGTCTAATACGAGGTTGGTCAATATTCGTAGCATATGCAGGCAATGTCAATAAGGGCACCTGAGACCTACAATATTAAGGCCTTGTTGGCTGGCGCGGATGGCGCACCGCCAGGAGCCGACCGAGCGACGGCGGGGTTAACATTCGTGAGCTCGATGCCACTTACACCCGCTTTCTGCTGCGGCAGGGGAGTCGAAGGAGTGCCCATGGGAGAGAAGTGCTCGAGTGGGTGCCTAGGGAGACGAAGGAAACGCTTGGTGTTGATATTAATTGTGTTACGAAGCTGCCGTCCTACTTTTATATACTTCAAGTCGGGTTCCGAAGCCGGTCACATCTGCCGAGATTCACAGCCGTCCGCAAAGCGTTGCTGGCATTTAATAGGACACCGAATGGTCATGCTACTAAAAATGCACCTCCATAGACTAGCCTTCTTTTCCGTTGAAGGTGGCTTTTTGTTTGGGACATGCCAATGCTTGATAGAATCACCCTGTGCTGCATCTCATACATAATCTATGTTGAGCCCCGGGAACTGAATCGCTACACCGCAAGACAGAGAGCATATTGACTCGGGATGATTATCACGACTAGCTCATCGTGCGAAGCTGCGCGTTGTCGCACGCTTCTTGCCAAAACATTCGGCCTAGACCCTCACATTCGGTACCGTCAAACCAGAGGTATCGGAAGCAGATGTCTTTCACTACCGTCCACAACACACCTGACTCTCCTTGCGTGCCGTCCTCGCTGGACGGACTCGAATTGTAGCTCGAATGCCTGCTCCTGCTCCTGCTCCTTGAGTCCATGAGTGCCAGGCTGGGAATCTTCGTCCTGGCTTGCCTAATCATCTCCGCGAACCACGGCCTCAGACTTGTGTCCTTTGCAACGATCCCTCCCAGGACCGTACTCCAAAGCAACAGTCTCGAATGCGTGGTCCAGAGTTCCAGCACAGTGCAGTCATCTAGCGCCAGCATGAGTTCCCGCGTCAGTTTACCATGGATAGCTGCGACGCTGGGCACAGGGAAGAGCACTAGGAGTGTATATGCCATTGTCGATAGGCGGACAAGATCGTATAATGAGTGTAAGGGGGAACTGTGGGTCATGATGCTCGAGCTGCCGCCGTCATGCATTTGTGCAGCACCATGGCGAAGGTATGGAAGTGGGAGCGCCAGCGGGAGGGAGAGTAGGTCGTGCGTCATGAAGTTTCTGGCCCAGACTATCTGATCGAGGGACGGTGCTGAAGGGTGGCCGGATAGATAGGCGTCGAATCCGATAGTAATCAGGCGAGCGTTGTTGACAACCTGCAACAATGGAGCAAAGCCGACAATATCCCCAAAGTCTTGGAAACCACTCGTCAAATTCTGGAGAGACGGGGCCAGACCGGTGGGAGTTTGAGGCCATGTCGACATGATCAAACTTGTTGGCGCCAACAGTGGGAAAGCAGGCACGCGCATGTCTTGGAAAGCATAGAAGATATCGGCCCTGTTTAGTGTCAACTTACTGTAAATCGTGAGGAGACGTTCGCAGGGAATGACATACAACGCAAGGGCATTCGCCAGTCCGGGCATTTTCACGGTGTGTAGGCCTCCTTTCTGATACACCAAATGACAGATAGCCTTCAAATGTGCCGCCTCCTTTTGCATGCGGCCATAATACTGAAAACTCTGGACCGATTGTAATGCGCTTAGATTTTCTTCCTGTGAAGGGGGATCTACTTGCTCGCCAGACCCATGAGCTGCTAGTGTGACGATGGCGAGAAGAAGCTCGTCAGAAGCCGGGCCTTGAAGCTCTTGAATTTCACGGTTCAGCTCCCTGATGGCTTGAGTCTTGTATGACAAACGTAACGTTCGGTTGCGACTGGGGGTGTCTGCTTCGCCCTGAAGATAGGCGTCATGGGTTGCGCCTCTAATCTAAAATTTAGCGTCCGAGAGATTTGTCGTCAAGCACAGAAGTGTCGCCTGACAGGGGGAATTGCTTACGCAAAAATGATTGACCAGAACGTGGCGGGAGAATGCATTGCACATGCCAACACGGCGGTTTTGATAGCTCCATCTGAGAGGATGTTTCTGGAGGGGCCGAGTATTCTCCATTGTTTCGAAGCAGCTGACGTTTGGTTAGGTGAAGTATTTGCAGTTTCCTGTGCAACGGGATAGTGCGCTAGACAAAGGGCGATGCCAGATGCCAGATTCGAGCGACCTGAAAGATTTAATGATGGGTCTTCAAATTTTCAAGAACAAAATTTCTGAGAAGCATTTGCTTTGGGAAGGTGTGCACGCCACAGGCTTACCATAGTCTAGAATGTCGAGCGCATACGAGGGTACCCCGCTAGGAACGGAAGCATTGAAGGGATCAAATATGCCAGTGCCGACATCAAACACAGCAAAAGTCCTGTTGCTGTCATCGTCGTTTGGGAAGGTCTTGTCTCGCAGCAACAGTGGTCGCGAAGAGGCATCAGGCTGAGGATCTTCGCTGGAGCTGCGTGCATCGCGGTTATGTATGGCGTTTATCTTAGCGAGACGCTCAAGCTTGGCTTTTCGGTGGTATTCGCGGGCAGCATGTTTCTGCTGAGAGATGGCAGGTTCACCCGAGGCCGGCTTTGGCGCTTTGGAATGAGGCCTATATGGCACGAAGAAGACGTTGGTGCGTCCAGCAGCCATAGTGTTGCCGACATTTGCAGATCAGGACAGTAAGATGACAGATTGACGTGAGGCAGAAACATCAACGAAGATCAGGCATGTCTTTAAGCAAGAAAGGCTCTCGCCAACCTCGCTTGAAGTAGACTCATCCAAAGATTCTTTAAAGCCAAATCGAAGCCGTTGAGCACCGGCACACGGAGCTACCATAGGCTGGATCGCCCTAGCATATTCGTGACGATTCAGCTCGAGGTTGGGATGCGTCATGCTGCAGGACCAAGCGAGGTCGGGCGAGGGTAATAGCTGCGTAGCTCATTGAATGGCCTGAAGCGGCTGAAGATAGGCATGGGCCAGGTCATCGTGGACGGCAAGGCCAGGTAGCGGACAGTGCGAGTTGGCGGGCATGGAGAGATGGACATGGGAGAGAGATGTGGAAGAGAGGCACCGAGAGACGCAGAGACGCAGAGACGCAGAGCTGTGATTCGGTGAAAAGAAATCCCGGCCCGCGCTGGGCTGAAAAGGCGGGGCTGAAGCACATCGCAGGCGGGCAGCCACAGCAGCCCAAAGTCCAATTACAAACACCTCGACATTAACGGGAGCCAGTCACGGTTTCCCAATTCTGCTGCCTTGAACGGTTTCCGTAATCGGACTGGCCCTGATTCTAGTCGACAAGGGAATAGTCTGGGACCGCGGACCAAGTCGTGACTGCGTCACTGCGACGGTGCCTTTTTGGTATTCTACCACGCAGCGCACTCCCATCGTCAACCCAAGGCCGGGCATTTGGCGGGCCAGACAAGCCAGCACCATGTCCAACTTAGTCCATATCGAGTCGACCGACCAGTTCTCAGCCCTCCTCTCCTCCTCGAAGATCGTTGTTGCCGACTTCTACGCCGACTGGTGCGGGCCGTGCAGGCAAATCGCCCCGATCTTTGAGCAACTGGCAGCGCAACTGTCTCGGCCAAACAAGATCACGTTCGCCAAGATCGACACCGACAAACAGCAGGACATTTCAAGGTCATATGGCATCCGAGCCCTGCCCACCTTCGTGGTCTTCAAGAATGCGCAGGCGGTCAAATTCATTCAAGGTGCAGACCGAGAGGGGCTCTCCAACGCGGTGAAAGACTTGGCCAACGAGGCGAACAAACTGGAAACAGGAGAGGGCGCAGGGGACTCAAGCGGTGGCACGTGGCTGGGTGCAGAGCTACCAAGAGGATACGGCGATGTGACTTCTCAGATTGATGTCTTGGGCATGGAACTGCTCAACTGGGATTCTGAGCATGGAAATGCACGAACGTTGATCGGCGGCAGCAAGCCCAAAGGTGAGACCTTTTTGTCTCTTCTTTCTACACGTGCGCAGAGATATTCTAATGCACGACGACTTTAGGACAAGCAGAGGCCAAGGCAGATTGGGTCGAAAGCGACACGGATGAACAACTCATGCTCTACCTCCCCTTCATGTCTACGCTGAAGATTCACTCGTTACACCTCACGTCCCTACCCGACAACACAGATGATGATGAATCCCCAAGCCGGCCGACGCAAGTCAAGATCTACACCAACAGACCTCGCATCCTTGGTTTCGACGAGGCCGACGATACGCAAGCGGCGCAAGAGATCACGCTGTCCGAGAAAGACTGGGATCCAAAGACCGGGACTGCCAAGATTGAACTGCGCATTGTCAAATTCCAAAATGTGTCCAGCCTGGTTTTATTCGTGGTGCAGAGTGAAGGCGACAACGAGAAGGTCCGGATTGATCGCATCAGGGTTATTGGTGAGACAGGAGAGAAGAGGGATGGGAAAATCGAGAAGATCGGAGCAGATGATTAAGGGGCGGAGAGACACTGGAGCTCAGAGATGCTCCAGCATGCGACATGAGAGACGACCGCATTCAGGCTGGAGACAAAAGCGACTCATACATTGGGGGGCAAGCAACGCTGCAAACAAAAAAAGAGCATAGACCTTGGATGGAGTTTCCATTCATCTTTAGGTAGAAGATCAAGACTCGTGTCGCAGCCTTATGACTTTGTTGCTGCTGCAAACCAACATCCTCCATCCGTCTCTCAGACGCCTAGTTTAAATTCATCACATTCCTAGGATAGAAAGACGAGACTTGACTCAATCTTCTGTTCCTCTACTAACCCTGCTTACAAGGAGCATAGTATGTCCGACCCCACGCATACACAAGCGCAGGAACACTCAACGAGCCCAAACTCATCAGCCACTCAAATGGGTTTCTTCATCAAACTCGTCAAGGAGATCGGTATTTGCAATTATGGTTTGATCTGAGCTGCCACTGACACTTGGACTCGTTATGGAGTATTGGAGAACATGGGCCAAGCAACACAGGGGTAATTGATAGTGGCAGCGCTGCACGATATGTAGGAAAGAAAAGAGAAAAAAGCAAGACACACGAAAATCTCGACTTGAAGTTTTGATAAGAGCTAGCAGAACGTGACCTAGCCCGACTGAGACTAGTCGATATCAATGTCTTGGCGAAAAATGGACTGAAATTTCTTTGGCCTGGGACGGACTCGTTGGATTTTGAACTTGTCATGGCTTGTGATGAACTACAACAGAAATTTATTGATAGGAAGAGAATGATTGTTTGCTCCTCCATCTGGACCTCGTCCGGGTGGCGGAAGTGACCATGATCTCAAATCTTGACTGATATTCTGAAGCCACACCTGATTTCTTCTGCCCAGCCACTTCGTGATGGTGGTGATTTGCTTTGCATTTTCTTTCCTCTTCCAGCAGCATAGGAGATTCTTGAGGGCACTGTTGCTCCAAGACATCCAGCGGAGTCCTCCGTGGGATGGGCTGTCGTGGACAGTGCAGGGCAGAATGGCTTCAGCCGGACGAAGCCTCCGGGATATCACCCAGCCACCATGCCGTTCCCTTCCTCAGCACTGGCCCGGCGATTCTGTGCCAAGGGCAAGTTCCTGGATCCTGTGCGAGTGAATACCCGTACTCGCCACCAGTTTGTGGCAGGAGACTCATTCGGGTGATGTCGCGGCTCGAATGTGCAGCCCAGCCTCTGTCATTCCACGACGTATCGATGAGAGTGTAACCACTGTGATTAAGACTTGAGGCACATATGTATTTCTCAACTAACGGAATCTGGCACCTAGGCTCGATGACTGAACATCGCCGCCGGACCTCGCCATCGTTACATTGTGGTTGTGGGGTCTTGCGCCAGTCGTCCACACTCCAAGCGCACGGTCGACATTGTCGCAAGGGCAAAAGGGGTCAACCTGAACGCACTTGGTTCACTTTTTGGGCCGATGTCGACGATCATTCTCAGTGCGTCATCACTGCTACTAAACCTCGGATCACTGGCTTTCCAGAGTCTTAACTACGGGGAACTAGGTATCAGGAATCCCATCCCGTGTTTTCGCAGACTTTTGCGGGTAACGTATAGGGGACCCTGAGTGTTTCAGCAAAGCTCCGCCGTGTCGATCCTGTAGTTCCTCGATACAAAGATTGTGGGAGAAGAGCTAGAGCTTGCGAGGCGGGCACGAAGGTGAGGTCGCGTGAGGGTATGCATCAGTTGCCTCCTCGTAATCCCCAAATGTACAGTAGAATCATACAGCCTTGCCGGTCGGTCAGTTGGATTCAACATATCTGCAAGTCCGCACACGGTGCGATTGCCCCTGGGTCATTGATGCCATTCTCATTGCTGATGAGCTCATCATCCATCGAGGACGTCATGATCCGGGAAGGAGCTGCTGTTAGGTGGACAATGCTTTTGACAGCCACAGCCCGACCCTCCGCGTCAAATGCACCCACGATCACTCAATGTCTAGCTTCCGAGCCTGCAAGCCGGCAGGGTGAAATCCTCGAGTCATCGGATCGACATGAAATGCTGCCCAAAGGGCAGAGCGAGCTCCAGGTTGCTTCGATCATCCTGATCTTCCGAGCCGCGCGAGTTTCAAGGGTTCGTGAGCGAGATCGCCAGGTTTGAGGGAGAACAAGAACCTCTGGCACTCTGCCGGCACGCACGTGGACGGGCAGGGTTGCCCTCTGGTTCATGTTTGATTGCTTTTCTGCACAGCCTCGTTTCCCCCCCCCCTTCTCTTCTCTTGTGTACTCGTAGTGAGTTTCTTTAGGCACTACTCGGATGGGGTCCATGTTTGCCCACGAACCAAAGGTCCCAAAAAGCATCTTTTACCACCCATTTCTATTATCGGCAGCCTGAGAGCGCTGATCTCGCATGAACATGGTCCGGGGGTCGACTGTTACAGCCCTCGCCCTGGACATGTCGGACGCTTGATGTCAACCCTTTTCCGCATCGTAGGTTCCTGTCATATCTACCGAGCATTCTTCAAGATAATCGAATGGTGGCGTCGTCCGATCGACGAGCTCTAGGACGAACTCGTCCATGAAATTCCCCGATCAACGCCAGCCTAGACGGGACGGAAAGGGCCCATTGCTTTGGGATTTCCCACCTCTGATCTTTGACAGAAGGGATCCTGGTGGGTGGTCGGCCCCCGAAGTGCATGGCTGGTGAAATGCTACTACTGTGCAAAAAAGAGCTCGGCACTGTCTACCTCCTCTGCCCAGCGAGACAAGGACACATTAAGAGCATCTAAAAATTGGCAGAGGACTTGTCTGTCTCATGATTTTACTTGTAGTCTCACAAGGCCTAGCGAGATTTGCTCATTGTTCCAGAAAGTGCTCCTTCGAACTCGTACGGTGCTATTGAGCTCGAGCAATCCGACTATCCGGGCTGGAACGATTCTACGAGTCGTGGCAAGACGTCGAGGCCGGGTGAAGTTGACTTTCGGGCTTGACGTGAAAGCCGAAGAGAGGAGCAGGTCAAACATCCCGACACTGTTCGACCGTGGCCGGAGTAAGGCGGCTGGAGTCGTTGAAGAGGCGAAATTCCGACCAGCCAGAACCACGGCGAAGAGAGCGGCCACATCCATATTCAACGGCAGCCACCGAACAGACCACGCCCATGGGATTCTGCAGTCAGGTGAAAAGAGACTGCCAGAGACGGAAAGGTGGTGATTGGGAACCCATTAAACGAGACTAAGCTGGAGGCTCATTGCTCCCTTCCCCGACGCCATCATCGATAAGAAGATAGAGGAGTGGATATCCAATTTCCCCGGAAGCACTATGTCTTCCCTCCGCACAAAGTCTGGTGAGTGGTTTCCGCCACCCACAGTCGAGAGCGAAATCCCTGTGGCATCAGCAAACCGTCCATGATCCTGGTCTGCTGTATCCGAGAGAGGCCAATTCTCTAGGGTCGGCCGTACGGGCCGCTGAGTTGATCCAGCACCAAATTTGGAGGATTCTTCAAGCCATCCCAGCTTAGCGTTCAGATAACGAATCGAGCTTAGAAGCGACCAAGAACGTGGTAGAATTAGTTTTGGTGCAAAAAAGGAAAGAAGAAGAAAAATTTCGCCCATCCGAAGAAAACATGAAACAGTCAGGGCATGGGAGGTTACAACGACAGAGACGTGTTGGGGGGAGAAGGATCGAGCCGGCATAGGAGTGATGAGCACATGGCATTGCCGTATCGCCTCGAATCTGAAACGCGAGCTGCAGCTGCTTGGGCGAACAGCAGAGAAGGGATCTGACATTGATGGGCAGAGAGGCAAAAAAGAGTCTTGGTACCTGCATGAAGTCGAGAGCTGCCATTGGGCACCGGAGAAAAGTCGAGCACATCGTGCATGAAAAGGTGCCAATGTTCCTGCGTTAGGGCCCTGCGCGCTGCGGGTCCTCGCAGTGCTTCTGGCGGCATTCGCGGGCTGATAGCGGGCATCGTTGGGCAAAGATAGGCGTCGACTTGCCACGCTCTGGTTCTGGCTCTGTGGCTCTGGTGCGGCCCAAGACCACGGTCCTCAGTGGAATCGAATCAGCGGCGAGCGTTCTGGAAGGGCCCTAGGCCTCTTCAAGCACAAGATGGCAGGGCCACCAAAGACGCGGACCACTACCCATCGAGGGACCCGCGCGCGCGAAGGACGGCGCCTGCAGCTTGGTGCCTGGGGCCGTCGGCTTGAGGCAGGGGCAAAAGCCCAAAGCTAGTTGTCCACAGTGGATGTGCCCGGGTCGCGGATGAGAGAAAAGGCCTCAGGGCCAACTGGGGTCCTGGGGCAGGTGGATGTGCTCGGGTACCTGAGGGAAGGTGATGGTTCCTGAGAGGAGACACCGTTGGGATCTACCCTCTCTAGCCCTCTGGATGTCCCTCCGTCCCCAAGCGATGGCTTGGGCTGAGCATATCCACCATTGGCCAGCCGTCGAGACCGTTTCCTTAGAGCACCAGCGGCATGGGGACAGAAACCAGTGCCGCTTTTTCCCACCCAGGGTTTCCTTCGGTCTCGAGCGACCGTGTTCAATTTAGAAGGTGCGTGGAAGCTGTGGTGGATGGCGACTGATAGCCAGGACAAGTGACATTGAGCCTTTTGCCACTGGAATGGCTGGGATAGCGGGAGTTGTTGCAAGGCCACGCAAGCAAGAAGCAGCAAAAACCCAGGCAAGATCAGACCCTGCACCCACCATTGGCTGACGGTGACCACAGAGGGAGAGACAGCAGGAAAGAGTTCTCCGGTCGCGGGAAGCATCCCCATACTTGTACAGAGACTTTTTGCTACTCCGTATATACTGCGTACCCGAAAAGCAGATGAGAGAGTCAGAGCTGCCCTGCCTCCCCCAGCGAAAGAACAACTCTGTTCTCCACGGGCTGCCCGGTCCCAACTTCGCAGGGCTTTGACCCAGACATTGACTAAAAAGAAATGCCTATCGATACGCGTCCGCTATGGAACGAAAAAGGTCACCCCACCGCGTAGTGGAAGCACCCAGTCGTGAATGCTCCACGCTTTTCCAGGCCTTTTGTTTCGGGCTCTTGAAACCCTTGGATCACTTTGCCATAGTACTGGGTTGTGGGTTCCACTGGTACTACATACTACGCACTACAGAGTCCCAGGGTCGTCATAATCTGTACGTAGACCACTAGCTATACTGCTGGTGGACCGTCGATGACTCGATGCAACAGAAGACGGAATATGGGTACGAATTGGAACGAGGGCAGCACTGGTCCTAGCAGTGCCCTCATACCACACCGGGTCGACAATAGAGGGTGGTGACGGGAGGTGCTCTTGGGTGAAGCCCACCCAAAACCTCGTCTCTGCAGCTGGAGGATATGAAACACCCCGTCACCTGTCTATACTCGCGGGAGTGGCGGGGAAAAGCAAGTTGTCTGATCCGGCAGGCGAATACCGGGCCCTTGTGGTGCTTGGGGGGGTTCTGTTTTCTCTTATGCAACATCCCATCATCATCATCAATGCTAACTTTGTGATGGCTGTTGGTAGCGAATGGCTCTCGTTTCTCCGATTACTTGAGACTTTTGGTGCGTGCATTTTTGCATGTGAATTCCATGCTTGGGAAACCAATCAAGCCATCGTGTATGCTCACCATTGCTCAGCCGGGTAACGCGAGGAGCAAACCCATCCGGAGAAGCAAACCATGCATGTAAAAGACGACTGTCCAGTGAGCCTTCTGATGAAGTGGAGGCACGCGCACATTCTCACCACTTCCTTGGGCTTTCTCGTCAATGGCTGGAGAGAGGGGAAGAGAGTGTCGTACCTGCATATGTCGGAACGGCAGTGGCTCTCGCAGAGTCTGAGACATGCACGCCTCTTCTGCACAACCTTGACAACCTTCGCAGTATGTATTACGCTCTTCCGAAGAGACCACTTGCCACCACCATCCTTCCGATGGTGATTCCCATCCCAGCCAAAGCCTAAACGCCCGAACAGGGAAAGGCAGGAAGCCAAGGTAGGGTGACGCCGTCACTGTCAGGTGTGCCTTGGGGACTGATGGCTACGAATTTCCACCATCCAATCCAGGCGGCCAGGCAGATCACTTGTTTGCACCAGCATCGAATACCCAGCTTTGGGCGTTTACGAGAAAAACAGCCCCGAGTGATCTAACAGGGCTCAATAATTGTCCATGCTGACCGATCTAGAGGATTCCCATGGGGGTTTTGACTATGGGCAATATGGGCTTTTGTGAGGCCAGGTCCAAGAATAGGTCAGCCAGCGATTCGCTCCAGGGGACCGCGGACGCAGCTTATCACCCTCTGCCCTTCCACGTCACGCCCATGATTGGCGTTGACGGGCCAGCGACTCGCCCAGTCATGGACCGCGGCGGGCTGGAGCATCACACGCTCAGTCTTTCGGTACGGGCGATGTGCAGCACCTCAACACGTCCCCAATGGAACTCGAGGCGTTGATTCGAGCCCGATTCTACATTTTGGTGAACGACACCACCTATCCAGGCACGTCATTTGCCCACCACCATTTGGCTCGACCGTCTTCGGATACATGTCGCAAGCGAATGATCTCACGTAGGTCATCTTTGGAATTGATCTTCCTAGGAGGATTTGTGTCGAGTACGAGTATGCTTTCTGGTGCCCCCGAGGGCTGTCGACCAAAGAAACACAGGTCGTAGATAATCCCGCCCAGATGGTATACTTCGTACGCTCTTTTCCACCACTCGCCAGGTCGAGTTGAAGCGCTGCTTTGTGATAGATGTGTGGTATTCCTCCAATGGGCGGGTCCAGGCCGTCATTCTGGTCATTTCCCTGCCTTCATAGGATGACTTGCAGAGGCAATAATCGAATGTCTCGAACAAACCATCAACTCATGGTTGACCCAGTCAGACAGCGACCACGATGGCCACCTGAAAGGTCACTGTGCGTCATGGACAATGGGCCCCCTCGCCGAAAAAAGACGTGAGGTGGGATGCTAGGTGCGTGTGCTGAGCCAGAGTGCAATTTCCCATGCATACGGGTACTGCGTGATAGTCGTCTTCGGGCGCGGCGCTCAGCATAGCCCAGCCAACTGGACTTGGGGCGGGCTCTTCCTGCTGCCAGGCACACCACGCACCCCTCGAGCCCCGATTCCCAAGCAGGCGAAATCCAGGAACCAGGTCGCTGCTCTAAGGGTGCGGCTGGCTCGAGTGGACCATCTTAGTGGGTGATAGTCTTTGAGACGGACTGGGGGTTGGTGAGACCATGGCCTCCACCCTCCATCAAGTCAGTGACCAGGGTTCGAAGACGACGGTCCCGAACGCCAGTGCCCGGTCCTGCAACCCATCGACTATACTCCATCCAGCTGCATGGCCCAAGGCATTGGTGGCCGCCGGCCTCAAGAAACCCTCGGGGTATCCAGCGATCTCTTCTTATGGTTGCTCTTATCCTCTCGTCTCGCTCCCTCATATCGAGGACAAGTCGTTCATTTATCCCCCCCCACGATCTACACCTTCCTTTACTTCTGTTATATCCTCTCCTTTGACCAGGCCTTTCCGGATCCTTGTTCAATATACCTGTACAACACCCAGCTTGTACCTCTATTGAACAATATCCAGTCCTTCCTTTAACAAAGCCTGTACCAACATCCCACTGTACCATATCCTCTAATCCCTTGCCTGCCTTTTGACAGAGACCTGTCTCTTGCCCATCGACAGACGCAATCAGACTTGACCTGACGGTTACCAGCATATCCTGCATCTTTACATGTACAGCCTAAGCTAGTGACCCCAGGAGACAGAAAGGGAACTCCCTGAGAGAGAAGACGACGACGACATAGCCATTCATTGGACACAACCTCATTTTCTTTGTACCAACCTGTACTACAACATCAGCTCGAACCTGTTTTTTGCCATCAACAGCTTGTCATTTCTACTTCGAGGCTCCTGCCAGTGACAGCAAGCCGAGGAAAGAAAGAGAGAAAAAGAGGAACAGGAAAACAACTCTTTGTATTCCAGACCCCAGAAACAAGACCATTCGAAATGGAAGCACCATATCCAATGGCAACACCACAGATCCAGTTCTACCAATACCGACCAGACTCGGACGCACGGCATAACGCTGTGTTCACCCCCATGCCAACAGAGCAGCCTGCATACAGCCCCATGGCTGGGTATCCTCATCACCCACAACAGCAGCAGCCCCAGCAGTATATGGTTCACCAGTACTGGCAAGGGCCTGCTCACTTTGCCCGAGGACACCCTCACGCCCACTACGTGCCCCAGCAGGTTTTGACCCCGAGGGCCTCTCCACCATTGACGCTGGCTATGCCCATGGCGATGCCTAAGATGTTGCTCGACAGCAACGGCCATATGGAGCATGGACACTTTCTCGAGAGCCGGCACTCTTCACCCCCGACTCCATGTCTCTCGGCCTGCCCCAGCACCGCCAGCAGCCCTCCGGCCAGCAGTGTGAACCAGACGCCCGTGCACGGCGCCGGGTACTTCAACTTGCCCATTGAAGCCTCCAAGGAGGAAATGCAGCCTCTCGCCTTTCTGGATGAGTGGGCGGAGAGCGGACGTAAGTACCATCCGGTTTCAAGGTGTGCTGAAACAGTTGATTAACGAGGACACGCAGAGGTGCACATTTTCCCGCATCCCGGTGATGCCAAGGCGGCCCTTGTGCCCAGCAACGGCGCCGACTCCTTTCACTCTGCCACTTCGACCTCCGCCAGCGCTATCAACCTGAGCAGCTGCCCATCACCCTCTTTGGCCCCTGCTTCACCTCAATCCCAAGTCTCGCCATCCGCCTATCCCGTGGCGGAATTTGTCAACCTGCGAGATTTGACCTCGACTTCCCTCGAGCCCGTCGTTTCTGGTCCCGTCCAGACTTTCCCTCCTTTGCCTACACTGTCTGCCGAAGACGACGAGCACAAATTCGCCCTCGGAAACCAAGCCTTCCCCATCACGCCCGAGCATGAAACTGCCGACCCTTTTACTCTCGTCGAGAACCCTTCGTTTGACACTTCGTTCTGCACCGAGTTCGACTCGGAGGACGAATTCAGCTTCGTCAACTTCACCGACCCCGAGATTGCCTATAACGGTGACAAGAGGTTGAAGTTGTCGGTTGGTGAAGAGGAGGACTTCCTCAGCGTCCACAGTTTCGGCAGCTTTGATGAGGACGACCACGCCGCCCACGCCGGCCTGCTCTCTCCTCCTGCCTCGTCCTTCTCCGATTCAGGCTCCTGCTGCGCACCCAAGAAGAAGACCCAGCGCAAGATGAAGCGCACCAGCTCTACCGACAGTGATTTGGAGTTCCACAGTTTCACTCAGTCCGATGCCCACATCCACTGCCACGCCGATGGCCAAAGCACCTCGGAGGATACTCCTCAGGAACAGCCCAGCACGAACGAGGACAACAGCGGCTCCGCTAACGCCGATGGTTCGACTCCGTCACAAGCTCCTGCTAACCGCCGTGGACGCAAGCAATCCTTGACCGAGGACCCCTCCAAGACATTCGTCTGCACTCTGTGCTCACGCCGCTTCCGCAGACAAGAGCACCTGAAGCGTCACTACCGCTCCCTGCACACACAAGACAAGCCATTCGAGTGCAACGAGTGTGGCAAGAAGTTCTCCCGCTCTGACAACCTCGCCCAGCACGCCCGCACCCACGGTAGCGGTGCCATCGTGATGGGTGTTCTGGAGAACGGAGAGCTCCAGCCTCATCAACCGTACGATGAGGAAATGGGCCACGCTCTGTACGAGGCGGCTCAACGAGCTGCCTTGGCTACATCGTCGAGCAGCAGTGGCTCCGAAACCTCGTCGTCCGGAGATAGCAAGCGTGCTCTCAAGAAGAGAAAGCGAGACGAATCCCTGTAAATATACCAGATGTGACCTCACGAATGACCCAAGAATCATCATGAAAATCCGAAATAACTCTTTAACAACAACAACAACAACAACAACAACAACAACAACACAAAGCAACCACGACCGCAATGATCCTTATGATGTGATTCAGGACCGATACAGGAATATTTGTCAGGGATTCCCTCGCCAACGCACCACCACGGGGCCGCCAAACCGCCGGAGTCGACGAGAATGGGAAAAACCAACGCAGGAGCTCAAGAAAGTGTATGCCTATGGGAAGAAAAGTGCTTTAGAACCTTTTAACTGTCTTCAACTACTTCTCCAGACCAATTCATTGTATTCTATGGCCTTTTCTTGGTGGGTGGCTGTGGTGTGATCCAAGGGGGAAAGTATCTATTTGCTGGAGGAGACCGAGCTGTTGGGGAGGGAAGGGGGGACAGGGAGGGAGTTGGAGGTCGAGTTCGAGGACGACATTTTCCATTCTTTTCTTTCCTTGAGATCAATTTTTTTTATTGCCTTTTTGACCCTTTGTCAATCAACACCCTTTTTTTCCTTGTGAGGATGGAGGAGAGAAGGAGGAGATGTAAGAGAAGAAGGGAAGACAGATGGTTGTTGGGAGGCTCCCCTACGCAGTATTTGCCAGCCCCGTTTCCAGAGCTCCTGTATGTTAACCCGCAAGTGTACCCTCGTACCTTTTGTACTATTAGATATTGTTGGAAACACAAACGCCTTGACATTAATTCCTACCGGGTCTGAGCGGTTTATCCCTGTGAATCCGTGTGAATCCGTGTGAATCCTCGACGTGCAGCAGTAGGGGCGTGTCCAGCTACATACCTACATACCTACCTTGTACATCGTCATGCTCGGGCGCACAACACACCACGGCGACCCTAGGTATGTAGGTACTCCGTAGTGCAAGAGTCCTCACTGCTCGCGGCGGTGCCTATCGGCCCCCTATCGATAGCAGATAACGCCAGAAGGCGCAGAGAATTTTCGCCGGTCCAGGGGGGTCTCCTAGGGGTCTCGGGTGGGCTGGTGGGCGTTCATGGCATCATGGTTATGGGCGCTAGGCCCTGGGCCGTGGACACTGTCCTGGCCTCGGGCAGTGGGCACTGGGTGTTGAGTGTTGGGTGTTGGGTCAGCCTAGTCAGCCTACTACTACTCTACTGTTGATACCCTAGTACTGACTGCTATCTATGCATGGTACCTGTGAGTAGGTATCGAGACACAAGAGCCCTCACAATTTCACTCGGTACCTACTGCTATTGTAGCCCATGAGCTGGTTGCCCATCTCTATCTACGTTGTTCCCAAATCCTTTTCCTCCATGCTTTACCTCTACCTCGCTTTTGTTCTGCTCGTCTTTGTTACTTGGCCTAATACCGGGGTACTACTGGGGGACGGATACAACGCCATGGCCAATGCGATGCGCAGAACTTTTCTTCATCCCACCCCCCTTTTTTTGGGGGGGGGGGGGGGGGGGGGGCGACTGGTGCGATTGGATCGCGAGGACCAAGCAAGACGACCTCTGAGGAATGGAAGGGGAGGGAGAGGGAAGCACGATGGAGAACGGGACGCAGTGATGGGATCCTGACGCTCGGTGGCGCGATAGGACGCTGTACTCGTAGTTGGTAGCGTAGGTAGGTACGGAGGACTCAGTACTCAGTGAGGTAAGGTAGGATAGGGACGGAGTAAAAAATCAGGTCATGTCATGGCAGGTCGCGAGATGAAACAACCACAACAACCCTTGCCTACTAGAGGTGCTCCGACGCCACGAAGCGGGGAGGATACGAGTTGCGCTCGTAATGGATTGAGCGGCGAGCGCCAGTGGGCAGGACAGGTCGAGCAGTGACGAGCTGAACCGCCAGGGGGGGGTGCATGATTTGAAACGAGGCTAAGGCAGGGGGTTTGAAGGGAGGCAAATGTACTCGGTAGGTGTCAAGGAAAGGTACGGCGGATTGACCTAATGGCGTGGCATGGCATGGCAAGTAGGTGCCTTGGATATACGGAGAGATTCCTTTGGACAGGATGGCTCCGGCTGGTAAGTAGGTAGGTAAGTAGGTAGGTAAGGCGCACATCAGTTCATGCGAGGTCTTAGATAAGTGGGTGCGAGGAGTGGTGGCTCATTTGCAGGGTGTTTTGCGAGGCCAGGCAGCCAGCGGTGCACTAGGTATGTCACTCGTTGCACACACACAGTCCAACCGCGCCCTCGCTCAAAGGATAACCTAGTTCTAGCTTCCAGCCGCCAGAGAAGGAAGATACCCTTGGGAAAGCAGCCCATCCATCTGTGACCCTATCTTCTCACGCACGCACAAAAACGCGCGCGTGAGTGTGCGCGAAAAAGGGAAAAGGGAAAGAAAGATGATGGGCGCGCGACAACGCGTTGAACTAGACTTTTTTGTTCCGGAGCCATAAGCACACCAAGCTCGCCGTCTTGAGAGGTAGGTAGGGATGGAGTCCTCCGTACACTCCGTACACCCTCTCGGCACAGCGCGCAGGGAAAAACCTACGCGAGGAGGGCAGCAAGTGCAGCAGTGCTCAACCCCACAATCTCGACGAGGACCGAGGATTCGGGTCCTGCTACGGGTCACGGAGAAATAACTCTATGGGCCACACACACTTCTTTACACAACGCGCACGCGACACTTGTGTGTAGGGTAGGGAGGTACCGGGAGGCTGAGGCTGGCGTGGAGGCGTGGCTGGAAAGGTACGGAGGACGTGCTCGGTACACCTGGGAAGTAATAACCGCGATGATCATTACGGAGTCCAGGTCCGGGTATCGATTATCGATAGGCACGATAGCACACTGATGGTACAACTCTACGGGTATTATATATGAGGGTTGTTGCATGCAGCTTAAGCCTCGCTAGCCTTGTGCACGGTACCAGGAGCCACCAATCCTCTCGAGGGCCAACCATCCGATAGGAAAGTCAACAAGTTCGGTTTGTTTCTCGTCAGTCAGTCGATCAGATCCAAGACTGATAGCCGGCAGGTTCGCCCAGAGAAGTCAAAGAAAGAGACCGTGAGGGCCTCACGCAGGGACCAAAACGGTGGCTCAAAGACAACGGACAACAGACAACAGACAACAGACAACAGACAACAGACAACAGACAACAGACAACAGACAACAGACAACAGACAACAGACAACAGACAACAGACA